CTCAGCGGCCACTGGATCAAGCTCATTTCTAGCAAAGGTTCCATACGAAACATGCTCTAGTTTTACAATCACCTCTTTCTGGCAATTTACCAGCAGCCGCAAACCGTCGCATGGACAGTGTCGCCGACCCTATACCCCAGACTCTTGTGGAACCGCGTTGACACCGAAACAAGGCGTGTATGGATGAGCAGGGTCCACTCGCCGGTACTTGGCTAGCACCTGTAGCAGCACCAAGGCCGTCAGCTCCTCGTCATGTTACGGCGACTACACGGACCTTGTACGGAACATGCTTGTGTTGGATACCCGTCGAAGGCTCAATGTTCGGCAGCTGAATATAGAGATCAGCCGACGTCGGAATGCAAAGCACTGAATATTACCTGACAGCGTGTGCACCGTGATACCAGGAGCATTCGACCGTATTCAGATGAAGCACGACCACTCCGCTCCGTGGTGGTAAACGAAATCTCTTCCCACTCTTCTGCATACGGTTTTCCCGCGCCTTCGACGACAACATTCGGGCGGAATCTGTTTGCATATATGAGCAGAAGAAAGATGCCCAGACTCACACTTCACCTTTCCATGACGAGTTCGCCCGTCCACTGCCAGCGACACCGTTGATTTTCCAGCCTTCGACGCCAGCTGCGCTGAGGGAAAGCTTTGTCTGAACGTCTACAAGACTCTCTTCAGATGCGACGAGGATAGGATATCCATCCGGAACACGACCCCTGGAGAGCGGGGAACGCGGCGGTGGGCTTGAGATGTCGTGGTAGGACCTTTGCGGAATGAGCAGCACGTCGCGCTCAAGATACTTGGAGAGGGCTCCAGACGGATCGAGACCACCTTGCTCAAGTGACTCGCAGATGTATCCATCAGTGGTATGCGACCAAATTGAATATCGTCTAGCCTAGACTCGTCTGAGTATGAAAAGCAATTATTGTGCTGCTTACTTTGCCCAGCTCTTGACAACCTCTTCTGGAGGTACCAAGTGTCCTTACAACGCCAATAGTAGTTTCGCTTGGAAAATGAATTTCGAGTATCTGTCCCTTGGGAGTCTCTTCTATTCTAGGATGAATCAAGACCATCTAGGCTACGTCGGTGAGGGGCTTGACTGCAGACGTTGAATGTCTGACCTTTGGAATTTCGCGAGCTGTAATCGTCTTGTGCGTATTCTTGTCGACGATAACAAACGTTCTATCGTGTTTCTAAGAATACAGCAGTTGAGTTGTATACTGCGCGCTTTTGCAACTGCGGACGTACTAAACCCTCTGGATTCCCATGCCGGAACAGAGGTTCCCCGGCACGACTATGTTATTTTGAGTGCGTTGCTGCTGTCAGGATGCATGTAACTGACCTTGATAGGATGGACAAATATTCGCGTAATAATTGTAGAAACGGTGCTGCGGCTCCGCTGTCTCCAAAAATACACCAGCAGTGGGATGAACAGGCCAATCAGGGCGTATTCCGGATGAGTGGGTATCCTGACGTTGCGAATGAGTGGTGGCGTTGGCCACGAAACCATTTGGAGCAGTGAAACAAATCTGAAGAAATTCAGAATAGACGTTTGGCGTGAATTCAAGCTTGTTCTGATCCGCCCGAATACGTCAAGTGGTCGCGGCGGCAAAGTTTGAGAAATTGCGGGGAACCCCTTACGCCTATGGCCCTCCACTTCTGGACTCGCCCACCCAGTGTTTCTTGTAATCATCATCGACAGCACGTAGAAATGTCTGATAATCCCACGACACCCAAACCGATCCCTATCCACCGCCAACGTTCTGGTTCGGTTTCGTCCGTCGACGACAACGTTCCCGAGTTTCTCCTGGCTCGTCGCACTCGCAGTCTCCGCCCTCTGTACGTCTATTCGCGTTGATATGCTTATTCTGCGCGTCACGGTTGCTTACTGATCTACGATTGAGCAGTCTCCAACGTTACCCAGACCCGCCCTTCCTCTTCGCCTATTCTGTCCTACTTCTTCAACAAGGACGCCGCATCAAAGTCTCCCAGTTCGCTGCGTCCAACCATCGCTAATATGCCTGGTTCTGTATTCGAAAGACGCGCGCCAATCCACCGAAACTCTCGCCCGTGCTCGGCCATCATCGTACAATGAGCATGAACCGGACTGGCCAAGGTTTTCTACAAATCCCCCCAGAACAACCCAGCGGTAAAGGCTGCCCCAAGACCGTGGGGCCGGCATCCTCCGTCGTCTCAGTCTTAGCGGCAGCACTCCTTTCCAACGTGTACGTCTTGATTGGCTCTTTGTGTATTCTACTCGCACTCGTCTCCATCTCATTCGCTATCGATACGCGTCCACCTCACGCACTCATCCCCGCACGCCACCCCTAATTGCATCCCTGCATTCCCTTCATCTCATGTCATGTGGCCGCCTTCTTCAAGCTCTGACTTCTTTCTCTATAGCCTGCCGTTCCTACCGGCAATTCTGCTATTCAAGACGCGGATAATGCCCTTACAAGATCACAGACTGTCCATTCGACCGCGGCAACTCTTCCTCGATCGCGTCCCCACGGTCGTCGTGCAACTCTGGCATCCTCAGAAATGCCAAAGCCGCGCTCCCAGTCCTATTGGTATGTGTTTGCCTATTCGCTGTTTAAAAGCCCGGCTTATAACACCACCCGCCTATAGGTGAGCGTATGCTCAAGGGCCATTTCGATGGCTTTGTGTAAACGCAGAAAGCCCGGTCAAGCACGTCTGTGGCTTATTACGTTGGTCCTCGGAGAGCGCGTGTTTCGTCACCTTTCCAGACTTAGCCGTATGTTTGTACTATTCATTATACGACCCAACAATCAGTCCTTTTTTTTTGATCTCATGGAGATTTTGAAATGAGAGGCAGCTCGCTCGCGCATCTTGACGCCGCCCCTATCCCTGGCTCTTGTGGCTCGACGGTCTCGTGATGCTTCACTTTCGCATTCAGTTCAGCATGAAATCAAGGCATTTCTGGTTCCATATGACGCACACTGGACGACCGTGACGGAAAAGGTTACCGAGCTCTTTGATGTTCCGCCGAGCAATGTTGCCCTGATCCACAGAGACCGTGATGGATCTCTGACGACAATTCATAACCAAGATGAGCTCAGGTCATACTTGCTGGTCCTGAGTGCTCGTGCTGTCGCTGTGAGCCTCTCAACTCTGCGATAACGCCCATCTAGAACTGACACCATTCTCTTAGGTCTCCTGCTCGATTTTGACCTCAAGGATTTGAGAGAATGGAAGTACAGTATCATATCTCACATTCCCATGTCGGAGATTGAGGACACGGAGGAACACGAGAGCATTACCGAAATATTGCAACAAGCGCATACTGGCAAGTTCACCGACGAAGACTATACGTTTATCAACCGTCCTCCAAATGACCCAACGGACGTGCAGCTCGTGATTCCAGGAGAAGAGACGCCCCTACGCCGTCCCGCGCCATCTGGGCATTGTGCGTCGCCCAACATGCAGGTAATGCAGCTCCGTCAAGAGGACGACAACTCGTGGGATAAAGTTCAAGCGCCATCTGAGAGAGACGTCGAAGACGAAGAACCAGAAGGCACCGTCCAGTGTCGACTATCCGCATCTCGAGAACCGACACGACCTCAATCTGTCGCGAGTTCTGGGCCGCCACGGATTCCGTCGAGGGACAAGGGAAGCCGTGCGATGTCGACCACGAGCTTGGACCCTGTTCTCTACAGTACCGTCGATGTCGACGTTGCGTCGAATAGGTCGGTCATAAATAACGACACCCCAAGAAACCGACGATACAGATCCCAGAGGCTCCTCGTGACATGGGTCCCATCCTCATTTCGAATATCGTCAAAAAGATGAGCTTGGAGAGCGGCGCGGAGAGTCCACTCGACAGCAGTCGGATGAAGGCACGTACGGGACACTGATTACCCAGCTTGTGTCTCTTGTCGATGTCGTCACGCAGTTGCTCGAGGACGATGGGGTCGCGCATCAGCTTCGTGGCACCTGGGAGGCATACTGAAATCAGCCATTACGCCCATGTCTGCTTTTCCACCTGGTCAACCAAAGCCCCAAGGAGCTCGCGTTGGCTGAAGGGATTGTCAAAGTGATGAAGCGCGTGCAAACAATTGTCGAAGAGGATCCACCGTCGGATATCGAGGAGCAAGATGGCGATGTCATTTGGACACATCGCCCGACTCCGAGCCTGCGTTTCCAAAGACTCCTATCCATACTGAAAAGAGAACTGCGGTACCAGCACCAGCATCTGTGCCAGCCGCTGCATCTGCAAAGTCGTCAGCAGCGCCTTGAAGAGGCAAAGGCCTTGTATAAAGCGGAAAAGGCGAGGTACAGAGCCGAGCGAGAGCAACGTCGCCGTAACAAGCTCGAATCGGTTTGCGTATCCCGACGTGGGTGGTGCAGCATCTCAAATAAGTGGTTGATCTAATCTTCAAATAGGAATGGAGTCCAAGAGACGGACGAACCACCCATCGAGGTCAAGCCAGCTCCTCCAGGTCATCGCGCGTCTTTGATGAGCGCACCGGACCCAGATGCGTATCGTGGTCGTGCATCTGCTGTCCCACATTCTGCCAAAGCCGCCTCTACAGTCAAGCCTGCTGCTGGATCAACGTATTCCCCGGCGCTTCTGCCGACCCACCTCTCTCAAGCCGTCCAAGCGTCGATCGGAAAGTCTGTGAAAAGTCCATCTGTACCATCAATGAGAGAAGCAGATGCTCCTATAGATGCTGCGGACTCGGCTCATGATGGTGGATCCGAAGGACCTGGTACACCGAAACCAGCACCCGCTCGTCCACAGCGCGCTTCGACACAATTCGATTTCGATGCATTCATGGAGGCAAATGCGTGGAATACCGCACCCAGGGCTGCTCCTGGATGGGTACACGAGCAAGCACAGCAGCAACCGCCGCAGGTACCTCCGCCTCCTGCTATCACTGCTACATCGACGAAGCGTGGTTCGCACTCACCTGTCGAAGAAGCTCTCCGCCTCCTCCACCTCCTGCGCCGCCTCCGAGGGTGTTCATGCAGACTGCTGCCATCACAGATAGTCCACATCCACTCGAGCGTCCTCCTCTGGACATGAGCGCCGGGAGCGAGAACACGGCACCAACGCCTCCGCCTCGTCCACATGCGTTTTCACCCAGTTATTCTCCTCCGGATGCTACTCATGGATATCCTCATCATCGCCATCACGAGAGCACTGGGAGTGGAGGAGCAGGAGGAGCAGGCTTGGAGCAGACGTCTTCTGATGCCTTTCGCGCGAATCTAGCGTCTCGAGGGTCAGTCAAGGGAGCTCGATGGGGAGCCCACCGGAGGATAGATGTTGGCGGGCGAGAGGATAGTCTCCCGATCGAAGCTCATCCACCACCTGTCTATAGCACCGACGGTGAAGGCGGCGACGAGTTGATCGAGAGCGGTGGACCTCCCGCGTCTTGAAAAGCGCTCCCACTCAATGAAGAATCAAGAGGAGATGTTTGGCCGTTCTGCACGAGGTACGTTCAGTTTCTCACTTTCAACCAAGCTGCTGAACCACGCGGCAGTACAATGTGACACAAGACAAGTATCCTCAATCTAGATGTCATGATCACGCAAGGTATTCAGATTGTGGGAACAATAGACAGATGATGCGACTTGCCGCGGAGAGCAACGCTCATGCGCGCGAGACGATTCTCAGCGAAGAGGTGCCAAACGTCGTCGCCAACCGCGTCTTGGCGATGATCCAACGAGGAAGTAGCGGCAACTATGTCTGAAATAACTACCAACAGTCTTTGGACAATGGATGGAATCACAATTTATGCTCTTCATGTATTCAGTCTCGCTATGCGATTCCTTGTAGACAAAAACGCTGTTTGCTGGACATTAGTGGTGCTTTACAGTGAGTACGAACAAGAATAGGTACAGGAACCGGCACAGTCCATGGAGAATAGCATTATTGGCTGCAATTCTAGCCGGACAGAGGTGGAAAAGGAAATGAGAAGACGAAAGAGGGTCGAGCCCTTGGTATCAGTCTCGAGCAGTCGACACGATCACTCTGCTTCAAGAACACTCTGAGGAATTTCAGGTCCCCGCGCTCGCGTCGCCATTTATTAGCTACTTCGAGGACAGAAGCTGTTGTAAGGAATCTGCCGGGCCAATGAGTCAACGAAGTGTGTGATGCATGAATCCACTCACCCATACTGTCTAAAACCACTCTGACATCTCCCAATGTGTGAACCATTGTATCTTCAGAGTGAATGCGAGATGTGCTGAGCATAAGATGCATCGCACTTGCTAGGTCAAATCGACCTTTGTAAAGTATCATCTTATCGCGGATGTCCGGGATAACAATTCCATCAATGACAAATTCGTGCTATATGGTGCGCTGAATCTGTGTTGGACGGAGCCGGCAGACAGTGCAGGTTCCGTTTATAGTGGGATGGTGACTATGAAACATCAGAGTCTTAATGGATGAGCAGAGATTAAACGCACTGAATAAGTCTACCAGCTTCTTCTCACTTCAGCGGATCTTCGTGAATTCGAAGTGCCAATGATGGGTCGCCGAACCATCGGAAGGTGCAGGTCTAGATGGCGCAGAATATGCTGGATACGTATTCGCAGCCGCACTATTCAGCGGGTTCGAATTGCTGAGAGGACGGCGTGAGTCCACCACCACCTCCATAGGCTCAACCCCAGATGGTGTCGATGTATTGATTGTTGGCTGTGGTGGAGGAAGCGTAGTCCTTGTGCATGGACCATAGGCCCTGGAGCATTGGAGGCATAGTCCGCACTAAAGAGTGCCCCATTGATTGATTGGCGTTGGTTGAAGGCACGGATTGGATGATTGTGCTGTGAAAATGGACGTGTTGATAAACGAATTGGGCGGGGAGGGTCAACTCCTCGTTATCGTTGCTCTAGAATCCTAGTGATCAGAGATATAGTCACGACGTATATTGAGAATAGCAGACCTTTGACTTTTTCTCGCCTCAGTTGGCTCGTCAATTCTCCTTTTCTGTCCTGCAAGAGTCGGCACAATTGGAGCAGGCGTGTTTGGATTCTTCTTGCACCATATGACTCTCCCATTGTATCTAACTCTCCCTTTGACTTGAAGTCCTCAAAGCTTTGAATGTCCCAGCCGAGTTTAGGCAAGAACCCTCCAATGCCTTCCCCAATGAAGCCCGAGAGGTCCTGCAAGCTGCCGCAGTGCCTGGTTTTCGCGAACCAAGTCTTGCAGCATCCCATCTAGTGCCTTCAACGAGTCTTCCCTATTTGCGGAGAGAATTTCGACTTTGCGCTCCAAGTCTCGGATCTATTGCACGTTTTAGTCCTCAGCAATATGCACGTATGAAGATGAAGATGACCTTTTGTTGCTTTCTCAATCTGAAATCACGCTGGGCAATGCGGTTCTGATCCCGCCTAGTGGCTTGGGACCTAGACGAGGTAAGAATGCGTTAGTTATTCTCCTATAATAAGAGTATGCGCAAAGAAGCGAGAAGCATACGTTGAGCCCTTCTTCCTTCCCTTTGCATCTTCTGGATAGTCTTCGTCAAAGCCAGAGTCCTATCAAGCGCCGTTGAGCACGTCCGGCGACGGGAAAGAAATATAGAAAACATACCCCTTGCTCCTCTGCGTCTTGGAGCGCTGAATCCTGTGCTGGAGCCGGCATTCTCTGTTGAATTCGTAAGTCCGGTCGACGTCGAGGACAAGTAAGCGGGTATGCGTCAGCAACAAAAGGCGCCGGTGTTGATAGCTATATTATTTTCAAAACCAATTATATTCATGAGAATAGACAGTTTGGCGAACACACAACTCGGTGGTTTCTATCCTATACATCGACGTGGCTGCACGTGGATTCTAGATGTGTACGTCTCAAGCACACAACTTGGGATGAATGACCTCGTAAGATTGCGAACGTTCCTCACGCTGCAAATGAAATAAAGGAAGTATACATTGAAAGCGACGATAACCACAGTAGACTACTCAGGGATCTTTTCGAACACTAGTCCAGGAGGGGCCACATCGAAACTGGGTGAAATCGAGTTTGGTTGCACGGAATGGACTCGTTGTTGGCATGGTCAGAAGATGGGGATACAGGAGTCCATGCCGATTTTCTGGTGGTGTCCAAAAGAGGAATTTACCAGAGGATTGTACCCAGCCATCTTGCAAGAGGGAACAATGCTGGAATCCAGGTACGAAGACTCGTAGGGGAAGACCACCTGGATCTTCCTGGGATCTTGAATGTGGGGACTCACTGCGGCCCCGACTATGTTTATTCACCTTTACATCTTGCGGTGCTTGTCAAGTCACGTCAAGACAAGCCGAGAGGACACTTACCTGCTTTGGCAGCTGATGGTTGAACTGTTTTGTCTCGTACGTGAGAGACAATTTGCGAGCCATCTGGCGGTAATCTGGTGGCCAAGGCAGAGTATTCATGCCCCCGAAGTGGCGCTCCAAGAGGGGGTATGGTGTGTACATCCCATAGTCGAATCGTCTTGTCAGACGAGCCAGAGACGATTCGTGAGCTATCTGGCGAGAATTCGACAGCGTACACCGAGCCTTGGTGACCTCGATATGGCTCTCCCAACGCCTGTCCAGTGTTCACATCCCACAGTCGGATTGTTTGATCAGACGAGCCAGAGACAAGTTTTAAACCATCTGAAGAGAACCCAACGGCGTACACCGGACCTTCGTGACCCCTAAGTGGCTCTCCTATAGGCTGTCCTGTGTCTGCCTCCCATAGTTGGATCGTCTTGTCGGCAGAGCCAGAGACGATTCGTGAACCGTCTGGCGAGAATCCGACGGCCAAGACCGAGCCATTGTGACGCCATACTGGCTCGCCCAGAGGATTTCCAGTGTTCACATCCCACAGTTGAATCCTCCTACCGGAAGAGCCAGAGACGATTTTTGAGCCATCTGGCGAGAACCCGACAGCCCTCACCGAGCCCGAGTGAACCCGAAGTGGCTTTCCCAAAGCCTGTCCAGTGTCCGCATCCCATAGTTGAATAATCCCGTCGGACGAGCCACAGATGATCCTCGAGCCATCTGGCAAGAATCCGACGGCCAAAACCGAGTATTCATCAACAGGAAATGGCGCTCCCAAAGAGGTTCTAGTGGCTATATCCCATAGGCGAATTGTCTTGTCAGACGAGCCCGATACGATTTTCGAGCCATCTAGCGAGAATCCGACAGCTCTCACTAAATCTGCGTGACCCCGAATTGGCTCACCCAGAGGTTGTCCAGATCCTACATCCCATAGTCGAACCGTCTGATCCCGTGAGCTAGAGACAATTTTCGAACCATCTGACGAAAATCTGACGGCCAAGACCGAACCCTCGTGACCTCGCAGTGACTCGCCCAAGGGCTGCCCACTGTCCACATCCCATAGTCTAATCGTCTTATCTCGTGATCCAGAGACAATTTGTGAGCCATCTGGTGAGAATACGACGGCTAAGACCGAATATTCATGACCCCGAAGTGGCTCTCGAGATAGCTGTCCTGTATCGACATCCCAAAGTCGAATCGTCTTATCGGACGAACCAGAGACGACTCGTGAGCCATCCGGAGAGAATCCGACGGCCAAGACGGGGAATTCATGACCACAAAATGGCTCTCCTAGAGTCTGTCCTGTATCTGCATCCCAGATTCGGATAGTCTTGTCGGACGAGCCAGAGACGATTCGCGATCCGTCCGGAGAGAACTCGACAGCCAAGACGGGGCATTGGTGACCCCAAAGTGGCTCCCCTAAAGGCAGTCCTGTGTCTGCATCCCATAGTCGGATCGTCTTGTCGGACGAGCCGGAGGCAATTTGTGAACCATCTGGCGAGATCCCAAGAGCCCTTACCGAGCCTTCGTGACCCCGAAGGGGCTGTCCAAGAGAAAGCCCAGTGTCTGCATCCCATAATCGAATCGTCTTGTCCCGTGAGCCAGAAACAATTCTTGAGCCATCTGACAAGAATCTGACGGCTAAGACTGAGCTTTCGTGGCCCCGAAATGGCTTTCCCAAAGCCTGTCCAGTTTCTACATCCCATAGTCGGATCGTCTTGTCGGACGAGCCAGAGACAATTCGCGAGCCATCTGGCAAGAACCCGACAGCCCTCACCGAGCCCGAGTGACCCCGAAGTGGCTTTCCCAAAGCCTGTCCAGTGTCCACATCCCACAGTCGAATAGTCCTATCGGAGGAGCCAGAGACAATTTTTGAGCCATCTGGCGAGAAACCCACGGCCCGGACCCAGTCTTCGTGACCTCGAAGGAACTTGGGGAGCCCGGAGAACATCTTTTCGACCCCAAGAGTGACAGTGAGGGTGCTACTAAACTTTTCTATACACCCATTATGTATTTTTGATTCGATGGGGGCGAAGGGAAGTGCCGAGAGGTAAATATGTGGAGCACTATCCTGGATTGGCACTGAAAATGCCATCATAAACCGCCGAATCTCGATAATTGACCCTTTAATGTTCTCTTTCAACTGTTTGTGGCGTTAAAATTATAATTTATCACGACTAATCACTCACTCCTGCATGATGTGCAATGGCTCGAAGGCCAGCTATTGCTCGTGGCACTCCTCCGGTGAAACTTAGGATCTCCATCCAGTATAGTACGTATGGTATTTGAGTAATGTGCTCAAGTTCGCTACTGAACGTGTATCGCCAGTTATCGTTTGTTTCGGCTACATGGAATACCCAATGAGAGCTAGCGTATCGAAGTCTCCTTGAAATAAAATTTGATACTCTAGTATCAAGATCCGGAATTTGCCTATTCAGGTTGAAAGATGACTCGATTTGACATATGTTAAACTTGAGACCTTCACTTGGAGACTTGAGACGTTTAAGACACCATAATGCTGTTTGACCATGCGCATTTGCGAAGTTGATAGAAATTATATTGCGATTATTGATGGCTGGATTGATTGGACAGCGCCGGAGGTACTCGACCACCGTAGGATGACGAAACTGAATAAGATTTGTCGCATCTATAGTGAGTACGCTTCCTAGATTATGTACCAATGCCTTGGCACTTCCGTGTATTTTAGAGCTCTTCAGGAGGTCGTCCAGATCATCGATTGTGAGCGGTTCGAATGCAGCAGCTAGAAGCGCAAGCATTGTACACAAGACTGTGTAGTATTCAGGATCTGTGCGCTCGAAGACAAGATTGTAAACGTCGTCTATGACTCCAACTTGATCCATGGAGGTCAGACGAGCGTACATGTCCTCGGGTGAGATTAAGCTGGCCTCATTTTTGAGCATTCGACAGGCGGTGCTCGCCCAGATGAAGAGCCCGTTGGCCTTTTCGACGAGCTTCTGCCTTTTGTCTCCTGGCAGTATGCCACCCAGTGATCGGTGCACATAGTTCGCAATGTCGTCGATGTTATCACGATGATTGACATGGTGAAGGCGATCCTCCAACTTGGCCTTGGTCGAGAGCGATCCCAAGATTGCCTCGACGACAGGGTCTGGTCGACTCGTCATGAAGATCTTGAGATTCTTGCACTCTCGAACAGCCGTGTACAGAGCCTCGACAAGTTCCTTTCGTTGTGATCCAGATTTGCACTCGTCAAGAGCGTCGATAACGAAAATTACGCGGTCTTGCTGACTATGAAGTGAACCAGTGATGAGGGTTCGAAACTGCTCATCAAGTGAACTTCGCATGACGATGGGATTCCGTCTCACTGCATCGGCGATGCTTCGACCATGCCCCGGGATGTAATAGGCGAGCTCCCTTGCTATGGTGGAACAAAATTTTTCGGTCGTGGACCCTTCACTACTTGCAATAGAGAAGAAGAATCGACCACCTAATATTCCCTCATTCCGCCACCTTTCGGCTGCGGACATTGCGACTGTGGATTTGCCGGAACCGGCTATGTCGCAGAGCCAGAATATTGGCTTGTCGGATATATCGTCGCTGGCCCAGTGCCAGATCATTTGTAGGACCGCCTCCCGTGTTCCCTGCATACAGGTATTGTGGATCGAGGATGGAACGAATGCTACCATTGGCAGCTGTAGTATGGCGGTAGCATCGTCTTGAGATGGTGAGCGGGAACTCTACTCATAGGTACTAACTTACTGTCCGTCAGACTCTTTTCCACGTTGACCTTGGTATCCTTTGTGCTTCGTTCGATGGATTGAATACGCAATGTAGTGAAGATATTCAATGCTTCCTGCCCTACGGTCAAATTTCAAGCAGGCTTGGTGGCGCTCGGCGCACCATGAACTGTCTATGCCGATCGTCAACCTCTCTACTGAATCTGCGGATCGTTTCTGCGTCTATCTTGACTTTTCGGACTTGCGTAGCCCTGCCCCGGGTAGTTTGGCTTCGTTTTTCGACATAGTTGAGGACTTTCGCCGAGAGATCCTCAAGGAATCTGTATCAGTCAGTACATTGCTTTACGTTTAACCTAATCACGTACTTGACGTATCGAATGAATGGTTGGCTGAACGCTTCCTCAACGATCCTCTCCTCTGGAGAATAGCGCTCGAACAAGTCGACTTGTTTCTCGATAGAGGACATATAGCCTTCTAAACGCGCGATTAGGTCATTCAAATCTTCTTTGTTGCTATCAATAGCCTATCATGGCTCTCAATGAGACCGGTCTATTATACGAGTTTCGCCACTGACTTGTTTGACGTCTAGGATCGACTTTGTTGCCCGACAGGCTGCTTTGAGAGGGGCGAGTACATCTGACGCTTCGGAGAGGTTGGCCACGAAATCGAGACCGACGTTGACTGTGTCGTACACTTGAGCCTTCTTGCTTGACGAACTTTGCGCCGATGACGATGATCCTGGCGCTTTCCCAGTCGGGCGGGGTTTCTTGGCTCGTTTCGACTTGAGTGTTGACATCGTAGAGAATGGGATCAGGTCCAAGATGGGTTGGCTCCTGCCAGTCTCGATATGCCAAACAAGTGTGATGAGGCTAGATGGCCAAGTAATAGCTATTAATATATATCCAGTCGCTTAGCCCCATTAATTTGAGTAATAATAGCTGTATGTATCATTGAACCCATATTCAGTCATAACTTGATCTCCGCCACTGCAGCACCAAATCCAACATGGTCCGCCCTAAAGGTTTGGACAACAAGAGCTGACGAGAATATGCACAGGGATGGGAAGTTCGCATGTCCAATACGCGCCGCAAGCCATATTTCTACAACCGCGACACGAATCAGTCGCTCTGGCAGGCGCCTCCAGACTTGACGCCGCAGGAGATTGAGAAACTGCCGGGAGCAAACTTGCTCAGCGCATCTCCACCATCGGGGGGTCCAGAAATCGTGCGCGCAAGTCATCTCCTCGTCAAGCACAAGGACAGTCGACGACCATCGAGCTGGCGAGAGGCACGCACACGACATCTATCGCTCAAAAAAATAAAGCTAACTGACGTTCTTATAGGCAAATATCACGCGTACAAAGCAGGAGGCTATCGATATCTTGCTGGGATACAAGGACGAGATTAATGGCGACCCGCACAAGTTTGCCTCGCTCGCCCAACAGTATTCTGACTGCTCTTCCCACTCGAAAGGAGGTGATCTAGGTCACTTTAGCCGTGGCCAGATGCAAAAGCCGTTTGAAGACGCGACGTTTGCGCTCCAAGTCGGCGAAATGAGCGGCATCGTCGAAACGGACTCGGGCGTTCATCTTATCTATCGCACAGAGTAAAATCTCCCGTCTCTACCTCTTACCAAAACATACTCTTGAACAATGACGAGGGAAAAGGGTTGAATAACACGACACAGTAAATACTTCGTACGGAATGTATGTATGCTAAAGGTCTGGATGTCCCCGTGAGTGACTGCACAGTCTACAAGCTGTTGCCTCCCGGCAGCGTTTTTCCAATCTATAGTTGTGGTGGTAGCGATGCCATCATCTCCTCGTCGTAGGGAGCCGCATTGGCCTCGAGCATAATGCCCATCCTGACCTTTGCCGTATTCTTAAAATCGTCAGCGACCATAACCATTGAAAAAGGGTATAAAGGTACGTACCTTGAAATGGTCAATCTCTCCTGTAAAGAGGAGCGCAAAGTTGGGAGCAAGCCGCTGCCCAATAGCGCCGAGAGTTTACCTGTCGAGTCCAACTGAGCCTTGAACGAGCTCAATCGTAGATCCCACTTGGCTCCCACTGCGCCACGGCGTCTCTTCATGGGCGTCGCAATGAGCTGCAAGTCGGCCGCAACCTCGACTTGAGGGCTCAACTTGTGCCAATACGACGCTTGTAAAAGCCCGAGCGTGTGGAAGCTAGCCGTGGCAATCCAGTCGTTTTGTCGGCCAGTGTATTTGGCGTGCCAAGTCGTCAGCGTATCTGAACCGTCGGGTGCGCTTTGAAAGTTGGTCTCTATGCCGAGTGCGAGACGCTTGGAGACGGATTGCAAGAGACTTGCAGAGTAGATGCCCGAGCCGTCGATTGGCGATGGGTTGATGGCTTTGAGGTTTAGGCAATAGTCGACCCCAGAGTTTTCGTGCTCGAGCTGAAGAAAGCTTCGATCTGGTGCGCTACCAAGCTATGATTTGTATAAGAGAAGGGGAATCACAGACAGAGGCGATAGGCTGACCTGCAATTGGCCCTTTGTCGTGGGACGGCGTCCACTGGTGGGTCAAGCGTCCTCCGTTTCCTTCATGATCGACGTTTCTGTAGTAGATTCTGAGGCGAGTCAGCTACGGCCGAGAGAGGAAGAAAAAAGGAAGACGGACGTTGTCATCGATGAAATACGAAGAGAGCGTGTATGTCGGGTCCTGAGTCTGCGACGCGAGCGTAAAAGCATGCGAAATAGTGAACGCGGGTTTGTGAGAAAACGCTTTGGTGTAGTCGGCGCGTAGACCGTCGAACATGAAATTTGTGAGTTGCGTGGCTGCAAACGCGTCGCGGAGCACAAGATGAGCAATTTTACAAGCATTCAAAGGGACAAAAGCAGACATTTAATCTCTTTTTGCAGGTTCTCGACGCTCCCCGGGTTGGGGAGGTCGAGCGACGTGCGCCATGACCAAAATCGATTGTAAATGTTGATGGCGGGTGCAAAAGCAAAAGAAAGAGGACCAGGTGATTCGTCTGAAGATGTTGAGAGGGTCGAAATGGGGAAACCTGGCGATGCTGGTTTGGGAGGCAAGTTGAACGACATTTTGGTAGACTGCAAGGAGAGTTTGCTTTGGTTCTATCGACTAAACATGACGATTAGGCTGAAATGCAGGATATTCGGGTGTAGCATGTAGGATAATATCTACAACCACGGCATACTTGATATTGGACAAGCTGTGTGAGTAGGCTGTCTAATAGCTTCCACTGCCTCGGTCTGGTATAATAAAGTATACCCAAATCAATTACCCGAAACTCTCAAGCTGAAATAAGAATAATCCTTGCGACTTCTCAGGGCGCGTTATTGCCGAAGCTCGCCAATTTCCCAGCCGTCTCTTGGACCCGACCGACAAGCAGCTCGTTCAAGGCCTTTTGCTGTTCTCAAAAACGACAGCAGACGTCCTCTGCGACCTCTTGTTGGGCTCCCTGAAGCCCTCCAGGCCATCCCCGACCAGCTATCACCTTTATTTAGCCCTTCGCACGGCGCTGGGCCCACCGCCGGCATATCTACAGACTACAAACGATGCATATTCATCAGCCAAGACAGGATACAGTCGTCACCGTCTCTCAAACGGGCGCGACGACCCAACTCGGTGGCACATCCGTCCTCGCGGGAGAAACGCCCACAGCTTCCGTTTTTCAGACTGACCCAAACATTACGACGAGTGTCTCTTTCTCTCGTGTAAGTTTACAGTTTTCCTCGCAAGCTTGGCGTCGACGCTCATGATCGAATTTCTCGGAAAGTCTATCACTGGCTCGACCACCCCAACCAGATCCGTCGCCACTACTACGAGTTCAGCAACAACAGTCACAACTCAGCCAATTTCAGTCAGGACGCTCGTTGCAATCTGTGTAGGATGTGGGATACTACTCGCCGGCTTGGTCCTCTTCGTCATTTGGTTCGGCGCACGGTCGAGAAAGGGCAAGCAGGAGCAAGAGGGAGAAGTGGTGGCTCTCGATGTCTCCAAGGCCACCTCCGAATCGCATCTAAAGGCTGCCCCGCCACACGCGGGCTTCCAGAGCACCTATAGCGAATCGAGCTATTATTCACAAAGCACCGCCCGGAAACCTCTCCAGGGACAGCAACATTCTCGACGACCCACAATGGAGAGCTTAGATGCCGCCAAACAGGATCCGTATCACTATCGGGACGAACACAGTTTCCTACCCAAGCAAAACGTCTATACCCGCAACGACATGGCCCCGACTTCTCCGCGCAGTCCTACGGGCAATCCAGACTTTTCTAGTCCACAGCCTGCAAACTCGAGCGTTCACCAGTCGCCACGATCCACGTCCGCCCAAGCAATAACACGCCCATACGTGATTGGGTCCCATCCATTTGCCTCGCCGGGCCGGTCTACATCCCAAAGCCGACCGTCCATCGAGCACAATGGTAATTATACCGTCGCCACTGCCCCACCGTCTGCGAGTGACCGGGCGCACGACGGCAGTCTAGGGCTCAGCGGCCACAATACGTTTGCGGGCGCCGGCACGCGACCAGGTTACAACGCGTATGGGCTCGAGTCTCGACAAGCCATCACGAGCCTCAATACCCGTCCGAGCCTCGAGAGTATTCGGAGTGCCGCACGAAAGGCGAGCATTGACCAGACGGCCGTGTCAGCGGCGACGGAATTTGCCATGGGCGGTCCGACGGCTGTCGGGGGTCGTTCGCGGAATAACTCGACATCGAGTTCGCATCGTGCTGGTGGCTATTCGTATGCCGGAGGAACGAGTTCTCTCTACGGTGGCGGTGGGGGCTCGGTCCGGTCTGGAAAGGATGGCTCCAAGGAAAAGTATACAAAGGAGGAACGAGCCAAGGAGATGGCAGCGATGAACAGCCTTATTGCTGCACTAGACGAGAGCGCGGAAAAGGAGCGTAAACGCAAACTTAGTCTAGCTGAAGCAGCCGGGTTGGGCGATCAACCCTCGTCATCAAAGTCGGGTTCGGGCTCCATGAGAAGAAAGGATGTCGCTGTCACTGGTTCGTATCCGCTTCCACCGCCTGAAGTGTTCCGAGCGGCGCTCTCGACTGGTGTCACTTCGGACGACGATGTGGATGACGAAGAGATTGAGCGGTGGCGACGACGTTGATCCCCGCCTCTTTCATTCTACCGACGCTCTATGAGCGACGCATTTTCAGCATGCGATGGATACGGCTTTGCTGGTGGGCAGCAAGCAGCGTATTCATCTTGTATATCGCGAAACTCGGTCGCGGGTTTCGCAATACTGCTTCTTTACTTCGATAATCGCAACTTATCACTAGTTACTGTATAACCAACCATACCACGCACATCCTTCTCCTCAACCTCTTCTACTTATTCGATCAATTTCTTATTTTGTTCTCGGGAGGTTCGAAAATTGTTTCTTTGCTAGTACGTGACAACCAAATCTTGTTGTGCAATCTGGGCAATCGCGTTCGAGAGACACTGGACTATACTGGCTGAGCGATTACGGAGTTCGGTTCACTATGCGTCGAGGGGAATTGTTTATTCCCCCGTGTCGTCGACCTCGATACAGGCATCGGAATCGACGACGCGAATTGATATCCTTCGGCGTGCTGGAGTTGAATTCGTAGTCACGAACCTACAGACAAGTTTCAAACGAGTAACAGTGATATATCAAAGAATCGTCTCATTCAACTACTTCTATTCTTTGAAAAATTCTGACAGATGGGCAGGTGTTTCCCGCGCCACACGCATATAGCACGTCCATTGCTGTAATGGTCCCCTTGGGTCAATGCTGAGATGATCGGGAAGTGGATCACGCATTGGGGACTGGATTCTGTGCCATTTGAATAAGTATTGCAACGGTTTTGTTCCAGACAGCCCTTGACAATTATAGCCAAGGCCGCTCTTGACCAGGGTCTGGTTAATCCTCCGTTTCTGGAACTTGTCAAGTATCTTGTCCAAGTCGTTCCGTCCCACCACTCCGCAGAATTCGGCATGTCGCTCTGGATTGCTTTTCTCGGGGTTTTGGCCTGTCCGTCTCGAGATCCCATTTCCGCAAAACAGCTTCCACGATGTTTTCCGAATTCTCCTAAAGCATCTAGTAGTGAAAAACTTTAGCAAGTAGACTAGCCAAGCAAAGTGTAAGCCAATATGGGTCCACTCTGTCGATGGCCATCTTGAGCAGTTCTTTGCGCCTGGAAGATCCTAGGGGTTCCCAAATCGGCCCGTCTGGTACCATGAGGGCGATCAAGTCATGCCGAGAGATTTCCTCTATATTATGTCTCAGTCTTCGTCCCATTGCTGTAGTGGATACCAAACTGGCGGACTTGAGTCGTTCATACTCTTGTGAGTTTAGTGGAAGCAGTGACCATATTGGGCCAGTTCAAACTGGAAGGGTATTATCCCAAATTGCTAACTAGGAAGAAATGGCGCACCAGAGTGACATGTCTAGGGCAACTCCCATCGAGGACATTCCACCACTCGGCTTGCATCATCTCTTGTCGATCCGGCCAAAACACCTTTTTTAGAGATGGTTAGTCAATTTGCTTCAGGCCACTTCCCAAAACGCACAGACTTCCACCTAACATCGAAGGAAAAGAGTACCTATGCCGAAGCGCAGAGGCGAGGGCTGCCCATCAAAGAACCAGTTGTAGTAGTCCACTGGAATGATTGCCTGGCTGACCAATTCTGGATCCATCTTCTCCTGAAGTGATGCGCGATGATTCAACGGAAGTAAATCTGACGCTTTGCTAAATGTACAGGAATACAATCGACTGCATGTTGATCCACGATCGCTATTGTTTCATGAAACTGAGCATAAGAATAGAGGAGTCACAAACATTATGTCATTTATTGTGGTGATCATGATTGCTTTCGTGTCCTCCAGGGACGAATGGTGAGATTCCATGAGTCGCTGTGCAGTTCTCGATCTCGGATAGAAATGGAGGCAAAGTATAACGTACGGGTAGCTCGTCTTCACAGCACTGCCGCAGAGACCCCGCAGATATGCGCTGATGATGTACGCTTAGGCGGTATTCGAGTTCTCGACATCTGCTCATGCTTGTCATTATGACTAGGCATAACTACCTAATAATGACATTCGCCATTCAAAGGGCAACTTCCACTGCATGCTTAACCATTCCTTTATCTCGTTCTCTGAACCGCTAGCTTTGTATATTTGCTTTCATGTGTTGTATATGCATGATAGCCCATCAACACTTCCTCCTTGTTAAATAGATGGATCTCTTTTGCACTACTATTAGCGTACAACACTTTCTCCAATCTTGCTCTGGGAATCCACACAATTAGTCTACGGATCCTAACAAAACTAGGCGTACCGCTCGCGCATGAGAACGTGGGCAAGTGCCTGGTCCGCATCTTGAGACATCAGCAGTTCTACTGTGCCCCAATTTCTGGTAAACGGATACTCATGGTCGTGGTAAAGAGTCAAGCAAGTCATCAGCCTCCACCACAGCTCCTGCAAGAAGGTACATATACGGAGGACAGATGCGGTACTTTCATTTGAAGGATGAGACCCGTGTACTTGCATATAAATGCTATCTATACATGCAGAAGAAGGGCAATGGACGAAGAAAGTGGTCATTACACGTGTTTGGGCTGCCTACTCGGACAAAAATACAGGCTTGACTTGGAAACCTCGTGGAAGATCGTGACAATTCATGACAATCTGCGACAATTCGTGACAATCCGTGACTATTCGTGACACAGGTATGAGTGACTGTTCACCTCGTGAAGATTCGTGACGATTCAGGACAATGTTCGTGACAATTCGTATCATTTGCTGGCTCACTTAGGCTCAACACAGAGTTGATGGGGCATTGAAGGTTTCATCCAATACATTGTTCCTCTATACTATGTGGCTCATCTCCCATGAAAGCTTGCCAGTCTCTCGTCATACTTGATAATTTGACGTATCATTTTTGGTTACTTTCCTTTGGGCTTTGGCTTGTCGTTTTCAATATCCCATTTCCTTATGAAAGCAGCCACAATGTCCTCAGAATCCTGATCAGGCATCAATTATCGAATCAGATTGAGCAAGTAGACTCGATACTCACCTCACGGAACGTGAGCCACCGTGGATCCACTTTTCCAATGGCCATCTTGAGAAGTTCCTTGCGCCTCGGAGATCCTAGGGGTTCCCAGACTGATGAATCCGGCTTTGAAAATGCGGTTAATTCACGCCGAGATATGTTCGCTATACCAAGTTTAGGCTTTGTTCAATTTACTGTAAAGAATACCAAGCTGATAGATTTTCGATTTCCGGTGATTGTTTTAAAGAGTTGAAACTCTCGCGAGTTGAAGGGAAGAAGGGGGCCGTATTGCACAATTTCAAACTGGAGATGTATTACCACCAACTATGGACCAAGAAGAAGGAACGCACCAGAGTGACAGCTTCAGAAGAGACCCACGTGAAGTCGTTACTCCGTTCGGCTTGCAATAACTCTTGTGGATCCGGCTCACGCAACTTTCGCAGAGATGGTCAGTCAATTGGTTCATGCAAATCTTTAGGACACACAGAATAAGGCGCCGGGAAAGTGAGAGAAAGAGTGCCTGTGCCAAAATGCAGAGGCAAGCTCCGTCCTTCGAAGAAATGGTTGTAATAGGCCACCGGGACGAGTGCCTCGCTGACTAGTTCTAGATCCATCTTTCCTTGGATTGATGCACGGTAGTTTAATGGGAGTAAATCGGATGCTCTACCAAGCGCGCGGGAATAAATCCGACTACATGTTGATGCACGATCGCTACATTTGATGAGACTGCGTCATGGAAAGAGAATTTACAAACATTATGGTATTTATTGTGTTGATCATGATTGCTTTCGTGTCCTCTAGGGCCGAATGGAGAGATTCCACCAGTGGCTGAGCAAACCTCAGATAGAACTAGAGTCGAAAAGTCGCTTACGGTGACCTACCGGTAATTTGACTTCATACCACCCCTTCAGGTTCCTCGCGGATGTGCGTTGATGGTGCACACTTAGGCGATATTCGAGTTCTCGATATCTGGTTATGCTTGTCATATCTTGGTGATTGGGCAACACTCACCCACAAATGGCATTCGCATCCCCTCGGGCGACTTTTGGTGCCACTGTTTGTTCCACCACTCTTTGAGTTCACCCGTAGAAGCCAATAGCCTTGTATATTTGTCGTCGTGTGTCGCGTGTGCATTATACAGCACCTGTGCGAGTTCCGAACAGACCGACAGCTCCTGAATAGTCTCTTAGTCGTGATTTTTGGTAATTGGGTATTGCACCTTCTCCTCTAACGCGATGTGCTCGGGCATGTTCGGATTGGGACCCGAGCGAACCTCGATTTCTAGACAGATGTTTTACGCACTTTTGGATACCAATTAGCCCTCTCACCTTGTTCGAATGCATCGATGAGCACCTTTGAGTACTGCCTGTTTTCGCCTTCAGCCCGTGGTTTGTGTTTTTGGACCAATGCGCGTAGGCCATTAACGCTTTATCTCTCTTAAATAGATGTATAGTGAACAAAATATGAGTGACGTACAATTCTTGCTCCAGTCTTGCTCTGGATATTCACCTATTAATGCGATACTAATCACAATAGAACTCGGCGTACCGCTCCCGCATGAGCTCGCAAACGAGTGATAGATCTGAATTTTGAGCCCTCATCAGCTCCGTCGTACTTCCAATCTCTGGCCACCGGGTATTATTCATGGTCGTGGTAGAGGTTTAAGCATGTTGTCGGCCTCCGCAGCAGCTGAAGGGATAGGCGCGGTACTCTCACACACAAGCTTGAATGATCGAGAGAAAAGATATATTACACGGGGACTAGATATAGATATAAACGAACAGCCAAGTCATTGACAAGATGCAGAGTACGAGTGGAATAGAGGTGATGGAAAGGAAACACGACGTGTTAGGTTCTTTAGTTTGGCTTTCATTAATAGGTGGCTTTGTTGGTTCAGAATCCTATTTCCGCTTAAAAGTTCTGTTGATTAATTGACTCAATTGCGGATCAACAATGCACCTGTTAGGCACCATGGACTGGAAAGATTCTGCCAATAATTGTCTCGAACAGTACTATATGCCTCATAGGCCCCAGTCAATTTCACCTGGGATTATCTGACTTCGCTCGAGCGCTCGGCGAGCTAGGTTCGATAACCTTTCAGGTGCCAACAACATATTGTATCATATAGAGTGAACGTGGTTGCATTTACGTTCTTAAATGGATAGTCCAAGCTATCGTATGGTCTCGTACATCTTAAACTCGGGACTGACAAACGGAAAGACTTCAGTGTCATCCAACAGTGGCTCCCTGTCAGTGGATCAGTTGCAATTACGCGCGAGCATGGATCATGAGTAAACCTACTCCAGTGGTCCGACAATCTTGAGACCACGGATATGTGTGTCTTTGCCGTTCATGTAGTTTGAAATAATGACCAATTGAACGACATACGCGTACAGCGGTTTACTATTCTCGCATAGGAGTCGGGAGCAAAGCTGGTGAGAACAAAACTCGACAAGGGGAAAAGGAGCTGCTCACAAAGTCTGACCGTCCTCTGCCAAATCGTTCGTCACATCAAATGCAACCCATCCACTCGGCTTGTCAAAGTTGACTTGTCGGACATCTTGCAAGTCACGTAAGCTTGTTCCGGCGCGGATGCCGATGATCTCTGGCGTGTACGAGTCGTCCTTTTTCTGATCCAGATGAACTATGATCTTCTATTTTTCATCATGAGAGCATGTAAGCGATAGTTATGCCCGTACTTGGACAGCGACGCGTTTCGGAAACTCCAGCGTAATCGAGTGTGGCTGATTGCCTTCAGAGCTACACTGAGTCAGAATATGAAATCACAAAAGAGAAGTGACCTACTGCCAGAACGTATCCGGATTGTTATCTCGCAAGCATTCGAGTCCAAAGCCGTACTTCCAGCTTGAGACAGACCATCGCGCGAGGTTCCCAATGTCTGGATAGACAGCCCATGCTTGTTCTGACGCCCCTGGGTTTATATGTCCGCGCTGCATTTGTCAAAGCTGGTCCTCATCAGGTCTAAGTTAAAGCCGACACCACAAAGTGTCTTACAATTGTTATCATCACTGAATCAATATACATGAAACAGTTTATAGCGTAAAGCAAAGTTTCCTGGGTGAAAACGCAACTTGGACCCGACGGATGTCGACCCTCAAAAATATTGCAGAGTGTCAAGCGCTGTTTCCTGCTCAAGTACAGTCTCTACAACCGTCATTACCTCGTAGTGGCCGCTGTTATCTTTCAAAGTCATCAGCTGCGGATACATAGATTATAAACCAAGGTGTAGCATGCGAATCAGCGCGACAATGCCTCTTACTGCGGTAAATTGGGCCGGAGGTTACTGCTTGAATGATCACTCCCAGCCTTAGCCTCGCCCTCAGGCTTCCCGAGCTTCCCATCTCCGGGCATAAATAGGTCGAGATGGTTTGCTGGTCGATAATCCAACTTCTACAGCTCTTCGATTTCTTTTCAAACCCATTCTAACACTCAATACCATGCCATCGCCTTCCACTATCAAGGCCTTCAACGAGGCGGTCACCTTTTGGCTACATTCCTACGGCCGTGTTCGCGGGAGGAACTTCTGGGATTGGTCAGACTATGGCAAAACTCTTAGCGACCTATACCAACGGAAGAGCGAACATTGTCATCGTCGGACGAAACCAGGCCGCTGCAGACCGCATCGTTGCATCTTTCCCCGAGCCATCCTCTCCGAACGAGACAAATAGCATCACAGTCAAACACGAGTTCATCCAGTGCGATGTGTCGTTCATATCCAACGTGCGAGTTGCCGTCGAAGAGATCAAGAAGCGGTACAGCAAGATCAATATGCTCGTATGCAGTGCCGGGGCTCTTGCAATGTCGCAAAAGATAACAACCGAAGGACTTGACGAGTCGCATGTGCTCCGGACATACGCCCGCACCAAGTTCATTTACGAACTTCAGCCACTGCTCTCCAATGACAGGGCTGCCGGTGAGGATGCACGAGCAATGATTATCCTCAATGCCGCCACGAGCAACAAGGTCGACCTCGAAGATCTGGACATCAAGAAATTCTCTATGATAAGCGTGAACAAAACAACCGCGTCGTATAATGACGTCTTCGTCAAAGTCAGACTTCATTATCCATTCACAGGGATATCTCACTAATGAGCTTTCTAGGTCATGGGCGAACGCCATCCGGACTTGGCGTTTATCCACATCTTTCCTGGAGGTACTGACATGCCAGGTCTGCATAAAACGTGGTACCTGAGTCTTGCGGCTACTCTCGCAAAACCTCTACTTCGGAGACTGGAAGATGCCGCGTCTTCGATGCTTTATCCGTTGCTTCACCCGTACTATAGTCAGGGAGGCTTTTGGCTTACGAAGGATGCGGACAAGCTCACACTGGGGAACAGCATCAACGACAAGGTGACAGAGAAGGTTTGGGATCATATTGTCTCTCGCGCACAACTCGAGTAAAGGAAACGTTTCAAGGAGTTCGCCGTCTATCCATAAGTTATTTGCATCTATTTTGAATCATATCACCTTTCGCTGAAACCGCGAGCTGAGTGCTGACTGGAATGCCACCACCGAAGGGGTGTGGTCGAGTTTTGTCCCAACAAAGCAATCCATGGTAATGCGATATACGAGGTTCAGTGATGGTTTGGATAATATAGTTCACCCTGGGACTATGTCGTACGCTCACTTGCTGAAGTCAACCAATATTAGATTGATGACCTTTCCCCTCGCCTTAGTCACCGCCAAGCCTGATCTGACTCGGACGAGTGGCGCTGGGCCCATTGGTCGAAACTCACCTTGGAGAGTAGCCACGTCTAGCCATACCGGGGCTCGACTCGCATTCGCAGATGCACGACTTTGGTGGAGAAGCCCTCGCATCCTTGAGCACCGAAGACGTCGACTTCATCAAAGCGTTGCCCAAAGCAGAGTTACACGCCCACCTCAACGGATGTATACCTCTGGAATGCCTCCAAGAGCTAGTAAACCAACATCCTGAGATCACGAGTGGTTCAGACGGCGCAGTAGCAAAAGGGCTCAAGATTCTGGAACAAGGGGTTGTATTGAACGAGATCAACGAGTTCTTTGATCTCTTCCCGGCGATATATGCAATTACTTCCACTCCGGATGCTCTCAAGAAGGCAACGCGTGCAACTATTGCACAGTTTCTTGAGCCTGGGTCGTTGGGTGCAGGCGAACCTGCCCAGTGCACATATCTCGAGCTGCGCACGACTCCGCGCGAGAGCTCCTTTATGAGCAAGCGGGAGTACCTGGAGACTGTTCTCGACGAGGTGGAGAAGTACGACAAAGATAAGTGTAATCTTATCATCAGCCTGGATCGAAGAATGTCGCCAGGTATCATGATGGAGAACGTGAAGCTCGCAATATCATTGAGAGAAGCTGGCCGCAGAGTGGTTGGAGTTGACCTATGTGGTACCCCGATGGTAAGTGCTTTTGAAAGGGTCAAGCGTTGCTCATATTCCCAGGCTGGGAAGGCAGATGACTTTCTGGCCGCATTCGAATACGCTAGGGAGAACGGGCTCAAGCTCACGCTGCATATTGCCGAGGTAAGCTACCTTATTGCTCGCTTATGACTCTGAGTACGGCCACAGACAAAGGAAAACACAGAGGAAGACACAATGACTTTACTCTCCGCAAAGCCCGCACGCCTGGGTCATGCCACCTTTCTGCACGAGGAATCACTTTCAGTCGTCCTCAATCACAAGGAGACCATGGCAGTGGAGATCTGTCTGTCGTCCAATCTGCTGTGCAAGACAGTCGAGACAATAGCGGAACATCACATTTCATGGTGGTTGAGTAACGGGCTCCCAATTGCCATATGCGTACGTTATCCTGATCTATATCGCGCCATCTCATCATCTCCATTAGACGGATGATACCTTGGTTTTCCGCAATTCGCTGGTCGAGGAGTATGCCCTCCTTCTCGCGGCACCGCCATTGGGGCTTGGACTACCACGCGAAACGGTGGCTCAGATGGCTCGAATGAGTCTACAAGTAGGGTTCCATCAATGATATACATACAACAAAATGGATAAAGAAAATGCACAGCGGAAGGAGTAAAGGAATAAACGTAAGTGGTATCCCTCATGGAGAGGACGTCTTCTGAGACTCGGATAGTTTTGGATTCGAAGGGAAGCTGATCGTCAATTGACTGCGCTTCAGAGTGGCCCGGACATCCTCGTATTTGGTCCCTTCTGGTACACTATTCGAACATCAATATCACACACTATCTCTACTCCAAGAATAACTCACATGATGGTCTGAGTGTACCGCTTCTCCTTCTTCTCCCTCACCATCGAGTCGCGCAGAATTTGCTCCGTCACCGTCGCCGTTCGCCAAGTCACCACGAGATGGCTATGATGAAAGTCGACGTTGATAGAGTCTTTGAGAATATCCGGTACGTCGATCACGGTTGTCGTAGAGCCATCAGGGGTCGTCTGCATCTGCACTCTACACATCCAGCCAAAACATCAGCACTCCCCTTTCTTTCGGAAAAATGAAATGTACTTACCGAGGCTTGGTCTTTGTCCTCTTCACACGCGGTACACTCCCCGCAGATGAGATCGTCCGCCTCGACGAAATCTGATTTGACATGACCCGCGGGCGCTTCGGAAATACGACCGACTTTGGCGGTACAGACGACGACAAGACGCTACTCGCCTTGGTCTCTGAACGCAAACTATCCGACGACTCTTTACGTCCAACCTTGGGAAAGGTGGTCGGGAATGCGAGTGGCGTATAGATCTTTGGGATCTCCTCTTCGCTGATGAACCCCGCAAACGAATCTGCATCCAACGACGCGTCGGATAAGATGGGCTCTGGACTCGCCGCGCGCGGAATGGTCGAGAACACGGTGTTCGTCGACGCGAGACTATCCTCGCGCTTGTGCTTTTCCTTTTCGTCTACGCTCGAGACGACGCCGAGACCATCATGACTAACGCTGGATTTGGCAGGGACACCGGATGGGTTAAAGGCCTCGTTGAAGATGCGGTCAAACTCTTCCCAGCTGATGATGGGCTTGTCGAGGGCTGAGCGGAGCATTCTGGTCGTGTGAGAGAGGTATGTAGAGGTGCGACGAGATCAGGACGCGATGGTAGATCGAGATGTCCCTCGAAGCGCGGTTATATCGACAACACGAGCGGCGCAGCGCACAAACCTCGTGGCCTGCGGCTGGCCATCTCGCGCATTCCAGAGCGCACCTGTTATGATATCACATAGCGCTGGCTGTTCATGTCATGCTCGTTCATTGATATTTTCCCTCAAAGCGATGCAGTCAAGCTGTTTGGGGCGAATAGAAAATAATTGTCTTCGTTACATAGGTATATTCAAAGTTGGCTTTGTCTATTGGAGATAATGATCGTTGAAGTGGTACAAACGCACAGACGAGTGACGAGATTGGAGTTCGTAAGGGATCGACTCGAGAAAGATTGCATCCGGTGAGATCCAGTAGGAGGGGGTTAAGACGTTAATCCAGATAGACGATTGTCTTTAATCACGGAGAGACGAGAAGGGCACCGAGTGCAGTCTGTTGCGAGACTTGCATCCTAGTGCATGGAGCCATGTTGAACTTTGGTACAACACTGGTCAATTTTTAAATGACGCGAATAAGAATTTTTTGTGCGGGGTTTGCCGTCGCAAGCGCCTTTTGCCACTCAACCTCGCTGTCGAGGTCCACCATTTGGGCAATGTCCGCCGCAGACGCAATGGACATGGAGCGTTGCCGACCAACAAACGGAGCCGAGTCTCCACTCCGAGTTGACGGGAGATACTTGAGCGAAACGCTTTCCAGGCTTTCGCCCGGGATACCCGCCTCGCGGAGCTTGCGCAGAGTCTTGGCACGCAAGTCGCTAAGAGATGTGTCCCCCTTGGTAATCTTGAAGAGCACAATCGTCTCCGACTGCGCGTGAACGGCCTTGATGGGGACCATTCCCGAAACAGTTTGCGACGACGTGCGTGGGGCCAGAGTAGGCACGTTGTTGTGCGCCGTCAAATCCAAAAATGTGGTCGAAAATGGCGTGGGCGGCAGAGACATGGCCTCAAAGTCGCTTGGAGGATGATCCGCAGCACCCGGTCGTTCCTGTGCTGGCACACCTGGGACGTATGGCCGTTCAGGAAGCGATTGGTAATACTGTGCAATATTGGAAAACGTCGACATGTTCGAGTCGCGCGTATTCCTGTTGCTCATCGCAAACGGCGCGACAGGTGGGTCAAGCGTCGTGGGCTGAAGTTGCGGCGTCAGGAAATAGCTATCGATAAACTCATGCGACTCTTGCTTGTGCAAATTGTTGAAAGGAGTCTGCGGACGCGAGCCACTCGAATCGCCATTGCTCGTCTCTTCCAATCGCTGCAACACACCCGTAGCAAACTGGCTCGAATTGCGAAGCGCGGATCTTGGTGGGCGAGGAGGCGGAGGGGTCGTCTTGGAGACAATGATGGCCTTGGTGGGTGGATGCAGACGCGAAGGTGCGGGCGCGTGGATGGATGATGCGGATGATAGAGCACCCGAGTCCTCGTTTAGCCCAGTACTATCCGTATCCTGGCTCGAATACGACCCTCGTCCGCCACCCACACCGATTGCAATATTTGCAGCTCCAAACGTTCGTGGTGTAGGCGTAGCCGAGGCTGGTCCATTCCCGTTGACAGCATTATGCGCTGCAAATACGGCATCCGACGACTTATTCTTAAGCGAATAGTGATTTTGGGTGTTGGATAGGTTCCTCGACAGGTACGGCAATTCGACATCACTCATCATGAGCGAATCGAGCGACAAGCGACGCTGCTGCTGATCTCCCAATGAGCTCATCGACGCTCGTGACCGAAAGCGAGAGGCGGGCATTGCCGTAGGAGAAAGCGGCGAGGCCTGAGAGAAGGACGAGGAGCTGGCATTCGACGAGAGGGTGGGAATAGACGCTCCCGAGATGATGGACAGGTTATACGCGCGCTCCTCTGCACTCCGTCCTGATCTTAGGTCCACGTTCGCATTCGTTGGCGGAAGTGGCGCGGTGGGAGGCGGACGCATTATTGGTTGTTTCCCAGGCGGTGGTCGGCCAATAAGGCGCGTATTCTGAACCGACCTCTCTCTTGCGATTTGCCCAAATTGGCCCTCGTCACTCTCATGAGAATGTGTCGAATTTTTGCGCACCCGGCCCATTTCGGGGTCCAACGTGAGTGAGCCCATGCCCGCCGAGATGGGAGACCGAGGAGGCGGTCCATTGGCGACATCAACGAGAAGATTTCCATTTGGATCATCTACGAAGAAACGCGCACTCCTGTTTCCGCTGTCCTGGATGGGGGGTGTCTTGCGGGCGCGTGGGATGACCTGAGAAGTGTCATGACCGATAGACGGGGACCGTCCAAATTGCAATAGTGATGGTGACGATTGCATAGCCTGACCTTGAGAGGCCAGGGTTTGATACATCTCTGGGTCCAACACAGCCAACGAGTCGAGTCTCCTTCGACCAGCCGCCGGAACAGCGACACCAGGTGAGCCAGGCGACTCGGGAGGATGATCAAATGGAAACGATGTAAGTGGCTTGAGAGCATCCCCCGCAAGTCCGCCTTCGACAGAGGGACTCTCCCTTAGCGTGGCTTTTCGAGGCAACCCTGGCAGCGAGGGTTGTCTTTGTGCAAGACGATGAATGGGCATTGGTTGCAACCCTCCACCGCTGAAACCTTGCCAGTTGTCCTGAAGCCGATGCGGGGAAGCATAGTCCCGAGTTCTCGCCCGCTCTCCTCCGGTTGCCGTCGATGGTCTCGCAAGCTCTGGACTGGACCCCTTTCGAAGTGGGGGACGAGATAATCCTCCCCATTGTGACGATGGATCTTCCCTAGCCAAGGGGCGTAGCATTAATCCCTCTCGTGCGCGGAGTCCCGCATCGGAAACAGGATCCAATGGATCTACAGGCTGATTAGGGACGGGTAGCGTTTGACTTCGGGAAAACCGCGAAGCTGCCGCGGGTATCGAGTTGGCCGCATTAACTGCAGGTGTGGATGGTCCAGGAGCGGCGTCAGAGGTTGCCAAGAATAGGGATGCCGGTGGTCTGTTGGATGGATATAATTCGACATTTGCCGTGCTCGGTCGTATGTTACCGCGTGGAGTCGCATATGAATTCCTTCCTGCAGGCTTGGGTGATTTCGGAACTGAAGTGACCGGGGTGTGCAGGAAATCTGCTAAATGGTTCAATGTCGGTGATCTTTGAGGAGTCGACTGCGCTGGACCCGACTTGGGAGCGAGTACGGGGGCCGGCGGCGGGGGAGTATTGACCACAGGCACGACGGTGGGTGCAGTTGGGGCCCCGGGTAAAGGCGGAGAGGTAATGGAGGCTGTCTTTGCGCTCCTGCGCTCGGCTTCCTTGTCCCTTCGCCATAAGGCAAAAAAGTCCCGGACAATAGGTACCGTCCGCAACTCGCGAATGGTCGAGTGGGCGTCCTCGTCGAGCAACGCGTTGATCATTGCCTTGAACTCTTCACCGCGTTGAGAGACGGTGCTGTGATTGGCACGAAAGAGATTGGACTTTTTGGTCAACTTGGGAATGTACTCGTGCACGTCGAGAGCGATCGAACTGGGATCAGGGCCGGCCTATTGGCAGGCTGAATGAGTACCATACGGCCAACACAACAAGGACGTGTACAAACCGGTAGAGAGTCAAAAGAGGCGGCCCGTTGAGCTGGGTAAAGGGTGTTTTTGGCATGGTGATCCAAAGCAGGCTGACCCTTTCGTCGTCGCTGGGCGATGAACTGATATTCGCCCTCGAGCGTGCGCTGAAAGTCTAGACAGTCATCCCAACGGCGGAATATCTAATAGGCGATGAGGCATAAGCGAAATTAATGGCAGAAGAATAAGCGACGCACGTCGTATTCCTTGTACTTGGAAGACTTGGTCGAGCGCACCGACTTTGCGCTAGACTCTACAGGGCTTGTGGGTACATCTGTGGGTATAATTCGCATCCCATAATGATAGTTTGTGCCTTGTTTGCGGGGTGGATAGAGAGAGACGGTGAAGCTTGTCGGGGTTGGGCGAATAACGGCCTTTCTATATGACTGGGAGATTGCAGGATTGTCGAGTGTACCCTATAAGACCCTATAAGCACGCAGAATACTGTAGGTTTGTAGAGGAAGCGGCGCACTAGAAAGGCCTCTGAGATTGGGAGTGGAAAGTCGGCCATGGCAACGAATCGCTATAGTACAGATGATCCAGAGAGCTCAGCTCTCGGAGGAAGAAGCCGTCTCGAGCGTGCTGGAACGCAGACGTAAGCAGACCGAGATGGAGTTGGAAACCAAGTTTCATGGACGCAGCCTCAGCTCAGTTCCCTGACACGGTAACCGCGACCCGTCCAAAAATTCTCAAAAAATAGTCAATAATTCACATTCGCATGCCAAATGTCTGCTGAGGACGCCTCTTGGATGTTCGTTTTGTCGAGCCACGCTCCCTGTCTGCAACTCGCTGAACGGGCTCAATGTTCGTAATGGCCACTAACGGCGACCATATGGAGAATCCAGGAGCGAATATTCGGCAATTATTTACTGTATACAGCCCTGTCTCTGTGCCTCCGATAAGTCTTCGCAAGGACCAGGGGCAGCCGTGCCGTGCTCGCTACCAAAACATTGCACATTGTTAAAAATACCGTTCATATGGCCTCTTCCTTGCGGTGATAACGCCTAGGGATTGCGACATGCGCTTGCTCCTCCCTATCCGCGTGGACCGCCAACCGCGATTCAGTGGCTGCCCCCAACTTCATCTCAGACGCGTTATCTCGGTCTGCGCAAACTCGACAATATCGTCCTGTCCCGTTTCCTCTCCGGAGAACCGTTCGGGGGCATACGAGCATGCTTGACTACGCCCGGACTCTGTGCTCTTCAACTCGCCGAATGTCAAATCCAACTCGCTCCGTCTTGAAACTTGGACTTCTCCCCTCCCGCTGGAAAATATGCGGAGCATTGGCCCATGGCTCCTCAAACCCCTTCGCACACCAGGTCGCATGGGTGGGAATATGCTTTCCTTTACAAACAGGCTTTCTGCGGCTATCCCCGGACGAGATCCATTCGTTCAGACCTAGAGGTTTCTCCGCAGCCGTAATGAAACTTTGATCATCCTCTCCGGAGAAACTCGCGTTCCCTCCCTCTCGTATTCAAAACCTGAGATATTCCGTGGGTTGATCCGCATAGCTTGTCCACGTACCCTGCTTGCTTGACTCACTTTTGGCGAAGCGTACCCAAAGGTAAGACCTCAATCAACAGAGAATGACCACAGCTTCGTTGCAGGGTAGATTACCTCTTTACCCACCAAGCGACATCGAAGATCGTCAACCTGTCAATCTCGACGGCAGTGCCCCCTCCACCTAAGTCAAAGAACGCTTGAGCATTCGAGCAACCTCCTCTTTCCCACAATCTTTACTGAGTTACATGCTAACATTTTCGTACAACTTTCATAGTCAATATACCTGTTCAAATAACACTTGAACTCATCGTCGACTGACTATGCAACAGGCCGAGACAAAGGTTAGCTTTGAAAAGGAATTTTCACATTTAAACCTGCACGATTCAACACGACACGCGCTCCAACGACTGTACAGCTATGCACCTTCGCCGGAAGAACATGCCGTGCTCGACAGACTGTAATGCCAGCCCTCTTCTTTGGCACATAACACGCGTATAACATTGAATACAACCTAGGCATCAATACCCGAGTCAGAAAACAGCCGCAGTTCTTGTTCTCTTATATGAACATAATGAAATACTGCGTGTCCTTTTGACCACACGGTCAATGGCCCTCAGAAGTCATCCAGGACAAGTATGTATTCAACACTTCTTCATTAGTCAAATTTTGAATGTCAACAGACCGCGTTCCCTGGCGGAAAATGCGATCCCCAAGACGCGAATGTGAAGGAAACTGCGGTATAATCCACGCTTCAACACACGTCTAAACGCTCATTCAGCACTAGCTACGCGAAGCGCATGAAGAGTGCGGCTTGGATCCAAAATCACCAGCTCTACATTACATCGGCCAGCTTCCACCGTATCTCTCTCAGGTAAGTTAGTCACTATGATGAAGACTAGACCACTAAATCATGGAAAGTGGAAGCTCGTTGTCACACCCGTGCTATTCTTTTTAGATGATCCTTCAGTTCTAGCCTCACTCGTACCATGCACACAAGAAGTTGATCGCATCTTCACCCACCCTCTCCAAGCAATCTTAGACCCAGAGCTTGCATCAGACGAAGTCCTCAGTCGAAAAGGAAGCGACGACTGGCCTTATGAGGAAGAGCTCTATGCAAGTCGAAATCTCCTCGCCCTCGGTAAAGGCTAACACAGGATTAGAACACTAGTGACAGTACATGGACTCAAATACGTGGCAGTCTTTATCGAATGCATAGATTTCGTTCCGCAGCGAGCCCAATCAAGGGTCTGACTTCTGACGTCTTGGTATGTGCTCATTACGCATGAATTGTAAGGCTGATGAGCTCGTAGATCCGAGTGGCACAGATAGCCTACGAAGCGGAGCCGACGTATCAACGATATGGGCCAGGCCAACCCACCCATACGCAATTTGTCGCATGGGCACTCGAAGACTTGTCCTCGGATACAACTACGCGTATTGAAGTGAATGGGACGATGGAATCAACCGCGTATGCCTCGCGGGAAGTCGATGGAGCTCAATAATTTTTACGATATCCCCTCGCGCTCGTAATATCTATATTAGAGTACATACATATAATAGCCTAAACGGTGATTGGCTCATCAAGGGGAACGCCGTATTGTCGTGGTGGGTGGACACCCGCATGAGGTGCACCGACACGTAATGGCGCACGCGTCCAATCTGGGAGCACAAAGTTATTCTCCCGTGTAGCGAGTCCATGGAGAGGCGTCTCTGGTTCCTCGATAACCACAGAGGCTTCGTCCCACTTGTCGTGCAATATCTCTTGTCCGCCTGTCTTGAGTGCTCTACCAATCCACTAGTCAGCCAATGATAGACACAAAACAAAATGATAAGTTGACGTACCCAGCTATTGAACCTCCTACCCACGACATGCAAAGCGGCGCAAAAGCAGGCGCACTTCCAGCGGTACGTGCACGAGATGGAACAGGGGAAGGATTATTGAGAATGGCCACATGATCTACTAATGCGCGTAGAGGTTCATAGGGATCATACGCTCGCCGTTTTGGACTTCGTACTGAGGCTGTCGGTGTGACCTTGGTGAGCGTTCGTACAATCTCGTCATGCAGTCGTGGTATGAAGCCAGGCATCATCGCCGTTCCTCCTATCACTACAATGGTCGAAATGAGATCCTTTCTCAGGTCAACTGGGGTCTTGACGGACGACATGAGCACATCTCCAAAGCCTATCCAAGAACATACCTTGAGTAGTGATTGTAGTACGACTTCAGCAACACTTGCTTCATCCACATCTCCAGCTTCAAACAGTAGCTCTGCAGCTCGCTCGCGAACCCATCCAGGTACACGAATGCTTCCCCTTCCAGTTCCGGACAGTGGTGGTGGAGGCTTGACCGGGACCAAAAAGTCTACAGCCGAAGAATCTCGCTGATAACGAGTAGCCCAGCTTGCAGAAGATCCTGCCTGCGATTGTCGTACGGGTGTCTGCGTCCCACTGTTTGGACCACTTCGCAATGGCGTGTGTGGTTGAGATTCTGGATCGACCGACATTCGATCTTCGGTGCGAGGCGAGGGCATGTCTGTGTCAATGCCCATTGTGTCGGGAGCACCTGACGGGCTTTGGCTCATGACCCGTCCCACAAAGCAACAGCTCGTCTTGATGTCTTCAATGATGGCATCGGTCAGAATTTCCGGGGGTATACGTGTAGGTCGTGGTGCAGTATTCGCCGAGCCTGCGAGGGTAGCAAAGGGAGGATGAAAAGTGCCGAATTCAAGTATCAGTGCACGGAGGTGTTGGGTGAGTCGTGCGCCTGCTCGGGGCGTCGTCTTGATTAATGGGTACATGGGTCGAGATGAGGATATCTACCCAAGGGATTAGATGCTTACTTCTGTCTTCGTATCGACGTACAGGGAGTGCGTAGGTCTCTAGATGACCGGAATCCACTACGAGGCCGCTCGTCCGTCCGACAGCTATAAGCGCGAGCAGAGAACTCGATGCAAACGACAAAGATGGGATCTAAGTGCGAGTGAGTACCGAATCAAAATGCATAGTTGACTCACATTGAGGTTGTCGAATAGAATTTTGGCGAGCAAATCCTTGACTCGCAATGGAAGTAACGGATGCTCGACGATAATCACTTTCCTCGACTTTGGATCGGTCATAAGTGACCTACAGAGCGTCAGATCATACGCAAACACGACACCCACCAAACTCACTCAAAAAACACGCTCCTTAGCGCGTCTTGTAGCCTCGCAGCGAGCATCCGGTCCGCTTCCTCCCTCTCCTCGGCAGTCTTGGGACCTTCCAACTGCCAAAGCTGTGACACACCACCCCCAGCCTCGTCGTGCGCGTGTCCTACATGCCTACTGCCTACGAGGAAAACCTGGCGTGGCTTCCCCTCGCCGCTGAACCCAACCTTCCAGAATCGTGAACCCGGGTCGATGATGATTCTGTCTTCGGTCCCGTAGAGCGAATGCCGCCTCGTGGCTGTATACTGTGGTGCATTCCCGACGACATATGAAGACGAGGATTGACGCGGTCGTGCTTCACCTGCACCAGACATACTCGTAGGTCTCCGTGGTTCTGCTTGTGGGGCTGCCATTGTCGTGGACGCGAGTTGAAGGACAGATGGCGGTGGCAGAGTTCAAGTTTTTTGTTGATTGAATCAACAGACTCACTTTGGAGCCAGCCAAACCAGCCAATATATGAACTTCTCGAGAATAGAATCCAGGAGAAGAGACTAAAATGATTATTCCCGTCCGACTTCCCTCCCAAGTCCCTTCTCCAGATCATGCGCTCCCACCAGCCGTCGCGTCCATCGGGTTCAACGAACTCGTCTTGCTCGAACTTCAAGGTTCAATCGAGATAGAAGGTGATTACGCTGGAGAAACAATCGGAATGCTCGACATGAGCATCGAGGCATGTCTCACCTCCGTGCATTCTTGGAATAACATTCATGCATAGTCTAAACCAACACTTCGTATAGGCCACCATCTCCTGGAAGGAAAGCTCACAGGCCTTCCGAAACCTCTCGCGGTCCTCAAATCCAACAAGACAGCTGAACCTGATAACGAAGTCTCCTTTGACATCGTCTCTATAATTCGAAAGAAAATCGTCTTTTCAAAGCGTCCGTCCCCTGTCATGGACAACGTTGCAAAGGATGAGCTCCAAGAGCCATCCAAACGCAAGCGTGCAGCCTAGAAACCTGGGGATTTGATGCACAGACGTATTGATGCAAAAAAGCGTTTATTGGTTACAGCAATGTTCCGAGGCGGAACATACAAGAGGGTGCACATGGATGACCGAAAAGTAGTATAGTAGTGAGGCGACCAACATCGAACAGAGAATTTTATCTCCAATAGTCGTTCTGGTACAACTGTTTAAAGAAAGAGCTATCAACAATCAATAAAACCGCATAGTGAGCACAAAAAGTATAAACTCACCACGCAGAAGATCCAGACTCGTCATTTCACAACCCCGGGACAGGCTGTTGACGAAGATGTGGCGTGAGCGGCGGTTGATGTAAATTGGCGGGACTGTTCTGCAGCGAATGTGGCAACGAGCCCGGAGGCATCTGCATCCCCATATTCGAATGCATCGACGCCGCCGACGTCGGTCGCATCATCGGACTCTGCATCGGCCCATTATTCACCGGCGACCGTCCCATCATCATCCCATTCGGCAACAACCCTGCATTTCGCATCGAAAGCGGCGTCGACGGTGCGCGCGAAATCGACATGGCAGCCGCCATTTGAGCATTGACATTGACACCCGGATTCATCCCAACGCCCATTCCTTGCATCGTCGGCATCAACGGAGACGCACCATTCGGCATCCCCATCCCATAATCGCCCATCCCCATTGCTGTCGGCGGTCGAGGGATGACGCCAGCTTGTTGCTGCTGCATTCGATTCGGCGGCATACGAAGCGCAATATTCTGCGGTCCAAGCTGCAAGTTCATGTTCTGCACCGTCATGTTCATCGCACTATTGGGCATCGTCGGACCTCCCATCGCAAACATGGCCGGGTTCGGCACGACTTGACCATTTTGTTGCCCGTTCATCATCGATTGTGGACTCGGCACCGTATTGTCTCCGAAATGATTCTGCAACCCAATGTGAAGAGGCGCACCGGCCGCCGCCTGCATCATTTGGAACTGATGCTGAAAGCGCATTTGTTGTTGCTGCTGCTGCTGTTGTTGCTGCTGAATGTATTGCTGCTGCGGTGTGAGCTGGTTCACGGGAGGGTGCGAGAACTGGAGCATGTGCTGCTGATTAATGAGCTTCATGCTCTGGAGATTGTTGTACATTTCCGCAGACATTCCATTAGGAAACCCCGTGAAATTGTTGGGGAGAGTTCCAGCTTGTGCAGGGTTGAATCCGTTCATGGGCAGCGCACCGCCAGGCTGAAGTGGGATGGTCGACTTTCGGATGGGCGTGCTGACCCGTACAGTAGCCGCAGGATCCGGTGAGACGATCCCCGTCGACGGAGGAAGCGGCGAGGGACCAGGGGAAGGGAGATAGGCACCATTGGCCATTTGCTTTGGAGGCGACGACGTCTGGACGGGGGTCGCATTCACTACATTCTGGGGAGGAAGCGCCAATGGGACAAACGACGACACGGGCATACCAGGCGTGCCATTCGTCGTCGCCTGCGGAAGCACCTGGGGTTGGACGGGTGTTTGCGGTTGGGTGGGCGATGGTTGAGGGGTACCGTTGCTTGATGGCTGAGCTTGTGCTGGGGCCTGGGCTTGCTTCTCCCGGAGGATCTGCTGATGTAAGAGTACGGCAGCCACCTGTGGCTGGCGCTGCAAGTTGACGGTACCCGCACTCAACGGCGACGGTTGACTCAAACCCTGAGTCGAAATAGCAGGTCGAACGGCGACGCCATTGACAAGCTGGGGACGTGCTTGTTGCAACGACGCGGTTGCATTCGCCTGGCCCACCGTGCCATTTGCAGAAGCTTGTTGGAGCTGGTGCATCTGATGCTCGCCTTGAACACTGAGAACATCATTGAGAGGCGCCGCAAAGTTGATCTTTTGGTCAACGGCAAGCTTCGAGGGGTCGACATTGACAAGATACTCCTTGTCTTTGAGAAGCAGGTGCCTTTGCACGCTGTATCTATCATAGTGTCAATTTTGATGCGTAAACGGTTGAAATGTAAACAAACCTATAGTCGAAATCATCAATGATCGGACGTCCTGCTGCCGACAAAGCGTCTGAATCAAACTTCCACCTATCCTGCATCCTCTTCACCAAGTCTTCCTCAATCTCATTCGAGAGCTGATTATCATCCAACTTTGCAACAGCAGGCACTGCGGTGAAGAGCGATGACCTCAAGGCCATTGCAGGAACCAGAGATGGAAGACCAAAGGGGAGGGTGATAGGCTTTGTCGGCACGCGTCGTGGAAGAGGGGCAGTGGTAAAGGGAGACATTTGACGGTCGAGATAGCGTCTTCCACCTCTACCGACGCGGTGACGGAACGCGCTGACATGGTTGCCAGTTCGTACAGCGCCAACCTCTGCCTGATTTGACTCTCCTAGCGGTCGGAACGAATGAGCTGAAGGAGAAGAAGAGTGTTGGAGCGGAGCCTATACAGACATTAGCAAAGGACGACACGAGGTTCGATTAGACTCACGTCTGTGGTATCTTCCCATCCAATCTGCTCCTTTTCCTTTTTCGACTGCAACGTTACCTCGATCTTGTACCGAATATCCTCGTTTCGCGCACGCGGGTGTATCTGCGGTGGACCAAAGTCGAAATTGTCCTCGAGCCCCTGCGGGATAGCCGACATGGGCTGCCTGATATTCCCAAGCGGCATACGAGTGTCGACAATCGGTCGAGGTTTCTTGACCTTTTCCTTGTCGACCAGCCACTTGTCGTCGTCTGCATTGCGCAAGTCGGGAAACTTGCTGGTAACAGATACCATGCGCGATCGAAGCGTCCAAATGGCATGGTCCTCGAGACACAATTTCCGCTTCGTCTCTTCTCGTTCAATCGTCTTGTTGGCCAATTGCAGCGCAGACTGAAACTCGGACGAGAGACGGGTGAGTTTGTCAATGGACGTCGTCTCCATTCGGCGCGTCTTGCGGGTGGGCTTGACCTCGCGACGGCGGAAGCACACATAGACATTGCCCTCGTCCGATTCGTCCAACTGGAGCGAGATGAGAGATGACCAAGCAGAACATGTCAGCCACTTACGTTGACGTCTGGGATGATGGAGCGACCACGTCTGTCCTTTTTGCGTTCTAGCCAGTGAGGAAAGATGGCCCTAGCCATAACGCAGAGATCCTTTGGATCTGGTAGACCCTGAGGCACAAGAAAAGAGGCAAACAGGGATGGGGAATATGGTTGGAGGAACATGGGTTCGAAAAAGGAAAACTGAGGATACGATTGGTCCTAGACGGGGGGTCAGAGGCGAACACGGCTCGGATAATGGCACATACTACGTGCAGATATGGTAACTGTTCTGACGAAAACTTTTCAAAGAGGCCCATGCAAAGCTCGAACCAGTCCTCGTCAATGACAGGTTCTTCTGCGTCGCCCGCCTTGGCTCTCGAACGACGTGTCGATCCCGTACTGGTTCCCTCACCACGAGCGACCTGATTCCAATTCTCCAACCACAGCGCGTCTCGTTCGTCCATGGTATAGGAGCGGCCGGCGAGACCGAACCGAACCGTCTCCTCGATGAGATCGGAAAACTTTAGGATGGCAAAGGACATTTCATGTTTTCTGTGGCCATAGAGCTCGTCGTAGTTTGTGACGACACCCTGTGCATCTGGAATTGGGATGAAATTGGCGTCTGATGGTGGAGCGGCTGCCTGGGACGCTGGCGTGGCCTGAGTCGCCGCGTCTGCCGTAGCTGGCCGTTGCTGTTTCTGAGGAATATTTGCAGCATTATTGGAAGCATTGAGGACTTGCTGGAGATGGTGTTCCTATAAAGAAATGATTAGGTAAGCGAATGTGCTGACATAAGCAAGTTGGGAGAGCGCCGGCCAGCAGCGCAACAGCGACGGGCGGACAAGGTGAAAAACTGACTGCAGCATCCTCTGAATCAACACCCTGGGTGCTGTGAAGTGCTCCGCGGCCGTCGTCTCGCCAATTGTGACCGTTTCGGCGTCGATGGAGCCGTGGACGACGCGGAGGCGCGTCTTGTTTGTGATGCGCTGGCGACTGCGTAGTGTCGATGACTTTGTCTGCTCATTTCGCGGCATTGCATTCCGACAATTTTTGGGTGATTTTTCGCGATGGAAACGGCGCGGCCAGCAGATGTTTGCGCCCTAGCAAGGTGCCTAAGCGCCCGGCCTGAACCACCTTGCACGCGTTGAATCCGATGGCTTTCCTGGCGCTGCGCTGCTCAGCGTCGAGCACATCTACAGCCCATCTGCGACTGCCTGAGACCTTCTAGACGAGCCCAGGAGAGGCCCCAGAGCCCCCACCCACTCTTTTCGATTTTTCCGCAAAAAATTCCTTAAATCACACTCTGCTCGCTATAACCAGCTTTTTGGACAGATTAGCATTCATTCCTACAAAGGATACATGGCCCCAGTCTCCCCGTTGGCCTACCGTCACCGCCAGTCGTCCGGGCAAACGCGTCGGTGCGCCTGGCAACGCTACGAGGGGTATTATAGCACTCTCCCCATTCTCTAAATGTCCGATCTAGTCGTCCCTTTGCCCCCTATGCACCAGCCAGCGGCGCGAGGCAGTCGTGTTCGGGAGTAAACAGTCGCTTGCCACTACTGGCAATCGGCAGCATGCACACTCGACAATGGCAAAAATCGCGTATATAAGGGATCCAATACGTAAGTCGACAGACCAAGTGCTACGCATAAAGAAGGGGGCGCTCAAACGACAGATGGGGGGCTCAACGCACACTCGACAATTACTCAGATCTGTCGTCCACAAACGGTCAGAAAACACCGCTGAAATCAAGGTAAACAATCTGCTTACATATTGAGAGACCCATCGGAAGCCCTCGCCATAGCCCATTCTCTGTACGACAGAGCACATGAAAATTTCAATGGGTCGAATATCCCTCAGCGGAACCTTGCCCTAAAACATACTCGTAAATATTCTGCAACTTTCACAATAAAAAAACCGCACCTTGCCCGTCGTCTGGTAAAGGCCGAGAGCTTGTCTCAGATACTCCTCCGAGACCGCGCCTGGAGCATCAATCTTGTTGCCCAGAATGAGGAACGGAACCTTTGACAGCTCCTCAATCGACAAGAGTGCGTCTAGCTCGGCCTTTGACTCTGGGAACCGCTCATAGTCGGCCGCGTCGACCAAAAACACTATGGCATGCACCTCTGGGAAGTAGTCGCGCCACAGACGACGAGCTAAACATGACATTAGTACACGTATTGGGTACACGTATCCACTGACGTACCCTGTTGATGGCCTCCGAGGTCGTACGTCGTAAACTTGACGCTTCCAATCGCCAATTCTTCAGACGCTGCACAGAACATGAGCCCCCGTAAAGATGATTGTAGAATTTAGACGCACTAGGGTGCAACGTAGGCTGCAACGTTGCCAACCGGTCATTCTTGAGCATGTGCAAGAGCGTCTACACGAATTTGTTGGGGTGCCGCCTTTTTCAAAGGCTAAACGCTTACAGTTTTCCCGGCATTATCGAGTCCAAGGAAGAGAATCTTTGCATTCTTGTGTGCAAGCCCTGTAGTGGACAGACGTGGCCAACGGTGAGCAAGACGAGTTGGCAAATCCCCTCGCAGACGGCGCACCAAACTGAGCGAGTATATCCCAGAACCAATCAATGATCCACATTTTCTAGCGTTATAAAGACTTTTTGGTGATTACGGGCCTGACGAGGCAGAGTTCAAGAGGTGACGTTGCAACGCTTGCCCCCCTCGGAGCTTCATACTGGACACGTTTCCCAGCATCGCATCGTATTAACACCTACAAACAAACTAGCATTTACGATAGATTCCACGCCGCCTCTCCTCTTCGCGGTATTCTAGCATAAACTGGACACCAATCCACAAGCATGCAACCACAACGAGTAAAAACCCGACACCTAGAACGCATATGAGCATTTCTGAACAAACAAGACGAGCGCACAGACCGTCCCACGAGCCGACGAGCTGACCAAACAAGTACTGGACCCCGTCTAGACCCATAACGAACCCGACCAGATTGGCTATCATGAGCATGAGGATATTTCCGACGCCGCCCAGCGCACGCAAATGTCGGTACCACCAATATCCTCCATACTGACAGAGTCAGCTAGGTGTTCAGCCAAATCAAGTCGCTCTCACCTGTTTTGCATTAAAAACCCTTCCGAGAATCATCTCAGGGAGGATGAACAGAGTGAGCAGCCACCCCCATACCAGTAGCCTCAGCTGGAGATCATGCCACAGCGCAACAAACGTAAACGACACCAACGTCGCCAAAATCACATTGCTACTTCCACCGAGTGGCACGTATATATACCTTTGAAAATCAGTCCTCTGCCACACGGGTGTATGATCGACGTACCGAATCAGCCATTGGTTATAACTGCGATGCCACCCTCTCCAGAATCCAGCAACAGTATAATTATTGGCCATACATCGAATCATATTCTCTGTCGGCTCCATCCCATCCGCCAATGCCCACAATCGGAAGAAGCGCCATGGAATCAATAGCTAGGTGCATGTCAAAAAAGGTCACAGTCACCCGAGATCCATACCTTGAGCCAAACGATGATGAGGTTCCAGAATCCGATCATGCACAGCTGCATTAGAGAATCGCCATTCCACGCCTTGGTGTCCTTGATTGCAACCATGTACATGTAGTGCAGAATCGTCTCCATTGTCAAGAGACAGATAAGGAATCTAATTGCGTAGCTCAATAGAGCATCCCGCTTGATATAGATCGGCCGTCGTAGCTAGAGGTATTGTCAGTCTCTTTCTTGGCGAATTACAAAAAGCTTGCCTGCCAATAAAAGTCGTTAAACGTCATAATTGGACCGGCAATGTAGAGCGGAGGGTACAATGTATACGCGACGTAGTTGACAAAATTGTAGTTGGCAAGATGGTGCGAAGTCGAAGTCCGCTGGCGTATGTTGAGAGGAACTGGGGACTGCAAGGAGCTGTTAATGATGGTTATCAAGTAGCAAAGACTCACGTGAGAGGTTGAATTTGTTTTCGCCCAATGATAGTCCATTGCAAAGGAGAGTAAGCGGAGCATGGTGATATTAAAGGAAATATGCCACCGTGGATAGAAACCACGATATCCATCCTATCGACAGAGTGAGTATAGCTTTTGGAACTAGTGTATACATACCAGAAATCCCAGGCTCGAGTGGACACTAGAGAATGAATAGCCATCGTAGATTTCGTTGCACAAAAGCACCATAATGTTCACTGTCCACAGAATAAGCGGTGCAATTCGTGACCCTCCGAGCTGTTTCGCCAAGAAATAGTTGCCACCGATAATGGCAAACACCTTTAGGGAGCTGGCTCCATGGAGTCCAATAACCAACGCAACAGCGAACATGGCCATGAACGGTATACGATGCAGATTGTCGCTCTTCTTGCCTGTCGCGCGTGAACCAAAGCTGGACGCGAGCAATCCATATAGTCGGGAAAGACCAAGATGCGCTAACGCCAATAATGTCAAATTGAGGAGGTTGCCCCGTATTGAGCGGTATTGTGAATCAGAATTGTCCTGCAAGTCGTTGAGACGCAGAGTCTATCACGTTGGCAGACACGTACGACGAGTCGGCCAGGAATCCATCCCTTGGATAGTTTGTGCTTGAACAAATGATAGTTTGGATGGGATTCTATGATCAATTTGGCCAAGTTAACAAGCGACCAAGACCCTTGGGCAAATTTCGACGTACCCAAGCTCAGCTGCATAGGCGAGTATACCATCATAGGGAAGACAATCACGAATAAAACTCCGTATATAATAAATTCGGGGGTATTCCATCTTGCCGGAGGCGGAGTGCGCGTTATGGTTCCCGGAGCTTGCTGCGACGTTGGCGTTTGGACCGTCAGAGACACCAAACTAAATTTCTTCGAGTCTTCGGAAAGATTAAGGGCCGCAGGTCGCGCATCACGTTCCCGCATGCCATTTGGTGAGTCGCTCATCGCGTGGAGAGGTATCATCAAACATGACCAATCGTGAGAGACACTTGACTCCGCAGAATATTAGATAGGCAAGGTTATGTATACAAGTAGCGATAGTAAAAATCTATGATTGTTCGTGACGAGCTATGGGAATGGTTCAACGCTGTCGACGCGTCTTGGTATTGTCCGTTGAGATGCGTAGTGTGTGATTGCACCGAAACTTATTCTGGGTGCGCGATTTGAAGGTTGGGTTGCATTTGGCTATGGCCATTAGGAAGCTGAAGCGGAGGAGCTGCAAAGGAAGGCGATGGCTCTATCTGCATGGAGTAGGATTGGGAATGCACGTCATTCGAAGCTTGAGAATGCTCCTGCGTCGTTGTCTGGGAGGGTGTTGAGAGGCCATTGATGCCATTGAGAGCAGTGGAGACTTCATTCGACGGCGATGTGACCATGGCATCCTCCCCGGTGTTGACTTGCTGGTCAACATTGATGGGAACTTGCTCATCTTCATGCTCATCTGACGGCGAGGCATCTTTGGCCCGTCTGTTCCTCTTGGGCCGTTTGTTTTGAGCCTTGACGAGGCACGCCGAGCACACAAAAGGCTCTTCTTCCCAGTTGCGCTTCGGTCGTCCTTCGATCCTGTCCGCACGATCGTAGCAAGCCATACTATGCCACATATCAGCCAAAGTTCCTGCAGGAATCTATGTACTAACTGTTGCCAAATACTACAGTCCCTGCAAGAGATGAGGTTCTGCGAGCGGTCCTGAATGCATGTCAGCCTACAAGAACGAAGGATTGACTCGACCAACCTCATTCCAACCCGACTTTTTGCAAATCTCACAGTTGAGGAAGAAGGGATCATCCGACTCGAAATCGTCATCGAACTCATCCCTAATTCGACGACGTCGAGTAGGCTTGATCGGTCGTTTCAGGTCTGCTTGAACGGCGGCTGCTCGCCTTGGCCGGCCCCGACTGTTGACGGTCTCCACAATTTCTTCCTTGACCTCTTCATCCTCGTCGTCACGATATTCCTCTTGATCACTTTCAACTTTCGCTTTACGGCGCTTCTTCTGCGTGCCCTCTTCACCTTCTAGTACCTAGGTGAACAAACATCCGACGGTACGGATACGACGTACCTCGCTCGACTCCTTCATCCTCTTCATTCTCCTCTTGTTCCGTGCTCATGGCTGCAAGCATTTCCTCTTGCTCCTGTATCCAGCGAGCGCCTCGCACAGCAGCCCTTCTCATTCTGGAAGGACGAGGACCTCGAGCAAAGTCGGAGGAGTCACCATCAACCGACCCTGCCGAATCTTGTGCCCTTTTTTCCTCGTCTCCGAGAGTCGCCAGTCTCGACGACCTCTTGGGGCGCGCCTCGGCAGCTGCAGCAGCTGCAGCAGCAGCTTCTCGTCTGAGCATATCCTTAAGATCTTTCTTTTGTTTCTCTTCTAGAGCCTGCAGAGAGTATAAAGCTACAGAACGTGGAAATGGAGGAACCTACCCGTTGATGCTCCTCCATCTCTGGTACTATTATCTCGATGATGTAGCGATAGAGACGTCTTTCATTATGGCTTCGAGATGATTGAAATTGTTCAGCAAAGGCGACCCACTCGCCCTTTGTGACACAAATCTAAAGGTGGTTCAGAGAGCTTCAAGAGCAGGGCAGTATTTACCGTCTCAAACTCAACAAAGTTTGGATCGTTGGGGTCGAGATCCATCTTGAACGCCTTGTTCGCTAGCTCTGCATCGGAGTCGTTCGATAGTTCGTCAATGTCAGTCAGATCAGACTCCGAGTCGTCCGGTGGATTAGCTTTAGAGGAGCCGGTTCCACTATCTTCTCGAGGCTTCTCGTCGTCCGATAAATCAGTCAAATCGGATGCGTCATCGAATAGAGCTGAAACGACGCTGGCATTGTCTTTGTCTGATACGGCATCTTGTTTTCCACCCTCTGGCAACCATTCTTCAGGAACCTTCTGCCAGCCATCAGAGTTCGCGCCTCGAGCCAGGCGAGAGCTCAGACGAGTACCCGACGGCGCAGCTGGCTTTGGTGCTGGTTTCGCCTTTGAGGTTGACACTTTGACTTTGGCTTTGGGATTAGATTCGGCTCGCTGCTGAGGTTTTTGTTTTTGAGGTTCCTTGCCCTTTCGTTTTCCTTTGACTGGTGCCGGTTTGGCGACCCCGTTAGGGCCTGCTGCTTTTTTCGACGGCTTCTCAGCAGCCTTTCGTGATTGTCTTTTTCTTTTCAGATCCTTGGGTGGCATTGGTTCCGCTGTCGGCCGCTTGATCCAGAGGCGGTCCCCTACCGAAGATGAGCGCAAGAATCAAAGATTCAAATTATACATACGACCAAGTTGCCAATACTCATTACGTTTCACGTCCTTTCCGATAGGAACTGTCCGCTATAAAAGTCAGAATACGTAGGACATAGCCGGATGGAGACGTACCCATGTATAATCGTCACTATCGTCCTTCATGCTTTGTCTGACCCTTAACGGATTCTGGAAATTCCATTCACAGAGATTATAGAGGACTTCGAGACGATTTTGCCACCCAAGTTCTACCCAGGCCTTTGGTTCCTCTTCAGTCCCCCAGATCGTGTTGTCGGGTTCTCGGCGAGCATAGAGGCGTCGAAGATACTGTTCCCATGTGTCTGGACTAGTAAAGACGCGTTATTTGTGCCGCCATCGCGCGTTTAGCGCTCTATAATAGTCGAATAACGTACGAGAGGCCACGAATAGAAGTGAGAACATGAAGTATCTTGAGAAGGACATTCATCATAGTATCCGAAGTACCGCGAATGATATCGTGTTCGACATCCTGCCAGGAAACTGTCAGCTCCACGGATCTGGCTCAGCCCACAAAGGGCACGGCGCGTCGAATAAGCGCGTCTCATACACATATCCGCGTTTAAAATATGCTAGGCGATAGTATTTCGACGTACAGATAAGTTTAGGAAATCTAGCCGGAGCATAGGGTTGAATTTATACAGAAAGTCGCTGGCGGCTGCCCACTTCCAGTCCCTCCTCAACAGTTTGAGGGTCTTCTCGTGTTCTTCATTTATTTCTGATGCAATCGCAGGCGGAGACGAGACCTCCATTATGAGCCAATATTGTAGCAAGGTCCAAGTTTCGAGACTGCCCCGTCAAACACAAACAGGCTCGAGGATGTCCCCAAATAATCTTAACCACCTTCTGGTACTATCTTGGAGCTATTCTCCTTTACCTCTGCTTTTGCAGCGCGTTTCTTCGCTCGAGCACGCGCTGACCTCGATTTCTTGGGCGGCAGCAATGGCTCTTGATACCTAGAGCAAACCTCGTGAGTGATGAGATATGGTACCTTGACTTGAGAACCTACGTGCATCCGAGAGCTTCGAGGTCAGGACGTGGCTCAGTGGTCAGGTAAATCTTCATATAAGCAGTGGAGATTCGCTTGAGGCTGTAACCAGCTTTAGACGAAAAAGTTGTATATAAATATATACTTACTGGTTCTTGCCTTCCAAAGCGAGGAGAACAGGATCATCATTCACCTTGCTGGAGCCTGTACATAGGTGAGCTTTCACAGGAGAACCCGAGACTGTTCTTGCCATTTGTAGAGTCGGGCAGGCATCCAATATAGTTGTATTGGTGAAGTAAGGCGCCAGAAGGAAGTTTGCTCTCCGCTTGTCGAGATGCAGAGAACTCCCGTTTCACAACCTCGGCAACGCTAACGAGTCTTGAAATGTTCGCAGTGGGAGAAGCAAGTTTCGCTTTCTTTCGTTTCGGCTCTCCAGCAACATCATCATTCCCATTCGAATGTGCGGGCAAAGTATGCAACATCAAGGTGGCCCCTTCGTTCTCCTAGGGCATGTCAAGTGCAAGCCCAAGATTCCCCTAAACTCGTACGCACGCTGAGATACCTAAGGCAAAACGAAATGCAAGCCTTCATCTTTGTGTGGTCTGCGACACGAACTTCACGTATTTCCTTGCGTTCTCCTGCTTTTTGTGTATCATCTTCCATCGTGACTGGTTGCGGTCGGGTTCATGTTTGCTTCGATGCTCAGACTTCGCCATGTCACGATTTTATCGAAGTTGCTACAAAGACAATCCTCTACACTCACGACTCACCTTGGTAGTGCTTTTTAAACGCGTCTACGGGTCTCCTCTAATAAAATTCTGGGCCAAGGCTCATACAGGCCTAGAACACATACATGCGGACAACTCGACGAATCTCTGATAAACCAAAAGGTGGATCTCTGCGGTTGGATTGTCGTAAAACGGTATGGGTCCTGTACGAAAAACACTGGGACTTACCCGTGCATAGAAATGTTGCCAAAGGACTAACATTCTTCGTGCTGCAAGATGTCCATGGCCAAGTTCAGCTGGTCTCACGACAGGAACAATCGCAAAATTCAGATGCAGACCAGCAGATTTCAAATGAAGAAAGCCATGCTGCAGGAGCGATCCTTCGCGAGCTTCCCCTGCAATCAGTTGTTCAAGTCACCGGTACTATTGCTGGTCGTCGTCCTTCACCCGGCAAAATCGTAGGCAGTACACGGAAATGAGATCAATGTCCGACTTTTTGAATAGGATAAGAACGGGTCAATCGAGGTAGTCGTTGAGCGAGTCCAAGTTTTGAATCCCGCAAGCGAGAAACTTCCATTCCAACCGAACGACGAGAAGTATCTGGTGAGTGGCTTGTTATGAAATTGGCATGTCTGATGTTTCCCTTAGCCTCGAGAAGAGATTCGTCTTAGCCATCGGTATCTAGATCTCAGACGAGCCCGTCTAGCGCAGAATCTCCGGGCTCGTAGCGATATTGCACACAAAATTCGGAACTTTCTACACGCTCGAGGTCAGTGGGACACAGCTGATACGATCGTTCTAACATGGGGCATCTCAGACTTTATTGAGGTGGAAACGCCCATGTTACTCAAATCAACTCCTGAAGGCGCGAGAGAATTTCTTGTTCCGATGCGCGTCAGCAATAGACCAGAGCGAATCGACAGTGGGGATAATGTCGAAGGGATATTGAGTGAAGGTCCTACGTTTTACGCACTATCACAATCTCCCCAACAACCAAAGCAAATTCTCATGTGCTCTGGTGTAACAGAGAAGTACTATCAGTTTGCGCGCTGCTTCCGAGACGAAGACGGCAGAGCTGATCGACAGCCGGAGTTCACGCAACTCGATCTGGAGATGGCATGGATAAGTTGGGATGCTGGGACCAACAAAAGCTCATCGCCTCCATCTTTTCCTTTCTCAGAGTGGAGGATTGGCGGCTGGGAGATCAAAGAAACACTCGAAGGGATCATGCGTTCTGCGCTGGGACAAGCCTTGGAGTTTCCAATCCTACGCTATGAGCAAGCCATGCGCTATGTAAGCGACCTTACATGCGGCAACCAGTATTAACTTGCATTCCAGTACGGTAGCGATAAACCAGATCTCCGCTGGGATAAACGAGTAAACCATAGAAACACCGCTTAATGAAGCTTATGTCTCCTCAGATAACAGACCTTACCGACTTATTGGAGCCTCAAGCGCGAGAAACGCTCCAGAGCCGAGGACTCGCGCTGGATGGAATTTTGATCCCGAACTCGGAGCTTGGTGGCAAGCATAAAGTTGTCAAGAAGTTCAACGCTCCAAAGGTACGTCTCTAGCAAAATTTGGTCCCGAATAATCAACCGCTACAGGTCAAAGTCGCTACAATATCCGCAGAGAATCCCCGGTTCATCCCGATTTCCCTCCCAGACCTCGGAAAGCAGTTGGAATTCCAGAGTCTCGTCCCTGGGATGGAGGACGGCGGAGTTGCTCTGCTCTCACTACGACCAAACGCACCATTCGAGGTCAGCTTATCCCCTAAGATTTTGGACTCCTTATGAATGCCATATAGGGAGGATGGACAGCTTTGGGACGTGTGCGTGCTGCATTGGTTAAGGAGTTTGCGACGGGTTAGCTACCTTTTTTTTACTTGGCACCCAACTGAAAAATCATACAGAGAAAGATTTACAATCCAAACGTTTCCTATGGGTGACAGAGTTTCCGCTTCTCACTCGTGCCGATGAGGACAAGGAGTTCCTTGCACATGGACGATGGGCGAGCTCACACCATCCGTTCACCGCGCCAATGGTCGAAGACATACCTCTGCTTCTGAAAGGAGGGATTGACCTCGCAAAGGTAGAGCCAGCTGACCAAAGCGTTTTCCTCTCTAAGGTGTTAATAGGTTCGAGGGCAACACTACGATTTGGTGCTCAATGGCACTGAGATAGCCGGTGGCTCTGTGAGAATCCATGATCATAGACTTCAGGAGTACATCTTTGAGAAAGTATTGCAGGTAAGTAACCGATTGCGTCGTTGTTCAGAGCTGACTTTGGCGATAGCTAGACGAAAAGGAACGCGCCGGATTCTCTCAGCTACTCCAAGCTTTGAAGAGCGGTGCCCCTCCTCATGGTGGTGCGGCTATCGGTGAGTCATTTATCATCCTCAAATTCGACCTAATCCTATTTATACAGGGTTTGACCGCTTTGTATCCATATTATGCAACGAACCCTCCATACGCGATGTTATTGCATTTCCAAAGACGGCCGGGGGTGTGGACCTCTTCTTCAAGAGTCCGACACCCATTCCTACGAGTACACTAGACCTCTATGGCTTGCAGCCCATGGGTCCTTCTTCGCCGGATACACAACCCTAATCATGTTATTCGTACACAATCCTGCTAATCCTACACCACTTTCAAAATGGAGATCAATGCGGATGATCGTGAGTATGATGGCCAAAGTCGGTTTTTGTCGCCACAAACTACAACGGCATGAAAATGTATCAGGTGAACAGAATAAAATACGCACGTCGCTGATGTGTGTCATGGCATGTTCATCTGCCACTCTCCGCCGAGGTCGCAAGTTGAGCACTCGCAACAGGCAGATGATGTAAAACTTGGCAAGAAGAAAGTTGGGCACAATGAAGCTGACTGACATCAGGTTACCTTCCGAGGAGATGTGTCCACATACCTCTCGTTGCCAGAACGCTGGCCAGCCGCCAGAAGGATGACAATCAAGAAGGCGCATAGCGTCATGGGTATAGTGGTGAAAAGGATGGATTTGTGAAAGGGTTCCTTGCTCTTCGCGCCGCTGAAGGAATAGGCCCGCGTGATAAGCGTGATGGTCAAGTTGGCTATGAATGTCAGGCTAGCATTTGCGATCACTCCTTGGAGTCAGAGATTAAATTTGAGTTCTCTAAAGAAGACTCACTCGTCGCACGCATGACGCTTTGATGGTAGACGGCCCCGAAATAGATCTTCCCTATCTGTTAGCCAAATTGGATATAAAAAGACACACGTACTGCAGCTATAGTTGTCCCCATGCCAGAAAGGATTAGAAGTAGCATGCAAGCACCTGTGTAATATCGTTGGTTGTCGATGATACGCTTCAAGAACCAGGTGTGGACAATGACGCCGGAGAACGAGGTCTGTCATATGTTAAATAACGTGTGAGTGTAGTAGGCGAGCTCTTACCAGAAACCATGAAGAAATCTTCATCCACCCCCAAAGGGAGTGATCAGCCCATCTAAAGAGTGCGACAATGTCGTTCGAACTATAGACAATGGCCATTCCTATGGCAGACTTGAAGCTAAGCTACTCATGAGCTGGATTTAACTGTTGTTTGAATAACTGACCACGCGAGGCAGAGGAGGCAGAGGACGAACAACCGCTTGGGTAGGTAGTCTGTCTTTGCATGGTGCATGTAATATCGATAGCACTGTGCGAATATGATTCCTGGATCGAGTCAGGGAAGGACCCAGGACCCATATTGTGCGCACCAAGTAGCAGGAGATCAAACGAGGACCCGAGTGCCCAGGAATTGATCATCAACTTTGCTTGCCGAAAATGCCCATTCCCTTGAAGTGAAGAGTTTGGAGGTATCCCATTCGGTCGTCCGCCAAAGCCTCCAGTGGGCATTGGCCTTTCTGTCCACCCAAGTGTGTCCCGTATGCTTTCCATACCACTCGGATATGAACTAGCCCAGTCAGACGCTGAACTGAAATTAGGGCGACCTTGTCCGGAGTCTCTGTCCATCCGCACGGTAAACGAGGCTTTTAATGCTCGCGGGGGAGGAGCAAGGTTGCCAGAGGGGTTACCAGGGGTTCTGCAATGGATTGATTACTTACGAACACGGCCGCGGGTGTGAGCGATTGGGAGAGAAATCGCCGTTCAGGAGATCTGAAGACGAGCGGCGAAGACATGTATTCGAGCGGAGGAATTGAGCTGCGACGTTTGGTCCCTGAGAGAATACGACCACGTGGAAAAGCTCGGGAGAATATCCATGCGTCAGCCATGGTTTCGCCAAGGTTGTATCGACGAATTAAAACACCCTCCCTGCGCAGCTCAGTAAAATGTGATTTACTATTAAAGCCATGTTAATATGACGCTTGGAATGTAATGATGCATTCATACGGCTGAGCCTTGCTCTGTCAAAGCAGAGTCTGAGTTTGAGTTGTGGCGAGAAGTGGCATACTCACTCGGAACCCATCCGAACCAGAAAGATACATGCAATTGCGACAGCAGGAGACAGTACACGAGATAATAGTTGCCAACGCGGTACGATCATAGAGCTACCTTAAAGATCACATAGAAAGCCACACGGCAAGATTCAATTATCAAGGCTAATCAGGACCGGTCACTCCGTGGGTGTTGGAACTCGAAGAACCCATCAGCCGCGAAAAGGAGAAGCCGGATTTCTTGGGAGTGGGCAGCGCCGAGGTTGATTCATTCCTCTCCGAATGAAGTTGGTTCGATATCCTCATCGTGTCGTCTGCGTTTTCGGTATTGAATGGCTCCGGCGGCGGTGGGCGGAGGGTAAGAACGGTGTCTCGACGGGAAGAGTCCCTCCTTGTGGTCGGCAAATCTGTCGTTTCAGTAGCCGATGTAGACGCTGCATCTTCCAAATTGGAGATGCTAGGTCTCGGCTTGTTGGTTGTTGTTCGAAGAGTGGAAGTCGAAGGGGGCGAAGATGGTCGACGAGGTGGAGAATGAGAGGTGTAATGGTCGAGACTGGTTGTTGATGAGTATGCAGAGCCTGATTGGGGTTGAGACCACGCGTTGACCGAAGCATCTGCCCAATTACTCGAAGCAGGGAGAGAATCTGACACGCTATAGAATCCGCTACCCGAAGCACGATGACCATTGACGGGAGGCGAAGGAGATGGTCCGCGGAGAGATTTGTGCGGATTGGTGAGGATGGAGAGTGGCGGCAAGATTGAGAATATCTCATTTTCGGATTTGACCGGTCCGTAGGCATCGAATGGGTCAAGAACAGATTGCATCAGCGGCTCAAGAGTAGGGTCAGATCTGAAAAAGTGTGACTTGGTGCACTAAACCCGGCAGAGCACTTACGCTTTAGCACTGAGACGCTCAAAGATATCCAAAGAGGACCGGACAACGAGACCAGTCTACCAATATGAGTTTATGGTAATAGAATAGGATATACATACCTTGTCTAGGACGACATCCCAGACTTTTGCTTCGTGTTCAAGGATAGACTGATAGTGAGCCGCCTTGAGCCGGTCGAGATCATCGACATGAGCCTGGAGTGCGGACAAGGTTTTTTTGAACGCTTGTAAATCTAGAAAGCATAAGGGCGATCAAAATGTACCGTTGGACGCACCTCGTTGTTTCCGCCGACCGGTGCTTATACTTTCCGCCTCTGTTTGCTTTATAACCTTGCTCTTTTCCAACAGCATTCGCTCATAAGCAGCAGAGCGGTCCTGTAAGCGATGAGCCGATGGAGAGGTGGTCTAGCGGAGTACTGACCGACACCACACGTTTGTACGCGTTGAGTTCGCTGCTGAGTGGATCCTCAAAACTAGTAAGAATTGTGGAGTTCTGAGAAAGTGAGCAAGGGCATCCATATGAAGATAGAACGTACCAAGATTTGCCAATAATTTCCCATAAGGTGATGAAACCCGCCATAGGCCTGCAAGCCAATCGCCGCTGAATCCTCGACTCCTTTTAGTCTAGCTAGAAATCAGCCTTGAAGAATTAATAATGAATATCGCACCTTGAACATCTCTCTAATGTCGTTGCAAATCGAGAAGTGGCATTCGAGAGCAGGCTCAATGCTTCACGATACTGACGGCAATCGGAAACGAGCTATTAGAATGATAAGAGATATCAGCTATGGATTCCTAGTAGCAAGGAGCCAAACCATACGTCTTCATATGCGTTTATCGACTGCCGCAGGTCTCTCCTGGTGATGATAGTGTCCGGGCCAACGTCCAGGTTGACCTGGGATGCGTTTGTAGTTGCACTAAATGTTGGAGATGGCGGTCCTGATGGCATAGAGCTTGTAGACGCATTGCTCGATGTGCGTGCTCGAATGGCAGAACCTGACCTTCGCTTTGACATTGCGTGCAAGTGGTTTAAGTGAAAATAACACAAATAGTTGTAAACGGGCGATACTTGTTATCCGGACAAGAGTGGGCCGCTATCGTTGTTGGGTTCCAAGTTGCACTGAGGTTGGAGCAGACCAGGTCAATGACTGAGCACCAAATCAGGCTCTCCGAATGCTGGACATGAAATTACAGGATATTCTATCCACTCTCTGATGGAAATTACTCGCTGGAGGCCTCGCCTTTTGTCATTTTAACCGTGTATGCGAGACAGGAGTGTCGAAATGATTACTCAGCAAACAAAATCGCTGAGAAATTCGGCTTCCAGGATGTATGAGGCCTCGTCCTTTCGAATCCCTGATAGCGCCGGCCAAGTTGGACCTCCCCACAATGTCTGTAGGCGATCGTGTCTGTTTCCACTCCGACTTTGGGACCATTCGTCATGTAGGGCCACTGGTAGGCAAAAAAGGTCAATGGCTTGGTATCGAATGGGATGATGGTCAACGCGGCAAGAACGACGGATCCATCGATGGGACGCGCTACTTCACAGCCAAGTGCACCTTCTCCTGACTGTTTAATACCCCTTTGCATATCTTACCGCTTTGCAGATCACCCACTGGTGCCTCGTTTCTTCGTGCCACAGCACCCTCTCTCCATCTCGGACGGACATTCACAGAGGCTCTACGCGACAAGTATATCGAAGAAAGATATGATGACTCGAAGGTCGAATCAGTCGTGCTGGGTTCTAGTGACGGAGCGATTGAGGTCGAGGCGGTCAATCTCAACAAAGTGCGCAGCAAGTTTGCCCAGCTGAGCAAGCTCAAAGAGGTTGGACTGGAGAACTACATGATTGGGAAGGCCGGTGATGATATACAGCCTGTCTGCCCTAGTGCGTTCTACCTTTCGGCGTGGCTATTGACTAATGGCCTGGAGACATTAAGCGATTGGATTTATCTCGAAACCTCTTCTCAGACTGGAATGAAATTGTTCGTCTAAGCGAGCAGCTTCCTCATCTCGAAAGCTTGACATTGCAGTATGGTCTCTAACTGGCTCCTTATAACGCACTGATAGCGTTTGACAGCTACAACTATTTTCGCCCTCTGAGTGCGCCGCTACAAGGCTCATGTAGATCGCTCGTAGAGTTGCTCCTTAATCGAACCAATGTTGACTGGAAACAGGTAGAGTCTATATTCTCAATTCTCGTGGCGGGGCTTATGAGTATAGGCGCACTTGATTGTCTGTGCATTTCCATCTCTGCGACGACTCGAACTTGGATTCAATGAGTTAGCTACGCTTGAAGAACCATCAAGCACGGGCGCGTTGCCAAATCTGGACTCGTTGGTCCTTGACGGAAATGTTCTGACCAACTGGAATGCCCTTATAAAGGCGATTAAACCACTCAGAAGGTAAACGTGGTATCTATGAGGAAAGTTGTAATGCTAATATTGAGCAGCCTCTCGACGCTCATGGTTTCTGACAATCAAATCGGAGCCATCCCCCTACCGACGTCTTCAGAGGTCCTCCCGAAGACTGACACACTCTTTCTGGATTCCAACCCGTTGTCGAGCTGGAATGATGTCGATGCTCTTGCGCTTTGGTTCCCAAACCTTTCAAACTTGCGGCTCTTGGACGTTCCGCTCTTCAATGGCGAGTGCAAAGAAGGAATTGGAGTTCATTTCTGACACCTTCAAGACCCAGAAATCTCCAAGTACGCACGGCTCTTGGTAATCGGGCGACTCAAGTCCCTTCGGCGGTTCAACTCTAGCGCAGTAAGCACCACCATGGGGAGAATATCGGGACTTGACAAGTGCAGATATCCGAAGAAGAGCGCAAGGACGCGGAATTCTTTTATTTGACATGGATCGTTCGGAATGTGGAGCGGAATAAGCGAGAGTCAGAGCATCCTAGATGGAAAGAATTGGTTGAGCGCAAGTACCGGGTTCTCGTGGATTTCACTCTCTCACCTTGCAGTGGATAGTCCATGGCGAACCAGAAGAAGAGGCACCCAGAGTGGATACAACTCGATTGCAGAGCCGACTCATTAGTGCGTAACTTCTCTTGCGTTATACATCATTTAACCGAGTAAAGCCATCAATGTATTCGTACTCACCGAAGTCCCGCAAATGGGGACGTCGAAGAGGCCTGAACAAAAGTTTCAACAATCTCTACAACTCTTGCCCAACATGCCGATCAAGACACTGCGACTCAAACTCCTCAAAATATTCAAGGCGAAACCCACGACCCAGATCAGAGTATTTGTTGATTTGGTACAAGAGGGAAGCCCGACTGGGTCCTGGGGTGAAATTGATCTCGCGAAACAGGCGGATCTGACGTGGTGGGGTGTCGAGAATGGTGGGAGTCTAGGGATTGTTCTTCCATAGATAATCGATTGGATGACTGAGGTTCATCTATTACTTCAGGCTTTGAGATAACTCCTGGTCGTCATCAAGGTTGGCACTGGAGTAGGAGGGACCATCTCTTCCTCGGTTTCCCTTGAGATGTTGAATCCAAATGAACCTCGACTAGGACATAATTCGGGGGGGTTAGTCTCAGATGAAAGATGCATGGCATAATGCATGATAAGAAATGGATATGCTCCAGACCATCTCAAGCTCATGGAGTCATTCCTCGGTAGAGAGACTGAGCAAGAAGGTACCGGGGTCGAGACAAGCTAGAGTAGGAAAGAATAGGATCATTGATTCGGCTCATATCCGAGTGGAATTCTGCCGTGCTTTGCTCTCGAGGCTACTGCCAATGCACCTGAGTTCTGGGACCGTCACTGGCAGGCTCTCGTTCCAGGATTATTGTGAGCGGTTAGGGCTTTAATACACCTCAATATTCAGTCAGATCGCGATTATACTTATTGCATGTGCGTTCGGTGAACCACCACTGTCACTATATGGTCAAAGCAAGTTCTCTTGTCCGTCGTATGGATCTAGGTTCAACAGCAAGACTTATTCAAAGCCCACACATGGAAGCCGTCGAAGCCTATTTTATTCTTTTTGGGATGCAAGACATGGGTAAAACGAGTGGCAAGGCGTCGCATAAGCAATCGGCTGGGCACCAAATAGCTCTTAGAGACTTTCAAGAGCTTAGAAAGCTGGGTTGGCGTTGTTGACCTGTGTTTTTGATCAGAGATGACCCGAATAGAAAGATTTTTACACACCAAGTCGACGAAGTAAGCCTGGAACCATTGTCCAGCTTCTGGGGCGGGGATCTTGGCATCTGGGCCTGTAGTGGCGTCAGAAAAGTGATATTGACCGTAGAAATTGTAAACTCACCACCGCACATCGTATCGTAACGGGTCTGGAACGGGGGATGTCAGAGGAGTCACGAAAATAAGGGCCTGAACTCACGGCGCTGGTGTTGGAGGTACCGTCGGACTCTCCTCCTGGCTTGATCCAGACGATGGCATCGATGTACTGGTTTCCAGTGTTGGTGGTTGGGCGGAGACCGAAACCGGCACCCTTGATGTTGCACCAGTTGCCCCAAGCAGAGCGGATGTTCTGGACACCCGAACGGCCTTGGTCGACGATGAACTGAGCGTTCCATCCCTTGGTGCGGAGCATAGGAGCAAGGGCGTTGATGTAGTGGGTCTCGTCGTAGTTCGCGTTGCCCTGGGTGGCTGGGTCGGGCGAGGCAGCAGTGAGGGCGTTGTAGTTGGCAACGTTGGTAGCGAGACCACGGATGAAGGGGCTCTTGCCACCGTTGGTCCACATCGTGACGAAGAGATCAGCAGCGGGCGAGATGTTGGCTGGCCAGCCGAGCCATCCGGCGTGACCGGCATCCATGTACATGTAGACGCCAGCAGCGGCGAGGGTCTTGAGGGCATAGGTGGTGGAAGACTTGTAACCATCAGCGGCAGCCGAGCAGCGTGGGTCGCTCAAGTTGGTGACCAAGTTGGCCAACGAGTCGGGCTCAATGACAGCAATGACGGTCGTGCTTGGGTTCCTCTTGACCGCAGCGGCAATACCATCGATATAGCCCTGGTACTTGGCGGCACCACCTTGATCGAAGAAGAGCTCTCCGTTCGAGGCGTTGGCGTGGCAATCACGGTTGGGCAAGTCATAGACGACGAGCTGGAAGATCTTGCCAGAAGCAGCTGGGAGATAGTCGTCGAGGGTAGCAACCTTGGCGATGGTATCGAGCCAGGTGAAGGTCGGGATCTCCTTGACCTTGAGGATCTTGGCCTTGAGGGTCGCGTCCGAGACTTGATCAGCAGCGCTGTCGACCTCGGCAGCGTAGTAGGTCGAGAGCCAGACAGTCTTGCCCGAGAAGGGATTGCCAGTGGCAGTCGGGATGACGGTCGAGCCGCTGGTGGTTGCAGTCGAAGTCGAAGTGCTGCGGGTCGAGCTGCTCGACGTCGAAGTGCTACGGGTCGAGCTACTCGACGAAGTGCTACGGCTCGAGGAGCTGGAGCTAGACGACGAGCGGCTCGACGAGGATGAGGAGCGAGAAGAGGAGGAAGTCGTAGAGGTTCCCTGCAAGCACTGGTAGTACCATCTGTATTAATTGATGAGTAATGAGAAATGGCCATATTCAGTAGTGAGGACATACGGGGGAGAGACGGGCGTGCAGACCCATCCGCTGGGGCACTGCGTCGGTCCCGTGTATCCGTTTCCACCGCACTAGAGGGCTCTATAAACATGCTTGTCGCCGACCGATATGTCTCGTCAACCCACCTGTCCCCATTGACCTGCGGTCTGGGCTACGGCACCAGAGATAAAGGCGGCAACGACTGTGGCTGCTGTAAGAGCAAACTTCATTTTGACCAAGGAGGGTGAGGGTGAGACGCCAACCGATGGATGATGGTTGGCAACGGAGGTCAGAAGGGTTTTATAGATCAGCGCGGATGAACCTACGTTACGAGTACGGAGAAATGGATGCAAGTATTCGGCGCGAATTGGCCAGAATTTCAGCGTTCAGACCGAGTAACGAATCTGCGAGAATTCCGCGGGTCGCGCTAACTCAGTGTATAGGATACTCACCCAATGATCCGCTAAATTCAGCATCATCGCTTCCCGCGCAACCTACGTCGATGCTCCCAAACCGGTCCAGAAGTAACGGCAATAGTATGGAACAGTCAGGCGACTAAACTATTTTGTCAATAATCATTTAGACAGGCACCGAAAGGACCCCCTAATCCTGAAATAAAGATAGGAGACATACCAGGTGACCCGCGCAACAACCAGCGGTGCTCGAGGAAACCACGGGGAAGAATGTCGCCAGAATTCACGATATGGAGTGGCGACCGAACTCGAGGGATTCCCGACGATTGACACACACAATACCGATATTATCGTCGCTTCAACATGCCTTGGTGTGCTCGAGTTGCTGCCGAGATGGCCCAGCTCAGGTGTGTGGGTGTCGTCGCTGGTGTCATTCATGCGGAAAAATACGGTATCCGAGACACAAATGGTCACTTCAGGGGCTTCTTTAGGCGCGAATTCCAGACTTTTGCCTCCAAACGTCGGGGTAACAGAGCCATAGCACAAGTCGCGCACTTCTCAAACCATCTTCTAAGAATGTCCGATCGATAGAAATGTTGTGAAACCTCGCTACTAGCGCGTTCTATCCACGTGGGCCTTGTGCAGCGAGGCGGGATTTGCTGCACGTCCTCTAAGAGACTCATTTCAAGCTAAACTCGCTTTGAATTTGTAATGTCTTCCCAAATACAAGCGCCATTGCTTGGTTTAACAAGGTCAACGTTGGGCTTCAAGGTGGCTTGAACCACCCAAAGACCCAGCCATCGTCATTCTCAGGAGTAGTCCGTAAATTCCCCAGTTACGGCGTGTTCTCGTGGGTTCAAATCGGATAGGACGGCAATTCTCTGGAGCTCCCCTGGCTCAACGAGCGTCCACAAACGCCTGCGGGTGCCGTACACTTTGGGCTCAAAGTAGCCCTGAGTTCAGCCACAAAGTATTAGGTGTGCAGTACAGTCTTGAAAATGGTTCTGAAATTGTCCAGCAGTGCGGCTTTTATGAACTTGATCCTCCCCTGTTATAATCTTTATCCTCGATGGGCCGTACGAAGACGAAAACCAAACGAAAAGACACGCGTCGCATAAGCACACCCGATATCTCGGCCGCAGCGTCGTCCAGGCCAAGTGCCGCAGCCCTCTTTGAAAAGGCCCAGTCGCTTGTCGAGCAATGCGACTACGAGCTCGCCGCAAAGTTTCTCAAGAGAGTTATTGAAACCGATGGTTCTCACACCCAAGCCAAAGAGCTCTTCGGAGTTGTTTTACTAGAACTCGGAGATTTGGAGAATGCACAAGAGGTAAGGTGTGCCTGCAGACTCTGTATTCATGTGTCAACTTTCGTCACTAGCTCTTCCATAATCTTATTTCGTCCAATTCTCCGCCATCAGTCACGGCTTCGGCGCATTTGCATCTTGCCCAGCTTTGTGAGAATCCTAGGGAAGCCCTGGATCACTACCAAAAGGCAGTAGATACATTGTACAACTCTGAAAGCTCGCTATTCGTCACCCAAGGCCAGTCAGATGATTTGCAATCGAGGACGACCATCGCAAAAGCATTGGTGGCAATGACAGAAATCTGGCTTACAGATCTATGGTGGGGTAGATTTCTGACATAGGGGCTCGTACTTATGATCCTGTAGTATGGAGCCCGAGGCAGAGCAGAATTGTGAATCCCTTCTCAATCTCGCAATACAAGCGGATCCAGAAAACATTGAAGTACTCCAATCTCTCGCTTCTGTGCGAATGTCTCAGCAGAAACCTGAAGACGCCAAGTCTCTCGTGGAAAAGTCGTGGTCTTTGTGGAAAGAGCTACCGGCTGGCAAGAGACACAGATCATTTTCCTCTCTTTAACTAATAAATCCGTTAGGAGACCCGTCAACTCCAGTCGTACCTACTCGACTCTCTCTCACACGGTTGATGCTGGAGCTTTCGATGTATAAAGAAGCCCTGACAGTCTTGACTGGTATCATCGAGACCGACGACCAAGAGGTAGAGGCGTGGTACCTCGAGGGTTGGTGCTTCTTGCTCATGAGCGAGGATGCCAAGGCCAGAGGTGCCGAAGTCGAAGGCCTCTCCTGGAACGAGCTCGCTCAGGATGCAAGAGACTGCCTAGATACATGCATCACTGTAAGTTTCTCTCTACCCCATGATTGTCACTGACCAACACCAGCTTTTCGGGAACCAAAATCACCCCGATACTGCAATGCTGAGCCATGCTCATGAGCTGGTTAAGCAACTTCAAGACATGGGCGTCAAATCGTCAAACCTAGACCCTGGAGATGATGAGGAATGGGAAGATGTCGAAGGGAGTGAGGATGAGGACACTGAGATGGCTGCATAGCTCCTAGAATTGACGCCCACTGAAAAAATTTACGCGTCTAACGCGCCTATTATGACTTAGTGCAAACGCCGGATCCGGAACTTATAAAACCCTCGCTTGAGGAGCTCAGCGTTAGAGCACCAACCTTGGCCTCGACCTTTACCGGGTTGACCGGTCATGGACGACTTTCGGGATCTGCTCGACGCCTTGCCCACAGAGGACTACCATGAGCCTCAGATTCCACCAGCGAAACCAGATGCTGCGGTGACGGTCTTGTCTCTGCCGACAGAGGTATTGCAAGAAGTAGCAGAATACTCCCAAACTCGTGACGTACTGTCTCTCATGAGAACTAATAGGGTATTCTACGCCGTAGGACTGCGTAGATTCTATGAATCTGCCTACTTGTTGGGCAATCGCTGGACTGGCATTTTGTCAAAGCTACCAGTTGGAACCGCTGAAGACCTCGTTTCCAAAATAAAAAGCAACAAGGCTTTTCAACACAAGCTTGGAGTACTCGGTGGTCTACTCTGCCAAAAGCGTCACATTGCCCATGTGAAGCGGCTCGTCATCGTGGACTACCCCGTGTCCGTCAACGGCAATCAAAGCAAGTTCAATACGCTTCTACGCTTCCTACTGGAGAACGCGGTCCTGCTGCAGACGTTTGAGTTGCGCGGCGTTTATGCAGACGACAAGACGCTAGACTTTGCAGACATGCAACTCCCATTCAAATATCTCCAACACATCACGACTAAAGACCTCACAACTCAACCAACAGCGTCCATCATCAAGCAAGTCAATCTGGCCTCCTTGCAGGTCATCTCTTATGTTTCCATCCCAGATTTGATTGGTACGATAATAAACTCGAGTACGACTTTGTCGTATCTGAGCTGTCGTATCCAGTTGAATGGGAATGTTGATATTGATGAAGCGTATCAGCAACTGGACGAGCTAGCGGCTTCAATCCCTTGCGTTGCGACTCTGAGCATTGGTTTCTGGTCTTATATCGAAGCCGAACGCGAGGTATGTGTATATGATTGTTATTCACTGACAAGAACTGACACCAGACCAGAACGAATTACGCTGTATCGGGCGGCTCATCCAGAAGCTCCCTCGACTGAGGGAGCTCATAATCAACCAGAAACATTGGAGTGATAACTCCATGGAAGAAGAGTTGGCAGCGACGCGAATATGCTCCGAAGCCAACGGACAACTACAAAGACTTCGTTTGGTTATGCGTGGATGAATTACAGTCCAAAAGATAACGATGCGATCTTATGGAAAAGGGACAATGAGGTGGGAGATGAGCTTTCATGGACACCGAGCCCCATGTTCCACAGCCGCTGGTCCGCATGGATAAAATTGTTTCACAGTGTTGACAAAGCTCATAACGCAATGGTTGAGCGTTGGGGTTCTGTACTTTCAGCACATCAGATTCCAAGCATCGAGTTTTTGACCATGGTCTCTTCATATAGACCAAGGGCCCTCTCGGATTACGGGCAGAGCCCCTCAGACTGATCATAGACTGTACGAAAAGATATTGCACGAATTTTATCTTAATCACTATTTCTCTGAAAGAATCATAAGTATGCTTCCTCAGAACGTTGTCAGGAGTACCTACTTCCAACTTTTAGCCACTTTGGAATCTTCTTTTCTGCCAGCGCTGCAATGCTACCGCCGACCGAGGAACTCGCAGGTTCCGATGGCGGTGTCTCGTTGAAGACTGGTGGAAGTGGTAGATCTTCCGCCAGAGCCAGCACTGCTTCTGATAATGGTGCAGGGACGTCCTTGTCTGGATGGCCGTCAACCTCATGTCTAGGCAAACAGAGGAAACGCACGATTCAGGGATTCGTCAAGGAATGAAAGCATCAAGACTGAAGATGGGGCAAGTTGAAGTTGATAAAGCGTCTTGTCGCGCACGGCCAAGTCCGACACTTTGAGCTCCCGTCGCGGTGGCGTTTGATCTGCGAAGTGGTGAGTCAGAAGAGGTCGGCAAGCCAAGCAGGTGACATACAGAGTACGAATTTGATAGGCTTGACATCTTCCCTGAGTGAGTTTCTCACAAATGCATAGACTGATCGAATCTTGTCGGTGGAAGGGAATACGCGCTCGAGTTGAGTTTGGTCTGGGAATTTGACTCGTATTGTCGTCTAGCACAAGTTAGGACGACGCGTATGCTACGCGCCTCGGGCGCCCAAGGGAGAGCTTACCGTCGGATATTTCGACTCTTTTTGCTTCTCTTCGCGCTCTCTGATCATTGCGGTGCGCAAAGGTGCGTCCACAAGTCTCTCTCGTGCCGCAGTCCGTGATTGCTGAAGTGCCATAATCTCGCCAGTAGTGGGCTCAAAATACGAATCTGGGAGGTTATCTACACAATATCTGGTTGATATAAGCATTTCGGGCGTGCAAATCGACATACTGGTCGCTATTCTGCTCGTAGAACTGCCCCTGGGCGGGCGCCAGACCTTGAAGTCGGTGGGTTGCGTGGCATTTGCGATAGGTTCCTGCTGTGTCGCCAATGACTGTTCGTTTGTAGAACCAGACTCCATTTTACGCGATTTATTTCGTATTTGGTCGTTTAGTCTGGGTGGTAGTCCGCAGAGGCGGCGTCCAAGTTGACGGTCCATCTTGAATCTCCACCGTGCCGACGTCGTAGCAGCCTACGCCTTTAGAGGCGCGTAAATATCTCTTCAAGGCTCGAGTATCAGCACAAATCCGTGTTAATTATTCGGTGCCGACGTCTCTAGCTATGGACGACGGATCGCTCGTTGCGGACGACAAGTTGCTCACGGGCACCCTCAAGTTGGACCATGTAGTACGTATATTAAACTCCTTCCGAACTCATTGGTTCCTACAAGCTTTTCCTCTGCACGCTACCGAGTTTTGGTAGCATAAACTACGCGGTCATCATGCCTTCCGGGCCTTGGTTTGCTGACGCTTCGCTCAGAACGACACTCCTATCGAATATGATTCAAACAATAATCTAGTTTCTCCCCTCGACGCTCCCAAAGGCGCGGTTATGGGGCAAAACGACCTTGATGTCGCTAGCCCTCCCTCCAATGACCTCGGATTGGATTCACAAGCTATAGCAGGTCCTTCGCGCGCAAGAAAACGAAAACGACGCGCTCCTGCAGAGCCCAGTCCGACGTGTTGGCGCTGCAAACGACCCGCAGGCAACAACCCTCAGGGAGCCCCAGAGCAGCTGCTATCGTGTTACAACTGTGGAAGAAGTGGTTAGCACATTCTACGCTTCTGACCGGTTTCCTGATATGTTCGCTTAGAGCATCCATCGTGCACCCACAAGAATGGCAGCTGGACGAGGAGTTGGGAATGGGTTTGCGACGCGTGCAAGCAATGTCAGATATGTCAACAAGTGTCAGTGAATGATGTAGGCTTCTTTCGCAACAAAATGGGCTTCGCTAATCAACTCTCCAAGGGCGAATTGATCAGCTGTCAACAGTGTGACCGAGGTATATTTCTATACTTGCAACTCCAAAGGTCGCTGGCTAACATGAACCAAAGGGTGGCACCTCTCGTGCTTGCTCGCAACAGGATATGAGGAACCTCCAGAGTTGCCAAATTGTCCGGAATGCAGACCATCGTCCTTGGATGCAAGCAAGGCTCCTTCTGTCATCATGCAGGAACAAGACCAAGCTCCTGCAGCCACTGTCTCTTCGGGAACAGATTCGCTTCCCAATGGTACGGCGCATGCACGTCGAAAATCGCGAAAGCAGGATTCCATATCATCCGTCACACAAAGACCTGCTAGGACATCCAACACTCTCAGCAAAGCTGTTTCTCTGCCCACACTTCCAAAGCATGTGCCGCCCCCGCAAAAGGTCGTCGTCACGCCGCAGAGGGCGACGGGATCACCCAAGGCGAAAGTCCAACCTCGAATAAGCCTACGGCTTCCTCCTAAGAACAAGGCGGAAGAGTCGCCGAAGCGTCGTGCATTCGAGGAGATTCTCGGTGCCGAAGAAGCCGACACGACCAAGACTTCTATCACAGAAGAGGACAAGGCGCGTTTCGAAACTAGTAGGGCCAGCGCAGAGGAGCGACTAGGCGTGCCACTCGTCCCTCCTCCGGCTACTCCAATGGGATTCATGACACCGGTCAACCAGCCTCAGACACCGACTGCAGGAGGAACGCCAAAACCCGCCGCATCAGAAACATCCAAAGGTGCACGACTTCTCAAGACTGCCCTCTCAAAAGCACACTTGATCCCGAACACGACCTTACCATCAACACCTAAAAGCTCCTTTCCTGGCTTTTCCAGTGTCTTGTCTACTGGTCCTCCCCCTCTTCGAATACGGACGATTCGTATTGGCGCATTTGAAGTTGACACATGGTATGACGCGCCCTTTCCAGAAGAATACGCAGCGGTACCGGACGGAAAGCTCTATATGTGCGAATTCTGTTTAAAATACATGCGAAGTCCGTTCGGAGCCGAACGACATCGGACAAAGTGTACCAGTCGGCATCCGCCCGGAGACGAGATTTACCGTGACGGCAGTATCTCAATATTCGAGGTTGACGGAAGACTCAATAAGGTGAGCCTAAACCCACTGCCATGAACAAATATTGACCCAATTGTCAGATATACTGCCAAAATCTCTGTCTTCTCTCCAAGATGTTTCTGGATCACAAGAGCCTGTTTTATGACGTAGAACCCTTTCTATTCTACGTGATGACAGAGGTGGATGATATTGGCGCCCATTTCGTCGGATACTTCAGTAAAGAGAAGCGCAGTCCGAAGGACTTCAATGTCAGCTGTATCATGACGTTGCCAGTCCGCCAAAAGTCTGGATGGGGAAACTTGCTCATCGACTTCAGTAGGTTGTGACCGTCATTTATTTACTTTGGCTAACTCGCGGTAGGCTACCTGCTTACAGAGAAGGAGAAGCGGTATGGAACACCCGAACGGCCTCTCTCTAAACTCGGAGCCATTGCGTATGGTCGATACTGGCAATTGTCGGTCTTCAAGTTTCTGAACCAGTGCTCCCCGAGTGACAATATACGTATGGAAGACATTTGTCGGAAAACGAGGATGACACTCGAGGACGTCTTCAATACCCTACGAACACACCAACTCATCTCTCTGACCGCCCCTCCCACGCCTGCCCGTTCCAAGTCAGAAAGTCCTCGTAAGGACGCGATTCAACGACAAAGCTCGAAATCCAACCTGAACTCCATCTACGACCTCACCGCAGTCCCGAAGAATTATGTCATTGAATGGGATCGAAAGGCTATCAAAGATTATGTGGAGAAGGTTGAGGCCAAGGGTCTTGCGACACTACACCCCGAGAAGCTCAACTGGACACCGTATCTCATTGGCAGAGCCCGAAAGGCAGATTACCCGCCCAAGGAGGGGTCAAGATCGTGGGAAGTCGAGCTCGAAGATGTACCAGAGGCTCGAATGCATGCCTACACGCCACTGGAGCCAGTCGAGAGGCCTCCAAAATCGAAACCTTCTGGCTTTGCAACTCCAAAGGCTGGAACTATGACCCCATCGGCAGCCGCCCACCCAGCAAATCAAAGGAAGCGAAGAACATCACCATCCTCGACCATCGGTGCGCTTTCGCAAGGGGAATGGCCAGAAGACTTTCCGGATGAGGACGATGACGACGAGTTTCGCGAGGACGACTCGACCAGTCCAGAAATGGCTGCTGCTGCGCGTCTGCGTAGGACACGCAATGGCCGAACCCAGACGAGCAGGGAACCACTTTCAACAAATGCAGAAGGCAGTGAGGATGAAGCCTGGCGAGACACTCCGACAAAACCACGGAGAACCCGCTCTGGACGAACCCTCCGTTTGAGCCGAGACGTTGAGTCAGAGTCGGACTGGGATCAGCGAGGTCCTCGTCTACGCACGAGGTCACAAAGCCACACTACGAGGAGCAGTCGTAGAGCGGCGTCGTCCAATATCAGTGTAGCTGGCCCGGTGTCGGATACGCATGATGATCACGACGGGTCTGATGCCGATGCATACGAGGATTCGCCAGAGCCGTCGACGTCTCAATTGCCAAAGAAGCGGCCAATTCGGGTCATTGATACGTCTGAGAGCGAAGAGGGGGATACAACTGTACGCCAGGAGAGCACCGCTGCTGTCGCAAGACTTGGACGAAACGCCGATGGGAACTCTCAGAGGGTTTATGCTCTTTCTTCTGAAGCGGACGGAACTCAGCCGGTGCACAGCGAGAGGGCACATACCAACGGTCTGACTTCAGACGATCAGCTTCCGGACACTCCACAAGTCATTGTGACCGAAGAGCACACACAGAACGGGGGGCCGTTATTACATGCAAACTCGTCTATGCACAATATCATGGACGCTAGATGGATGCCGAATCTTGCGGCAGGCCAACCAAAGCTCCACCCGAACCTGACCACAATTCCCACCGAACCCGAGGTCCCTCTAAAGTTGGAAACGTACCCCGCCTCGTCCGCGGCATACCTGACGCCAGTCAGGCTAGATAGAGTTCACCGAACGCCTTCAGAAGATGCCGTGATGACCGAAGTGGGATTAGTATGGCCAACATCTGCGTCGGGTGATGCAATGGAGCTCGATGGCTTTGGAGAGGGGGAAGACGAGGATGCGGATGGAGAGGAGGATCCGACTTTTTTCGCGGCAACCTGAGGAGGCAAAGCGCTCTTTCACATTTTATTCGTGCTGTTTTTTTCAATCTGTACAACCGTCTTCCCAAGAACGGCATACATTATGACCGTGTACGTTCATACGCTAGACATGCAAAGGCAATGACATTTGTGGTGTTCAGAATTAGTCGGAAAGCTCTATTGTTTCCACCTGCACTACTGGTGCTCTAGGCCGTCTTTTGTTGATGTTCTCCTTTTCTTCCTCTGACGAATCCAACTCGAAGATTTCCTGTATGGTTGACGCTAAGCGGTTGGATTGAGCTCGACTTGGGTTTGTTGAGTTGGTTGGTGTTGTCGAGGGCTGGGTAGACAGTACTTTCTGTTCTACCTCGTCTATTTGTTCCAGGAAATCATCGTCTAGTTCGGAAGGCATATCGTCAAAGCTTTCGTTGACCGTTTGAGGAACGATTGGCCTTGCACCCGTCAGAGTTTCCGAGAGCTGCACTCCCGCAAGCTGCTGCTGTTCACTTCGCATGCTATTGGCAGGAGGCCGTTGCGCTGCCTGAGCGCGGGATCTCTCTTCGACTGGCTGAGCAGCCTGACGCTGCTGTTGCTGTTCTGCAAGTCTTTCGTCTTCTGGATCCTCTTCCGGTTGACTGGTGATATTAGTCGACAAAACAGGTGCGCAACGATGACTGACCCCATCCTTCTTCTCAGACTCTTGACGAAGTTGATATCAAAGTGTGCCTGCAGTTCGTCGCTTTGGTATCCGACTACTTGTGTGTTCGATGGATCTAGCATGGCTATTCCATTCCTCACTCTGACATTGGTGAGAAGCAACTGCAGAGAGGCAGTCAGAACAAAACTTTTCGTTCTTTCGCACGCACCTTGCAACCAAGGGGGGTTTCGCCCAGTACAAGACCATCAAGTCGTTTCGCTTCTATGGCTTTAATTGTCACCGTGCCATCGCTAATGAGCAGGGAGAGCATGGACCTGGGGTATGGTGGCATCGTCGCGTCCTCATCCTCGCCTGGGGGTTGTGCTCCATCGGCTCCTTCCTCGTCTAGGTCTTTCTCTTTGTCAATCCGGTCATATCTGCCTTGTCCAACCGTGATTGCCGTACGTTCTTGAGTGTGAAAGCACTGACTCCGATATCCGTAATGGCAACTATTTGTACCAGAATAGGCCCTCCACTTGCCCGTGTGCCGATGATGCCGTTCTTCATTTGCTGAATACCATTGGGAAACCCAGTATCTCGCATGGCAGAATCGCAAAGGTCGCTCTGCAATAGTTGCAAAAGGACCTGTTCGCTGAGCTGCTCTGTGTCATTTTCCCTCAATTGAAGTTCGGATTCAAGAAACTCGACGCATGCGGCGACCCAGTTCTGTCGAGTTTGACTAGGTATCAGTCAACGTCAAGCATATTAGGCCATTCAGATGAATCTGACAGGGTCTAGTTTGGGCCTTGAATAGCGTTGCTCGATCCAACGGGTGACTCTTGCGCTTGCCATGATGGGTGGCAGGTCAAAGTCGGTCTTTGCCACTTTCCACCGCACCCTTGCAAAGAAATCGGCGATCAACTTCCAAAGTGATAGAATGTCTCAAAGAGACTGGCATGAAGTGTAAATTTGCCTTGGATTCAGTCGGACTTGCTTCTGAAGTGATTGATGCAGCACGATACGAATCCCGTTTACTTCACCAGAACATGCAAAGATTGCTATGGATGTCATCAGCGTGGACAAGGAGCTACAAGCTCATGCAGTGAAACGAGATCTCTCATTGGATGGTGACGAACTTGTCGCGTGAGTAGTCCAAGTGTCTCAAGTCGTTTTGCTCACAGAGTTGGGTACAGAACCTTCAAAACATTAACTGTGCGCCTCGCAAGACTGACGTTGAATGCCTATCTCGAAAACGTCGAGCTGATAATACGGACACTGGACGAATTTGGACCTGACGCAGCGACGATTTGAGTTGGTGAGTGGCGCTTTCAGTGTATTCACTTCATTGAAATTGAGCAAGTATGCATTCCTTGTGCTCGTCCTTATTCCTCATCCTCCTTCTCTGCCTTCTTCTTCGCCTTTTTATCCTTCTTGCTCTCCCTCAGTGGGCGGACGAGTAGCTCTTTGAGTTGCTCATCCTGTACTTCCTTCTCCGTCTTCACCTTCTCCGGCTTGTACCAGATTGGGGGCTGGGTGATGAGAGATGGACCACCGGGGAGTAGGGCGATCGTGAAGTGAATCCGGCAACATATGTACCTTGAGCAGTGTACCTATGTTTTATCAGAAGGAGATTCAGAATAGAAACAAATCTTCGTACGCGATGGGGTACTCTCGAACTAGGCCGTGCTGAACTGCCTCTTGTAGGCCCATACGGGCCTTCTTCTCATCTTCGAGGCATCGGATGTTGAATGGGAACGCGCCCGATTTCTTCTGTGCTTCGGAGAAGACTGCGCGCGAAGTTTTCATCTTGAGCTGATAATTGACATCGGATACGCGCTGGTAGATTGTACATCTCGAGTCCTCTGAACGGCTCTGTAATCTGTTAGCGTGCTGCATCAACGCCTGGGTGTAACTTGCCTTTCCGTCGGCAGCGCTGACGACGAGGATATCGATACCATACACCTCGTTTTCTCCAAATGTCTCGTTGGGGACATCACGCCTTTGCTGTTCGCCTGGGTTCAGGATAATCTTCTTCTTGCCGTCAATGACATTTCGCTCATATTGGCAAGAAAGCATGTCTTAAAGGGGTCAGTCTTACTCTGGTACCAAGGCTCTCTTCTCACTTTCAACCGGCTTGCAGTCCCAGATCGCGGTGACCTTGTCCACAATCTCCGTAACGCCATAATTCTTTTCTCCTACTTTGAGATGGCGCATAGCTGCTTCTGCTGCTGTCCAGGCAGCCTTGACTGTTCATTCATCAATTCATATATTCCCAGCCGGACGCTTTGCACGTACCGACGTCTGCAGCTCGACCAGTGGCAGGCTCATCCTCTGTCGCTCCTACAATCAGGGTCTCGGCAGAGGTTGCAGCATATCCGTCGATATGGGCCCCTACAAATGTCTTGGTGAAGGGACTTCTGGCGAATCAACGACCCTTACCGAGTTGAATCTTGACCACGTCTCCCTTTGCCAAAACGGTATCTGATTGTGGATCCGATCTAAACGGCTTGTTCAGATAGTCGCTTCTTCCCATTGAGTAACATACTTGAGTGGCGAGAAATGCGCCACGGCGTTGTTGACCGATATGCATGTAGGAAAGGCGATACCTGCACATAATGAGGAATCATACAGATGCATGAAAGATATTCGTACCTTTTTGTATCGCCGCGCCCTTTGCCTTTTTATTATACACGCCTGCAGCGCCGGCCTCTAATGCCTCGTCTCCCTCAATGACGAGATCAAGGACCTTTTTGCCTTCCACGGCACCAGCCACCAGCTTTTGCATCACACTATGCACGATCTCGGCGGCGACCTGATAATCGTGTCAATCTTAGGGCTCGTCCAAGAACTGATAGAGGAAAGTGAAGCTTGGTTTGTAATATATGTGTTTTTGAGCGCTGAGCTGTCACAAGCAGCTCATGAGAGAAGGAAATGGGCTCTTCAGAAACGTGTCGGTGGCGCTGGTGAAAGACGAGGAATGGCGAAAGATGGATGAAACTTGAAAACTTACTTTATATTTTGTAATCTCAGCGTCAATATTTCGGGCTGGGGTTTCTGATGTCGTCGCCATCTTGGAAGAAATCAAGGTTGGAGGCGGTCAAGTTATGATCTCCACAATTCCCTGACAAAATTCAAATTGTTGACGGGGAATTCATAACAGTATGACTTCTTTAGCTCCCATAGGAGGCTGGCAACCTGCGTGAACCTCTACCACGACCATGAGCAACCGTTGGCCCGAGATTGGAAGCACAATAGAACTAATAAGGGATCAAGATGCAGATCTAGCACTTGCCCACGAGCTCATGCGCGAGCGGTCCGCCTGGTTCCATCTGGATTCACATAGAAACTGACGGGAAATGTCCAGAGCACGACTGGAGCAAGAGTTGTACGTCGATAATATATGAGATTCTTCTATTGAGCAGAGATGAAGCGTTGATGGGCTACGCGCACTGGTCGAAACACACAAACCACGGCCGGGGGAGGCAAACAGAGAGTATTCAAGGGTACTCATCACTGCATTCGAACAAGGTGAGACCTACACTGTATAGAAGAATACCTGACACAACCTATCTAGAAATCAGGGCTCGCTCGTCGGATCTCAACCCAAACATCGCCGAGTACCCTATTAAGACGGTTAGATAGCTTAATTCAGTCAGATATGCGATTCACAGGTTACAGGAGCTTTTGGTCGGTTCTAAACTCTCCCAGGCGTTTCACGATGCACATAGGACACATGACGACAAATATAAAAAGCTGTTAGCTTCAACGGACGAGCTGAAAGAGTGGTTGAACCGAGACCCGCAGCGGCCCTGGGAGATGCGAATGCCATTATCGGGTAAGTACCAGCCAGGCATCCAGATATGACAACCATAGCCAGGCAATAAGAACTTGAATACCGCTTGAGCGTGCACCATCAGCGCAAATCTGCGAGCAGCCTCCAAGAGTGGTATGAAACTAAATTACCAGTCCGTCGCTTTGCTTCGCCTCCAGCCCCCACCTAAGGACGGCGCAGCCCTTGATAGAATCTCACCATTCGGTCCTAGAGGACACAAAAACAACCATGATCAACACAATTAACACAGAAATGTCTGGAATTCCTTTTCTTTATGTCGCCTCTGATGAATTATAGCGATTGTGCATCGACTTGTAGTCGGATATATTCCCGAGCGCTTGGTAAAGCGTCAGATTTACTTCCGCTGAACCATCGTGCATCAATCCAAGAGAAGATGGATGCCGAACCAGTCAGCCAGGCACTCATCCCTGTGGACTACTACAACTGGTTCTTCGATGGGAAACCCTCACCTCTGCACTTTGGCATTGGTACTCTACTCCTGAGATTCTCTTCTAATTTTGTACGTCTTAAGAACTTACGTGACAAAAAATCGGCTGACATCTGGGCAGAAGTCGCGGGGGATCCCAGTACATGATGTGCTGTGGGCCGAGCGAAGCAGTGATGCCAGTGGTGTTTCATACATGGATATTACGTTGGTGCGCCATCTCTTCTCATTTGAACGCTTGGGCAACGATACTCCTCCAGTTTGATCTCGTGCAGTATGGGCCAGTACTTCCGCTAAACTCACGAGAGTTTGAACGACTGAAGCATGCGAGCTTGGTGTCTAGCATAGCAAATGAGGCGAGGACTAAACCTGATATAGGTACAATCTCTCGTGGCGACTTGATCGCTCTTTTGGTGCCAGATGAACCGGTTTGGGAACCGCTAGGATCTGCAAGGCGCAAAGAATTGCTCAAGATGACCATCAACAAAGTCAGGCCTGACTTGCTCACATTCCGTTATGTGAGTCTACTTGCTCAATATATTTCGACTAGATGCCTCGGCAGGGTTCGGGAAACATTGTCAATGCTTTCCAGAGGAAGTGGGATTTTGAAAACGACAAGCCAAAGCCCAGAGAAACGTGATCCGGAGCCATACGTCGAAATGATTGAGATCTGGCAAGATACTCGGCAAGCTTTCGTGGGAGAGAACTCCACTCAGAATTGGAATGGAGTCTGTTCATAATTGATGAAGGTCGTCTCAAACAAAATATAAGTTCAGTATTCGCCTATTAAACTTATGCAAGATTGCAATTTGCATTCATTGATGAGCCACCTATGGCAAATGAGACATGACCGTCTGGTCAATACTCACCTTTCATGTCATAATCTCGAATCCTGGACAGGTGTTAAGACCGGTGATACGGCTTGTCTTGTCGCGGCCCAAGCTATATGCACCCAGTCGAATAGTATACAGAATTGACAGCAGGATACTCAGCATCACGGTTGGCTCAAGTGCGGCGAAGCAAAGTGGATGTGACCCAATCACCTGTGGGATCGACTGATGGACGTGGATAGTACAGTGTTGAATAGCGAATGCTCTGGTTTCTAAGCTATGGCCTCGAAAAGTCTGCATTTACAGTAGACTACGCGAAGTCTCGATGGGACCCTTATCGAATTGCGTGGACAGACGCTTTGTTTGGTTAGGAAATCCACCCGTGATAAGGATCCTACTTGACCGCATCTAATCTTTGAATGGTCGGTCGTCGAGAATGTCGCCGAAGTACAAGATGTGATCACCATAGTTGCTTGACTGTTTTCAAATCAATGGAAAAGCCACCACTTTTCTATTGAATATCTTTGACTTTCATCAGCACTCGCGACTCTGGGTTGGGTCTCGACCTTGGATGCTGCCTCATCGAGCGTACTGCTCGAGATGGGCAAGCTTTTGCGTACGCGGGTCATATCAGCTACTTAGGACTCGACTGATAATCTCCTAATAGCTCACAAGCTCTCGTAGCTATTCCAACATTTCCAGTCGGTCGTTCTTCACGAGTGGGACCGCGAGCAAGTGGCCGGCTCACTTAAAACCTATCAAAACTCTTCCACTGAATGGTTATGTGCGATATAATAGCGGTACAAAACGTCCTTTCGACCCTATGGCAGCCGCACGAGCTCGACATGCCCAACGAAATCGGACACTGCTTATGTACAGCACCGCAACGGTACGTACTACCATCTAACCCATCAATTTAATTCAATATGCATAGATTCTCGTCGTCTTGGGAGGAACATACGCCGCCGTGCCGCTTTACCGTGCATTCTGCGCCGCGACGGGCTTTGGTGGGACACCCAAGACGGCTATGGGACAATTCGAACCAGAGAGACTACACCCCGTGACTGGAGCGCGTAGGATCAAAGTTACTTTCAACTCTGCGACGAGCGACGCGCTTCCATGGAAGTTTACTCCCCAGCAAAAACATGTTTGGGTACTCCCCGGTGAAACGAGCTTGGCGTTTTATACGGCGAAGAATACGTCCAACGAAGATTTGATTGGTATCGCGACTTATAATGTCTTGCCTGATAGGGTGAGTGGTTCATATCGTACTTATTGATGACCTGACGATACATAGGTCGCACCGTATTTCGCCAAAGTCGAGTGCTTTTGTTTCGAAGAGCAGAAATTACTCGCTGGAGAGGAAGTCGACATGCCGCTTTTCTTCTTTATCGACAAGGATATTCTCGATGATCCCAATGCGCGTAATGTAACAGACGTGGTACTGAGTTACACATTCTTCAAGTGAGTACGCTTTTCCTCTCCGAACCACTCTCACATTTTGCAGAGCTCGTCGAAACAAGCATGGTCAGCTTGAGCCTGATGCACCGAAAGATGTGGTCGACGCATCGATGGGATGGTCGGAATACGAGCATGCAAAGTCGACAGAGGAATCCTCAGAGTCGAAATCGAGCTAGTGTATCTTATTGGTTTATCTCTTTATCTACAACTCCCATCTCTACTCTTTTCGAAATGCTACAGAACAGCATAGTGAGCCCGACTTGCCTGCAAACGTAAAGGTCGGATGTTGGATGCGGGAGCTACGGGATTGTATGAGCAGGGAATGGGTGATGGTATAAGCACTCACTGATACTTGAGGGTAGGGGCCTTTGTCGTAAAGTGAGTTTTGATTTCCTCTTCGGTAAAGTTGCACGCTATAGGAATCAGCTAGGAATAGGGTAGTCGTAGTTCCTCACAGGTGATGAGGAAGAACCCTCCTGTGGGCAATAGCGCTTCGACACGCTCTGGGTATATATCGATTGGATGCTGCTCGTTGGCTTCTTGGGTCCCATATAGTGCAATGGCGTCAAATGTACCCTTGTCTAGTCTGAGGGGTGTGAATCAGGGCACAACGACAGAGGGATTGTCTCACATCAAGTCCCAGAGCCCATTCAGCTGAGTCGAAAGTGGCGTTGGCCGACTATGAATAAAATCGACCAGTTCAAAGGTGAGACCGTCGACGTTTCTGCCTTTTGCTACACGCTTGGAGAGTTCGACAGAGCCTTCGCTGTAATCAATGCCGACGATTGTGTGTGGGTCGTATCCTGCTTCGACAAGTGAGAGGCAGAGGATGCCATTCCCGGTACCGACGTCCAATATAAAGGGAGGTGATGCTGAAGAGGTATGTGGAGGTACGTTTTCTACAGCCCAGTCAACCTGCTTGGCGTTGGCCGGGGGATCGATAGTGAGGAGAGTTGTACCATTTTATCCACAGATTCCTGCCCAAACCTGAGGATAGATTAGAGATGGATGTTGGAGTGTATTTCGACTGACCAAATCTCTCCCTCGTCTCCCAACTCGTCGTAATTGATGACTTCTTCGGTGTACTGGGCGTCCCAGCTGTGCGAGTGTGAATATATGTGTGTAGACTATACTAAACCGTGTTTACTATGATTTTGTGCCGAGTTTTGTCGGCTTGAGATGCATGGCCGAGGACATTGGGTGCAACTTGGACCTGGCCAGAATTCCAATGAGCCGCCAAACTGGCTATGTGGGCCAGCCCGGTGCCAGCTATAATTACCCGCAATCCAATCAGCCGCCCGTTATCCGCAACAGCGTCAACCCTGGGACCACGCCAATGGCCCGGCCGCTCAAAGCAGCGCAAACACAGCAGGACAAGTTTGGATCGCCCCTCGTCAGCAATTCCTCCTCCACGTCACGTGCTTCCTCCTTTTTCTCGTCCTTTCGTAAAAACTCTGTGGAAATGGACAGAGCGCACGCACCAGACCGGGCCTATCAGACGATGAGCGCCGCTGCCCAGAGTCAGCGCAGGCCAGAAACAGCCCAGTGGGACGAATATGGACGCCCGTTGATGTCGATGGGTGCTGCTAACGACTCGATGCGTCCACAGCAGGCCAGGACAACATCTGGCCCCTCTAAACTAGTCAGCCCCCGCGCACAAACCCTGCAGCAGTCGCATTCGTACACAGGATCCGTTTCGTCAACAAACTCTGGCTCAGTTGGACGACGGAAATCGGCGCTCATTCGTGATATTCCGACAAAGGACGAGTATACAGGCGCAGTCCATCCAGAGATTCAGCAGGTCGTCGGCCTGACCGTCGCCCATAGTGGCAAAGTATATGCTTCGGGACCTCTGGTGAGGAGAAACGAACGCAACGCAGATGGCACTACGAACAAGGATGCCCAATGGATCGAAGTCTGGGCTCAGTTGGGAGGTACTACCCTCAGCGTTTGGGAGATGGAAGCTATCAACAAGGCAAATGCAGAAGGTCGTCAAGTCCCTCCAACCTATATCAACGTCACAGACTCGGTACGAAGTCGAAAGATGTGCATCCCCGAATTGCTAACACCTCTCGGTTAAGATTGTCCAAGTGCTCGGTTCCGTCATGAACCCTCAAACAACAACCTCTCCAGAACAACGGCACAGTAATGTCATTACAATGTCAGCCACACTCTTGGCAGCCAGCACATTCAGAAAACGCTAACCCCTTGTTTCATATAGCAACACCGCGGGGTCCAACCTCATTCTTTTTGCTTGCCCCAACCCTCCGACTTTGCTCTCGTGGGCCACGGCCCTTCGGCTTGCATCATGGGAAAAGTCGCGAATCGAAGAAATTTACACCGGCCACTTATTCCGGCTGGGCATGATGGATGGTAACCGGTTCCTTGAACCGGATAGCACGCTGCACAAGGGCAAGCTCGAAGGATGGGCCAAAGTTCGCATAAGCGGCACGACAGAGTGGCAGCGTCTGTGGGTGGTCATCACCACAGGTTCGCAAACCTCTTCCTCTATTGATAGTGGTCGACCGGGTTCACCAGATGGGTCCACGAAACGAAATAGGCTTTCTAGCTTTTTGGGCGGGAAGAGTTCGACTTCGAATAGCGGCCATGGCAGTGGCTTTGTCGGGGTGCCGACGATTGGAATGTACCCCAGTAACAAGACCAAGGACAAGAAGCGTGTGCTGTACACGACTACGGATGTAACGCAGGCTTTCGCCGTTTATCCCGAACGACCCGAAGTCATCAATCAGAGTTCTCTATTCAAGATTGAAGCCACGATCAAAGATGAACAGGTACGTCCTCATCTTTTCGAAGCACGCGACTCTAAGATTCAATAGGCGTATGCGTCTACGCCAATGAGAGAGCGAGCTCCTGATGCTCGTGAAGGATACGCTCTCATTATTCCTGAACTCGAGCCCGGAAAGCAGGGTTCTAGTGAGATGATCAAGTGGCTTATTGGTAAGGGTAGTCTAGAGCTAATGACCTCCACTGACGCGCTGCAGCTATTCATGACGCTTTCCGGCTCTATGGCCGACCCGAGAGTTATTCGTGGAATCCACGTGATCCAAAGTCCATGTTTTTTACTTATCCATATGGGCCGTACAGAGACGTATGTCCCAAAATCGCGACCAACCACATTGACTAATCGATCCTTAGCATCTATTCCTTGACCGCGAACTGGCAGAGGTCATTGATCCACGCATTCATCAGACTTCCAAAGTCAGAGCCAAGCTGATGGATATCCTGATCCAGCGAATGCATGCACCTCCTCAACCGCCTCCTGCCAACGGCAGCCCTCAACTCCCGCCGCTCAACTTTGGTCAAGACCAACACCTCAGCAGCAGCAACAGCAGCAACAGCAACAGCAACAGCAACAGACGCAAGAAGGATCCCATATCCAAGGGCGTAATGGGCTAACGACGATTCGTGAGGCGAGTACGGCAAGTGCAGAGATGCATTCGATGGTGCCTGCTCAGCGATCGCCCGCGAATTATGAGCCTCAGCCAGCACAGAACGGTGGTGCTGCATCTTTTGCTCCAAGCTCGCAGTCTACGGAGTTGCCGTATGGGAGGAGGCCAACTGTATCCACAGCGGATTCGCATGGTCAGGCGGCGGCATCTTCTACTCCTATTGGGGAAACAGCAAAACATGTGCAACGCCAGGCTTCCATGGATCGCTCATGGTCACCTTCCCGCGACAACGCCGCAGCTTTCAACCCGTCTGTACCAGTGAGGACCCAAACGACACCACGACCATCGGTGGATACCAACTCTCGCACTGGTTCCCCTCTCTCCACCCGCAATTATGCGCCTCCAGCGGTCCCGCCGTCTAACATTGCTTCCACAGCTGCTAATGGACAGAATCCAGGCCCATCCGGGGCATCTGTCAGTAAACCAGGCTCTTACTCTTCAACGCCTCCACCTACTGCCACCTGGGGACCTCCCTCAGGACCTCCCACAGGACCTCCCACAGGACCTCCCACGCCATCAAGAGGCACTAATGTTCAACAAATGACGTCGGTGAGTACTAATCCCAAGCGGCTACCAGTTATTTGACCGAACTCCGGTCTAGGCGGCACAGCCCTCATCAGCTCCCACAGCTCAAACGTCCGCTGTCGCCGCTGAGCCGTCAGAGGACGCACGGCTCTACGACGAAGCAGGGGCTCTCTACATGTTGTCTCAGATAGATGAACCGGATGAATTTTCGCCTCTTCGAGAAGTGCCGATGCAGCCGCTGCCACCTCGCCTTGCTGCGCTTGAGCGACAGCGACAAAATTCGGCGGGACGCGAGGAAGATATTCCGGCCTCGCCATTTGCGAGCACGAGCAACATAGCAGCTCAATACACGACACCAAGGAATCAAAATGCGTACAGTCCGACATTTGGTGGGAGCAGTAGCGGTGGCGTTGGAAACACGTCGATGCGAAGCGAGGGCTTGGCGACAGGGAGTGCCTCATTTAGTCCAGAACCGAAACGGACTGGATCGTCGTCGAAAATAGCTTCGTCTCCACCACCATCCGCTCCGGTTTCTGCTCCTACCACTCCCAGTTTTTTGCCACCTCAGAGTCGACAGACGTCCGTTCAAGAGTACACTGCGTCGCCGTTGCCCATGAGCGCCAAATCTCACGAAGAACATGAAGACGACAATGCTGATGTGTTTGCGGCCATCAACTATATGAATGTTACCGACGAGCAACCCGCGCACCAAAACGGGAATTTGATCCCTCCGCCAACGACCGCGAAACCAGGCGCGCCGATCACACCGTCTGCGAGTAGCAGTGACAGCGGAAAGGACCCGCAGCAGACACGTTCGTCGTTCGCGCCCTCTGCAAAATCCGCAGAGCGGAAAGCACATGTAGAAGCAACTCAGGCCGCAAAAGATAATAACCGACACAAGCCTGGACGTAGCAAGCCCAAGCAAGGTAGCACGGCTCATGGGGCTTGGGGAGCCAGTAGCGACGAGGAAGAAGAGGAAGAAGAGGACGACGATGATTCGGATGACGATGCAGGTCCCTCAAAATTGCCCCAACAAAAGAGTGGGACAATTGTTTCGCCTCAGCCGCAACCACACCCTACGCACCCCAATCCAATGTCGGAGTTGGCGCATTCCAATGGTCAATACAGTTCCGTGGATTCCCGGGGTGGACCATCGCGGAGACTTCCTGCTATCCCAGGACCATCATACTCCAATGGAGCGAGTCCAATCCCTCATCCAGACCCTTACCGCCACGCGGAACCACGTTCACTACAAGGCCACGCGGAACCACCTCGTTCACTACAAGGCCACGCCTCACAACCATCTTCTTCTGATCCTCATGCCTACCCGAGGCGAACGGTGGAGACTACAGACGAATTTGGACGACGTGCACCACCTGAGTCCCATCAATCTCACTCTCGGCCGACTTACCAGGAGCGACCACAGGTTCAAACCATGCCGAATCGACCAATGTGGAGTACCGTTCTCGATCCCGCTGGAGAGGCCCCGACAAAGACCAATGCGCGCAATACCTTTGTCACACTCGAACCCAACGAGACAATGACCATGGCGTTCCAGCCGCATGGTCTCTTGGAGGCCGGTATGCAAGACAAGCAGAATCGCTCTGCCAAGCAGCAAGAGGCGAATGCTCGCGAGACTGGTGCATCTCTTATCAACGTTCCTACTGCGCCGCCGCCGCCACAAATGGGACTTGTTGGCGCAATTACCGCTCACCAGAGAGATCGAGATAGAGAGGGTGGTGTTGGTGCTGCGCTTACTGAGCGAGAGCGAGAACGACGAATTGCAGAGGAACGACAGCGCAAGTATGACGAGCTGCAGCGTGCACAGCTGGACAAAGCGATGACAATGGGTGGTGGCGGGGAGATGCAACAGGGATTCAATCCAATGATGCTGAACCCAATGATGGGCTGGGGAATGCCGATGATGTATCCGATGGGAGGCATGCCTGGAATGGGCTGGGGAGGAGCGATGACGCCGCAACAACAGCAACAACAGCAGTACCAGATGTGGGCCGCTCAGCAAGCAGCCATGCAAGCCTACCAACAAGCCATGATGACCTTTTCACAAGCTGGATCACAAGCAGGCTCGGATGCGGGCGGAAATGATGCTAATGCTGGACGACAGGGCGCTAGTTCACCCATGCCTGGTTGGGGAATGCCCATGGGTTCCCCCATGATGACGCCCATGATGATGCCTGGAATGGGAATGGGCATGGGTATGATGCCAAACTTTGGAATGGGTGGTTCAGGATTCATGCAGCCGCCTGCACCGTCGGTTCAACCTGGTCGCTCGCCCGTTGAAGACGCATCTAGATTCTCTCTTGCGCACACGCCACGCGACTCTCCCAATAATCGCTCACCGGATCATCACTCGAAAGAGAACCAATCATGAAATTTTGTCCTCACTTCTTCTCTTGTCTTTCTAACTTAATCTTTATCGGACTCGCCAGTCTATATGCCTTTTCCACTTCGTCGTAATAGATCTCACATGTTAGTTGCATACATTGTGCTGTGGTCAGAGCGACACAAACTCGTTGGTGGCCTGTCCAAGCTATGAGTAGAGCGTCGTCGGATGGGGTGTATGTCGCACCTCGACCAAGAGCTTCGAGATTCCCGGCTCCATACTTGAGTGTCCTGCATCTGGAACAATCTTGAGCTTTGCCTCTGGCCATGCCTTTTTCAGTGCCCATGCAGTCGTTGCCTTGTATTGCGTCAAAACTATGAAAGGCTAGAAGAGGATACATCCATACCGGGCAAACTACATCGTAACGTCCTTGGACGATGATGCAGGGCAAGTGGCGGCTATTTTCATGTGAGAAAAGAATAGTGATAATGATAGACTTACATCTTGTCGATGGACTGCTTCTCCAGAAGTTGACCTTGTCTCATGAAGCCCTGCAATTTGTTAGAGGGAGCAAATGCAGATGTTTTAGCTCATACCTCGTTGATAAAGTAATGATTTTCAATTCGTGCGAAAGCACTGAGAGGGTCAATTATCGATTGTCAAAAGGAGTGGTGACACACTTTGCCCAATCATCCTCTGCTGCCCTTGAGATGTAGCCCGGGTCCACGAAGAGTCTCGAAGTGGCCATTCTTATTCCATGAGTAGGCTGAGGGTAAAGTTTGTTGACAGACTCACTCCCATTTAGACCATGCCTTGGCAGCGCGAATTCTGATTACTTCGTCGTCGCTATTCAAGCGAGAGTGGTAAGCTTTTACCATATCGCCGCGTTCCTCTTCTGGAATGGGCTCGAGATACTCCTCCCTGCACCGATCAGCATAGCTTAAGACCTGCGGTGTACTCATACCAAGCCTCAGGGAATCTAATGTAACCTTTCAGTAACGTGATAAGCTATTGAAGGAATACTTACAAATGCGATGCTCCGTTTTGGTAGAAAAAGTCTAGCTCGCTGAGCGGCTTAGCTGGAGACTAAATACCAGTCACGTAAACCAACCTCTTCCTCAGGGTGAAAATTCCTCTGTAGGGTGGTGTGAGGTATGCCGCCACCTTCTGAACTACGTACCTCAGAACGAGACCCTTGACGGGTTCGGGATGAGTCTACTCTGGTCAGAACTGAACCAGCATTCGAATAAGAGCTTGCCTGGGAGTACGCAAGAGACAACGTCGAACCCTGAGGACAGTTACTAGAGCCTCAAAGGCGACATGGCACGCACCCAGGACCCCCCAAATACGAGCCATTTGTCAATCCCCAAATGCTTACGGAGCTTTTCTATATCTTCCACGAGGTCCCATGTCGTGTTCTGTTCCAGGCATGCCGTCCTATTTGAGATCAGGGCTGAATGAGCCACCCAGCGAAACGTCTCTTACGGCTTGGATCGACCCGAACCGCGTTGATCAAGAAGGATGATCTCTAGAGGTCGACGTAGTATCAGGGAACAAATAAACATAGATGAACGCCTACTGTAGATCTCTGGATTGAAGAAGCATCGGTCGCGCTTTCCACAACCCCCGCCAGGGCCTCCATGAATGAAGATCACTACGATTGTTAAGCTATGCGATAGAGATGGTGGATGTTCCTAGTACCCACCTGGTTTCCCGTCTTCCTTCCCGACGACCTCGTAGCTATCGATGGGTGCTTAGGAATTGCGACTGCGCTCAAACAGGGTTCATACTATAGCTCATGTATGTCTGAGACCTTGAGGAATCCAGTGCTATATGGTTCAATCTCTGGGAACAGAAACGGGTTTTCAGCCATGGATGTCGACGAATTCAAGCTTGTTCTCTCCCTTGACCGGCTTTTTTTATTTCCTTTGATAATCGGCACCGGACTTGTATCTTCTTTGAGAAGATTTCAGTCTTTTCAACGCTCGCCCTGCATTTCTGCCGTCGTCTCAGCCTGTGGCCTGCGCCGAGGGACTGAGGAGCAGAGGGAGCGGCTCAGGGCGGCGCCTAGACTGTATGACACATAAACTCCCTATTCAGACTTCATTTCTTGGCCCAGCAAACATCCAAAAATCTTCCTCCGCGGCCTCTGAGCTCTACCACCGCACAAAGATACGGTCGATGGATCGACATGGCAGCGCGACGCCCCCACGACAATCTCCTGAAGATATCTATCCAAATGATGCCAATAATGTCCAATACCCACCGTCACGCCCCTCGGGAACAGCTCTGCATCAACGCAACGCCAGCGTGAGCAGCGTCAAGAGTACCGGAGACGCAAAGGACGTTCCAAGGATCTATGGTCTCCCACTCAAATATGTCTCGTGAGTCTGGCTACAAGATGAGTGACCGGAACGCTGACAATGCTTGTTCGATATTTTAGCCTGGTCACGTTAGCACTACAAAATGCATCCTTGGCAATCATAATGCACTATTCACGAATAACTGTCGCTCCAGACAAAGTTTACTCTGCGTCTGCAGCGGTCCTTATGAATGAAATCCTCAAGGGCAGCATTTCTTTCCTCATCGCGTTCACCCGCGTGAAAGCGTCAAGCCCTACGACAAGAGGATACGATATGCTACCACCTACGCCAGCAGTCTCTGGTTTTTCCAGCGGCTCGCCAGCGGATGCCGGCCTCGGCAGTTATCTCGTCCGCTTGCGGACGCTCATTTCCCAGATCGCCTCTGCGGACTCGTGGAAGCTCGGGATTCCCGCGCTTCTGTATGTACTGCAGAACAATCTGCAGTATATAGCAGTTTCCAATCTCGAAGTCCCGACGTTTCAAGTCACGAATCAAATGAAGATTCTCACCACGGCCGGCTTTAGTGTATTATTGCTGCGGAAACGATTGACGGGATGGAAATGGGCAAGTCTCGCACTACTTACGATTGGTGTTGGCATCGTCCAAATTCAAGCCTCTGCGGCAGCGCATACACCCTCGCAACCCATTCAACTCCCAGAGGGAGACCTTGGAGGAGATAGCGTGGATCCAGCCCCAGAGCCTCACCCCATGCATCCTCTGACTGGATTCTTGGCGGTATCCGCGTCCTGCTTCACGTCGGGACTTGCAGGTGTCTACTTTGAAATGGTCCTCAAAGGTCCGTTTCCCTAACCCCCTCGATCTAGTCTAATCTCTTTATAGGGACAAAGGCGGATCTCTGGGTTCGAAACGTACAACTCAGCTTGTGGAGTTTGATTCCAGCCCTTATCCCAGTTCTCATCCCGATCATGCGTGAGGGCGCAGCTATTAGCACCATGTTTGCAAACTTTGGGTTCTGGGCATGGTGCACGGTCCTTACACAGGTATTTGGAGGACTTGTCACCGCACTTGTGATTAAAGTAAGCCATTATATTCCTTGTGAAACTTGTGACTCAACGACACAAAGTACTCCGACAATATCCTCAAAGGATTTGCGACGTCGCTCTCCATCGTCCTTTCGTTCCTCGCATCTGTCGCCATTTTCGACGTGGTCATCACCCCATCCTTTGTATTGGGTGCTACAGTGGTTTTAGGAGCGACATGGATGTACAATTCGCCGGATACGGTGAGGGAAGCCGTAAACAAGGAATTCGGACAACGCGATCCTGTGCATCTATCCGGAGAGGATGTCTCACTGCTCAACGGCACGCGCAAAAGCACCGAACAGGATGATGACAAGGAGCAGAATTATGACCTTCCGACAGTCTCACCCGTCGATTCGCGTGCGATGCCGTTTGGCTATCCGGCGCCGTCAGACTCGAAGCCGCCACCACCACCAAGTAGAGCATCCACGAGCAAGCCTGGTGGATAACACTGGCAGGAATATTACTCCTGAGGATAAGCGTTGAACTTAATCTTATTGCTTTGTTACTGGTCACGGCTGTGTGCTAGATTTAATCAAACGTTCTATAATGCTAGTGCTTTTCCCTATACATGCGGTGTTGACGAGATTCCGAGGTTAGAAACAGATGCGATAGCTCGCGTAGCGGCCTGCTGTTTCGCTCGGCCTTGTGATTTTGACAACCTGAGCAGAGGCGTCAGAAGATCTAGTATCTATCACAGGGTTCTCAAGTACCTGTCCTCGTCGAAGACCGTAGTATCGTGCGACTGGATCACCTAGCTGGATGCGTGGAAGTTGGGTCTCCTTCAGACGACTTGGGTGCAAGTCAGTTCACCACTCAAGATTTGAGTAGGAAGAAACCTACTATCGCTCTAGAAGTAGCCGCTTCTGCTCGGGGGAAAGAATCTCATGTTGGGGGACTAGTGTGTGCTGAGTGATGTTCACAAGTAGTTCCGTTTCGGCAAACTCTTCCAGTTGATATTGGGGCATCCCGGTGAGAACCTGGAACCCGTTAGAGGATCTAAACCATAATGAAGACATGCGGGCTACCTTTCGCGCAGCCGGGGTGAGCACATTTGGATAGATGATGATCCCTCGCACGATATTCTTCTCATCTAGAATACCCAATAGTCTGTTGAGTCGGTCAGACACTGTAGTAAACTTGTGATGGCGAGCCAGATGCGTGCTTTTTCATATGTTGGACGCCCACGCTGCGCTCATCGCAAAAATAGACGTAGATTGAGGTCGCTGGATCATTACGAAGATGAGCCCAGAATCCGAGCGAGGCGCGGTCGACGACAGATCCAGCGCGTGCAAACTGCTGCTTGAACTCGTCCAGTGTCATATTGATCTCTTCGTCGGCAACTGCATATCCCTGTGATGTTGAAAGAGACAGAAAAGTTAGTAAACTTGTCAAATCTGAGGGCAAAGGCCCATTAAAGGAGCGCTTTGAAGAGAAAGTAAGGATGGCAACGTCGGAATGGTGTACTGACTCGGTCTCTGACTAATTCATGTATTGTTCTGTTCACTTTCCATAGGCGTGACACCGCAAGGTCTGCTTCTGACGGTGCTGACATCTTTTCTTGGACCGCGTTTTGATGGTTTTAGATGAGTGCAGCCTGTTGAGTAAACCAAAAGTACGAAATAGCGAATTGATTAAAGTTTGCGATTGCTCTTCAACTCGATACGAACACAGTTGATAAACGCCTTCAGACGGCAGTGGCCAAGTGACAGGCGCCTCCCCAGGGTTTGTCTCGCGTGCAGTCGTCCACTCCTGCGTACCGCCAGACAATTGCAATGGGCTTTTGAATAAAACCTTTATCCGAACTGATTGATGATACTATCAAGAGTCTGATTTTATGCGCATGCGAATATCGTATCATAAACGGCCACTCAGATGAAGTTGCACTCCTGTAGACACACGAGGTGATTATACGCTTGCAATTTGAAGATTGACTAGTATCCCTATTTACGATTTGCACTCGCGTCCTGGCCGCATTGCGATCATCTTCATGTGAAATCAGTATTATGCGCACTCAATCTCATCTCTCAAGCATTACAAATTGTGTACGACCCCATCCTTCACACGCGTGCTTTCTTGCCAGGAGGCACTTTGGAAGTTGGCGACTCGGTTGAACTTGTACCGCGACCATGAATACCCGTTGGCCAGAAATTGGAAGCACAGTAGAGCTTATGAGGGCTCAAGACGCAGATCTGGCACTCGCTCAAGAGCTCATGCGCGAGCGGTAAGCCTGGCCCTATTGGATCTGTACGAGTTGACAGGCGAGTACCCAGTGCGAGACTGGAGCAAGAGTTGTACGTAAATAGCAGTACATGGGATCCATCTAATGAACAGGGATAAAGCGTTGATGGGCTACGCGCATTAGTCGAAAAGCACAAGCTACAGCCTGAGGAAGAAAACATAGAGTATTCACAGGTGATCATCGCTGCATTCGAACAAGGTAAGAGAGCTACTTTGAATATGAAGCCACGTCACGCATTCATTTAGAAATCGAGGCTCGCTCGGATCTGAATCCGAAGATACCTGAGTACACGTCGTTAGAAGTGAGATGGCTCAATGAGCAAACCATACGACTCAAGGACGATATAGACTACGCCAGACTTGCCTGGACCCGCAAAGGCGCTTCTTGATGCCCACACGACACATGAAGACAAATATACAAAGCTGTTGGCTTCAACGGATGAACTAAAAGAGTGGGTAATGCGAAAGCCGCAAGAGCCTTGGGAGGTGCGAATGCCATTATCGGGTAAGTACCAGCCAGTCATACAGATATGACAACCACAGCCAGACATCAAGAACTCGAATACCGCCTGAGCGTACACAATCAGCGCACATGTGCGAGGAACCTTCAGGAGTGGTACGAAACCAAACTACAGGCATGTTAACCTCAGCGACTCCAACTCTAGTTCTATCTGAACTCTGTTCAGCCGCTGATGGAATCACACCATTCGGCTCTGGAGAACACGAAAACAACTATGATCAACACAATAAACGCAATCATGTTTGTTAATGATCCTTCTCATGACATAGTTTCATCAATCATAGCGATTGTGCATCGACGTGTAGTCGGATATACTCCCATGGGCTTGACAAAGCATCCAGTTTACTTCCGTTACGGCATCGCGCATTGATCCAAGAGAAGATGGATCTAGAAGCAGCCAGCCGGGCTCTCGTTCCAGTGGACTACTACAACTCGTTCTTCAATGTGGGGAAACCCTCGCCTTTGCACTTTGGTATCAGTGTTCTTCCCCTCAATTTTTCTACACAGATTATTGTACGCTTGAACAATTCCTCCCACACAAGTTTACTCACCTCCCCGTAGCAGTTCATTTCTAGGGTCCCGGCAGTGTCACTGCTAGAGGCCGAGCAGACAAATGAACTTGGACGCATGGATTCCGACTATATCACTCTGGTATGTCCTTTCCTTTTTAGCTGACGAATGAAGATGATACTTATCCAGTTTGAACTCGCGCAATACGGTCCATTGCTTCCCCTAAACTCACAAGAGTTTGAACGAGTAAAGTTTTCCAGTTGGTATCTATCACAGCAAGCGAGACAAAAACTAAGACTTAATATAGAAAGCATATCTCGGCGTAGTTTGGTTGCTCTTATGGCGCCGGATAAATTGGTCTGGGAACCTTTCGGATCAGTTGCGCGCAAAGGATTGATCAAGATGGCCATCGGCAACGTTCTCCCAGAGTGGCTCACATTTCGAAAGGTGAGTCTACCCGCTAAATTCATTTCAGTACTAGATGCCTCACTAGAATTCGGATTTCATTGTGGATGCCATGGGTCGGAAATGGGACTTTGAAACAGACAAGCCAATGCCCAATTAAAACTAATCCAGAACGACATGTGGACTCCGTCGAATAATCGAGGTTTGACAAAATAAACCCAAGGAATAAAGCTGGAGTAATGCTTGATCAAAATTAGGCTTGTTCACATTAAATACAGGCTATATGGCACCTAAATATGAACAAAAATTTCAATACACATCGGCAGTACAATGAAAGCGGACCCAGAGGGTTTCATAGGACATCTGGCCAGGATACATAGCACAAATCACCGTTCCAGTGAATTACCGCATGCTTCGCATACCAGCTGCGAGTCCAAGCAGACGCTTCTCTACATCTCCTCTCACGCTCATCGGCTGGGATACGGAATGAGAGCGAGGTTGGTTGCTTTCGCGAACAGACTACGCCTTCTTCCATGATCATAGTCTCGACGAGCTCCTCAAACTCGTCGACACAGAGCGAGTAATCAGTGCAGTCCATGTGCAGATTCATCAGCTCTGGGAAGACGATTGCCGATGCTCCATGAGAGGATGAACCGCGAAGAACTTGGAGGCCGGCGGCTGGAATGGAGAGTTTGGTGACTTGAGGACACGCTGCTTTCCAGACCTCTGCACCTCTGACGGCGCCCAGGCTAAGGTCGAGGATCGTTGGATGGAGTGCAAGGAGCTGGGAAAGCAGGAGAGGATCGTACGTTCCCAATGTAAGCTTGACGAGTTGAGGAAAGTGAATCTTTGGATACTTCTTCATAAAACTTGCAAAGCCGTGATGGTCGTGGAATTCGAGTGTATGAACTGGAGGAATGTAGCGTGTCTTGGGCATACGAGGATTATTCAGCGAGTGTCTGAAGACTCCGCCTTGAAGGACAATGGTATGTATGTCTGGACACATACGAAAGACGTAATCGCCATGCATAGTAGCTGATGTGCACATCTGCCCGGCTCGTCGGCTTTGCGTAAAGGATTTCCAAGGCAAGGGCGCTTGCAGTTCATAGTCGAGGTAGATAATTGTGTCGACCAACTCGATTTCCTCGATGAGCGAGATGTAGTCGCTGTCCATCATCGAGCACCTGAGAGGCTGAGTTTCGTCTTTTGGGGCTTGAGACGGCCGCTGTTGCTTCGGTCGAGTGTCGAATTCCACAGCGTGGTGAATTTCGAGGCGTCGAGGGGGAGATGGAAGGCAGTCTGTCCATTGTTCAGGTAGAGGATCAAAGTCGTATCTAGAAATGTAGAATGAGATGGTATCGACCTTGGAGACCTTTGCAAACAGTCTCTGGAAGAGGCTTGCCAGGTCCTGCCAGGGAGCCGTCATGTTCCGCCAGCCGTCTCGTACGATGATATTGAGAGGGAGGTCACGACACCATTTGAGGACCTTTGTCACATAGGAGACGAGTACGCGAAGTGGCCAGTAGAGATGAAAGTCAATCGTCGTCCACGCGTCGGGAAGTTCGAGTATGATGGCTCGGAATGTAGAACAAGTCATGGAGATGGCTATATTGGCCTGTGGATGTCCCCGAGCAAGTCTAGTCCGGTCGTCGGTGCATGCGAGGCGAAATATGTCGATCAAAAGTTCGGAGGGGAGGGAAAAGATGAGAGTGCCGGTGTCGCGCACCGTTTGCTTATTTGGCTTTGTTTTTCTGCGCATTTGCAATCAGATGATACTGGTGGAGTCGAAAGGAGTTGACGAGTCGAGGGAATCTATCGTGCCCGGGCTAAAAGCCGACTGGCAAGCGCTGGCCAAGCCATCTCGGTGCCGTCAAACGACTGCCGATGAATATCAATAGATTATGAGTTGCGCCAAAGATACTTTACCTATGACTAGTCTCGATGCGGAAAATGCTTGGTGCAGTTACTTCCCCGTCGGAAGCCGCCTGAATAGGGTATAGCTCTCACCTGCCTGCATAGTTAGGCTCAATATGTACACAATCTCATCTCTCAAGCATTATGAATCACTTTAGTGCCCATCCCTCATCACATGCGCTTTCGCAGGAGCGGCGGTGGAGGGCTGGCAGCTGGCCCACCGGCAAGTAACTTGAACCTCTACCACGATCATGAGCAGCCGTTGGCCTGAAATTGGAAGCACTGTAGAGCTTCTGAGGACTCAAGATGCAGATCTAGCACTCGTACATGAGCTCATGCGCGAGCGGTACGCCTAGTGCTATCGGAACCGACATTGAAACTAATGAGCAAACGTCAAGGGCAAGATTGGAACAAGAGTTGTGCGTCGGCGATATACAAAATTCCTCTATTAAATAGAGATAAAGCGTTGATGGGCTGCGCGCGCTGGTTGAAAAGCACAAGCCACATTCGAAGGAAGAGAGCAGGGAATATTCAAACGTACTTCTCAGTGCATTCGAACAAGGTGGGGTAGACACCTGCTCTGTGAAGTTCCTGATTCATCTATCTAGAAATTGAGGCTCGCTCGGATCTCAATCCGAACCTAGCTGAGCACGCATCGTTAGGGGCGAAGGTCAGAAGATCCAATCAACCGGAATCACAATTCAAGGACAATTCAGGAGCTTTCACTCGGTTCTCAACTCGCACAGGCGCTTCTTGCTGCACAAATGACACACGAAGGCAAATATACAAGCTTATTGGCTTCAAGGGACGAACTAACAGACTGGTTCGAGCGACGACCGTCGTCACCCTGGGATGTGCGAATGCCATTAGCAGGTAAGTATTAACCAGCCACATAGATATGACAATCATACTCAGACATGGAGAACTCGAATACCGCCTAAGCGTGCACGAGCAGCGCAAATGTGCAAGTAGCCTTAACGAGTGGTATAGAACCAAGCTTCTGGTATTTTATCCACGGCATCTCTTCAACTCTAGTTCTGAGTTCTGTTCAGCTGATGATAGAATCTCACCATTCGGCCCTGGAGAACACAAAAGCAATCATGGCCACCAGAATAAACGACATCATGTTTGTAGCTCCTCCTTTTTACGACTCACCCTGATGAATTCTAGAAAACGTGCATGGACATGCAACCAGATATATTCAATGCAAGTAGCAGCGCAGACAATTTAAGTCCGTCGAACCATCGCATTTTAGTCGAGGCAAGCAAGGATTTAGAATCAGCCAGTCAAGCACTCGTTCCAGTACCCTACTACAACTGGTTCTTCGATGGAGAACCCTCGCCTTTGCACTTTGGCATCGGTATTCTTCCCCTCGATTCCTCTCGTGTTCCTGTGCGTTTGGTCAAGCGAAGCGGCTGATTGACCAACCTTGAAAAGGTTTATTGGGAGACTTCGCGACACTCCGTACAGCTGGCCGAGCAGAGGGATATCCTCAACACTCTTTACCCTAGTGACGTTAATCTGGTGTGCCTCTTCGTTTTTAGCCGACAACAATGATAATACCTCTTCAGTTTGAACTTGCGCAGTACTGCCCACTGCTTCCCCTAAACTCACGAGAGTTTGAGCGGCTCAACTCTGCCGGCTTGGTATCCAAACAAGTGACGCGAAGGCTGAAACCCGATATAGGGAACATCTCTCGGCGTGACTTAAGTGCCCTTTTGGTACCGGATGAACCCGTCTGGGAACCTCTAGGATCAGCGCGGCGCAAAGAATTGCTCAGGATGGCAATCGGCAAAATTGACCCATGGTGGCTCACATTTCGTCGCGTGAGTATGCTTGCTAGATTTTTCAACACTAGATGCGTTAACAGGATTCGGAAAAAATTGTGGAAGCTGTCTTGCGGAAATGGGACTTTGACACGGACAAGCCAAAGTCCAGAGAAAAATGATTCAAACAGAAACCTTGAATTCGGTCGTAGGGTCGACTTAAATGATTGACAAGATGTTTCGCAAGCTGGGGCCAGATTGAAATTATAGGACGCTATGGAGTAATAATGCCTGATCAAGGGCCGTGCTTTCCATAGTGACAAGGATCGTCTGGAGCCAAATACGATAATCATAACACAAGAATACGGAACTCACTCTGTCTCCAAATATGCTTATCCTCCCACCTCTCAACCAACTCCGCGTTAAAGACAGGGCATCTATTTCTGTAGAGAGTCGGAGATTACGATTTACACGAAAATATCACATACAATGTTCACGAAAAGTGAAGTGCGGCAAGTCCAACTGTCGCAATGAAACCGAATAGCCCGTTTTATTCGCTTCCGAGGGCATTTCAACCTATTCGCTTAAGTTCTATGTTCGATGAGGAGCCAAGCAATGTTCTCCTACAACGTATGTTTAAGATATTCGAGGTACTTTATTGACACGCATAAAGTTTGACCTTGACGTCGACCACATAGATTTTATGTCTGTGCAATGAGATGATGTGATAGAGTCGAAAGGAGTTGACGAGTCGAGGGAATCTATCGTGTTCAGGCTAAAAGGGGACTGGCAGGCGCCGGCCAGGCCATCTCGGTGCCGTCAAAAGACTGCCGATGAATATCAACAGATTATGGGTTGCGCTTTACCTATGACTAGTCTAGACCCGGGAAACGTTTGTAGCAGTTACTTACTCTCGAAAGCTGTCTAAATAAGAGGCCGTTTCGCTTCCGAGTCGGTTGGATCTCGATGAAGCCGTGTTCTCTGAGAGGCGGGTGCTGAGTTTGACCTTTGACCGAGCATTGAGGTTGCGAAGTAACGTAGTAGTATCGATATAGTCTGTACTGATACTCTTAGTTTACTCTCCGTGTTGTGCCCGTCGCTCTCACCTGCCTGCATACTTGGCCTTGATATGTATACAATCTCATCTTTCAAGCATTCCGAATCACATTACTGTCCATCTCTCGCCACGTGCGCTCTCACAGGAGCGGCGGTACAAGGCTAGCAGTTGGGCGGCACTAAGCAGCTTGAACCACTACCACGACCATGAGTAGCCGTTGGCCTGAAATTGGAAGCACAGCTGAGCTTTTGAGGGCTCAAGATGCAGATCTAGCACTCGTACACGAGCTGATGCGCGGGCGGTATGCCTAGCTCTATCGGGATTATCCACATAGAAACTGATCCTCAAACGTCCAGAGCAAGACTGGAACAAGATTTGTGCATCGATAATGTATTAAATTTCTCTACTGAGCAGAAATAAAGCGTTGATGAGCTACGTACGCTGGTCGAAAAGCACAAGCCACATTCCGAGAAAGAAAGTAGGGAATACTCCAACGTACTCATTTTTGCATTCGAAGAAGGTGCAGTAGCTAGCCTACTCTATGAGTCTCCCGATTCATTTGTGTAGAAATCGAGACTCGCTCAAATCTTAATCCGAACCTGGCCGAGCACACATCGTTAGAGGCGAAGGTCAGACAATCCAAACATTGATAATTGCGATTCAAGGATAGTTCGGGAGCTTTCATTCGGCTCTGATCTCGCACAGGCGCTTCGCGATGCACACACGACACACGAAGACAAATATACAAAATTATTGGCATCAACGAACGAGCTACGAGAGTGGTGGAAGCGAGTGCCCTGGTTGCCCTGAGAAGTGAGAATGCCATTGGCGGGTGAGCGTTGGCCAGTCATACAGATATGACAACCATAGCCAGATATCAAGAACTCGAATACCGCCTGAGTGTATGCAATCAGCACGAATGTGCGAGAAGTCTTCAGGAATGGTACAAAATAAAACTACAGATAGGTTACTCTTCAACTCTAATTCTATCTGAGTTTTGTTCAGCCATTGATGGAACCACACCATTCGGCACTGGAGAACACGAAAGCAACTATGATCAACACAATAAATGGCACTGTGTTCGTGGATTATACATCACATGGCGCAGTCTCATGAATTTAGCGATTGTGCATCGACATGTAGTCGGATATATTCTCGTGCGCTCGACAGAGTATTCGGTTTACTCCCATCAAAGGATCGCGGATCAATACAAGAGAAGATGGATCGAGAAATGAACAGCCATGCACTCGTTTCGGTGGACTACTACAACTGGTTCTTCAATGGGAAACCTTCACCTCTGTATTTTGGCATAGGGACTCTTCCTGTCGATTTCCCTCAGAATGTAGGATTCTAAAATTCCCGTCACAAAAATTAACTGAGGTTCCAGCTGCCGTTCTATCATGCTGTACCAGCTGTGGCCCTGCTGAAGGCCGAGCAGACAGACGATCTTGGAGGTCTGTTGCTTGAGTATATTACCCTGGTGCGCCCTTCCATTTTCTAGCTGACACATGAAAATGATACTGATTTAGTTTCAGTTTGAAGTTGCGCAATATGGCCCAGTGCTTCCCCTAAATTCACAAGAGGTCAAACAACTCATTCAAGTTCATGCACGCAGGTCCATGAGCTTCAAAAGCGAGTGTATGCACAGGAATCCATTGCAACGAGTGAAACAAAGGCTGAAACCTAATATAGGGATCATCTCTAGGCGTGATTTGGTTGCTATTATGGTGCCGGATGAACCGGTTTGGGAACCTCTCGGATTAGCCAGGCGCAAAGAACTGCTCAAGAACGCCATAGGCAATGTTGCCCCATATTGGCTCACATTGTGCTCGGTGAGTCTACTTGCTATATTCATTTCTATACTCAATAGATTATAGTATCCGGATGCTATTGTGGATACTGTCAATCGGAAATGGGATTTTGAAACTGACACGCCAAAGTCCAGAGAAAAATAATCCAGAATGGTATGTCAAAGTCCATTGAATAATCGATCTGAGCAACTTTGATAAGGTACTCCGCAAGCTTATACACGAGAAAGGGGGGGACCATGGACAGTCTTGTTCACAATTGAAAGGCCTTGGGAACAAAGTACGATGATGTTTTCAATGCATACACGATTCTGTTAAATGTATGTCCAATGTTTGACCCACCTTTAATCAATTAATATGCACTTAGTGAGTGATCATACGCGCGTGACGCATAAAGACAAGTCTCCGTTTTCTATCAAGTCAGAGATTAGGATTTAACCTCAAGAGGGGACTATTGGTCTCTTCGCGGAAAACGTTTGGAGCGGAACTTCAAGCGGAAGAGTCAGATTGACACGAAATGGGATTTTATTTGCTTCCGAGGTCATCTACTCGCTCAAGTTCTACATTCGGCGAATAACCGAACAAATGTTCTCCGAGTCACCTTTGTTCGACACATCCCCCCGCGTAATTGAGTTTGACTTGACGCCGACCACATAGATTGTATGTCTGGCACGACCCTGGAAAATGGCCCACCAAGTTCTTCAACCAGCTCTTTCTCGACGTTGAAGCAAGAAGAGGTTTCGTCGAACCTCGTGTCCTCGTCGCCAAATCTTGTTGAGATGACGGCTCCGACGGAATCCTCTGACGCTTCCAGACATGAGGCAGTTACGAATAAACGAGCTTCTCTGAATAGGTCAAACACTTTACCAAAGGATATGTCCAAAGCTGAGTCGGTGGTCGTGTTGAACCGGGACAAGTTGCAGCAATTCCGTCAATGGATGCTCTGCATTGTCGTTGGTACGTTATATGTCATGAGGAATGATTTAGGCATATCTAAATTGTTTCTGTAGCCTATTTTGACGTTGACTACGGCCCCAAAGTCGAATCCATCCATCCGGCGGTTGAACTAAACCCGCAAGAATGCGAGAACATGTCAGTAGGTGTCTGTGCTTGAAGCTCTTGACCACCTTCTTATCCATCATCGATTATAGCGCATTTTCCGCCTTCCCTGATACGTCCCACGGAGCAACAAGCATTCATATCCACTCTTTCCGCATACGTTCGGACTATGCCAGGCGCCTATCAATTCCGGATGATGTCGAAGAGACATTGAAGTACAAGCAAGACGACGGGTTCTTGTATGGATACAGCGCTTTTCTACAACAAAAGGACAAGACGTCGAAGCGCGGCTACTCTCAGGTGAGGTCTGGAGAGACTTCGATGACAAAAGTCTGATCTTTGTCCTAGCGATCCATCATATTTCTCACTCGGCACCAATTCCCAGCACTTTTCTCTGCGGCAATCGCCACTGCAATTCCCATGTTCCAGAAACATGGAAACGAGATGCTGGAGACGGCCATTCATGGAATCTCATCTTGGTACGCATCCTTGTGCTTATGCGCCCATGCTCATGTCCATCAGGCCTGCACTGCAAGCCGGCGCTACGCTTGAACTAGGATTCCTTGGCTCCATCCTACACGTGGAGATACCCAAAAGCATTGATCAGCAACAACTGACCGAGACGGCTTCATTTGGAGAGGCCTTTGACCCACACCTGCATGTACGTCACGTGTCCGCAAACTCTCGCGCAGCCTTCACAAGGGTATGCAGATACTCGCTTCGCATCCACCACTTGAATATGCTGCGGTGGAAATCTTCCAAGCCATCCTCCCATCCCTTTGGTCCCTATGGGAGTGCATCGTGCTTGCCGAACCTATCTTCCTGTACGCACCATCACCAGCCATTGCAAGCGCGGCTATCTGGTGGCTCAGGGACTGGGTCAGACCGGTAAGTACAGTCACCTATTCCGTACCGCAAACCCGTTGCCCATAACCTATGTTGTTCCCTGAAACGTTCGTCTACGGCATAAGCTAACGAACGACTATGTCACTCAACCTTATTTACCCTCGAACATGCTATTTGCATTGGATTCACTTTTCGGGTCATAGTTGCCAATGGCAGGCGATTTTCGACCCTACTTTACGATTCACGATCCTGACCACAAACGGTTCATGAACAAGAATGCACCTGTGGCTGGAATCATGATTGGAACCACGAACCCGTTTCTATACGAAGAGTGCAAGCACTGGCCACACATTGTCAGCCTGACTCCATCGTGCGTCCTGGTCCTATAGCGCATTCCACGCTCAACACCCAAACAGGAAAACGACGCCATCACCTGGTCCAACACCAGGATTCAAGACGACCCATCGACGGTACATCTCAAAGGACCGCGTCTTGCTCAAGCAACTCGAAACCGCAATGCACAAGGCAGCTACCAATAGTACCAGCAGGACAGGCAGTTCGAGTTCGCATGAACGTCTGAGCGTGTCGAATCTACTTCGACAACATTTTGCAGCGCGCGCGAGGGCGCTCTTGGTCCCACTGAACCGATACCTAACAACACTCATGCCGATTCAGCCTTCGGCATCCACTCTCTCCATTACCGGCAATTCCAGCCCCGCGTCTACATTCCAAGCCAACGCTCAACGCCAAAGAGCGAGGGCGGAGAGCACGGAGAGACTAGCACCGTTTAGTACGGTGGACATGATGGCTTCGCTCGAAAAGAACGGCTCTCCGCTCCCATTCAAGTCTTCGAGCAGACGTCGCGAGTTTTACCAGCGCTGGTTGCGCACACCCGCGTTTGGAGCGTGGTTGGTCCGCGAGGAAGAAGTGGTAAATCGAGTTCTTGCAGAGCGCAGGGAGCCTGCATCTTCTGCGAATGCCACGTCGAGTTTGACGAATTGAAAATGTGTGGACAAGCCAAGGTCGGCCCAAAGGTAGACTCTAGGATTTGGGGGTAATACTATGCTACAATGATGTCTCTCTCTCGAACTAAGGACTAGAATGGAATGGAATGTGCTGAAACGATGTCCAGCGGAGGGCCGTTTCCAACGCCGTGAAAGGCGGCAAAGGAGCAGGACAGGGGTAATAGATGAGCAAGGACATAGTATAAGTAGAAGGAATGAGCGGTGATGAGTGCTATATATAGGGAAGGAAGAACATCGTCCGCTCCATCTCGAGCTCCAATCCACGACGGACGGTCGATGGCGTCCGCGAAGGGGGAGGCGCGTCGCGATTCCCTGCACCAATAAAAAAGGTATTTCGCACAGGCTGGGGTGGTCCTACCATGGAACGAAAATCAAAACGACTGCGCAGCGCGTGTGAGAGGGTTTTTATGGGGAATTTTCCACAAGTGAGAGAGAGAGTAATGTACAAGTAGATATATCTCCCGGCTTCAGCGTGACGAAAAGGACTCTGCCAAAAAGGGGGTCGGATTAGTGAGGGGTTGAGCAAAAATGGTAGAAGCGTGTCGTGTGCGCCGCGAACAGGGGCGACGAATCGTTTCCATGCGTCTCCAACGACCCACAAATTTTCTTTTCGAGGCCAAAAAGGGAGCGTATAGATTTTGGAGACAGCAGGTGCTGGAGTGCTTGCTTTCAGAGATTAGACGTGAATGTGTATTTGCCGTCGTCGTGCCATGTAGATGAAAAAAGACGTCTGTAGAGCGTCGAGTTTCGTTGACTATCGCCTAGGGGCAAGCGACGAGAGGGTGAGTGCCTGGACCAGCTCTGGCTTCCAAGCAAGACGTCGAACGGCCTCTGCATAATCGACCCATTCCCGCGCGCGCTCCGATTGCTCAAGCCAGGTCGACTCGAGCGCAGTCACATCGAGTTCATAGACGTGATAGGTTGCAGTGACGCCCTTGATAGTCGTGACGAAGCAAGTAATCGGTCCGCGGACGCCGGCTACAACACATAATGAAAAAATGATGAGTACACATTGGAAAAACAAGAGTAACAGAGGGGATTTTGAGGATGGACAGCTCACCTTCCTCTAGCGCCTCGCGACATGCCGCGGCCTCTAGACTGACGTCGGCAGTCTCGTACCCGCCCTTTGGTACTAGAGATTCAGAACATGTAGCAGGTCAGCATACGTTTCAACAGAGTCCGTGTACGTGGGGAGGGCGAAACACCGGGGGGAGAAACAAATGACCGAAAATTTTGACCAGGCGGGGGAGGAAAAGAGGACAACGTACGAATCCAGTGGTCTGATCTCTTGCGGCTGGTGATGAGAAGGACTTTGCCCGACGAGCGGAGAATGGGGATCGCACAGCAGACGATGCGCGGCCTGACCGCATCCTTTTTGCCCATTGGAGAATAATAAGAGAGTTGTAATGCTGTCCTGCTAAACTGAGTCTGACGAATGCGCAATGCGTTTCCAGAAGCGGGTCGTCCGTGTCGTCTGGACTGAGCTCGCAACGAAAGACACGAGAGAACAGCGGGAGGACGGCAGAAGTTTTGTTCAAGACGCTTTTAAGAGTATTTGGCGAATCTCCCGTGCAAAGAGCCCGTGGGCGGTTTGCGGGAGTTGGAGGTCAAGTTCTGAACGGTGTGTGGTGCACGGCTCAACGGCGGATCCAACGCAGCGCTGGGCTTTTAAGAGAGAGAAAAATAAAATCAAAAAAACAATTGAGTGTACGTGTCGCGTGCATCGCCCGTCTCCGGCGAAATGGTGCTATCACCAATGCACGAACGTTCGTCGGCAGCACCAGCAAGTTGATCAGATCCAACCCACGAGTCAAGATTCAGATTCTTCCTACGTCCTGTACCGTTCGGGTTTAGGGCAGGGCCTAGCCATTCACGACCAGCAGACCAGTGGCGAACCGTCCGGAACACGCGTGAGCAGCCCTATTTTCATGACATTTGGATAGGAACACGAAGAAGAACCAAGAGTAAATACATCTGGATGACGGCGTCAGTTACGGTACTCTGCAAATCCGGTCAACCACTCACAAAGGGGAAAGCTGAATCCAACGAGCGTGCGTGCATGCGTGTGTGTGCATTGTCCATAACGTTATGCCGTATCTTCATCATCTGACTCTTCATCATCTTCCTCTCCGTCTTCGATACCCGTGCCACCGTCCCACTCCTTTTCCCAAATCGCCCTCTCGTTTTCGTCGCTTCTTCGTTGATCAGGGGGCAATGCGTTTTGTGCGTTTTGTAGACGACTGAGTAGTTCTTCCTTTCTCGAAACAAGGTGTTCCATGTATTCAATCGCTGCAAAGCACCCATCAGCAGCCACTCTGTTGGGACAAACGAATCCGTTGCTCCGTTGCCGCACTCACTCTGGCTCAGCACAATGCTCTCGCTCTTCGGACCCGATCTCCCGTCTACATCCACGTTTGCTTTTGCACCCTTTCCCCGCTTCTTCTTTGCATCCGCCGCAGTGTTCTCCTGTTCGGCCTGAACGGCAGAGCGCAGAGACGGCACGACGTCGCAAAGTGCATCGTATCCCCTGCGAATCTTTGCACGTCGCTTCTGCTCGGACAAGATGTGATTGGCCTTTTTCTGCTGGGCAGTCAAGAGTGGTGGCTTGGCTGAGCCACCGCCTGCAGAAGATGATGCGACTGGAGGTGCAGACGAGGGACCCGCAACGACATTGACGGGTGCGAGCATTGTAGGTGCCGAACGCGACGACGACAGTCCGGGCAACTCCTGGGTGGACTGGGAGATGGAGCGAGCGCGTTTCGACGGCAACGAGTCTGCATGTGGGATTCCAGCTGGTCGTTTACGCTGTCCAGCGGCATTTGTACCGTCCATCGAGCTCTCGCGTGCGCTTTTCGTCGTCGTCGACGACGACGTCGTGCTCCTTCTCCTTGCGAGCTCATGTTCGCTGCTATGCTTGTGAATCGTCGGGTCGAATGGTACTTCATGTGGCCTCCACGCGCGCACAGATGAGCCGCTGCTGCCACTCGTCGTGGTCGAGGCCATGGAGCCATTGGCGGCGCTGTTGGAAAGAGGATTGAGCGGAGGACTGGGAGATACGGGTGTGTTAAACGCCATGAGCGATCTCGTTGCGTCTCTGAGCGCCGTGTTCGGCTTTGATGGCGCGGGGCCGACGCTGCCCACTGGATTAAACTGGACACCGCCAGACTTGATTCCAAGCCATTCGTTTGCAGTAAGTGCAAACGTTTCTGCCTGGTCGACGTGTGAGAAGAAGTGCGCAAGGTCCTTGTGCTCTGCCGGGTTGAACATTATCTCCTCGTCCTCTCCACCGGCTCCTCCTCGTCGTCCAGAACGTTGTAGACTGTTCAAGTCGTGTGTCGAGTCCATCTGAGGCATGCGCGACGCCATGAGCATCCTTGGTACACCAGACGAGTACAGGTCCAAGCTTTACGGTCGTGATTGGCTACAAGCGGAACACCGAGGTCGGCTATGGTCCCCGGTGCGTAACCTTGACGAGTATTTCTCTTTCATATATTCCAGGCGATAGCACATTATTTTTTCACTACAGGCACTCTCCACGTGAAGACGAACACCTAAAATCCCAAAACAGACAAGTCCGCCATGCGGGACGCGATGCCCTAGACAACAGCGAGCTCTTCGGGTCGCTACTCGTCCTCTTTCGGCTTCCTCATCGACCGACGCAAGAACGACAGCCGTTTGCCACTGTTCCCATCCGCCGGTCTGGGTAATGCTGGTGCCGACGACATGTATGGGTGGTTGCTTGGGGTTGTGTTCGTCCTCTTCCCCAATCGTTGGATGTATCGCTCCGACAGGTTCGTTTGTGTCCGCCGGATAGCAATCCCTCCTTCCTCTGCCGAAAAGTTGAACCCACGGTTCGCGACAAGCTGTCCAGTAGACATGTCCGTTCGACTCCCGCTTCTCCAGTCTTGTCGTAGATTCGGTCTCGACGACTGGAACGACCGTCTCGGCGGATGTAGGCTCGACGCCATCGATCGCGTGTCCAAATTCTGGTCATCCTCCTCGGCCTCTTGAGGTAATTGCGACTGCGTGCCATCATGTCGTGCCTTGAGTTTACCACCCAATGCTGGATCGGCGGCAAAGTCCTTTTTCGGCTCCGTCTTCTTGATCCATCGGAGAATGTCAAAGTCGCTCGGGAAGAAGATGAAGCGCACGGCGTGGTCGATGTATCTTGGAAGCAAGGCCAGTGGAATCGTGAGGAGTAACCCAAACCAAAAGTCGACAGAGTGGAACAGTAGGTAGTAGTTGCCGCTAGAGGGAGGAGGCATGTGAATATCGACCTATAGCCCCAAGAGGCACGTGCTTACTATGAGCTCGTCACGAACCAACCAGGTCGAATGGTCGAGTAAATTGCCTATAGAATGATAAGCTTTGACTGGCATTCAGACGTCGGAGACACGCACCGTGAAACCCCATACGAGGACGATTCCGAATGAGACGGCAAAGAAGACCCACCCGGTCCAGGCGTGCGTATTCAATCCATTGAACAGATTAACAATCATCACCGTAGCCAGCACCATGGTCGCCGAGTATTCGTACATCGCAATGCCGTATCCATCACTTCGCGAAGTCGTGAGTGCATATGAATAGGTGATGAGGAAGAACACGATAGCCGCCTGTCCATCATTTCATTAAGCCCAGTTCATTTCCGACCAAGAAATCACAAGCACTCGCCTGCACAACTGCGTCCAGCATGTACCACGAGAACATTCCAAGGCCAAAGTGTGCGCCTTCTCGACCATATCGATACAGTTCCGGAATAGCCATGAGAACATCGTCGTCTATTGAGAAGACTCTCAGACCTTCACCCGACGGGATAGGAAGGGAGCAAACGTACCGATGTTCCGATCGAAAATACCAATTGCAATAACGGGAGCCAGAGACCAGAATACGTTCCAGAATAATAAATAAGTATAGTCGATAACACTACCGGGGAGTCAGTCACGCCATTCAACAGCCAAGACTCTGAAACATACTAAGTAGTACTCCAGGCGCAATAGATTTGGAACCAAAAGAGCACTGCGACAATAACAAGATTCTTGTAGAAAAAGTTGCCAATCATGTTTGAGTTGCGAGCGTATGACCAATGTCCATGTACAAGAAGCAGTCGCTTGAGATATTTAAACTAGCAATGCGGTCAGTATAAACCCCACCCCAATTGGATACTACACACCTGAGCAATGGCGTAATCAGAAGAGTTGACAGCTTGAAGACCTTCTTCACCCGAAATACCAACGCCAACATCCGCCGCCTGTATCATACTGACATCGTTGGCACCGTCTCCAATCGCCAACGTCAGCACTTGCAAATTGTCCTTGATGAGATGAACGAGTTGAGCCTTTTGCAACGGCGAGACACGACAGCAAATGACCGCCTCGCATCGAAGACCAATCTGCAAGAGAAGCTCTTTGCTAAACGATTCCTCCATTGCGTGGCCGAGAGCGACACCGTCAATGACAAGGATATAGCCGCCAGGCTTTCTTCCATTGTCATCGTCGAGAATCTCTGACAAGCCTGTCGCTGCACGGCGGATATTGCCAGGTTTCGGGGAGTGTGGTGGCTTTTCCGTAGTGTGAATCTCTGGTGGGTGGACCTCTTCGAGATCCAGGATACCCTCGGTCGGGAAGAAGCGTTCGACAGCCTGAACCATCTGATCGTACGCGGCATGGGCCTGACCGAACTCGCCGCCCCGTACAACAATAAGATTCGAGTCGGGGGCGATGAGGTTGGTACTGTATCCGATGGCTGTTGAGTAGTCAGTAATCTAGTCGTCGTCTAGTAGAACCACGCACAGATGGCAGTCTCGAGCTTGTCTCCCGTCGCTACCCAAATCTTGATACCCGCACGCTTGAGGTCGGCAATCGTCTCTGGCACGCCATCTTGCAGTTTATCCTCAATGGCAGTCGCACCCAAGAGACGCAGACCGCGTTCCATCTCATCAGATACTTGCTCGATCAAGTCTTCTCGATCATCGAGGGCAACGGTAGCTTCGTGATAACGATGGCTCCATTCTTCGTACTCGGCATCTGGGAAGGATGTGAGTAAGCGAATAAACAATCAAGATCCAACGTACCGGGAATGACCTTGTACGCCAAGCACAGCGTACGAAGACCCGAGCTGGCAAAGTACTCCAAATGCTCCTCCGTTGTCTTTGTAAATTCATTCTGTCCCGCCTTGAGCCGCTCAATAATGACCGAATCGGCACCCTTGCACAACAAAAAGACGCGCTTGGCATTTTCCCCACCCTCAGTATCCGTCCGGCGCAAAATGACGCTCATCCGCTTTCGTGCACTCGTAAAATCGAGGACGTGCAAAAGCTCATACTCTTCCACGGCATCTCCCTCGAGGAATGGCGTCTTGAGCCTCAATGTATCCTTGTCCTTTCCGAGGAAGATGAATCCGGCATCCGCCGCAGCCTGCACGAGTGCCGACTCGTCGGGCGACTGCGCCTTGTACGAAATAGATCCATCTTCGTCGCTCACACTGGCAATAGCCGTATGACACAACGCCAATGTGGTCATGAATGCATTGAGTGCACGCGCATGCGCAGACGGCTCGCCACTCGCAGAGCGTTGAATGTCCTCGAACAGTTGCGTATCGCGGAAATGTGGGACCTTGGGGTTGAGCGGCGGTGTGATGGTCGAGTTGACGTTTGTCGAAGATCCGTGACCGGTGGATGACAGGACGGCCAACGGGATCGCATCACCTTCTCCGACAGCAGACGAAACCCGTTCGGTTGCGTCCGCAGGTCGTTCTCTGAGTTGTGTCTCGGTGTAATCTTCATCTTCGTCGCCTTCGTAAATCTTGCCGCCAATCGAGCACTTGCGGAACACCATCGAGTTCTACTCTAGAGTAAGCAAGTGACCGCGGTAATGATGCATGATATGTACCTGAGTAAGTGTGCCCGTCTTGTCGCTGACCACAAACTTGACTTGTCCGAGATCGTCACTCAAGTTCCAACTTCGGGAGAGGGCCTTTTGATCCGCCGGCTCGTAGTACATTTCCGAATCGAAGTAGATGAAAGCAGCTTGACAAGTTCGGACAAACTCGATGGAAATGTAGAGTGAGATGGGGACGACGTTTTGAAAGGTGATGAGCGCGTTGAAGAATGTCGTAAAGCCGTTGAAAGACGGATTATCGTCAGGCAAAGGTTCGCCAAACACCCAGTAAGCACTCCTCCTCAGATAGTGCCGTTGGAGTGCCGAATCGACAATGGCACAGACCACACCCACAATAGCGAGAAGAGCCAGATTTATGAATCTGTAAAGGATAAGAAAGGGGTTTGAATCTAGAATGAATATACGAACACCATGGGGTTCATTTGCCTCTCCACTTTGCTTCGCTTGGACGGTGTTCCGCCAGAGTTGAGCACAATCTTGGTATCTCCACCCGTGAACAGCACGATACCAATAGCCCAATCCGTATTTCGCAACACGGTACCACGCAAGAGAACAGTGTTCAAATCGATTGGCTCTGGCTTCCCCACGTCCTGACCCTTTTCGTCAATGGCGGTAATCTTGGCGTTTAGGCGGTACATGTTTGATTCTGGTTTGTCGGCGTCAATTCGGAAGCCTCCTGCCGTAGCACACGCCGTCGCGCTCCGCAAATGGCTCAGAGTGGAAACATTGCGTCTGCTCTTGAGATTCGTCTCGCCATCGAGGTTTTTCGTCTCCACGAATGCCACGTCTTCTGGATCCGACGTTGCGCAGATGATGATGTCTCCTGGGAAGGGCTCGTCGGCCCTGATCTTTACAAAATCTCCGACTCGGACATCCTCCCAGGCCGTGGATCTCCAGTGAGGTTTGGGCGTGTCGATATCGACCAGATTATCTTCATCCTCGATTGTCGAAGGCTTCTCCACGAGCGTATTATTCGAGTCTTTATCCTGGGCCTTTTTCCGCTTGTAGGGGATCCGCATGCCGCGTGTAAACGTCTTGCTCTTGGATCCCATTGCATTATGGTTGTGATAGTTCTCGCCTTCGAGCACGAGGACTCTGGTGTGGTTTACTTTGCGATCCGACTGGTGGCGTTTGACGTCCTCGTAGCCATCCTTGACAGCAGTGATGAGTAGAACAATGATAAGAGGGAGAACGACGAGGCCAGGCGAAATGGTGGAGAAGCGAGGGAAGAACTGGAGGATACAGATAAACGCGAAGAAGCTGGTACGAGTTTGTCAGCTATCGAAGGTCACGTCGGGTTGGGGGAACACATTACATGTTGGCTATTCGTCTAAACTGCTCGAGGAGATTTCGGGGGAGAAAGGTAAGCACCGTATATTTGGATGTGACGACCTGGTTCGTCGCATATCGGGCGTCCTTTCGGACCTTTCGCTTGCCGCGTTTGTGGACATAAAAGTCGTCTGGAAGAGGATGATTGACATAGACCGTTCGAGGGACCTGGGGTGGCGGGGCGGGGGAAAAGAGCTTTGCAATGTCAAAGTCCCTGAAGCGTTGGAGCCACGAACGCTTTGGAGGCGACGACGACGTCTTGCTAGTCGCCATAATACGTGCGAATTGGTAGACAAGCTAACGCGCCGTCCACGCTGCGAGAAATCTGCCGGCGACGTCGAGGACAAGAGGTGACGATTCTTCGGCTGCTCTGCTTACTCCCGACTCCAGCGGCACTCGGCCACAAAATCTCACAAATCATCCGAAATTCCACAGGAAACAGGCGAGTATTTACGTATGGATACAATCTGCACAGCGTACTGCGAGCCCTGCGAGTGCACGGCCTCGCGCGGTTAACGGGAAACCACTGGAAGTTGGACCACGCCTGAGAGTCGTGTAGTAGTATTAGTCGTCCTACTGTCCAAAGACATTGCAGGTTCGAGTCATACAATAGGATTGTCCCCACCTCAATCGTAAGCCGGGCCGTTTCAGATGACAAGTGATAGGCCCTGTCAGCGCTTATTTGTGGGTGCTTTTAATTATAACCACCTCGGCGAGTCCAAGCCAGCATACTTGGACATCACTCTCACATGTATCACCCACACAAAGTACAAATCAACACTCCAATCCATCTCCTCCCCACCGAAATCCTCATCGACATCTTCCGACTTGCCTGCCAGGAGGATGGCACTCGAGTGGTCAATGGCCACCCTCTCCCAAATGTCTCCATATCATTAACATGCTCTCATTTCCGACGAATCATCCTTGAACTCTGCGACGTCTGGACGACCATCGACTTTCGTCTCCACTGGCCACTCCGCGTCCTCACATCCTATGTAACGACAATACTCAAACGAACCGGTGGAATGGCCCTCAACATTGTCGTCCGCGATGGCTGGCGATCTATTTCTTCACCAAATGTGCCCCCCCTCTTCCAACGGCTCTTCACCAAGGTGACCAAGGTGGACACCATCTCCTTCTACATCTCCCAGTATACACTAGACTACATACCGGAAGTGCTCCTCAACAATCTCCCAGTGCCTCCTCGCCGTCTCGAGATTCACCACGCAGCCGAATTCGATACGCGACCGCTTCATCAAGCTCGCAGGGAGCCAAAGGACGAGAAAAAACCAATAATGTGCCCAATCAGAAGCTGCAAGTATATCGATCTTGTCGAAGAGCTCGACCTTGTGGACACGTCAGTATATCTGGATTGGCTACCTACCACCTTTTTATCCTTGAAATCCTTCACCCAACGGAGAAGATTAGACCAGACGCGATCGTCTGCGTCTATACATGGTGATTACGTCTTCCGCCGATGCCCAAACTTGCAGACGGTGACATTCGAGGGGAGGGTGCACCAGGAGTGGGTAAACTGGACCAGACTTCCGAACAACAAATTCACACTCCCTTTACATACCCTAACGATCACCGACCACCAATGCTTCATCGACTTTTGCATGTACTTTCCCGACCTTCGAGTTCCACGCCTCCAAAAATTTACCGTCGAAACCCACGACGCCCAAGTGCTTTCCGAGTTTCTTACGCGCCATCCTACTATTACCGACCTCACACTCCCCTGGGTCATGGATGGTGAGACGATTGGGGTAGTCTGTCCGCGCGTGGCTCGACTATCGATTCCATCAGGAGCCGTACAGCTAGTTCTATACCAAGGAGACGGTGCTGGGTTCAAGGCACTCAAGGATCTCCATATTGACTGTACCGCGTACTCGCTCTCCGTAGACGAGTTTGAGGATCTCGTGGAGATGCGAGTGCTTTGCGAACAGAATGAGCTTACGCCACAATTGTCCTCGCTATCGTTGCGCCTTCCGCAGAGTGAACAAAAGTCGAAACAGGATTGGACGCGGAGTGCCTATGCAAAGGATGCGGTCAAGAGATGGGAGGGGGACGTTTGCTACTTATCGTGGCCAGATTATGTATAACATGCTGTATACTCGCTGTTGTTGTACATTGGTTCCTTGTCAAGGTTCAACCGACTCTCACTCAACGCTTGCCGCCTAGCCAACCCGACTCAACCGTGGATACAATCGCCGCATTCTTCGCAAATGCAAAGAAAATCAAGGTCATCGAAGCGCCGAGACCAGTTCTCATCGGTATCCTCCGCTTCTTATATGAGCGGCTGCCTCTTTGTCTATCCGCCGACAAACCAAGACATCTTACATTGTACGAGCACCCGAAGAGGCTACTAGTCTCACTCACGGGTGAAGAGACTCACGAACAGCTCCAAGATATTGGTCTAGAGTACTTTAATCTCGCCCTTTCTTATTGGTCTTTGACGTATCCGAAGGGTCGTAGATCCAGACGACGAAATATAGTAGAGACGGGCCTGCATTTTGGGTCCATGCTGGTAGCATTATGGCGACCTTAGTTTACCTTTGTCTTTCTTCCCTCTGATATTGTAGGATAATCGACAGTTTTTATGCAAATTCGATGGGATTCAGTTGAATGTCTCGTCTCGATAAAGCTGTGTTGTACAGCAAGTCATAACTTGAACCTGCCTACATTCTTCAATAGGAATGAAACATCCTTCTGTCTTGAATTATATATAAATTAATCGAACCCTATGCCACTTTAAGCTATATTTATTCATCAGTACGCTAAACAGTTTGTTGATACGTCCACAAATCCATCTAACGGTCTGTTGTTAGTATGCCTCTAAGGACGCCCATAATTAACTGCAGGCTGAAAGCGAAGTCCAGATTCTTTTTGAATTCAAAATTTTCTCAGATAGATGTCCTATTGTACATGTCAGTAAAGTGAGAAGCGGTATGGGTGGCTCTCAAGCTTGACGAGCGCCTTGCGTGCGCTTTGTGTTATCGTTGCCTCGATGGGCCAAATCATCCCCACCCCCCGTCGAAAAGAGCCAGAGCTCTTTGGTTTTTTCCCAACATCGTCTCCTCCCATCCCGTCGCTGTCTGTAGGATACGGCGGCTCGCCATATGTCAGTATATTGCTCACGCTTCTCCATGGAGCAATTAATCAGCCTCTGCTAATGTCTTAATAACAAATTTGTCCCAGGCGTCGCAATATCACACACCATTAGGTTCTATTACGGCGTCTCCATACAGCAACTGGACCGCATCACCCGCCAGCTTGATGATCACCACATCCCAAACTGCATCACCAGTACCTCTTAGTCATTCACTTGAATCTCCTCCTACACGCGGTGCGACGCTTGGCACTCCGCAAGTCAGTCCGCAAATGCGCCCCGGCCAGCTTGCTCGTCCTTTTACAAAACCTCTATCAAAAACTTTTATAGATTTGAGCGTAATCGACGAGCTTCCAGTGCTGCCATCCAATGGGCAGGGTGTCGACGACTTTGCTTTCGATAGTCCGGACTTTTCGACATCAGCAAGAAGTTTTAAATCAAAAGTAATCGACTCAGGCGCACCATTCTCGTCTATTTATTCGCTAGATGCTAACACACTTCCCCAAAGCATTCTTAACCGAATATTTGACTGTTACGTCGATAACCTGCGACGAGATGCAAGTGGTTCGCCATTCGCAACCCCCGAGACACTACTCCAAGTCTGTAGACAGTGGAAAGATATAGCAGAACGTCAAGAGAGTATATGGGCCAAGGCCTATATCACTCTCATCGACGAGCAGGTTGTTGAGACGTGGATACTGCGAATCAACAGATACTATGATCGAGTTCAATTCATCACAGACATTAATATTCAAGATCAACGAGATCTCATTACGCCCAAGCTATTGGGTACGAGTGCTGACCTCTATCGTCAACTCAGGACGGAAGGATTTCTGACGCATCTCAGCGATATTGCCTTCTTGATTACAGAGCTTCATAGAAATCTCTCGCGCTGTAGGTATAAGAGGTTTCGCCTCGCCATGCCACTCGGCTTTGTCGAAATCATTGACCAACTCGATGGCGATGCAAGAGCGCTTGCCAAGTTATATCTCGACAAGATATTCCACCTCGATCTGCGATTCCTCGAGTCGCTCGAGCTAGAAAATGTTGGATGGGTCACACCTACAGCACTCAAATTTGACTACGCTCAACTTCCACGTATATTCCAACCGTTTAGCACCTCACTCAGGGTGCTTTGTCTATACAACTGTTTTCTCCCAAAGATTCCAAGTCTCGAATTCCTGTACGAGGTACGCCTCGAGCATTGCTTTTACTGGAACCTATCACGCAGACAATGGGAGCCAGTTGGTCAGATAAATGCCTCGGGTGAGCCCAAGGAAGTTGAAGGTTGCTGGAATCTTCAGGCTTTCACTATTGGGCCACTCACCGCCCCGATCACCCCTTTATACCTTCCATCGCTCCGTACGTTGGAGATCGTAACATGGTGGGGCCAGGAAGCGACAGTACTTTCCCATAGTCGAAATCTATCTGCACCCAATCTTCATAGACTAATCATATCATTACCACATGTCCGCTTTGTCCATCTCACTCCTCATCTCCCGTCACCTGTCCAACCTGACCAAACCGTGGATGCAATCACTATATTATTTACAAACTCGGAGCTTATCAAGGTCATCGAAGCGCCTAAGACGGTTCTCGTCAGTATCCTTCGCTTCCTATATGAGCGTTCCTCTCCTTCGTCCACGGACAAGCCGAGAGATCTCACTCTATGCGAACACCTACAGGGGGTACGAATACCGCTCACGGGTGACGAGACCAAAAAGCAGCTTCAAGATATCGCTCTTGGATACTTTGATCTCTCACTCTCTTATTGGCCTTCGACCTATCCGACGACTCGTATAACCACGCGCCGAACAATAAAACGCACGAGTCTGGATCTCGGATCCAAACTCGCGGGATTATGGCGTCCCTAGCGTCTCCCCACTATGCTCTCCTTTTGTATTGTAACTTTAGCGTAGTTTCTATAATAAGCTTGGGATTCATTAGCATATCTCACTATCTTAAAGGCTTCAACTGTTAATAAGGGGCAGAGCCGAGTGGCTCTGAGAGTTTGACCGTTCCTTCTGTCACTCTTAGCGCTGTTGTGATACCTCGCGCCATGATGAATGAAATGATCCACGCCAATAGTCAGGACGAATCAGAAAACTATGACAATAATCAACGACCGTTCGTTTGGGATCCACAACCGTTTGCAGAATCTAGTGTCCCGCCATATTTCACTCACGCATTGCCATGGAGCCACTTCCCACCTTCTCCTGGGTCCATGGTCATAATATTCCAACAGGCATCTCCATACAGCGACTGGAGCGCCCCGCCGGAGATGATGATTGCCACATCCCAGTACACATCTCCCGCATCTCCAAGCCCTCCTCCCGAAACTTGCTGTACCACGGGGTGTCCTGCGCACTTGCACTTCCTTCGGTCACCCGTATACTCGACCTGTCTTAAAAGCTCACCCGAGATTGAGAGTAATTGATATCTATCTCCAGGACTCTCAATGTAGGAGAATAGCGTCGACGGCTTGACTTTCCCGGATGCCAACTCTTTGACGCCTGTCTGCATCGAGGTCCTTTGGCCGGTTTCAAGGCACTCAAGGATCTCCACACTGACTGCACCGCGTACTCGCTTTCCGTAGACGAGTTTGAGGATCTCGTGGAGATGCGAGTGCTTTGCGAGCAGAATGAACTCACGCCATAATTATCCTCGCTATCATTGCGTCTTCCGCAGAGTGAACAAAAGTCGAAACAGGATTGGACGCGGAGTGCCTATGCAAAGGATGCGGTCAAGAGATGGGAGGGGACGTTTGCTACTTATCGTGGCCAGATTATGTATAACATGCTGTATACTCGCTGTTGTTGTACATTGGTCCTTTATAAAAGTTCTAACCGCACTTCCTTCACTGGTGGGCGGTCATGATGAAAGAAAGCCAAGTGAATGATGTTTATTTGCAAATCTAGGTCTCGTCTAACTGGTTAGGCTGAAGGTCTGCAAACCCTGTCGAAAATCTACTCAGGGGCAGAACTCAAGAATGATTGACAGATCTTCGGGATGATGGTCGTCTTGTCGGCGCCTTTTTGCTGTCTTCCTCGGCTTGTCCAACCACCTTACCTTGGACCCAACCCCACTCCTCTTTCGGATGAACAGACAACAAGATGGGCAGCAGAGTGCAATCAGCGCTCCCATCTATCGACTTCCCACCGAAATTCTGATTGAAATCTTTCGCGTCGCCTGCGTGGACGATGGGACTCGAGTGATGCATGGTCACTCGGTTCCCAATGTGTCCATATCATTAACATGCTCTCGTTTCCGACAAATCATGCTCAATCTCTGCGACGTTTGGACGACCATCGACTATCGTCTCTATTGGCCACTCCGCGTTCTCACGTCCTATGTGATGACGATGCTCAAACGAGCTTCCGGACTAGTGCTCAACATTGTCGTTCGGGATCGCTGGCGCCAGATGTCGGCAGAGTCTGGGAGTGTTTTCGAACTTTTCTTCATCAATAAGGCCGTCAAAGTGGACACCATCTCCTTTTATCTCTCCCAGCACTCAGTGAACTACATACCGAGTCTATTCATTGACTTTCTTCCTACGCCTCCTCGCCGCCTCGAAATCTACCACGGGGTTGAGCCCGACACACGACCACCCGATCTAAGGCTCAGCGAATCGAACAGTGGGAAATCACCTTTCAGGTGCACGATGACCGGCAAGAACTTTGAGCTCGTGGAAGAGCTCCATCTGGTGGATACGACTCTGGGTCTGAACTCGTTTCCTCGGAAATTTTCATCCCTGAAATCAGTCACACAACGACGGAGACTAAATCAGGCACAAACCCCTGCGTCGCTGCCTGTGGGTGTCTTGGTCCGCACGTGTCCGCATTTGACCAGCTTGGTCATGGAGGGTTCAGTGTACAGCGACTGGGTAGACTGGTCCAGAATGCCAAACAAAAGCTTTATATATCCTTTACATACCTTGGAGATTACAGACCATCTTGGCTTCACAGAACTCTGTCGGCTCTTCCCCACCCTTCGATTTCCACACCTCACAAAGCTTGTAGTAGCAACAAACGACTCGAGGATACTTTGCAAGTTCCTTGTGGATCATATTACCATTACCGACCTCGAACTCAAGCTCGCCGTGAACGGTGAGGCTATTGGAGCCGCCTGTCCACGCGTGACCCGACTGTCTATTCCTGCGGGAGCCGTGCAACTAGTTCTACATCGAGGTCCGTTGGCTGGTTTCAAGGCACTCGAGGACCTCTATGTCGACTGCGCGTCCTACTCGCTCTCGGAGGAAGAGTTTGAGAGTCTTGTACAGACGCGAATACTTTGCGAGGGGGAGAAGTCCACGCCACCATTGTCCTCTCTTTCCTTGCGTCTCTCACGAAACGGTCAGGACCAAAGGTCTGAACCAGACTGGATGCGCAATAGCCATGCAAAGAGCGCGGTCAAGAAATGGAAGGGAGACGTTTGCTATCTATCGTGGCCTGACTACTCATGAAGAGTTGTTATTCCGCCATCATTGTACATTCACCTGTTTGCTAATCAAAGGCAAACTTCCAACACGTCTCTTGATCTTTGCGTCAAGTATTGCTTCACCGCTTGCCAGCTTAGGCAAACGAGAGGAGGTATCCCATCCCCAAATTTTCTGCGTAGGGATTATTCCATACGATTGAAGCATCTCGCATGGACCGTCGCTAGCGTCTACAGACGCGAGCAACAGTCTCCGCACCATAATTGAGCCACTGGTGCTCGGATCTTGCTTGGCTGGACATGTTAACACTGAAGACTTCTGCTATAAAATCGCCACAGATTGTTTTTATAGATGAGTATTACTAGTATACAAACTCTTCCTAGAATTCGGGTCGCATTGTCGTCCTTTGTTCTCAAGGGCGCTGCGTGACTCTTCCATGCGTCATTCATTGAAGAAGTACCAAAGTAACCCGTCTTCGCTCTTCCAAACGTCCCTCTCACCTTCACCTTGTTGACAAAGTACATCTCGGGCACTAGTCACCTCGTCCAAGCCCACCTCGATGACCAGTAGAGGGATACGACCTGGCCCTTGTGCTCTACACCGCTTCTCTATGAGCTTGCTATACTTGGAGGCGTGTATAGGGTTGTATGTGAGTCGAAGTCGGGCAAGGTTGGAGAATATGAATGGCTTCCGGAGCAATGGAGAGATGTTGAGGGCCTGAGGGACGTCGAGAGAGTCAAAGTGAGTGGTTTTCCAATCTGCCGCTCGTAGACTGATGTTTGAAGGTAAGGAAAAGTTGAGGATGGTAGGGTTGGCGGAAAGAAAGGCGAGTAGGTCGTTTTTTTCAACTTCCTCTACGCCAAAGGATACGAGTTTGGGGAGAACGGGAGGGTATTTCTCGAACATAAACTTGATTGGGAAATATTGTGAAATATACAAGCTACGCAACGGCGCATCAGGTGTCGCTGGGTTGCCCTCCGTAATGGTCCAATTGTCGCTAAACGCTGCGTGGAGGTGTAATTCTTCGAGCTTTGGTAGACTAAATAGATCCTCGATGATGAACGGTGCCATTTCATGCTCCTGCGGTTGCTTGATTCTAATGCGTCGTAATGCCTCCATTTGTGGCAAGGGGTACGTTTGAGGCGCGCAATTTATCATGGAAACGACTCCGTCCAACGTAAGGTCCGTCAGTTGGCTCATACAGGAGCTGGTAAAGACTTGATCAAGGGGGACTAGAAGGCCTCCCCAGAATCTGACCGTGGATGAACATGAAGCCACTTGATCCATTTGATTACACGGAAAAAAGGGTGTCTGTACGGTGAAACTCGTGGGCTTCACTGTGAGATGTTGAAACAGGGTATACACCCACGCAGCAGCTTTAGTGTCTGCCATGACGATGCGAAGATGTGCAAGGCGAGTCACGGTGTTTAGAGTACTGACAAAGCTCAAGGGCAGCTCCTCTTCGATGATAGGAACGTTGACGTCGATCACGGTAACGTTGAGGGCGCATCCAGCGTAGCGAATGCGCATTTGTTGCCAGTAAGATTTCAGCTTTTCAGTGGACCACGCATCCGAGATGTAAAGATGGCTCCATATATATGGAATATCCAGCGCGATTTGTCTCCAGCGCCGACAAACACTGGCGACGGTTTCTGGACCGTGTCGTTGACCTCGTGGGTTTAGCCAAGGGAGAACCCTGGTATCAACGGGTTCTATTTGTAGCTTGAACGTGGCTACGAGGAGCTCTGTGGGCAAGCGCGCGATGCTGCAGGCCCTATCTGGACGAGAGGTATACTCCATCTTCTATCTGTATAAGTCAAGAACATTCTGGAAAAGAACGAGGAAATACCGTGGACAAGAACGTATTTTGTGGGATGTGGTGGGAGAACGAATTGTATGGTTTGTTTGCCAGCCGTAATACATGACCGAGGCACCGTGACAGAATGCAATGCGACAATGTTCACGCTCTTGCAGGAGGTCGCATGGAAGAGGGTGACGACTCGGTTGAACTTGTACCGCGACCATGAATACCCGTTGGCCAGAGATTGGGAGCACTATAGAGTTAATAAAGGCTCAAGATACCGATTTGGTACTCGCTCACGAACTCATGCATGAACGGTACACCTGGTTCCATCGAGATCCATATTGAAGCTGACAGATGAATGTCCAGAGGAAGACTCGAGCAAGAGTTGTACGTCGATAATGGTGTATATGAGGGCCATCTATTAAACGGAGATAAGTGTCGATAGTCTGCGCAAATTGGTCGAAAAGCACAAGTCGCACTCCGAGTTTGGAGATAGAGAGTACTCAAAGGTACGCGTCACTGCATTTGAACAAGGTGGGAGACCTACCTTGTCACCTCAAGGATCATGCCTCATGCGCGTAGAAATCGAGGCTCGCTCCGATCTGAATCCAGATATACCCGAGCGTGCTGTGATAGAGACAATGGTGAAACAGCCTGATTTGCCAAAATTGCGACTCAAGGATTATCCAGGAGTTGTTAGTTCGTTCTGAACTAACACAGGCACCTCATGACGCACACACGGCACTTGAAGACAAGTATACAAAGCTATTGGCATCAAAGAACGAGCTGGAAGAGTGGTTTGACAAAGAGTGGCGCTGGCCCTGGGAATGGAAAATGCCATTGATCCGTAAGTATTTGCCAGTCACTGAGAGGAGATGAGCAGAGCCAGAAGAACTTGAATAAAGCCTAAGTGTGCAAAATCAGCGTGAATTAGCGAGGAAACTTCAAGAGTGGTATGAAACCAAACTACAAGTACGTTACACTTCGCCTCTAGCTTGGCTAAGAGCGGTATAGCTACAGATAGAATCTCACCATTCGGCTCTGGAGGATACAAAAGTAGCCATGATCAACACAATGAACGCCATCATGTTTGTGAAATCCCTGTTTCTTATGACACAGTCTCACCACTTACAGTGATCGTACATCTACGTGCAGTCGGATATATTCCCATGCGCTCACCAGAGCATCAGATTTAGTTCCGTTGAATCAACGCGCATCAATCCAAGCGAGAGTGGATTTAGACTTAGGTAGCCAGGCATTTGCCCCGGTGGACTACTACAACTGGTTCTTCGATGGGCAGACCTCACCCTTGTACTTTGGCACAGGTACCCTACCCCTCGATTTCTTTGGCATTGAGGTGCACTTTCAGAGTCAAGTGAAGCAAATTGCTGATCACCTCTGCAGGGGTATCACGAGCGCATGTCTCACCACCTGTTACAAGTCGACCATTATGTGCGTGTAAGAACCCACGTGCAATACAATGGCTGACCATCTCTGCAAAGGCGCCATGGGGACAGACTTTACTGCGGGCTGAGCAGAGCAATACCCTTGATATTTCCTCAGGCGATATCACATTGGTGTGTCCCTTTCTTTGTACTTGACAATTGGCAATATTATTTCTCCAGTTTGAACACGCACAATATGGCCCATTGCTTCCCCTAAACTCAGAAGAGTTTGAACAGCTCAAGTCTGCCAGTTTGGTCTCCATTACAGCGAAGTTGGCAAAGACTCAACTTGATGCAGGGAAAATATCTAGGCGTGATCTGATTGCCCTTTTGGTACCGGATGAACCGGTATGGGAACCTCTGGGGTCAGCCAGGCGCAAAGAATTGCTCGAGCTAGCTATCAACAAAGTTCCGCGACGGTGGTTCACATTCCGCATGGTGAGCCTACTTGCTAAAATTGTTTTGATACTGGACGCATTTTCAGGATTCGGATCACATTGTGGAGGCTATCCAAAAGAAATGGGATTTTGAGACCGACAAGCCTTCTCGTAAACGAAAGTAGGATGGAAGGGAAGCACTTTCTGAAACACTTTTACGATGCAGATTGTAGATGGTGTAATGAATCACATAAGCAACCACCTAAAATTACAAGCGCTTTGGAATACAAATACGCTGGTGGGCAAATAGTGCCGACTGTGTACGGACCAACGAGGAAACAACCCGGGTAACGGGGTCCAAGGCATGTATAAGGATTTGGAGTCGAGGAGGAGGCATTTGGTGCGTGCATGAATAGGATGTGTTCTATAGAATGCCAGCGAGTGGCAGTGAGTTCCTCATTCAGTTGATCGACGACACCGAATGGGCTAATTTCCAGTGTGTTCGTTAGACCAAACACTATACCTGTTGTTAGAAGGACGAGGAATGTGTCAAATATCTATACAAACGCTTCTCGATCATAAGCCCAAATCACCCAAAGGCAAACGACTCGCCACGATTGCAGTTCGCGAGTTGACCTGTCATCGTAAACAGTGTATGTACTTGAATGTATCTAAATGGATTCTTCAGATTCTAAAGACAACGAGCCAGCACCCTCTCAACCCAAACAGCGAATTGTCAATGGCTGTAAGGTCTGGGTAGCAGTGTCCTTGGATGCACAACAGGTTCGTCGCGAATCCATCTATCTTCAACGTGCTATCAACTCCTCAGTCGACATGTCCGCGTCATCTGTTTTCAACGTCACGTCAAATCGGCGTACAGAGTACCCTTCGATCCACCCAGAACCTCATCCTTTCATTCACCCGAACGCCTTCGACAACCCATAATCTCCTCACCCTACTCACGAATTCCGATTGGGCTGGATATAGACTCAGAGGATGAATTGTATGACCAAGGCAGCGACTCTGAGGACGATGGCTACAGAGAGGAACAAGAGGGCTCAAGAACAGCGATTTGTGCGTCTCTTTACATACTATATCACTGCCTTCTGACATTTCAAAGCATTTGAAGGCAATCTTGATCCCGAAATGTTATACAATATAGGCCCTGAACATGCCGCAATCGACATACCCATTCAATCCCCTCATTTGCACCCTGAACCTGACTTTCCTCCCTCTTTTGAGCCCGAAATTAATCAATTTGATGACCCAAATACACCAAATTCCGTTTGTGATCACGACGAGGCAATAGATGGCATTGTATATACTACAAGCCTCCCTAAAGAGCTAGACTCTTACAGGGTATATGTCATCTCTCACCCACTTGCATCATTGGAAGAATCTCGTCCTTCATATCAACAAACCGAGTCAAAGCCACTGCATTGGCCATTCGAGACCGAAGAGGACTTCCTCCAGGCAGAAATCTTTGTCAATAGCGAGATGACATGGGAGAAGATCAACGCACAACTGAAGCTCAATCTAGAATACAAGGCAAGCCGAAGAAAGTAACTCTGAAGGTGGTATGAAGAGTTATATGGAGCCATGGCATGCTTTCTGTGCGTGTACGGCTGCTTGAGACCCACTGCCACAAGTACATATGATTGCCATGCCACCCTAGAACACTCCATGACGAACATATTATACAAACATGGCAATCCATCGCAAGCCAGGGCAGAGTGCAGGTCCTGAACCAACACTCCATGGCAATCCACCGTTTGTACCGTCACCCGCCACGCTGTCTCACTACACTCCATTGCCTATTCCCAACTAGCCATGAGTCGTCTCAGTTCACCATAGGTCAACACCACAACCATCACTGAGCGGTGGGTGCCAGGAGGCAAATCTCATTTTACCGACGAGAGATTTGCGCCGATCGATTTCGGGCTACGTTGTCAAGATGTGTGGAGGTCCGGTTGCATGGAAGTCGAGGAAACCCTATGGTTGTCGCTTCATCTACCGAAGCTGAGTTTGTAGCTACCACGTCTGCATACCAAGTGATCATCTGGCTGCGAGAGGTACTTCATGAGCTGAGTTTCACACAGGTAGAACCGACGCAACTGAACATGGATAATCACGGTGCTAGCGATTGCAGAGAAAATCCGAGAAGCCATCGCAAACGACGGCACGAGGACGCATAAGGTTCACCACTGGACAGTTTATTACAAGATAGAACGTCTGCACCAAGAAATCAAGGACCTCGTCAAGCAATCTGTCTTGGACGACTTTGACATGTGCAATTCTACGCAAACAAGATGAACCTCTGGGGGCGCTTCAAATAGAATCATACCAGACCCACGAACCATCATGCCATGTGGTGCAATCGGATGCAGGGTACCATGGTCCCACAAGGCTCAAGGGCACGGAAGGCCAATCTATCGATGCAAAAACACCCAAAAAGGCGCCCTCAATGCTCCGGACTACCCTTGGGTCGATGGTGTGCGCAGAAAATGTACAGGCGACAATCGCACTTGTAAGTCTCAGCTGGGAATACATCATCGCTCTCCACAGAGAAGCGATGCAACGGTTTCTGTGCTCTTTGCATTCCAGCCGCCGACAGCGTCAAAATCTGGCTTGCCAGTGTCAAGCGTGCGGCGCTTGAGCCACAAAAAAGGCCCGTAGGTATCTCAAGAATCCTCTGAGGATATCCATGATTAGTGATGGAGGACGCAACCATGGAAACAGGTCCCAAGAGACGATACTACCACCTGTGGACAAGACACGACCAATATCTGCTCTTACATGTTTCTGGGAATTAGTTCTAAGCAGCTGGATCAGCTTAGAGGGTCCCCGAACTCGGATCGAGCAGACGTGGTCGGGTCCAAGTGTGAGCGGAGGCAAGTGGCACCCCCCTTGAACCAAATACCACTCCAAGACAAATATCTCTCACCCTCACATCTTCATCCGAGTCAACCCCCAAGTGCTCGACAAAAACTTTCGTTCTATTTCAGCCAGCGTACACTCTCCACACCTCTATGGGTGCCATCGTCTTCTGTAGTAATCTAGAGCGCCTTGAGGAGTGGAGACACAACCTCACCACCCCTCTTCTTGTAAAAGTCGACAACCTTTTTGCCAACCGCCGCAATGTCTGCCGCACACGCATCAGCTCACACCCTCGAGGATAGGAACAAGTAGACGTACTAGTACCAGTGAGCCCAAACTTCTCGTACACCTTTTGATACGGTCCAGAGGCACCCCACGCTGGGAGACCAAACTGCTCGTGCGAATATCGCTCCCATCCATACGTCTACCAACACGGTTAGTATAAAACCCTAAACCCTCATAGTGCACGTACCGAGTAGGCCTCGACCGAAAGAATTGGCGCACCACTCCTAAAGACGGACAACTTGTACTCTTCGGGCTGTGCATCAAACACCCTCCAGCAAGGCAAACTGACGATACGGGTCTTGATACCCTCCTTTTCCAAGAGCCCAGCCGCCTCGACCGCAATCGCCACCTCGCTTCCCGTGCTTACAATCGTGAGTGCCTCGCCTTCAACCTCGTGCAGGACATATCCGCCCTTGACCGCATGTTCGATCGTCGAGTTTTCGAGCTGAGGCAGGTTCTGGCGAGAGAGCGAGATGATCGATGGCGTCGTCTTGGACTTGAGAGCAACAAGGTAAGATGCAGACGTCTCGTTGCCGTCTGCTGGTCGCCAGAAGTGGCAGTTTGGCATGGCACGGAAGTGAGCTGCAGTCTCAATAGGCTGATGTGTCGGTCCGTCTTCACCCAAACCAATCGAGTCGTGGGTCGCCACCCAGATGACCTGATGACCACTGAGGGCAGAAAGACGGACGGCACCAGCGGCGTAGCTGACAAAGTTCTGAACAATGTTAGTTTTTTGTGACCCGGAAAGGAGGACGACGTACGAGGAAAGTGCCACCGAAGGGAATGATACCACCATATGCTGAGAGACCATTCATGATCGCACCCATACCGTGCTCACGGACACCATAGCGAATGTAGATACCCTTGTAAGTCCCGAGTCCAGTGCTTTCAGGCTGGAAGTCGACCGACTTGGGGACCTTGGTCAAGTTGCTACCGGTCAAATCCGCCGAACCTCCCATGAGCTCGGGAAGAACTGGAGTGAGTTTTGTGAGGACAGTCTCGGAGAGTTTGCGCGATGCCACGGCAGAGTCTCCGGGCTTGTACACCGGGAGAGCCTTCTCCCATCCCTCTGGAAGATCGCCCTTGATACGGCGCGTGAGCTCGGCATGCTCGTTGGGATACTTTTGGCAGTATTCTCCCAAAAGCTTCTCCCACTCTTGCTCAAGAGCGGCACCACGCTGGGCGGCGGCGTGGTAGACATTGTAGACTTCCTCGGGAACAAAGTATTTTTGCTTGGGGTCGAATCCAAACTTGGTCTTGAGCTGCTCAATATCGTCCGCCTTGAGAGCTAAATGAACGGATTAGAAAGTAGATGAAGTAGGATCAAAGTACGCACGGCTTCCGTGAACGCCATGAGTGCCTTGCTGCTTCGAGCCGTATCCGATAATGGTTCGAAGTCGAATAATCGTAGGCTTGTTCTTCTCCTTTTGGGCCTCTTCGATGGCATCCGAAATCGCAGCGAGATCGGTGTCACCCTTGTCGACGTGAAGGACTTGCCACCCGTACGAGAGGAAACGTTGCTCGACGTTTTCGGTGAATGCACATGCAGTATCACCATCGATGGAAATGTCTGAAAGCTACATTAGCAAATCGATTCCTCCGACGATTGTCCACTCAACGGTTGTCGTCGTATATCTGTATTTCATCAATACCAAGACAAGAGTACATGTGAAAATGCTTACCGCAATTAGATTTCCGAGCTGCAGGTGACCAGCAAGGGACGCAGCTTCGCTAGCCACACCTTCCATCAAGCACCCATCACCCGTGAACACTGAGACGGGTCAGGGGAAGTAGTCCAATTTCATCGATTCTTACTGTATGTATGGTTGCTGATAACGTCGAACCCGGGCTTGTTGTAAACGGCAGCCATATGGGCCTGACCAATTGCAAGTCCGACGGCATTGGCAAATCCTTGACCGAGAGGACCAGTGGTGACTTCGATACCGTCGGTATGGTGAAACTCAGGGTGACCAGGTGTCAACGAATCGACCTGACGGAACGCCTTGAGGTCGTCCATCGAGAGCTTGTATCCGAGGAGATGGAGCATGATGTACTGCAGGGCGCAGCTATTCTCTCATAAGTGATGCTTATCCTTTCTTATGATGAAATACATACGCATGTCTACAACCAAAAGCATGAGATCTCCTTCACGAAGCACGGAAAGTAAGGGGACGCACCCATTTGAAAGCACGAATCGATCGCGGTTATACCATTTCGAGTTTTTTGGGTTTGCGTTGAGGAACCTGGGTATGCATGAGCGGACGCATTGCCGAATACGGGCCGGGAGTCCGCGAGCCCCAAAGCAACTACGCTACCTTGTCCAGAGGATATGGGCTGCAGGAGCGAGACCCATGGGAGCACCTGGGTGTGACAAAGACATGGTATATCAGCCATTGTCGCCACTGTACACGATTGCTTACCTGGGTGGCCAGAGTTTGCACCCGCGACTACGTCCGCAGCGAGCGTGCGGATGGTGTTGATCGCAGTTTCATCGATCGATTGTGGTTCGTATGGCATTGTCGACAGAAGGAAGAGTTGGCTGGTGGTGGCAGAGATCAGGTCGAAGGAACAAACAAGCCAAAGGTGATTACGCCCTTTATTGATAGCGCTCATTGGCGACCATGCCCATCGGAGTAGAAGATTAGCAACTATTTCATACAATTTAGATACATTTTATAGGGTATCATCCGCTCCGGACGGCATTTACACTCGGTAGCCACCACGACGCTGAAAGGGGAAAGTCAGAATCGACCAGAGGACGTCGAGAATAGACGTACGTAAGATCTGTAGCTTCTCCAGGAGAAAAAGGTTGCAATGAGCGTGAGCCCAGCAAGCCCAAGAGCAGTCCATCCGAGAGCCTCGACGGTCTCAAGTTGTCGGCATCTATACGCAAATGAGAACATGTCCATTCAGATCATACGGGTACTCACAGAGAGATAGTCGGTTCACCCTCGCATTCTCCGCCAATGCGGATGCGATGGAAAAAGGTAGTCGAGACAGCCTAGAGACGTCAGGAATAGCTTGGAATACAAACGTTAGTACTCACCCAGAGGACAATGGTAACAGCCAGCCAAAGCAGTGAAGTACCAAGTCCAGCGAGTGCAGCAAAGGTTCCACGGGCGACAAAGCAGAAGAATACAAATGCAAAGAGGGTTGTCCATGAGGCAGTAAACAGCAGCAGTATAATCCTTTCATTGTTGGTCAGTGTATTTCCAGTTAGAAATGTCACGACGTACAATACTCGCATCTGATTCGGTGTTCCATTCGATCCTCTTCCAGCCGGATATCCATTATCCTCAAATTCGTGGACGAGATAGCCAAGCAGGCCAGTCTCTGCAGCGGCGACGAGACCCAATAGGAGATAGAAAAACGTCGCAGCTGGCATAGTCAAGAGTACAGAGATATCACACTGTTACTCGTCTAGATCATGAACATGCAAGCCTCCTTTATGCGCCCTCGAGGCGTGACGTCGGGGTGGGGCCGGCTCCTAGGGGCAGCTGATGTCAGCCGAGCCTCCAGTTCACTCGTCCTCGGAGATAGTGGAGCCCAATTCTAAAGTAGACTCACTATCCAAGCAACGTGAGTTGGGAAGTGCATCTCCATACAAAATCAGTCAATGCTACACCACACGCCCACGCACTCGGGATTCTCCTCTAGCTCTTCTACCAAGTTGCTCAACGCTTTTCTCGATTCCTCGCTCATCTCTTCTGCTCCTGCCTTGGCCGACTCTGGATCTGCGGGTCGCCATTGAAACTCAGACTCGGTAATCTTGAACGAATGCGGCGGTTGACTGAGCGTCTTGGTGACATTCGAAAGAGAATCAGGTGGTGCGATGATCTAGAGACATGGGTATAAAAAAGGTGTTGCAGGTACAGGGAACTAACCTCTATCTCCACCTCGTCGTTGGTCTCGGCACTCGATGGTTCATCCTCGGTAAGCTCTTGAATGTCTTCTGCTCCAAGCTCGATGGCGAGATCCCATAGTAGCTCCATCTTCTGGGCCGCCTCGGCTTTAGGAACGGACACGCAGACGACTGCTTTCTTGTTGAAGAGATATGCAGTCGGTGTAAAGCGTGCCCTGTAATATGTCAATAAAAGCCCTAAGTCATAACCACACTCACTCATTCTCCTTGACAATCTTGTTGATAGATTGCTTCGCTCGTGCAGGGTTGTCCGTGACGAATGCTCTGAAATGAGATGAGACGAGGTCGTTGAAGGGTTTCGAACGAACGCTAGTACTCCTATTCGATCACTAGTCATGATCTCGTAGACGATTTCTTGGCCCGTTGCTTCACCACTTCCTGCTGCCTAGTTCCGTTGAAATTGTTATATGTCTGTTCGCAACTCATACCTTTGCTAATGCCCTTTCGAGATTGGCTTTCGGCAGACCCAAGCTCTTGACTCTCTTGATCATCGTCGCCAGTTGCAAATTAGTTGTAGGGTCTGCAGAGCCCCCGACTAACAAATTCTAAGTAATCTGACATCAATAAGGGTGAGAGTTACCTGTAGCGGCGATAAGAATATCCTATCCAGAATTAGCAAGGCCAAAGTGTGATGGACAGCATACCTTGGCAAGTCGAGAGTAGAGCACGTTCTTTTTGCTATCTTGAATAGCTTTGTTATGACGAATCTTTGACCACTGCGTCCAGGTCAGCAAACATCACACCGGAATGACTATCACCTGCTTTATTATGTCCTGAGTAAAGTACTTGAGAAGTTGAAATGGCTCTATAGTTGCACCGTGCAGCGTTCTGGCTTGCGTCCAGGCATTGTCTCGAAGCAGTCGGGACGAAAACGCGCTTTTGGCGCGTCAAATGTAAAATACGAGACGAGCGAGATGAGAGCATTTGATAAATATATCCCCTGCGCGCAAAAGGAAAGGTGTAGTTTGGTGGATGCAGCAGGGGCCAGGTCCAAGCCGTAGTTTGGACCCGACGAAATTCGACGCAGTGAACAATGCCTGCTGCCACGGCGCTCTCGCAAGCACCATCGCTTCTGAGCACAACAACGAGCGTTGCTGCACCTCCTCCAGACAGCGACTCGGACAGCGACGCCGAACTCGCGTCACACATCCACCCAGATTTGCTCTTACACCATCAAAACCAGCTCTCTCTTCAACATCAGGTAAAGTGGAAATAAATTCTACATACAGAGAGATGATAATATCCACAAACTGTCTAGGCAGCAAACGACGAAGGCACCGGAGCTGCTGCTGATGGTGCTGGAGGCCCAGCAGCATCTTCAGAAAGTGCATGCAGATGGAGTGGATGTGGGCAACTCTTTGGGAGACTGGAAGACTTGGTCGGGCATATCCATAAAGGTACTCACCCAAATTCATCCCCTGAGAATTGGCTAATATATTATAGAGCACGTTGGCACGTCCAAATCGACTTATAAATGCATGTGGGAAGGATGCCAGCTATACGCAGTGACTCGGACGTCTCGTTTCGCGCTCATAGGCCACATCCGATCGCATACAGGTGAACGGCCGTTTACCTGTAAACTACCTGGTGCGTTTCCGTTGCTCAAGTCGTTTAAAGCACTCACACACAATACGGTGCAGAGTGTGACAAGTCGTTTACGCGTTCGGATGCTCTCACAAAGCACATGCGGGTTGTCCACGGTATCGAGCCTCCTGTTCCAAACAAGGGCCACGGACCTGCAGCGTCCGTTGCGTCCAAAAAGCGTAAAAGAGGTGCCAAGGCGGAAGACGAATCCGACCAAGACGACGAGCTTCCACCGGGTGCACTCGACAGTGGCCTCGACGACGAAGGAGGGGACGACATGGGTGGGATTGGCACAGAAGACGATACATGGGGTCCAAGTGGTGCAAAAGGAAAGAAAAGGCCGAGCAGGAAGAGCAAAGGCGGCGTTGGGGGTGCAGCTGTGGCTATCAAGACGGAAGAGGCAGCGACAAGAGCGCATGTAGAAATGAGCGACGATGACGAGTCGGATTACGAGATTTCTCCAAAGGATGTTGATCCAAACACTGGATTCGTCATCGGCACCGATTGCACACCTTCCAAAGTACGCTATCTAATTGTGAAGGCAAAATATCGGTCAGTGATTGTGATTTTGTCTGTCTCTGTCTGATCAGCTCGCAGGTACGCACTCGGGGAACACGAGCGCCTATTGGAACGGCTTCAGTTTGAGATTGACGAGGTCAAGCGACTACAAGAGTCCAAAGACGAAGCGCTAACAGAGCTCATTGGCAAGCCAGACGTAGGTAAACCTCGTATATAGTTTCATAATGATTAGATAGTCCCATTCTTCGTGACCAAACCACATCCACGAATGCCAAGCTCACCGCTTCTCCTTTACGAAGAAATGAAGCCAGATCCAGCTCACTATTAAGAAGACCGTGCACATGATTGCTAGCGTAGCGATGTCAGGCCACCAGTATGCCTAGAGAGCGGGTTAGCGATTGTGCATAGAGCGCTCGTCAGAAAACGTACAGAGGCTCGGAAACCAAACGTTGAGAGAATTGCAGCAGCAGCCACATCAAGTTCGACGCCAAATTTAACCTCTTTGAGCTGCAGATAGCGGAGCTCGTTGACGGCCATCGCCTCGTATGCTGCGTGGAAGAATGAGAGAACGTGCAACCAATCGAGCCATGGTGAAATTGTATCTCGATTCACCAGCAGGCCTGCAAAGAGGAGGCTGTATGGTCTCAGTAAACAATACTTATGCAAGAATGCGACTCACTTCTGCAGCATGATCAAAGTGCCGACGAGGCCAGCGACAGCAGTCTCGGCGATTGCAATCGACACGAAAAGAATGACACTGGCAGCCGTGAGGTTGAAGAGGACGAGTGCCAGGAGGAACTTCCAGAAGCCAGCGAGCGTTGGAACAAGACCGACGAGACCATAGACAATACTTCCATACACCAGTGCTGGGACAACCCGAAGCGGAACCACATCGAAAAGAACCTATTGATGTGTGAGTGATGGCCAAGGTAATCTCATTCAGCCAACCTTGGAGGTAAAGTAGGTTCCCGAAGAGTAGTAGCCGTTCGCTCTAAAGTATGGTGAGAACATGAAGATGCCTCAGGAAGACATATACCTCTCACGCATAAACAGAATTCTCTCATTGGCGAAAAGCGTGATGCTGGAGAGACACGAGAACCCAAAGAGCGCCAGAGTAAAGAAGAAGAAGCCGAGTCGGTTCTGGAAACCAGAGATGTCGTTGTGCACATGATGGATGAGCAGGCCACAAATCACTAAAGAACTGAAGTCAGTACCCGACTATGTATGGAGTAATGCACAGACATGCAATAGCGATAGCAGCCGCATAGTGTGCTGTCAGCAAGAGCGGGTTGCGATAGAGGTTCTTGAATGCTCGACCGCTAAGGATGCGGAACTGCGTGAGCCAGCTTGCGCGTCGCCGGCCTCGGAGCATATTGCTTTCTTCGGCAACATCGCGCGTCTGATCAGCAGAGTCGACAGTATTCGAAGTCTTGAGAGCATCAATCTCCTGTCGAACACCTTTGGAGACGTCGCTCTCGGCATATGCCTTGACTAATGTCTCCAGATGAACTTCCTGAGGTGCCTTTTGTGCCGCGGTTGATGATCCGTTTGCCGTCTCTCCAAATGCCCGCTTGAAAAAATCGGCGCTTTGAGCGAGCAGCGTCTTACGACGCGCCCGTAGTTCGACATCGTCCTGATCCGCACTGCTCGGAGAGCTCGTGCTGCCAGGTACTACAAGGTGATTATCGGAGTGGCGAATGGCATGCTCTTGATCACCCGTTGGTACTTCGTGTGTAGAATGATTGCTACTAGCGGGTCTTGTAGCACTTTCAGAACCTAAAACCTCCGAGGACGCGGTCATAGTGAGATCAACTAAGACAGGTTAGACCCGAGCTCATAAATGAATTAGATACTCACTCAGATAGTCCGCAATGTTAAACCCAGGTGGACATGCGAAGCCAATGCTCTGGAAGTACGACTGGCATTTGGCAAACGGCCCAGAGTAGATGACCTGACCCTTGGCAAGGAGCACCAATTGGTCAAACAGGGCGACAATGTTGCTGCGAGGCTGGTGAATCGTGAAAACGACGGTTCGGTTGTAGTCGCGAGCTAGAGTAACCAAACTCTCGACGACATTATATGCATTGTATGCATCCAAGCCTGTACCAGCTATCAGTCGCTTGTAGAGGCAGGGTATGTAGGTTCGCACCGGAGGTAGGCTCGTCAAGGAAGAGAATAGACGGGCTAGTAACCAGTTCGCAAGCGATTGACACTCGACGCTTCTCACCACCTGAGATGGATCGTTTACCTGCAATGCCATTAAGCATCCAACACAGAGTCGTGAATCAATCGTACCTGAATCTCCAATCCTCGAGTCCTTGATACCAAGAATACCGAGTTCGTGCATGGTCTCCAACGTCCTGAACTTCTTCGCCTCCAGGCTCATCTCCCGAGGAAGACGAAGGAGAGCGGAGTAAAGGACCGTTTCATAGACAGTCAGCGTGCTCATGAGTAAATCTTCTTGATCCACGAAGCCGACCACCTTCTTGAACTCTGAATCGTTGACATTTCGTCCGTTGACAAGGGTGTTACCTTGGACGGTACCCCGCTTAAGCCGTCTAGCGAGAATATCGAGAAGAGTCGACTTTCCGGCTCCAGAAGGGCCCATGATCGCCATGATTTGACCAGACTTGACAGTGCCGGACACTCCAGAAAGAACCGTCTTGCCACTCGGGATGGTATAAGAGATGTCAGAGAAGTGGAGCTGAGCAGGCACGTGCTCGGTCATCAAGCGTGCTGCCTCTTCCTCTGGCAAACGAATACCAGAGAACCCTTCGCTGATGTTGGTCCTACCAGCATACCAGAACACTAATCAAGCATCAGGCGACGGGGACTTGGTTCCTGTTTACTCACATCCGACAGCACATAAGAATACCGCTGCGGCTCCTGCACAGGAAAGTGCGACCCAGATCGTGTAATCGGGCTTGGGAGGGGCCTACTCAGATGGTGAGCAAGGACAAAGGTTCAAGAAGAAAACCAGCTCACGACGTAGCCTGGAACTTGCGTGTAATGCAGACATTCACCTCCAAAGCAGTCGAGGGTGATGTACTGATCTCCAAAGACGTCGTTGATGAGCTCATTCATGGCTGGCTCTTCAAACCTGCAGCTGGATCCCTTGGACCCGTTGGACCCATTGGATTCGCTCTTGCAACTGAATTTCGCAGGACCTTTAATCTCTTGGTCCAAAAAGTCGTCAATATCTGTAAATGGGTCAGTATGACGAAGTATCAAGGCGGATTCAAGACTCACTAACGCTCCCGGCCTCTCCACAGAGCATTCGGCCAGGAATGCAGCTACACTTGATCTTCTCGCAATTTGCAAATGTAGTGTTCTTGTTGTAGCCGTACTCAATATCTGACGTGCACTTCTCGAGTCCGCAGTAAAACGACTCCACTTTGCCGATCCAGAACTGAAAGGCGCACGTCTCATTGGCGGCATTGCAACTAAATGTGACCTGCGGTGGGCGCCCAGGCAAGGCATCGACAATGTTCTTGTCTACGGGTCAAGTTGAGCGAGGTTTGCTGCGCAGCATGTGGTAACTCACTGGTCACGTTGCACATCTGATGCTGGTTGCGCACGTTGACACCTCCTTTATAGCACGTCATGTTCTTGACTGGCGCGTCTGACTGGTCGGTTGCTTGCATGAGGTGCTCCATACCCGCGATCGGGAAATTTGAGCATGCATCGTCCGTTTGACAGACTTCAATGTATGAGAAGGATTGAGAGACGATTTCTATTGCGCTTACCATTGCAGTTGATACCTCCCCAGCCCTCGTCGCACTCGCACTCCTTATTCGGAGGTCGCGGGCGTCGCTTAGATCCATCTGCAAGGGATCCACATTGCGGGGTAAGGCAGTCGTTTCCACTCCATCCTTCGGGGCAGCGACATTGGCCATCATACTCGTTGCAGACGCCATACTGGGTGTGTTCCTTTAGCAACTGAGCATTTCATTGCTATACACCACGTACATTTCCACATTTGAACCTCGGAAGTAGACAGTTGAAGCACGGTGGGCATTCTTCCTTTGGTACTGCGGCCAAGTGTCAGCCGGAGAGCTTGCAACAGCTTCGGGGCATCCAAACGTACTTAGGGAGCTCGATAAGCTCTATATTATACCAAAACGAGTCAGCATAGCGCTCTTTTCCTTGCAAAACTACAAGACATACGTAGACCGACGAGGTGTCCCATGACGCCCCCGATGTGACCTGTGAAGAGTTGCCGAGTCCTTGTTGCAAGTCGATTGCAAAGCTCGAGGAGACAAATAACGATGCAAAGACGAGTCCCAGCACGTTCGCCATGGTCAACACGCCGGCGACGTCGGGTCCAAGTTTGGGAGACGACCACGACGGCCTCTGTCTGACTCTAGTTTAGATTATTCGTACTAACACTATTGCTGAGTGTTGTTGTTGTCTGTGGTTGGCGGCTATGCTGGACGTCACCTTTTCAACCTCGACCAAGCTGCACGCATCCACGACACACTCTCTAGCAGCTCGTTGATCATCTCCAGCTGTCTATAATGTCTGGAGATCCAGAAGAACGACGACCATTGCTTGCTCCGACGGCAGAATCCATCTCCAAAGTCAAGATATGGCCCCTAATCGTGCACATTCGCAAAGATGTGACTGAATCACTGGATACTGCTCTCTCCTGGGAACAGCTGACGGCGTCTGACGTCAACTTTACCATTATACGGCCCCTGGTCCTTCGATATGCCTCGCTGAGGAACATGGCTACTGGTGAGAAATCTCCTCTGAAAACCATCCAAAGTGACTGACATTATCCAACAGTCTTTGCGTTTCTCGTCGTGCGGGCCCATTTCCTCTCAAGCGCAGAGGGAGACCTCGCGCACGCTCACATCAAGCTTTCGAGAGCTAATTTATGCGAGCTGATGGCTATCAAGATGCTCCGGCACTTTGCAAAGAACCAGATAGAGTTGGTGGCCGGTACGAGTTGTCGCCATAGCCGCACCAAATGTTGACAACGTCCCACAATAGTTCTAACCGTAACTTGGAACCCAATTGCTGGTGCGCCACAAGAGGTCAAAGATAACGTGCAGAAACTTGTTGGAGGTCACGAAGACGACCTGGACGATCCAGCTTCCGCTATCGAGGTACGCAATGATTCAGCAGGATGAAATTGGTCTGAGCATAGAATAGGTCGCAATCGCTACGGAGAGCAAACACTTTCTATCCACGCCCCTCGCACAGACGGTGATCAACGACATTTACACAGGCCGTGTCGTTTACACTGTTGCCTCGACTCGCTCTATCATCGCGGACAATTACAAGCAGCGTCAAATTGAGATTTATGATCCGAAGAATGCGCCTTGGCTCGATCATTACCGGTGAGTTCTCTTAGTACATGCAGCCGAGATACTCATATATGCAGGCTTCGTGTACCAAAGTATGGCCAAATCCTGGAATTTCTCAACTTCACCCTTCTGCTGTTGACATTTCTCCTTTGCCTTTCGAGTACGTCGAGGAACCTGGCATGCTAGAATACTCACACCAGAACAGACAAGAAATTCGACAAGATCAACATCTATGAGCTCATCTTCATGATAATCGCTCTTTCATTTGCGCTCGGAGAATACGCAGCTGCGCGTGAGCACGGATGGGAGAGTAAGTCAATAATCTATCCGTCTTGCCCTGTCCAACTAACACATCACCAGTCTACATGGCCGACGTATGAACAGTGTAGCTGGAGTGCTCCGCATACTCAAATTTCCATAGATGTGGAATGGGTTCGACAACGCCTTCATCGCCATTTTCTTCGTATATTTTGGCCTCCGGATCAAGGGCCTCCTGTCTGGAGATGGTGGGCGGTCGCATAATTCGACTGGTTTCTTACTAACGCCGTGAAGATTGGTTTTCCGACCTAGCGTTCGATATTATGGCCTGTGGGGCGTGCATTCTGTTCCCTCGGTATGTACAGAAGAGCCCCCGATGCTTGACTCACTTTATCCAGCCTCGCTTTTTTTGCCATTTCCAATAACGTCGTGAATTCTCGCGTTGCGAGGCATGATTGTCGAGTTCCTATTTTTCATCATGATCGCCGCTATATGTTTCTCCGGTCTTCTTTTTACATTGTGGGAACTTGGTACGTCTACTTTATATACTAGGATGTCTACCTTACCTCGGTCAAGCTGGCGGAACTTGGACGGTGAAGAATACGGCATGGCTAATGATTCAGGTATGGCACCTGAACATATTTGATCCAATCTTACCCTCGGCAGATCTGGTTTGGAAACACAAGTCTTTCTTTTAACCAAGCCAGTAGTTTCCATCCTGTCTTCGTGTGTATCGACACTTTGTCACAGGCCCGTTTTTGATGTAGTCCACAGGGTCCACCTCTCATGGTCATCTATGCAGCACTCTCCAACACCCTCCTAATTACTAGTAAGTAAACTTACTCACGTTGATTGTGGCTCAATATCTACCCAGTCCTCATTTCCATCCTGTCGAACACGTTTGCTCGGATTGACCAGGTGAGCTTTTCAAAGCTTCTTGACACATTCCTGACCCAGATCTCAGCATGCGACACAAGAATACTTGTTCCAATTTGCAATCTCTACAGTCGAAGGGTAAAGTCAATACCGATCAAAGAAACACAGTCTGACGCTTCCTAGTGTCAAATCTGATGCACTATTTTCGTATCAACCTCCCTTTAACCTGTTGGCGTTCTTTCTCCTCGCCCCTCTCACATTATTTGCGTCACCAAGGACCCTACACTCCGTCAACGTCTTTCTCATCCGCCTCACAGTACGTATTCAGCTGGTATTGACGACCAGTCCTAACTGCTAGCAGTCGTTCCCTATTCTCATTGCAATCAGCATCTACGAGCGGTACCTTGCACCAGGTCGACGCTTCTTTGAGAACAGTAAAACACGCGCAAACGCCTTCATTAACAGTCTCCCTCGACACATCAAAACCGTACCACTCATCGATGCACTCGTGCGATCCAGTGGGACAGATTTGCTGGAAGCGATATTCGAAATCGACATTGACGAAGCCCACCTTGAACCCCTTTTCAATCCAGAAGACAATTTCTTTGATCGCGCTCAGATTTTGACACAGCAGTCTGACCCTAACCGGAGTCGTGCTGCAAGTATCGCTGCTGGAACAACTCCAAGCAAGGAAGTGACTGCCTTGCCTACTCAGCCCGACTCGCTCGGGGTTCCCGAAGCACAGGGCTCACGCACACCTCGAGCCAGGTCTCCAGCACGAGGGAACGGAGCGGCTTCGCCTCCGACCGGCCCAGCAGCCACCAGCGCAAACGCAAACACAGCCAACCCTTCCGGTATTACACAAACATCCGACGCCAACCGGCTACGGAAACGCTCGCAGACGCCAGCGCGTCCACGATCGAACCTTATTGCTGTCGACGAAGATTTGCAAACTGGCTTCCAATCTCCCCTCGCGCGACTGTTCTCGAGCGCTGCTCGAAAACCACCGCGACCTATCGATTATGCACCGTCGAATTTGGAACTAGAGGAAACGTTGATCGGGATCAAGAGATTGCAGGGAGTAGTGGAAGAGTTGAAGGATGAGAGAGGGGCCTCAGTGCAGAGGTTACGAGGAGACATCAAAGAATTGCAGGTGAGTATTTTCTGTGTGGTGTGATTGTATGCTGAGATTTGGATGTAGGAGCGTCAAGCGCGGATCGAGACGCTCTTGATGACGTTGACTCGTGGAATGCGCGGTGATACGGTCGGAAAGTCGAGTCCTCCTATCTAGCATCGTCTTTGCATAGTTTTTGCTATCCATATTTATTCTTACAGCTCATTTGCATACGGCCCGGGTATTAAAGCAAATGGATTCGTAGAAGATACAAATCAGATCATAAACAGATGGATCGAACCCTCCTCGTGAATCGGAGACGCTCAGAGCCGCGCATTCTTGGGCATCTGCTTTACTGCCTGACGAACTCCAAGGTCTCCCAACACATCTGTAGATAAACCTTTAGTAATTGTGGCAATGAATGTGAGAAACACACCTTCTGCGCCGCCCAAGAGCGAATCAAATGTGATAGTTCGATGGTAGTGTTCGATGAACCGTCCCATACCCGTACGAGTGATTCCACGCCCTCCAAAGATTTGAACTGCATCACGAGCCGTCTCTTGTCTGTCATTATCATAGATTGTCAGCGATTGAAGGCACGATGAACCAATTCCATACCCAGAGCGAGTGGCATACATCTTGATGAACGCAATTTGGCTGCACATAGATTGTCAGAATGCAGTTAGAAGAAGGGACGAGATATATACCCAGCCAACTTCTGTGATTGCTGCTTGTAAGACTAGAAGAGTGGTGAGTACCATAACATCCAAAGAGAGCAAGTGCTCACCATCTTCGTCATCTGATAGGTGATATTCTCCAACCAAGCCTGAGCGGATTCGACACGAGCAATCATGGCAGCAAGTCTACGCTCCCGTCAAAGGCAAATCCAATAAAGCTGAAAGGAATACTCACTTGTGTCGAATGACGGCTTGTGAGATGAGAGGCCGGCCAAACACCTCTCTTTGGTTGGCCCATTTGAAGCATTCCTCCACAATGGCACGTTGCCCACGGATCGAGCTGCATGCCATGACCCATCGCTCGTGGTTAAAGTTGGAGAGCATCTACCCTTCGTCAGCCGATCCCACATATAGAGAGGCAACCAGAAAAACGTACGACTAACAAGCCCGCATTCTCAGGTCCGAGCGTGTTCTCAACTGGGACCTTGACGTTGTCAAAAGTGATATAGGCCGTGCCGGCAGTCGAGCTATAGCTCGTCTTGATGGCCATAGTCTCAACACCTTCGCCTCTCTCGACGAGGATGACGGTGAAGCCACCATCTGTACGGCATCCAACAGTAAAGTAGTCGGCAAAGACACCGTTGGTGATCCACTTCTTCGTGCCATTGACAATCCAGTGTTCTGGTCGAACTATTAGCCCATAAAGCCATTAAATTCAGGAAGCAGACTTACTGCCGTCATCCGTCTTGGTGGCCGTGGTCTTCAGACCAGCAACATCACTGCCCGCAAATGCCTCGCTGATAGCGAGACAGATAAATTTCTTCCCCGAGAACACCTCGGGGACCACGCGTGCTTTGAGTTCGTCGGAGCCAAAGTTGAGTACGGGGGGGAGCCCAATCACCATACCGGCCAGAAGACCATCCCCATAGCCTCTCGCACCGATCCGTGCAATCTCTTGGTTGATAACCATTTCATCTACGCAATCATAAGACAAACCCCGGAAAACAAATGAGTAAAACTCACGGAAGTAGTCAAACTCTTCTGGTTGTACAAGCCCATCCATTAGTGTAAGACCCTTGAGATGCTTTCCAGGTCCTGCGTGGTATGAGTAACTAGGAACGACTAGCCTGAGAATCATACACACCAAGACGCATGGCATTGATATTCTTTGCACTGTGGCAGCAGTGAGTCGAGTTCTATCAGAATCAAAACGACTTACGCCATAGCATCGACAACGCTCTGGGAGAATCTCTTTCCGTTCTCTTCACACATTTGCGCATCTGGGTAGATGATTTCATCCACAAACTTTCTAAACGCCTTTTGCAGATTGCGATGCGACTGCAAGAAGGTTAGTGCTATACTCGAATAAGAGTGACACCAACGCACATCCTTGAAGTATGGCGAGTAATATCCCTTGGTCAACCACGTTGGCTCTCCATACGGGACGGTACTGAGCTCTCCAATAACTCGGGAGACAATCTCGGGTGTCTCGTCCTTGAGGTGACCAATCTGTAAACGAGCGTATGCTGGCTTCTCGAGGACCTCGTGACGATGGAGGGAGTAGAAAATCTTTGTCGCATCCTGGCCAGCTACCTCTTCGTCTAGTAGAACGCCGAGTCCTCCGGGATGCAGATTTGCAAAGCGGGAGACATCAAACACCTTGGAGTCGATGATAATCCACTGTTTGATGTGTTATTAGATGGCACAAGGCAGAGGCTGGGCTCCAAGACTTACAAGGTCGCCTTTCTTGTTGTGCTGTACGAGACAGAAACCGAGCGTGAGTATCATAAATAGTATAGACAGAATGATAGCAGTACCTTTGCGACCTCTTCGCGAGTGAAGAGCCGTGTGGATTGTGATGAAGCGTTGTCGGTGGCCATCACGTCTGCGTGGCTGAGGTTGATGATCCGCTGGAAAGTGAGCGGAAGAGGTGGAAATGGGTGAGGAGAAAGACTTGGAGATGTGCGGGGTCAACCTTTGACCGGCAGTTTATCAGCGAAGTCTGGTCACGGACACTTCACGTGAATCGCTGGCAGCTTGCATCCGGCTATAAGCTGGCCACTCACAATCGCCTCATTTTCAACGAAACCACAATTAGACTGGTTTCATATGCTCATCTTGTTTCAGAATTCAACCGGGCCGCACGAGCAACGCGTGACCAGGTCTCGATGTCGGCAGACAGCAACTTAGATATTGAGAGACTACATAACTATACTGAAATATTGGTTTATCATACTCAAAGGCTCCGCTTTCTACAGTATCCAGAATAAGGCGCACCTTCTTGGCGTTGATATCATTCAGAAGGACCACACCGGAGCCCAGACTCCAGAAAAAGAATTATGTAGACCGTCAATATTTGTTTACCCAGCCAAAGAGTCTGCTTTGGGCGCGCCCGGCGAACCGATACCTGATGGCAAGGCATGCAGGAATCGCACAATGTAGCAAGGAATAATTTAATTCCCACCGATATTTGAATAGCTTTACGCTTCAACCTACTCCCGCGCCTTCCACTATGCCGCTATTCTGCCCGCACTCTGGCCGTAACTAGATCATACCAGTAAGCATGGTTCAGGCCGCCATTCTACTGATTGACAGGTAGGTACTCCTAGATGTTCGACTGAAATGTCACCGACTCCTAGGTGACGAGCTCTAACTCCGAATCTGCCTGTCTATACCCGCGCCCGAAACAGCCCCAATCGCCCATATGAAGAGCAGCTTCCAGGTATTTAAAGTCGGAGCTGAGTAGGCACCTTCTGCTTCGCGATTGGGACAGTCATCTACGTACGTGATGCATAAATAGGGACAAAGGTCCCAATCCCCTATCATATACATAACCTATTGCGTATTGGTGCAATAGGGATAATTGTCTCACTCTTGATGGATCCTCATCGTGCTTCAAGTGCTGATAGAAAGACTACCTTTCCCCAGGGTGGCTATGATGCGCCTCGAAATTCCACACCAGGTCCCAGTAGGAGCAATAAAATCGCTCCGGGAACCTTTGGTCCAGGACTCGAGCTCATTCTTCCTCCAGTGGCAAATTCCTCACCAGTTGCCCACACCAATGCTCTAAATCCTCAGACCATTCAAACCGACGCCCCACGATACCAACAATTCTTTCATCCCCAAGCAATGGACTCTGCATTTTCATCTCCTTCCTCTCATCACATTGGTGAATACGAGTCGCTTTACAACCAAAGCCAACCAACCAGTGTTGAGTCCCATAATGTCCCGACTTTGGCTGTCGATCATTCATGGGCAGGAGACATCACTCAATCTTATACGCACAGTGCCGGGTTGATGCCTCCGCACACCCTCTCTACAACGCTTACACGAGCTGCTTCTACCGGAAACATACCAGAATCCTCCAATTATGATACCCGAACATTCAACGATATATGGGCAGAGATCAGACAGGAGAACCAGACTGCAATCATTGCCCAGGAGCAAGCATCTCGACCAACGCTCCGGTACGAGACATGGTCAGTAATTAATTTGAGACTTATTCACCATTATAGGGCTCATTCGACGCCTCTTAGTGAATCATGGTTCTACGTTCCATCAGACACCGATTATCCATCCGATGTGCAGGACCCAACTGCCAAGTTTGCGTTCGCATCACAGCTTCCAGCCCATATTCATACACTTGGAAATGTGGTACACAGCAAATCCCGCGCGAGGATACAGAGGCCCGCGCCGAACCTACATCAAGCGAGCGTCTCTGACAATGAGGGCGCGGTGGAGATGCGTAATCCTGCTGGGAGGCTGAGCTTCAAAGTATCTCAGTAGTTTTTCCACGTGTATTTTGACTGACTATTACTTCCAGTCTGTCCATACCAGCGAACGACGTCAACAGAGGAAACTCAAACGACTGGCCAGTGCATCCTCTCGAGATGCATTATCCTCCATTGAACCTAGGTCATCTATGGATGTCGACAGGGCTTTGCTTCATGATCTTCCCGGCCAATTCAAGTGCCCAGAGTGTTCATGCGGCTTTGCGCGCTCTCGGGATCTGACACGACACTACCGCTTGCATACGGGCGAAAAGCCATACGTCTGCGCTGCATGTGGTGAGCGCTTCTTCCGTGTCGACGCTCGTAAGAGACATCTAGACTCGCATCCGGCCTGTGCGCAGGCTCAGGCAGAAGCTCACGAGGGTCCCTTAAAACTATCTTGAAACTGGTTTCGATCATGCGGGGAATTTCAATACCTCATTTCTCTTCGGCCCGTTCCCTACCCTTTTTGCCTTCTTGCCCCTTTGCTCAAAGCCTTGGCTCTTCCATAACGAGTAATGCTAATTTATAACAATTTCCGAGCAAACGGCGTGTCTCGTGATATCGTGTTGAGCAAAAGCACTAAACCTCGGGACCTCCCCATTACGCCTCCTTGCACTCGACCATGACAGACGCTAGCACCAAGCCAGTCGTTCTTGCCCTCAGCAACACTATTACACCCGCGATTGCACTCGAGGTGACGCTTTCTCCTTGCTCGAATTTCGTTCGAGTTTTCTGTTCTTAGAGAATGACACTACATCCAGATCCTCCCTCAAGGGCTCGCAGTAAACAGTCTGTATTTGAATGCCGACGGTGAAACGCACGACGTGATTCCTGGACCTTGTGAGAGCACTTCGTCGTTGTGACGATGGATTGATCCCAAATGATAGATGACTCCGCGCAGCATGCGACGCCTCCGTACAAGTATCTCAACACGCTCGTCGGACGGTATGCAAATCGTATTGCGATGAAGGAAGGAGGGCATGCTATCCAGAAGAATGGATACTCTGCCACGATCAATCCTGTCAAGAATGGTCCGTACTTGCATCTCGTCAGAGGAAGGCTGAGAACTGAAGATTCGAAATAGAAAGTGACAAAGTATCGCTACACGGTGGTGTCAATGCACTCGACTCGTTGCTCTTCACACAGCTCAAGCTACAAGAGTCGACCCTCTTCAGTGAAAAGGAGCTCCGTCGCTTGCACGAGCTAGACTATTCGAATGCACTCTTCACTGCGACTTTGCCGCACAACTCGAACGGGTTCCCAGGAACCCTGCGCGTCGAGGTGCTCTTTGCACTTATTGACCCTGCTACGCTTCCTGTGGTTTCCAACCCAGACGTTCCAAAGCATGTCGATTTGGGGTCGGTGCTCGTTGTGTACCGTGCACGACTGGCTGAGCCCAACATCGTGACTCGATCAACTTGACGCAGGTAAGAGCGTGCAGATTCTAAGATATAGTGTGAAACTGAATCGACTACAGCATTGGGGCTTCAACCTCGAAGCATCGCTTCGCCCTACACCACACCTCAATATCCGTGACCACCATCTCATCCTCCGGTCTCCCGCACGCGTCGCAATTGACTCTGACCTTCTTCCAACGGGAGAGCTCGCACTCAATTCGGCTGAGCCTGCACACGACCACAATGCGGGCAAGAAGATTGGCGAGCTCTTCCCAGAGAAGGGATACGGTGCGTACACCATATATTTTATACTGACCTATTACTAGATCACTCCTGGTTACTAACTGTGTTGGCAGATCATTTCTACATCTTCGACGAGAGCGCGTACAAGGCTTCCATCGCGACCCAGCCCCCGCGCACGCCTGTCAAGGATCTTGCAAACATCGACTTGCTAAGCGAATTACTGTCGACAAAGCCTGCGGAACATCCATCCGTCGAGCTCTGGAGTGACAAGTCGGGATACAAGATTTCGTTCTCTAGTAACCGTATGTACACATGCATCGCCTTAAACCTCCTATTAATCAACCACAAAAGAGGGAGGTGTTCAGTTCTACACCGCAAACTTTACCAACGGTGCCGGACGAGAAAGAAGATTCATGGAGGTGCGCCTGACAAGGACGGTTATCCAAAAGAATGTGTGTCCTCTTTCCCATTCTTCCCTTTATAATCTAATCATTGTTCCAGGCTGTGCATTCCTTGAATTCCACGATGTGCGTATTTCCTTCTTTCAGAACACCCAACGCTGATGTTTCGTAGCCCCTGTCTGCGTTCCTTCACCCACAGAACGGTATCGACAGTCTGCTCACCTCGGATGAGCTCTATCACAACTATGTCCGTCTTGATATTGGATTCAAGCCGCCCGTACGAGCATGAGAAGATCAAAGCGGAAAGACTCGAAAGGAAATGGATCAATGTAGCCAAATTGACAATGAATGAAAGGAATTGAACAAAGCAAGTAATAAATTTCAAAAGCCTGTAGAACAGTGACAGAACAGAGAGCTAAAGAGGCGGGCGTTACATAGCCGTCAAGACAAGGCTGGTATAAGCTGGAATTAGAGACGAGAAAAGGTTCATGATGAATTCGTATCATCCGTATAAGTTTCAATCTGAGCAAGGAAAGGATAATCAATCATTGCGCGGTTTCTGGGTCGGGTCCACCGCGGTAGGCCCACTCATCTGCTCCCCAAGTGCTAAAAGAGACCACTTATCATCAGTCAGGAGCCCCAATATCACAAGCCAAAAAAAAAAAAAAAAATCCAAACTCACTGGTATTCTTGACCAGGCGCGCCTCCAGCCTGTGGACCACTCCACATTGGCAAGCCACGCACCGCACCCGTCGACCCATCACTGCGCATAAAACTCTCCTGAGCGGAATGTGGTCCAGATCCAGGAGGACCACCGGGCCCGCCAGCGGCAGAAGCAGCACCAGACGCAACATAACCACCATACCCAAACGCACCGCCTGGTCCAGCACCATCCGGCCCGGGGTTTCCAGCACCCCCATTCGCTGCACCAGAAGCTACCAGAAGCGTCTGGATGAGGCGATTCTTGACCATACCAGTTGGCAGGTGTCGTTGGGTAAGCAGTATACTCGAGTCCGCCTGCGGCTCCAGCTGCTCCAGGAATACCGGGTCCCATGCCTACTGCACCTGCTGTGGCTGCAGTGTGTGCACCATTGGGTACGCTTCTGCGAAGACGCATCGGTGGGAGGGTCGGAACATAACGTGGTGGCGAAGCCGAGCCATGAGCCGTCGCTGCATTCGAACTCTTCCGAGCACTTTTACCACTACTTTCGGTATTTCCTCGTCCACGCTTCACGCCAGCCACTGGCTTCGGCTTGGGTGCGACCACGCGTTGGTCAGGTGTTGGGAAGCCCGTACCATCAGGAGCAGCAAGAAAGCGATGATATCTCTAGAGATTCATTTTAGCACTGTAACCAGGGGGGGGAGTTCAAGAGAAGAGAACAAACCTCATTTTGCCAATCGAAGGCCATCTCCTCTCGACAATGCCAATCACGTCGCTGCACTTCTTCACGTCATCCATCGTTGCTGCAATATCCACCGACGCAGGTCCAAACGGTGTCCCAGCCATCCACAAATTCTCCAACAGGACAATGGCAGCCGACATGGCGCCGACAACACACCAAGGTGCGAAATAGATTGACCGCTTGCGGTATGCATCGACGACATGTGAGCACGACCGAGCAGCATTAACACAAATCTGATGAGAGGGGAATGGTGTAGTCGGGTTTGGTCGTTTGGGCGTCAGGATGAATGGGTGGTGAACGAGGATTTGCGTATGGTAGAAGATGGCGTAGAGCGACGTAGATTGTGTAAAGAAGATGGGGTGCTCTGCACCCTGGTTCGGCCATTGAACTTTAAAACGTCGGTGTCAGTCGATTGGCATGCGAAAAGAATGCTCACGGTGCGGTGGAAGCTCGTCGACCCATTTACTCAACATCGTATCAATCTCGGCAAGTACTTGTTGCTCCCACAACGGGCCAGTCGTCCCTTTCAATTGCGACTTGTTGACAGCATACTGTATAGGATCAGCTTCCACGTTCAACCACCATGGCGACGACGTACAATCGTTTGCAAGGCATAGGCAATGATGGAGCTCAATTTGAGCAGCCTGATGAACGCCGATGCCTGTGCAGGCTTGTCGACTGGTTGCTGAAAGGTAAGGGATGGTCAGACGGTGCCCAGTATTCGTCGTCAACCTCGAGTGGCAAATCGACGTCGATGCTAGAGGAGATGAGCAGGTATTAGAAATACAAATAGATACGTACTCAGAGTCGTAAATGGCTGGAATGCGACCCATAGTAGAACTTGCAAGACGGTCGACGGCGATCAAGCACCAGAACGCACGTTTCCACGACTCGTCCTCTGGAGAGATTGGGTTGCCGTACACCTTTTTGCGGTGTGCACCGACATCTTGTGCGAGTCGGAGACCGATTCCACTGATTGACCAGGCGGCATAGTTGCACGAGGATTCGAGCATGTACCATGCAGCGAGCTATTCTTTGTCAGAACTGACTACAAAAGAGCTGAGATTACTCACTGTAATCTTTTGGAGGTCAAGGAGCGACGGTGGAAGCACGAGATTTCTATCCAGCACGTTGACCTGTTCGTAATACTTCCAACCAGCCGAGTGAGGCACAGAAGGATCCAGCAGGACACGAGGGTCGTCGCAGCATCTCGAGGCTACTGCACACACAAGCAACACGACTTCTGCAAAAGGTTGCTCGATACGATGCAGACCGGCGCGATAGCGTTGTTCAAACGACGGTCGATGGAGGAGTGGAAAATGGCAGTTGTTCGAGAGGAAGTAGATGTTGACCAAGTTTTCCAGCAGGTCATCTGGCGGGAATTCAAGCTCTGCCAATGAGCGCTTTGGTTGATGGCGAAGTTCCCAAGGGTTTGGTTGCCAATACTCGGGTCTGAAATGAGGAAAGAGTTCTTCGATGGAAGGAACGACTTCTCCATCCGACTTGCTTGCCAGATACTCAAACTTGCGGTCGAGAGCAGATTGGATGTGCATAAAGACGCTCGAGCGACCGAAAAAGTGACCGCCAGTACCGAGACTGAGATTGGACATGGTGTTTGAAATGGATGCGATCGAAAAGTTGCCAAACGGTCCATTGTCCGTCGGGTCTTCGTCGTTTGCCGGAGGGGTCGTCTGCAATCCCCCTGGGCACAAAGCCCACATTGAGCGGGGTAGACACGGTTTCTGCACTGAGGGGACCTGTAATGGCCTTTGCACGTGCAGGAAAGGCCGAGGGATCCTTGGCCCAAATGTTGCGTTCGATGGGCGGCCCGAGCTCTGCAGTAAAGTCTGCGCCAGGCACAAGCTAGATCGGGAATGAGCATGACATCAATGTCGAGTGGATTCTGTACATACTCTCTTGAGCAAATTCTCCATCTTCTCGAGTCTGTTCTCGAGCGACTCTACGTAACCCTTTGGTGGGCCTCGTTTCTTTGCAATTTCGACATATGTACAGTCATAGCCGTATGTGATGCAGTTTGTGCACTTTCCATCTGTCATCGTTGGCCCATCGCAGCGGATCTGGTGGCGAGGAGCGCAGGCAGTCGCAATGTGCAACCAGGAGTGATGAATCGAGCCAAAAGTGTAGAAAGGAGAGTAAAGGTGGGTGAAAAGTCGAGAGAGCGACCGAGAGGGCAGAATGTCAGCGACCCAGGGCCTCGCATGCGCAGTCAACAAGGACAAAAACTCGCCTTTTTCCTTCTGCAAGTATCACAGGCTTTAGTCGAATGTCAGAGGTGATGAATTTCTAGCTTGTTTAGCGTCTTACCTCGCTGAATCTTGCGTTTCTTGTTGCCCCGTGCGTCGTCCTTGGCCCCAACGTGTTCGCCGTGTGCGTCCTGGTAATCGTCATCTCCAGAGTCACTCATGGTCAATCGTCGAATTTCGAGTAGAGTGTGGTGGTTCTCTTTCAGGCGGCCGACCGAAATGCAGGCCTTTTATGACGGGCGGTAGCTGCCTCACCACCCGGCGCCGGCCATGGTCCAATTCCGGGGAGCGAGCCAGGTGCCACAGCTTACACATCGGATTCACAGTGGATCTAGTAGAATAATAAAAAGACTAATCGAATTGTATTCTACACTGCCAGCCGAGTCAGTATGTGGGCTCAGAGGAACAGGCGAAGATCCCCTTCGCCCACCTCTGGCTCATAATAGTACATACATGCAACGCTCTTCGGGACCAGACATAACGAGAATAAACACAAAAAAAAAAAGGGAGGAAATGATGATGATGCTGGTTGTACAATCAGTCAGGCGCAGAGTCAAGGAGATCAGACATGTCCAATCAGGCAGCACACGGGTCCTTTGCACGAGATAATGGAGGCCAATTTGTCAATCGGAGAAACATTGAATAACGCGTATCCATGTCCTCCGGTCGGAGCGGCCACACGCTACCAGGCACATCACCAGACAGGCCGTTGGTAGATGACGCCGTTCCACGTACGCGTCCGCATCCTCTGATAACGTTCTTGTGCCTCTTGTTCCTTTCGAATTCGCTCGTCTTCGCTATCTTCCTCTTCGTCGTCTTGCTCTTCTTCCTCGGGTCCTTGCGGAGCAACCTCAGTATTGAGCACCTTGGACGACCTCATCCGTCCCGAGCCGAGCGCTGCCCCTCCATTATACCCAGACACTCTCCCATCATGCCGCATTGGTGCAAAACCCGCAACGTTGACGTGACTCGTGATCCGGTTGATTCTGCGCTCGCGAAGCAAGTCTTGTCGCAGCTCGTCTGGGACTTCAGACTCCAACATTTTCAACCTCGTCGTTCTTGGAGATTGGATAGGAGCAGGGTAGGGCAAATTCCACGGATAGGGGACAACAGCACCCATCCTGGTTGCTGTCGGCGCTGGAACGCCTTCTCGCGCTGGTGTGAATATCGGTACTGGAGGTTGACTTGTCGCAGCAGGGCGGCGTTCACGCGTAGGGGCAGGTGCTGGTGGACCTCGCTGATTTTCCGTCGGCGGAAGTGCGGGAGTACCATGGGAGGAATGAGGTCGCGGACGTGCCGGTCCGAGTCGCGGGTTTGGAGGAAGATGTCCTTGTTGAGGTTGCGCGCGGAACGTGGTCGGCACCGAAGGCGATGAAGGGGGTGCAGGAGGTCGATACTAAGCAACTCTGTTAGCCGAGCGTACAATTAGTCAGGCTTTTCTTACCGAAGCAACTTCTTGCTGTGCACTGTGTGGGGCGGCATCGGGAGAGGCAACAATGGCCTGTGAGGGACTGCGTCCATTGGTCAACGCTTTGGTATCCTTTCCGCCCATCACGGCCTCGAGGTGCTCCTTGGCAAGACTGCGACCAGTCGTGGCCTTGGTCGGTTCCTCGTCGTCGTCTTCGCTATCGCTAAACTCGACATCCATTGGTCGGCCACGGAGTCGGTGAGCAGGCCGTTTCGACTCTGCTTCTGTTGGTTTCTCCACAGTTGCGCGGGCAGGTGCTGGCGAGCCCTGTTGATGATAACGCGAAACACGAGCACCACGTCGTGGCCCCATCTCCCGGAGTGACATTTCCAGCAAATCGTTTCGACCATTATCGCGTGGCGCTGATGATGCAGTTACACCAAGAACGACGGGAACCGCGACGGAGCTCTTTGACACACGCAATTTGGCAGGTGGAGACGGACTCTTTGACAATCCAGCGACAGAGTGATTACGATGGTGAGATTGTGCCTTTGTCGAGGTCGATGGAGGGGCTGGTTGGGCTGGTTGGACAACCTTGGGAGGAGCAGCAGGAGGGGCTGGTGCGGCAGAAGGGATCGGCGCTGGCGAAGGAGGCGTCACGCGATTAGCGGCGGGAGGCGCAGGAGTCATGTTATTCCTGGGTCTCGTCACGTCAACAGCGCTCGTCATACGGAGACCACCAAATCCGAGCCCAACACCGTGACGAGGGCTCTTCATGCCGCCCGAGCGTCCACCATTTTCATTTGCAGCCGACGCGGCGTTGAGTCGAGCGTGTATCTCTTCCATACTCTTGCTCAACTTTTGGTCCATCGGAGAGACTTGTCGGTGGTATGGATGGCCAGGCGGGAACATGTACGGATTTGGATTCAGCACAATGGTCAAATTTGACGGCCTTCCACCTCTTGAGAGACTTGTCAGGCTCTTCTCCCGCTGGAGATTCGTGCTGGAATATGATTCTCGTGGCAAGGGTGTAAACATGTCCCGTTGTCGCTGAGCTTCCTTGGCAGCTTGCGCGAGCGGTCCCTCTGAAGCAGAAGATGAGCGAGCGTGATGTGGTTGAGGTTGCAAAATGGCTCCTGACTCGCCCTTGCGGGCCTGTGCCCGATTTGGTGGGGGGGAGGATGTTCGCTGATGATGGTGTTGTGCATGTTGCGCAATCCGTCCCTTGGATCTGACGTGTGGAATGTGGCCGTGCGCTCGAGTACGTCCATGGGCGGCTAGAGCGTGGTTTGCAGCGGATCGTCCAGAACCAGCAGAGCCCACTGGCAGATCGCGAGAGTCGCGTCGAACGGGAGGAGCCTGTCGAGATGACACCTCGCGTTTCTCGGTCTCGGCCTCTTCGTCTTCATCTGCCCAAGAGTCATTCTCCTCGTCTTCGACAGTCTCGATGGCTTGCTCAGGAGCCGACTTCTTAGCCGGCTCGTCATCCTCCGATTCAGACTCTTCAGTGCCGCTGCTGCTGCCCTCTTCCGTATCGGAGACTACCGAGATACGTCGGCGGCGGTTGACCGTCGATTCCATGACTTGCCGCTCAAACTCTTGCACCTCGAGTGGTGATTTTTGCACCGGTTGCTGCGGTTGCATAGGAGACCGCGATTGAGAGGTTTGTTGATGTCGCTGTTGCTGTACAATGCCACTTGTGGCTGATCCGGCTGTAGCCACAGCGCCGGCTCTGGGCTGAGCCGTCTCGGGCGCAGCGCTTGCAGTTGCCGACGCAGGGTGCGATCTAGTCACAACTTCATTCACTACAAGTCGTCCATCTTGGCTCACATGCGGTCGGGATGGTTTCCCAGCCATGACCAGTTTTGACCCCGCCGAGGTCGACATTGAGCCCACGCCGCTTTGAGCGCTCATGCTCCCCGCATTTGCCTCAAGTGAGCCTATCAGTTTGATGGCTCGTACCCCACCGCCCAATGCCGCGGTACCAACCTCGCGGCGGGTAGTTGCGCTACCGAGGTTGGATCCAACGCTGGCGTTGCGGTGCTTGAGAGTGCCACGCGTGCGTGACGAAGACCTCTCCAATGCACGATTCAGATGTGTGCGATGGCCCGCCCGTCTGCTTTTCATGCTCAGCCGTGTCCGGCTAGACTGACTCTGAGACGATGGAGGCGATTGCGTCGACGGTGATGCGAATTGATGTGACGTGTGTGATTTCGACGACGTTGACGGTGCTGGTTGTCGATGGATCTGCACGCTCATCATCGCCGAGTCTGCGTCTGCCAATGGGACGGATGGTCGTGGTAGGAGATTAGTCGCGTGGTCGTTTGTGGCTCGCCGACTAGACCCTTTAGAGCTCTCGGGATCCAAACTCGATAGTCCTGGCCCATCGTGGTTAAAATCTGCCGCGACAAATCCGTTGGGCTCTCGTGACAGTCTGCTGCTGTCCGCGGGTTTGGGACCAGCACTAGCACCGACGGCACCCGAGCCAGATTGCAAGCGGGCCACCTGTGGCTGTCTTTCGTGCGACGACGCGGAGGATGAATTGGCCTCGCGGTCATCAGGTGACCGCGAGTCTACTCGCCGCTCTCGCACTGCACGGCCATTGAGTGAGCCGGGAGAGCGAGAATGCGAGTCCGAGCGTGAATTCGAGTCTGGAGAAAACGAGGTAGACCCTCGTTGAAGGAAAAACATTTTTTGGGTCGGTGGTGGAGGGTGGACGGGTGCGATGGGCTGATGCTGCTGCATCAATCCGGATTTAGTACTGCCGTTCGAGGCGATTTCACCGGGTTGGCAATCCCCTAAAAAAATTCGATTTTGTGTCAGAATTTGGTATCATGCCGGCGAAGAAGATGGTAACAAATGAAAAAGTGAAAAAGAAACAAGGGATAGACGTACAGATACTTTTTCCAGGAGACGATCGATGATCGGTGCTACGCGTTCGACCTGTCAAGTCATTACCCGACACGTCTACGGTCTGTTGAACGGGCTGCGACATTTCCGGCCAGGGCATTGGTGCGCTCCCTCTTCGACCCCTGCTGGTCTCTACGACTCGCGCTTGATGCTGCTTCCAAAGCGCGCCCTCCAGTCCTCCTCTTTGCCCCTCTGGGCCAGTCTGAAGAAGCGTAGCGGTCGCCGTCGTGGTGGTGGTTGTCGGGTTGCGGTCAGAGTTCAAGGTGTGACGTGCACTTTGGTCGAGCGGGTTATTAAGTCCTTCGTTAATCACCGGCTTCCTAGAAAGTCCGTCTGCGAGGCGCGGCGCCGTGCGTATGGTTGGCCCAGGGTCGTCAGACACGGATCCCGCGGCAAGAGTCGATGACGCCAACAGCGGAGTAGGCGTGCGTGAAACTAGTGTAGAAATCTCGTGATCACCCTCCGCGTTTTCACTCGGTGTGGGGTTGAGGGTGAGTGTTGGTCGGGCGGTTGCGTCGATATCACGCTCCGACGAGCTGCCCTCTATAACGCGGGATGATGTGCAATTACGAGGCGCTTGTGATTCTGCGGATTGGACTTCCTCGTGGTCGTCGCCGTATGCTCTTTCAATCGAGGCGGTGTTCAAAGCGGAGAAAGGGTGCAAGTGCACCAGGCCAGAAGGAGACAAGCACCTCGCAGGAGTATCGGGAGGGGTCGGCTTGGGGGTCGATTGAGAGATGATTACTGTGGGAAACAAGGCTTGACTGCCCAATTGTCCCAGTCTGGTCACGCTGGCGGTTGTATCCTCTTCACCGCCTTTCGAGTCTTCGACAATGGTGGTTGGTTGCAACCTCTCGTACGAGGCTTCTGGTATCGATGCCTAGTTGTCATGTCAGTCAGGATTGAGACACGATAGGCTGATCAAAGAATGGTGCGAGTGAACCACGGCGACTCCGCTCCGGGTCCCATGAAGAGCACACGTATAAGTGAAATTCAGGATACGCACGTGGTTTGAAATAGACGCAAACCTGACCGCGTCGTTGAGCCGAGGTAACAGCGTCTGCTCCGGATTACTTTCTATGGAACCGTCTGCCGTAGACGTGCTCTCTCCAAGTGCTGGTGTGCTGCTCGGCGGGGATGTAGGCGATAGCGCCAAAGAAACGCTGGTTATACGCGATATCGAGTTGGGATGAGGGGATCCCACTGGAGTTGGTTGTACGATGGTCGATTCTTCGCTCTCTTCCACTATCGTATTTGCCCAATCTGTTACGTCGCCCGCCCCAGATCCTCCACGGTGTCGTGTTGGTGTCTGGACAGGGCTCTGAACTAGCGCTTGAGATGAAGACGTTTCCTCGGTAGGTTCCTTTAAGTGGTCGTCGACCGTTTGTGCGTCGCGAGGCGAAAAGTCGACTAAATTCCAAGAGTTAGTGGATCGTCGTATGGGGTGTAAACGGGGGTGAGGAGCGCAATGGGGAAGGGTTCAAGTTTCGTCGAGACTGCCTGCCACACTAAGATGGCGCAGAGAAAGAGTGCCCCAAAAAGAAGGCTGCGCGCGCCCTTTGTCCCACGTCGGGATCAAGTCGCTTAACACGACGTGATTCCCCTAGGAGAGATGGTACACACGGTCCTCCTTGGGAGGACGAAGGAGCGAACGATAAAATTCCGGAAATGGGTACACGTCGAAAAGCGGGAATGAATAGGAAATCTGATTAAATGGGCGTGTCGGGAGAAGGAGACAGGATCGGTGGAGGGCACGAAGTATCGGAACGGGAGGGGAGATTCCGAGGCGAAATCGTGCGAAACATAGGCGAGCCGTCTGTGTGGTGAATGGGGCGAAACTAGAGAAGGCGAAGCATGCCGTAGGTTGGAATTGGCCAAAATGAAGGAAGGCGCTACTTTGGCCTTTTGCACCCGCACCCACATCGAACACTTCATCATCCTTCGACTTCGCCTACGGCTGATGCGGAGCTCAAATGCCGCCGCCGCCACCACAGTCAGGTTTATCACCTGCTCGACGGATCAAAGGAGAAAGCTCGAGATATTCCCATCTCCGAAGATTCGCGGCGGCGGCGCGATGGATAAGATGGGCTGGTGACTGGGTGCAGTTCGCTACCATTGCCTTCCACGGCAACCGGTCGAGTGCAACCTGGTGATGCGGTGTACGGGGAAATGAAGAACCATTGTCGTGGACGGTTGTTGTGGTTCGTTGATCAGATGATCGTGGTACTCGCGACGAGCATACCGCCCCTACAAGAGGCTTGGTATTGACCTCTCGTCCTAGGTTACCATATGCACTTGACCGCGCCGGTCAGGATGTTCCGACGTAAGAGTAGCGTTTAGGCACATCTTCGTGTGTGCAGCGGACAGCGCGGATGTTTACCATCACATCATATTCTTTTTGGTTCTCCGTCATTGCCCGCAGCATGTGTCTTCCACCACAAATTCTGGAATCCGAAGCGAATCTTGTGACAACGAACGGTTGTCAGAAGGAGTGCGAGGCGACTTGTTGCGAGAATAAGCCTCTGACCACGTCACTGTTCTCGTCCGCACGCTTGTCGCCTGGAGGGAAAGGCCGACAATAAATGTCCGGCTTCCTCTCGACAAGGCGACGTTTCCGATTGGTGTCGATTGTGTGGGCAAACCATGGCGAACCGTCGAAATCTCGCTGATAAACGTCCAAGAACCGTGTTATACCTCGTCGTAGAGCACCTGAGCAAGGCAAAGACGGATTTGATGCGGTGGCGGGTGGGACCACCAACCGTGCTCGATTCCGGGAATGGCCCCTTGCCTTTCACTCGAACCCGATCGAGTGCCAGGCTCTCCCGAGAGTTGTAATGCCCTTTATCACGAGTGTAGAGGAACGAAAGAGGAAAGGAGAAAGTAGAGGAAGAGCATGGCAAAGAGGGGAAATGGATCAAAAGAGACGGTACACACCTGGAACACTGTCGTCCTTCCAACTCTCTTGTTCGTCTGGAGGGGTAAAGATGACGCGCTGGATTATGTATGCCAATGGGGGTGACTTGGCAATGGTGACGGTGCGATCGCCCAAGCCGGTCGAGGACAGAGTCATGTCTGTCGTCGAGGTTTCCGTAGTCGTAGTGGATGATATTGAGTTTGCACGTGCATACCACGGCCTAGTCCGGCCCTCATTCTCCTGCACAGATGTCAAAGAGCGCCCGCCCTCTTCTCGCGTCCCCCTCCGGTCGATCAACGGGCGTCGGGAGGTTGTTCCCACCAATGGATGCATTGAATGTGGTTCTGCCGTTGTATCGGCGTCGTTCGTGACACGTTTGGGTATCCCCTCTTCGTGCTCGACCCTCTGTAGATGGACACCGGTGAACCCCGTTTGTTGGTAGTGATACTCGTGCTGATATGATGGTTGATGATGCAGCGACGTGGTCATATGATCTGCGCGTATCCGTGTTTGCTCGCGGCCCCAGGTTCGCCAGCTGAGGTTCTCCATCCGTCGTCCGTGGGCAATGGATTGAGCGCAATGTGTGAATACTGTAACCAAAATCCGTGTATCAGCATTCATGAAACATGCTTCAGGTACCAAAGGACGTTTGGGGGGACGAGTTCAAACGAAAAAGCCGTACATTTCCATAGCCGCCTCGTCGCATTTTCGTCCACGAGTCCTACAAGTGCATCGAGTTGAATCGTGAGCACGTCGTGGACGGAATCGCTATTGGTATTATTCCCGCTCTCGCGCTTGCCGCTCTGGCCACGGCTCTGTTGCCACACAGACGTGCACTGAGCGCGTGGTTCGACTTCCAATTCCACTTGGAAGATGTGTACGAGTCTCCTGTAGGCATGCTCTGAGAATTTGCAGGTCCGGAGACGTGCTGGGCGTCGAACAAGGCCGCGTTTTGGTGCATCCTCATTCGAGCCTGGTGGTGCTAGTGTCGTTGTAGAGTCGTAATGATCAGCTGTGTCTGTTCTTATCAATGTCCAGCGCCGTTTGGCGACTGCTTCCGGCTGCTGGGGAGGATTACTGGGAGAATAACTGTTGCTCGTCGTCGTCGTCGTCCTTGTTTGTCTCTCCGATGCGTGCTATATCCGCCGTTTGCAAGCTCCACGTTTGGTCGTTGGCGTGGGCGGGGGTCAGAGTCAAAGTTGGACAAGGAACCAAACTCCGGCTTGTCCGCCGAGAAACAGGGAGCTTGTTTGAGAATTTTGTGATAATAAAAGACATTATTCTACCGAAATATGTATAGTATCATCCAATGTCGAATGACCCGTCCCGTGATCACGCAAGCTGTCCCGTCCGTGTGCGCAAGCGGGGCTCTCTGTTGGCGGCGGCGGTTGCCAACGTGGAGAGAATGCTCTAGCCCTGCAAAAAAGACTCATGACCTCTAGCAATTTTTGTGGTATCCTCCCGCGGCGTCGTTAGCATTCAAGCCGCCTCTTGCCGTGTGCTTGCTACTCGATGCGCGGTTCACTATCGGAAACCAATGGGAGGTGGTCCCGTGATTGACTGGCTGGCTTTGGTTAGGACTGCGCGTCTGCTTTCCGTGCCTTTTTCACCAAACGCCATCCTCCCGGTCCATTTGGCGATCTCATGAGTGTTTCTAACAACTCCTCCAGTTTCCAGGTACTCGTCGCTACATACAAAGCATCTCCCCCCCAGACGGGCCAACCTCGAACAAACTCCCAGGCCAGCTACTTTCCTACGCGTAAACAAATTCAGGAACCTCTTACCACAATCCCGCCTAGATAACACTTGCCGCGTCTATTATGTTCTCTCTTAGACGCCAAACGCCCCCGACTCGCCTGCGAATTCCCTCCGAATGCGCTCCCTGCCCTCACAGTTGGCGTATGGACCATGTCCCCGTTTCAGAGGAGGGTGAGAATGTTCATCCAATGCCCAGCCACATACACTCCATCGCGCATGATTTCCAGAGAGGCATCCAATCTTCTTGCACAATTCCAGAGGTGAACCATGTAGTACTCTTCTGTGGAATAAATCTCTGTAAAGTAGCAAGGGTTCTACATACAGACAGCCTAGCTCTTCGCGTCGCTCCATGAGGCGGTTTGCTGCTCGAACCAGTTTCACTGTGTTCCTGAAGCTCTCCTGTGCGTAGTCACCCTCTTCCCGAAGTTCAACCTCGCTCGAAAAACTTCCCGGTCCGGTGATCCAGGAGGCCTTTGTTCAGAGCTGACCTGTGACAGGCTTTGCCATCATTGGGCCCTAAGATAAGGAATACATCTCGCCGTGGTCTCGGGGATGGAACCATTGGCCGAATACCTTACTTGAACAAGGTCAGCAGTCGGAAGCTAGCTGCCCCGCCCTTTTGATAGCCCTGTACATCAAAGTGCAGTGATCGTTTGAAACCTCAGTTTCACTGGACTTCTAGTAGGAATGCCAGTGCCAAATTACAGCTAAACAATTCCCTCTACAACAGGAGAGTTAGAGTAGGGCCTTGTATCATGAATTACAAGATTTATCCCGGACTTGCCGCTTCCAGTATACAAAAACTGTGGAGCTGGTAGGTTAACCGACAGGAGGATTGGTACCATTTATCTAGCCATTCTTAAAAAATCCGTGAGACATTCGACACCAGTGGGAGTCTACCAATCGGTCGATTCCTTAGACTGTACGCTTGTTCGGCGGTGATGAGATAAGAAATTTCGACATACCTTACTTCCCACTCGGCGAAAATCATTCCAGACTCTTGATGATCAACATGATTCCCGCTTTAGGGCGTTCACCCTTCCGGATAGGGCCTGTGAGTGCTAGATGATTCATTGAATGTTCTGGTTTTGACCTTGGTAGACAAGTCCGAGACGATGACAATGTAGTCATGCGCGACACTGTGTAATCAGGATTATGTCTACACCCTCTAAGCTTTGACTATTGACGCACTGTGAACGGCTAAATCACACAAAAGGTCACAAAAATTCACGCCCAATTGTAAGAAAAGCAATAACAACTGCGCATACGATATTTGACAGCGATAGAAACTACTTGTAAACGCTAAGTGTGTATCCCACACCAGTGTCTGTCACCGATTTCTCGATTCTTATACTTCCGGTGGAATAAGTCCACAGATGGAATTGGTGTCCATGAGAGGCTTAGCCTTGTCGCCTTTCCAGTGACTATGAATGGGCGAATAATCCAGGTATATTCTTCCCTCGTAGTGGCACTGTGAATGAGATCACAGGCTTCGAGGGTTTCCGGCATCTGACTAGGCTGGAAGATGGTGTGTAACCAACACAACGTTAACAATTCGATAGCTTGGGTCCCAGGCTGAAGTAGTGATTGTTCATGGTCGATAGGGAGGAACCTCCTGCGGATGAGCTCCGTCAGCTGCGCAGCAGAAATCTCTGGTGATGAGATCTCCAACCACTTTAGCCGCGAGTAGATTGGCGTTGAAAGTGGCAGCAGTGTGCCATAGATCACAACGTGTTCTACCTCAGGGAAGAGTCGGTCGAGTTCTAGTAAGGTAGATGCATCCGAAATGTGGGCATCAGCACTAATCAGCGGACAATTCGGTCCTATAAATTGATGCCAGTCGCGCGGAGTATGACTCCAGTCCAATATCTCCAGGTTTGGTAGGTAAAGATGGTCTAGCCAATTACGCTCTCCAATGATGTTGGCAGATAACCTTCGAAGCTGGCAACGAATAAGCTCATGAGGCGGCTCCCATACAGTCGAAGACGCGCACCGAAGGTTTAAGAGATTGGAAGCGAGTCGCAGTAGATCCAAAATCGATACATTTAAATCACCCTCAAGCGTAATTTCTGTGAGATATTCGATTTTATGAGAAGGGGCCAGACTGAGCTTCCCCGTCCCGCATATTACTATATTCTCCACGCCTGAGAAATGGAGAAACATCGCATCAAGGTCAATATCCCGACTTTCATGGCCAGGACCTGAATCGAAGAGTCTTGCAATTACAGGCGAGATTTGTTGCCTCTGGGACAAGGAGCGACGATAGGGTTCGTGAACTGTGGGGAGCCATTATAAATGTGAGACTCTTGATGGCTTTTGCATCTTTTAGGTTTAATATGGGCAGAATATCGTGCGTCCCACCAACTTGCTCGATAGTGACGTCTAGACTGTACTCCGGGATATACTCCGCAAGAGTTTCGAACAAGTGAAGTGCCATGGGCTTTTTACAGGTGGCTGACGACAAAAAAACGTTTGTCCAGAGAGATACAATCGACCTAGCGATGATACGCCAACGGCGAGAGACGTGCGAGAGTCGAAACGGTGAACACACCGTTCCTCCGATCATCTCTCCATTGTCACTGTACTTGAACCCGTCGTCGCAGGCTTCGATAATGATTTTCCGTAGCAGTTCTACGGGCAGTCGATCACTATGGCAGCGTCTTGCCAGCGAACGCTTGAATCTCTCTTGCATATTCTTCAGACCCTCCTCTAAATCGGTTTCGTGGCGCGATAACAGTTGTTCAAGGCTAGTCAGATCCCCTGCGAGCAGAGGGTCCGCTGCGTTTGCAGCTTCCCAGTGCTCAAACTGAGCCTTCAAACAATCTAGCGCAAATTGATTTTGCAGGATCAGTTCCTGGATGGCGTATCTTCGCTCGTCAAGATATGACATGGAAGGGGCAAGGTTCAACAACGAGTCCGCAGTCAATACTCAGACTATCTATCAAAATCAATTTTCTAGACTATTTACGACCACGATATCTGACACATAGCGCCTCCCAACTCGACATTGGCAACCGCGACGTAGCCACTCGCCGTCTCCAAATCAGTTTTGGTCTTGATTGTAAGCGTGAGGGGCTTCGAGTATCCGTAATGCCTCCCAAAGAGGACGTCATTTCTCATCAGACGATTAAACTCAGCCAAGCCAATCTCTATCGTCTGTGCGTGTATATGCAAGTATTCTATGCCTGTAAACGTGTCCTCTGTTGAGAAGAGGGGTGGATTAGTCGCTACCTGACGCAAGAAATTGAAGCTAATGAGATTGGTAGAGACTTCCATCGTCAATTCCTGGATTCTTGGATGGCGCTCGAGGAACCATGTGAGTCCCGCAGGTGTGCATAGTCCAACCGTTAACTTGACAAGATGCGGGAAGGAAAAATCGGGACCAGCTGATGGAGTTCATGAAGAACGCGGGTACTTTGTATGGAGAGCTCCGTTAATGGTGGTAAGGCCGAGCGGAACACCAGTCCGGCCTTCCATGGGATAGCGAGGTCAAAGGTTAGTTTCTTCAGCGATTTAGATCGCTGAAATATGGCAAATATGGATGTCGCGCTCCAAACCTTACCGGCAAAGGTGAGCTCCTTGCAAGAGAGCGTGTCGGAGTTTCCTATCTTAAAGGTCGCGTTATGTAGCTCAATCGACCTCGCTTCGAGGATACTTTTGATACCTCGAAGATCGTAGTGCCGTTCATCGGAAAGCTCGTGAATAGCCACTGAGCGTGGAATGCAAGGAAGAGCGTCCAGAAGCCATCGAGTATTCCTCGTATTGGCTGAGTGGTTGTAAAAAATGATATTCCTGATCTTTTTGATGGGAGCCTCCATAAGCTGGCGAAAGTCTTGCTCGCTAGTTGCCCATTGGCAGTATTTCGATGGTCCTTCTCGGACGATGACTCGGAAGAAATAGCCTCGAGCTCTATCTGTCATCGTTGTGACATAATGGCTTAAAATGTCTGGAGGAAGATGAAGGAAGATTTCCAAAGTCGTCCAAGCCTCTGGGATCTCACAAACAAGTGCTCTAAGTTGTGAGCAAACATGCGATAGCTTTATCCCGGTATCACAATCTTCAGCTTTATCTCTAGCGTTGCCTTCTGGAAGCGTACATCTGAGGATGCGGAGAAGCAGATCGGTAGGGAGGCGAAGAAGGAGCGCTTGAGTGCTCATGACGTCTGAATATGTCGTAAGTGGAGCTTACTTACTACGCTGGCGTCTCTAAGGCAAACTCTGCGAGGAAGGCAGGAGCAACTGAAGCACCACTGCTCACCCATGACATGGGTTAAGGAATACAAACGACCGATGGAAACCCAGTGATGAACTAGCGAGTATGCGCACAAATTCAAATGAATACACGCATTCTGTATTGATATCCCTCCCCTAGACTGTCTCTGACCACGATATCGGACATATTGTCCCTTTCCATCTAATATCGGCAATGCATCGACTCGCTATCAAAGCATCCTTACTAGTCTTGATGGTAAGGGTAAGAGGTTTCGAGTACCCATATTGCCTCCCGAAAAAGGCACCATTTCTTAGCAGGCGGTTGAATGCCACCAACCCGACGGCTATACTCCATGCGTCGATATGCAAGCTCTCTATGTCCAAGAACGCCTCTTCTGTCGGGAACAGGGGCGTGTCGGAACTAAGGCGCCGTAGGAATTCGACGCTAATGAGGTTTGTCGAGAGTTCCAGCGTCACTTGCCGGAGTGTTGGATGGAGCTCAAGGAAGTTTGTAAGGGACGCTGGTGTGCATAGTCCAACTTTCAACTCGACGAGAGTTGGGAAGCGAAAGTGTGGTACCACCTGGTTGAGCTCAACAAGAGCCTTTGTGCTTCCTATAGTGAGCTCCTTCAATCTTGGGAGGGGTGAGTGGAATACCAGCCCCGTATTCCATGGGATCGGAAGATCAAATGTCAACTTCGTCAGTGATGGGCACTGCTGAAATATAGCATATAATGATGTAGCGTTGTGCCAGACTTTACCAACAAAGGCCAGCTCCTTGCAAGCGAGCATGTCGGAGTCCCATATGATAAAAGTCGCGTTACGTAGCTTTATTGAATTTGCACCGAGAACGCTTTTGATACCCCGAAGGTCGTAGCGCTGCTCATCGGAGAGCTCGTAAATAGCCACTGAATGGGGAATGCAACGAAGAGCATTCAGAAACCATCGAGTGTTTCTCGGATCGGCTGAATGATTGTAGAATGTGACATTTGTGATATTCTTGATGGCACCTCGCATGAGCCGGCGAAAGTCTTGCTCGCCAGTTGACCAACTGCAGTACTTCAACGGACCCTCGCGGACGATGACTCGGAATGAAAGCCCCCGAGCTCTATCTACCATGGTTCTTACATATTGAGTAAGGGTGCGGAGCGGGAGATGAAGGAAGATTTCCAATATCCTCCAAGCTTCCGGGATTTGAAGGATGATGGCTCGAAAGAGTGAGCAAACATGCGATAGCTTCAATCCGATACTAGGATCCTCTACTTCGTCCTCAGCGCTGTCATCAGGAAGCGTATATCTGAAGATGCGGAAAACAACTCGGTAGGAAGGCGAAAAAGGAGGACATGAGCGTTCATGACGTCTGTATATGTCGTATGTACTATCGTAGCACCTCCAAGTCGAACTTTGAGAGGAAGGCAAGGAGCAGACAGGCTATCGCGTGGGCTCGTGCCTGATTGCCTCGTTCACTCAATGACGCATATAATAGTGCCCAAATCCTGGATACATCAAGTATACATTGAGCGCTAAATCAATCCAGCAGGTATGAGGGAGACTGGAAAGAGCGTATACGAGGTACAGCTGACATCCAACAAGGGCACATCCTCCGCCCAATCCATGAAGCAAACATCGTCTTCCCACCAAACGACAGCGAATCGCATGTGATGATTGAACAGCCAGCGCCTATCCGCGATACGAACAGAGAGCGTCGTGAGCTTGGTCTTGTGAACGTCGTCTGCCTTGCGGTTGACAATACGGGATTTGATAATGCGTTCAAAGTCACGCGCAAAGAGTCCATAATCATCGGTCTCGATATGAAGTCGTTCCAAATTTGGAAACGGTGGAGTTCTACGTGACCCCTCCGCGTTGTCTTCAGGTGGCTGGGCGAAGACGAGGTGAAGGGCGAGGACCTTGAGCGACAGCTTTGTCACCTGTGGACACGCTGCTGCGATTCCTTCGTAGTCTGAAATGATACCGAGGGTGAGATCTGTAATGTTGGGATGCCGGAGAAGAAACGCAGGCAGACCCTGGCCGCTCTCGTCGCCGACTCCAAATTTGACGAGATGAGGAAATACTACACCTGGGAGGAGTCTCTCCAGGTCGTAGAAACCGGCACACCCAGGAAGGAGAAGCTCTCGAAGGGGTGGTAAGAGCGAAGGTTTGAGCGGTTGACGGTGCAGAGCGTCAAAGAGGAGGATTCCATCGACGACCAGCGTCTCTAACTGGGGACAGCGTTGTAAGACCAAATCGGCCTCGGCTCCAGCGCGAGCATACGCGCACAGAGGATGTGCTGTTAGCTCAAAGGAGCGCCATGACATGACCGCGTCTCGAAGGCTATCCTCCTCGAGACGAACGATGCTGTCGACAACCTTGACAGACTCGACGGCAGCCAGATTGGCGTGCGTCGATATGTAGAATTGATTTGCCCTATCCATGGGCCTCAGTGGCGTCTGTGAAGTCCTGGCAAAGAGGATTGAACACCGCTCTGCTTCGGCGATACGATGCACAACAAAGGAATTAGGAGGACATGGAAGTGCTGCGATGAAACCTTGTCGAAAGTGGTTCATGTAGTCGTGATACGCGAAAAAGTGAATGCTCTCGATGCGCTTGACGCACGAGAACAAGCGAGTAAACACGTCCACCAGTTCTGGATTGATCGTTGGAGCCATTCCATCACGTACCACGATGCGTAATGGAGTGTTCCTCGCTCTCTCCAGCATGCATGGCACATACGAGCAGAGCTGGTCGGGCGTCCAGTAAAGGGGAAAGTCGACAGTCGTCCAAAAGTCCGGCGTTTGGAGGATGATTTGTCGAAAGAAAAGGCAGACATGAGCAAGCAACTCGCGAGGATAGCGGCGGCGCAAGACTGCCCGTGGCGTGCCCTCTGCACAGAGGTCGTGGAAGATGAGCAGCAAAATCTCCGTCGGAAGCGTGAATATGCATGCTCTCTGTGCATTTTGAACGCGCTTTCGGCGAATCTTGTGCTCCCCACGCATAGAGAGCACACTCTCTAGCGACGACCTGGAGCTGGATGCGTTGCCCATGCCTGGAGGAAGAGGAAGAAGAATGTAGCCATTGACGACTGATTTCCAGGAATATTTGTAGCTTGCTCGCGACTGAGACCGATTATAATGACCGTCGAGCGGAGGTTCAAGCAGTGGCTACAGCGTTTCCACGTGAATTCATGCATCTTGTCCCCGACGCTCTCAGCCAAAAAGCCTTTCAACTCAACGGAAGCGCTTTCGTTTCATGTTGCGCTATGTACTAGCAAGTGTAAACTCTGGTACGCTCCTCGTCGCCTATCGCGGCATTGGCGACTCACAATCGGACTTGTCCCAGCCACGTCCTATTTTGCTCCGGCTGGGTCATCAAAGGAGCTCATACCAACCTGTGGGCCCCATACAGTTCCTCTAATAGGACCTACGGCACCTCCGAGACCAGACGGACACGACGATGCACGATACGAGACTATTAACGACGTCCTACGCCGCGCGGATCTCTATGAAGTCCTCGCAATCACATCAAAAGCTGCAGATGATCCAGTCGCCCTCAGACGAGCATATCTGGCGAGGAGCCGCCGATGCCATCCAGAGTAAGTCCAGCATTTCTCATTGGAGTCAGCTCTGATCTTCGAATAGCAAGTATCCGGAGAACGACAAGAGCACTATAGCATTCCAGAAGGTCTCAATGGCATATACCATCCTAAGCCAACCTGCCATGAGGAGAGCATACGACGCTAATCCGTCGATGGCGGATGACTTGTTCACGAGTCAACGATCTGCTGATGACACATTCGATGGTGTCTTGCAAATGCTCTTCTCTGACTTTATGTCCGGTGACTTTGAGATTATCCGACTCGTTCTCAGTACGTCGATTCCCCTGCTCAGAGGTCTTTCCTTATCTGTTTACAGAGACTATGAAAGAGGTCAACCCCTCCCTAGGCATGGAGGATGAGACAATCGACGGAGTCATTGCAGGATTCCGTAAATTGCGAGAAGTGGTTCTCGGTGCGGGCTGCACCTTCTCAATCTCCTATTCTCTAACTTTTCTGCAGGCACAAGAACATACATACGCGTTCTCCGTCACGAACTGCTTCATCTCTATGACATCCAATACTCTCTACGGTACCGTTCTCTTCCTATCACCTACCGGGTCTAATTGTGGTTTCAAGACAACTTCCATATCTTGCCGTTAATGCACGACTTCGCCTCACATTACGGTTCACACGGGTTGCGCTTAGTCTCCCAATGGCAATCGACCGCGCCATCGAGGCAGAAGAAGCGGAAAAGCAGCGAAAACGAGCAGCTCATGCAGCTGCAACTGGTATTCAAGACGGAAGCGCTCAAGTCGGAAAGAGATCCAGTATCCTCGGGTCCAAGCTCGGGGGAGTTGTCAACTTCCTCGTTGTTGCCCTCGAGAAGAGCGAAAGCGTTCTATGATGACTCAAAGTGTTTTGCACATCTCGATTTCGATGTCTCGGTAATTCCACAGCGGAAATGATGTACTTCCAGTATTACATGTATTTCGTTCATTATATATAGAGAGACGGTAAGAAATTACCATTTTGGCTTTCGAGCGAGTCTTTTGCGTGTTAGCGTATCCCGTCCTCGTTCACGATGCACGCCTTGGAGCTCTTCGAATTTACGCTTGGCGTACCGCTTCGCCTCTGAATCTTCTACGAGCTCGTCGACGATGCTACGTTTCCGCTCTGCACGCGTCAAGTTGTCTGTACTCGCGGTTCCGAATGGTGTGGTGGTCGGAAGAATGGTGCCAAGCTAGGATGTTGTACGTCAAGGACCAATAAGTATCTGCGAGAAAACTGCTCACAGCAATTTGCTTTGGCATATTCTTCACGTTTATGACAGCGTCCTTTCGGTAAAAGGTTTTGGGATCCAACGCGTTTCGCAACCTCACAGCTTCTGCTTCCTTTCTTATCTTGGCCAATTGTGCATCATCTGGGGTAGGTAGCTCAAAGTAACCAATTTTGGCACTCTTACGCCGTAGCTAGGACACGTAAGATGACAGAAACGAAGCAGTTTAGATGTTCTCACTTCTTTCATCTCTCTCTTCGTGAGCGGTTTTCCGTCTTTTCCTAGGACTGGGCCTTCTGGTAACGCTGGGGTGTTGGAAGAGGATGCAACCGACTCCACGAGAACACCTTTTGAGAGATTGGGGACCTTGTTGCGTTCGTTGAGGTTTTCAAAGTATGGTTCCGGTAATAAACGCGAAGCATCGAGAGAGGGGAGGTCCTTTCTTCTGCTCGTTTAGTAGAGGACAAACGAATTCGAGGGCTTACCCGTCCGCCTCTTCACTTTGAAGTCTCATAAACTCCTCTTCAGCTGGATTTGAAGATGATTCTCCCGAAGGATTGACAGCATCCCTCGCTTTCTGCAGTAGGCCATCCAAATACGCCTTTGAATAAAGCTCGGATTCGCTCTCGGATCCACTTTCTCCTTTTGTCTCCTGTTGTATAGGTGATCTTGATCTCACTGGCATGGTGGTTAGAGTCCAAGGTGCGTCGGCCACTCTTTTTTTGGAGCTAGCCATGTCGGACTCGCAGCCTGTAATTTTCTCGACATCAACCCAACACACATTACCACCCTCAAAATACCTGATTCCGACGACATGGGCGCGTTTTCAGCTTTCACAGCTCATCAACAAAGCACTTGAGCTGCCACAGCCGGTGCCATTCGATTTTCTCATTCGGGGTCAACTTTTACGTGGAACCATCGCAGAGTGGTGTAAGGCAAATGATGTGAAAGAGGAGGAAACGCTCGAGATAGAGTACTTTGAGAGTCTTATGCCACCGAAATTGTTGGCGTCGATTGAGGGAGAGGAGTGGGTCGGTTCAGTGGATTGTAAACTAAAAGGGTGCGTGATCTTCTGCAGCTTATTGTAGTCTGACAGCCTCTAGATATATTTTGACCGCGTCCTACGATGGCATCGTTCGTGTCTACGACCAATCCCAAAAGATTCTCCACTCTATTGGTGGCCATGCTGGTGCGGTTACTACTTCGTGCTGGATCTCCAGCTCTTCGGCCGGTGGCTCGCTCTCTGTTCTATCAGGCTCGCATGATGGGACCGCACAAATCACTCCCATACCGCATCTGGAACAAGGAACGGGTAATAATCAACTACTAGGTGCAGCCTCGCTACGCCTGCATACAAGTCCTGTTGCATCTGTCGCGGCGAATCCTGGCGGTACCCATGTCCTTACAGCTGGGTGGGATGGTCTCCTTGGAGTCTTCTCGACGTCCATACCAAAAGAAGACGAGGTTATGGATGAAGACCAGCCTGTGACAAGGAAGAAGCGGAGAAAGGTGGAAACTCCTGCTCCTCAACCAAAGCGAAAGGTTGTTTCATTCATTTTCTTTGACCTTATCTGATGTATCTCAGGCTCCGATACACGTGCTTCGTAGTCACACTGGCAAGGTGACAAGGGGTATCTTCAATCAGGAGGGGAAGACTGCTTATTCGTGTAGCGTCGATTCTACGATACGAACTTGGGACACAGAACTTGGAGTCTGTACTTCGACCATCGTATGTAATGCGCTCTTTCCTGATTTGTCCATTAAATCACCTGTAGACGGCGAATAACAGGCCTATGACCGACATCACGATTCTCAAGGACAACACAACCCTTCTAGCCGCTTCTTCTGATCGTGTAGTGTCGATATATGATCTTCGACAGGCCACACTCACAGGTCCTCCCCCAGTCCTTCCACACCCCGCGTTCCCAGCCGCACTCTGTGCCCACCCGACATCTACGTATAAAGCTGCTACAGGGTCCTACGATGGCGTGGTCAGACTATGGGACTTGCGCTCCGCGAAAGCAGCCGTCAACGTCTTCTCCATTTCCGGTAAGCAACACCAAAACGACCGCGTGTCGGGTCCCAAAGAGAGCAAGAAGATCCTCTCGTTGGATTGGGCAAACGGGATGCTGGCCGTAGGAGGTGAAGCTGGTGTCGAACTATGGAGAGTTTCGGAGAACGACGAGTTTACTCGCACTGGGTAATGTGCCGATAAAAAGTATATAAACGTATAGTTCAGGTATCAAATCATTGGCCAATCTTCGAAGCAACCCTGATTGAAACGATACATACTCATAGTACCCGCGTCAACTACAGCAAGAATCACCGTGTTTTTGCCAGCTTTGAGTGTACCGAACACGTTGACCCGCTTGTCAACTGTGGGCCACAAATAACTTCGAAGCGACGAGAATACCCCAAAGCTCCAGCGTTGTGTAGCGTGACGTCTGATCGGTGCGTTGTTCAACAGCGGTGGCACTGTAGGAAGTTCGTCGTAGAGGGCAGTCAGATCAAATATGGTTGGAAATGAAGTCGTTCTTGCGCTATTCCTTTGTGAGTACCTTTGAGCGACCGTCAGAGCAACTCACTTGACGACGACGATTTCGAAGTCGGGTCTTGTAGGTTGCGTCCTATTCCATGCCGTTTCGGGTTTCCATACATGGAAAAATACTTGATATGGTGAGGTTTTCGTTACTTGATGTACAGGGCCAGGATGAGGACGAATGCGTAGGCGATTGAAAATGGACGCTAGATGCATATGTTAGCGAAATGGATTAAATCATGTTATACGCACGATAGTGAGCATCCTTGTGCAAGCTACTCATTATGCCAGGATGAAATCTGGTCCACCAGTCTCCAGAAAGGAACCGAGAAATGAGCGCCAAAAGTGTCGAGATACGCAGTGATATCCTTTGCCATAAAGATACCTTTTGCAGAGGGTGTTGAAAAACCACATATTCTGACTCTGGCAGTGGTTGCGCTCGACGGACAGTGTATCCAAAGCGCTTGAGGTAGGCATAGACCTGGAAGGTAGATAAGTGAAACAAATGAGGTAGTGATCGGTTGCTCACCTGGTATTGCTCCATCGAGACTCGGCCCTTTCCAAGCATTTCCGTGAAGCACTGCTGGGCACTCATGGGCTCGCCGATGAGTTGAATCTGATCATCTCCGTCCTTCTCATAGGTTGACGCAGCAAGAGCAGCTGATTCCTTCCAACAGAGCATTGAACCACGCTCGACCATGTAGAGTATCTCCTCTGGTAGCAACTCGAGGCGTTTATGTGGCGTCTCGGGTCTCCTCACGTAGGACCCCAAGGAAACAAAGACGACGCCACGGCTGTCCACGACGTGCGCTCGGTATAATGAAGGGATCCAGATTGCTTGGCTTAGACGCTTTCTATGACTCGTCAATCATCCGAGCAGATAAAAAGTAGACACGAACGTCTGAATCTCTCTTTGTGCCGATAGAGCGGTATACATGGCCTCTCTCGCCTTTTCGAGTGTGTGCTTTTGGTAGGCAGAAGGACCAGCGGCAATGGGTTCAAACGCCTTTTCCCCGCGTTTTGGGAGTGCCCTACTTGCTTTTGATGGCTTAGGACTAATGATTCGCATATTTAACAGCAGATTTCATGTCGAAATTGAGTACTGACGCGAGTTTTGACCAGTCGAGCATCTGATCTTCTTCTCCCGAGTCTGCATTCTGCTCTCCTGTTGCATTTCCAGTCTCCTTTAGCGTGGCATTCGGAGCCTCTGCTGCGTCGTCCATGGCCGTTGAGGTCCAACCTTGGACTGCAACCACCTCCACAGTCTGGCAGCTCGACGCCTCTGCGGCAAGGATCCAGCGGTGGATTTGCCAGGATGGAGCCCATGAATGCCACCAGCTCACATTCAAAGGTGCGCGTCACTGCCAGTGTGAGCGCACCCGTCTTTGTTGCCGGTGGCGAGATTAGTGGCAAGATGGAGATGGATTGCAGGACGGACAAGGGTCTCGGCATAAGCGAAATGATGGTAGAGCTCGTCGCTGTTCAAGGTAATCCTCTCGTTGCTGCATAACAGGTGCTGATGCTCGTTCTCGTCCAGAACTCACGTCGAGAGACCATTCGGCAACGTCTACATTTATGCATTCAAAGAGAATCTTCCAGGGTCCTGGTTTGCCTCCTTCCAACGCCGTCTTTGCGCATCCACAACCAGGGGCCCCGCCTCTGCCGCCAAACTACTATCAAGCCAAGAAGGGCTGCACGACCTTTTTCTTCAACTTTCCGCTCCCTCAATCTTCGCCTAATTCTATTAATTTTGGAAACGGTCTTGCGCGCATCTTTTACGAGATCAGGGCGACCGCAGCCGTATGGTGGAAGGGCGAGCGCACATCTGTTCGCTTCAACAGAGAGGTGGTAGTCGTAGAATGCCTCGTCGAATCACGAATTCCAAGAGAGCCATCTACCCTTGTCGCCGAAGGTGGAAAGATGGTCGTTCAAGCACAAGTCGTCGGTGGCATCGGCGTCACCAGTCGACCAACTTGTGTCGAGTTGCAAGTCAAGAATCACTCCCATAAAAAGGTATGTAGTTCTCTCTAGTCAAAAATGTGGTGCTTAACATTGTAGACTACTGGCCTCACCTTGACATTGACGAGAACACTTCATCTGCCAAATATCGGATCTTCCAAGAATCCATTTCAGATTACGGATACAGTCGTGACTGTTCCATTTCGTGGCGCCGAATATACCATTGGCCCTGGCGTTGAAGGTGTCGCCAACTTGGTATTCGAGGTCCCTCGTGCCGCTCGTGGTGTGAAAGGAGGGACCCGCGAGATGACGGATGACGGAAGTCATCGTCACATAGAAGCTCTCTTTGATGTACAAACCGCGGTGACTGTGACAATTGGCATGGGAGTTGGCAGGTGAGAACCCATGTTTACTGCAAGGTGTCTACTGAAACCGGTGCAGCAAGGATATCAAACTCGAAATACCTTTGACAATTCTACATCCACTTGCGGTTCCCGAGCCAGCATACGACCCATATCAGGCTCCAATGCCCGAGTATCTCCCCTTGGAGCCCCCGAGACCTCACTACGCGCTTCCTCCTACCTCTTCTGGACCCCCATCTCCGGCATCGTATGGGACGCCTCCACTTCAATACCAACATGCGGCAACTCCCCCTCATATGTTGCCCTACATCCCTCAGGTATCTCCGGTTCCTATGTATGCACCGCAACACTATATTCCACCGCCTCAGCACTACGCTGTCTCGCCCACCCCTGGCCAGCAATATTATTTCCCTCCACCGCCTATACAAGTGGCCGAGTCCATTGCTCGTCCAACGAGTGCGGTAGCGATGGCATCGCCACACTCTCTCAATAACATCGTTCCTGCTGCACTACCACCTTTACCGCCCATGCCATCCGCTAATGGGGCCCCAGTTCCAGCTGCCGTCGGTCATACGGAGGAAGGCAAGGGGAGCGCGCATCTCGAATCTCTCTCCATCTCAAGACCTCTTCTCGCGGTCGATCAGCTTCTCCTACATCACATCGATATCGAATATCGGGACTTCCTCCCAATCCAGCTCCCCTTCCATCTGCTATTTGGGGACCCCCAGCTCATCTTTCCCCCTCTACTGAGGTTCTATCGCCACGTCCTATGCTTTCGCCCAAGGCGTCTTTCTCGGGAGAGCCAGCTGCGAGTCCTGGACAGAGTGGGCGAGTAGCCGCACTAGAGAAGATGGTAGAGGAGGAAGAGCGGGCGCGAAGAACGTCAGAAGACCAGCAGAGGGATGAACCTGTAGCGACATCCCCTCCGGTTCCACCGCCACATGAAGAGCTCGAAGCCGCCGAGCTCGCAGCCATTTTGGACAAAACCCTCCCTGTTCCACCGGCTACGTTTGCGAAGCCCATAAGCAAGCCTGCCTCGCGGACTTTGGCGAACATCTTTGAAGAAGGCAACTCACAAACTCTCGAAAGATCGGAAATTCTTCCAAAGACACTGGAAAATCCAAAGCCCATAGTGGCGATGGCAAATCTTGCACCTGCTCACGCGGAGGAAACCCCTAAAGTCTTGGTTCATCCCGAAGCCAGCAAATCGGAAGAGAAATCTGACGATGCAGGAGCTGCGATGCGGACAAAGGCAGTGAAACGCATATCGGTTCAGCCCGCAGGGGAGATTTCATCATCTCAATCTGCAGTGGGTTTGGATGCTTTGGAAAAACGGCTGATCAAAGAGGTTGGAACGAGGAAGCCTGCTGCAGCGACACTCCAGTATCTACGAGAGATGGATAACAAGTTAGACGAGGCTATTCAAGAAAGGAACGAACGGCAGGAGAGGAACAAGATTGAGGAGGAGAAGGACACTTCAACCCCAGCCCCTGCTGCGGAGACGGAGAAGCTTACGACAGATATAGTGGCAGGGAAGGAGACACAGGATACGGGGCAAGCCCTTCTTGAGAGGAGAAGGAGGCGAATATCGCATGATCTTCGAGTCAAAGGCACTGTGCCGGAAAGCACTGACAAGGCGAATCAGCGCAAGGGGCCATCAAAGCAAGAAGAGGAGCAGATCAGATTGCGTAGGATGGCCAAAGGTCGCGTTACCGCCTGGCTGGACTCAGCAGAAGTTGCCGACCCACCGCCTTTGACGGAGACACGAATCGTTGAGCAAGCTCAAGCCGAGACTGGAGTCACTGGCGCTCAAGAGAAGGAAGAGATCAAGGAGAAAGTCGATCCATCCAAAGTTCAACTCCCTGCTCGGACGTCTTCCGGATTTTTGCCTATTCGCCCGCCCGTGGCCCCTCGAGCGCATCAACAGTTGAAAGCCGTTGCAGAAACTACCGGTGTGAGCTCCCCCCCTCAAGAGGCCCCACTCAAAGGGATCAAAGACTGGCGCAGGTTCGACGAACCAAAGCCAGTGGCTGGTGTTGGCTACGACGTGCGGTCGGCAAGAGGTGGAAGAGGCGGAAGGGTGACGTCTGTGGCTGCTATCTGGGCGGAGAAAGTCAACAGCGACGCTCAGGTTGATCCCAAGAAGTCTCCTCCCCCGAAAGGAGGCGTTGCGCTTCCGCTTATGGTGAAGATTGGCAACGATAAGCCAGCTCCGATCATGAGTAGCCCTGAAGCAAAGAAGGAGCCGCTGAAACCGCTAGCATTGAGCTCAAAGTCACCAGCCACATCGCCGACGGGGGCGTGGCTCAAAGTTGGCAAAGCATCCGAGGCAGAGGCAAAGGAAAGAGGTAACCTGGTCAAGGCACCTTCTGTTCCTGCGAAACTGTCCTCTTCTATCGCTTCACCTCTTCTATCGTCCACAGCGTCGCTCGCGCGACCAATTGGGAATAGTCCGACGCCTCCTCGAGAGTATGTTGCCACGTCTCCCAAATTGGGGGGAGTCACCACTGGATCTACGAACATGACGAGAACGAACGGGATGACGACGTCTGCGTCGGAACCACGACTCGCGCCGCCGTCGTCGAAGCCGGCTGGAGGGGCAAGCATTGCATTTGGACAAGGTAGACTTCGAGATCTCATTGCAAAGTATCAGCAAGGTGCTACGACTAATTGATGACTTATTGTTATTGTTGACGACTGATTTGGATTTGGCTGACGACTCTGCACGACGTCTGTATCTAGTACTTACGAAACGAGACATGTTTTCTGTCTTTGGCAACGTTTGATTTATGGTTGCGGTTTGCACATACCATACACCTTGCTGCTCTCTTACATCTGACCCCTTTGTGGCGAGCTGTGGCTTCAGATACTATATAATTCGTAATCTCGCCTGATCTATATGGTAGAGGTGTAAAGTTCGGTTTGTGTCCAAGGTTTATAGGCTACAAAGTTGCCAGGCAATCTTGAAGAACGGAGGATTTCCCAACTATTACGATCATATCGATAACCTGTTTCCCATTGATGGCGTAGGGGCCCAATTTGACATCTAAAGAGAAGACTGTAGTATCTCAAAGCCTAACCGTGTGATCCTTGTCTGCCTCTTTTGTTGAGGCCCAATGATTTGACGCCAGGGGGTGGAAGCGCTGCCTGTCTCGGGCCCGGCCTTCCGCATAAATAGCAGCCGCGCACAAACAATCTCCCTACTTCCCTCGTCAGTTGTACGCATCTCAGATGTCTTACTGGGAGCAGGTCCTTTCTCCAGTAGTCCATGAAGTCTTTACCAAAGAAATCGAGAAGCCAGACTTGGACGATCGCTAATACCGTCTAATTCGATTGGAAAACGGATTGCAAGCTGTTCTTATCCATGAAAAGGATGCAGACAAGGCGGCAGCCGCCATGGATGTGGGAGTAGGATACTTTAATGGGTGACGGTCGAGCAGACTCGGTTACACCTTCCCCTTCTCCTCTCAAGGGTCAAGGTATGCGTTTTGGTGAACGGAAATTTCGAGGAAAAGGTAATTTTCACCACTGAAAAATAAATCTACTAACATTTAAATAGGATGCACTCGCAGCTGCGGGAGTTGTCAGAAGAGTATTCAAACCACTATCCATTCGACCTGAAGATGGGTTCCGCCGGTCGATGATCCTGACCGACGGCAACTTCATTCATAATCGTCCATTGATCGATCTTCAAGAGACGAACAATGCGGTCAGTTATTACATCCAAGTCCGAGGGGACGGGCGGCATACTTATCCGCGACTTCGACTGCTTGACCATATCCTCAGCGAGCCGACCTTCAACGTACTCCGAACAAAGGAGCAACTCGGATACAGCGTATCCTGTTCATCGTGGAAGCAAGTGTCTGTATGCGGCCTGATTATTTCCGTTCAGAGCGAGAAGCCGGCAGCGTTCGTCGAAGGCCGCATAGATGCCTTTCTCACGGAGTATTGCGATGTGTTGAAAACTATGGAACAAGGAGACTACGAGAAGCGAAGAAATGGATTGGTCCACGCGTTTCGCGAAAAGCTACAGAATCTTGAAGAATCCGACTTATTCGCAGGCTTTATTACCAATGGTACATATGACTTTACATTCTGTGAGTCCGCTTCACGTGTAGTCGACAATCTCATTGATTTTAGGGGACAAACTCGCACAACTTGTTGAGAAGCTGACGCTTGCCGACATTGTCCAGTTCTATGAGGAGTTTATTCACCCAGACTCACCTACTCGAGCCAAATTTTCTATTCACATGCATTCCCGGGGCTAACACTTCGAGTGCTAATTCGTTCGCCGAAGGACCGACAGCGGAATCGCAGACACAGGAAACGGTGAGCGCAGTTGATAAGAAGGGCGGCAAAGCGAGTCTGTTGAAGAAGGAAACTGTTATCATTGACGATATTGTGGCTTTCAAGTCAGGCTTGCAACCATCAGAACTCCCAAAGGCTGCGATAGAGCTAAGACCCAAATTCAGCTCGTAGAGGAAGAGAGATTGTAATAAATTCTAGACGATGACGCCATGGCAATGTTTGTAAAGACTCTCTGTAATCAAGTGGCCTCACATTTACACCCAGCTGCCCGCTCCCATCTTTCAATGTCAATCCCGGTTTCGCTTTTCCCAACAACTGAGATGGGTATGGGCGCGCTCCTAAACGGAGCTTTCTTGGCATATCTCTCTGTAAGGTGCTTAGCCTATTCTATCTAATAAGATGAGCCATACATACCCATGCAATCGCAGTCTGGAAACTGGTATTCCACCTTAAGTCCATGCTCCTTCGCAGCAGTTAGAAATACATCTCCTAGCGTCCGATACCACGCAATTTCTCGGTGAGAAATGAAAATGATTTTCGAAATATTAGGCTCTCTGTTTAGATAGGCTTCCCAAACTCGGGAATCTACCCAGTAGCACACAAAGTCTATTATCAGCTCCTCCAAATGTATTGGTATATGTGTTGGATGGTACAGTAACACATCCTCAGTAATGCGGAGCTTGCGTAGCGATGTGCATGCGGAGAACCATGCAGACAAAGAGGGTGTATTCCAGTGCCAGTGCATCATCTCCAGACATATGAGGTTCTTCTTTGATAGTAATCGTGGCGGCGAGGATGGAGCCGAGGTTTCGTACATGCGTAGAGTGTGTAGTTTCGGATGCTCGCAGAGCCAGTCGTCCAGCATTTCCAAAGAGTGGTCCCATTCGAATGTGATTGATTCCAGAGATTGAAGGATTGGAACAGATGAGTGATGTACCTTCTCCGCAAGAATCATGTTGGCCATAGTCAAATGCCTTAGATAGCGGAGGCTTGAAATACACCTTAGGACTGTATGGTCCAGAGTATGGGATTTATCGCCGTATAGGGCCAGAGAAGCAAGGTTTCGGTGCTTGTCGAATGGCACCGGAAAGCCCACCGAATCACCTTCCGGTACAGAGAGACAATAGGACGCTATTTCTTGTAGATCCTCAGCGAGTTCAATGATCTGGAGGAATAAAGTGTATAGCGTCGGTGGAACAGTCACGTTGATGCGGACGGAAATACGAAGGCGCCTAATAAGTGGACGTAGACGCGGGTTTTCTCGAAGAGACTTGTGGAGCTTCACTATCGCATTGTACCTGCTCAACTCTATTGACGCATAGAGCACACTGAGCGCTATTCCATGCCCTACCGAAATGATAAGTGAGCAATATTCAACTCACTTCACGAATACTTACACTTTCTGCATATATAAGGCAGCGTTCTCCATAATTGAGGACTTGCGTTTCGATGTTGGGCGAGATGAACTTTAAGAAGTCGATATGGAAATAAAAGAGATTCGAAGATATCCTGTACAATCTCAAGGGGCAAGGACTGTACGTTTACCCGCGAGATCAACTTATCTGAAATCGGGTTGGAAATGGACACTGAACCCCTACCCGCCGCAGAGTCGTCCATGATGTTTCCTTTGGTCAAATAGACTGTAGATTCTTCTTATCTAGTGTGGTTTCTCGCCGCACCGAGATCAAGCTGGACGTGGTCAGGGGAAGACCAAACAAACGCAAGTTGCACTCGCCCTTGACCACTGTAGGGTTGTCGCCCAGCATGAATGGTGAGAAAAAGAGTTCTATAGCCATTCGTGATGTCTATATGTAATTTGCGATTGATTTGGCGGCGCCTCGCAAAGGGTTCAACGCCTATGAGCCTTGAGGTGTCGTCCTGAGACCAATTTTTCTCTGATCTCATTCTTTCTATTCCTGGAATTCGACTTCTGACCGTCCAATAGATCATTTCTCGGACATGGAGGCCTGGAATAAAGTAATCGTGTGTAATACAAAGTCAATTACAACATCACATAACGCATACATCATAAATACGACGTAATTCAGAGCGTAGTAGCACGCTTGGCAATTCGTTCAGCCTCTCCGGTTTCGGTGTTGGTATCGCTACCTCCTTCGAGCTTCTCCAGTAATAACGCGGTCGCTTCCACCATCGCGTCGTATCCTTTCATAATCCCCTTTCTAGCCCAAACTTCGCGAATTTCGAGTGTCTCTCGTGCCACTCCCTTAGCTTCTTCCCTTCTGCCTTGCTTCTCCAGACATTCTGCGAGTTCCTGCAAGGTCTCTGAAAGCTCCGGCTCAAACATCTTGCCCGAATCTCTGTACAATTGTACAGCTTCTTCCAAGAGCGACACACTCGTAAGTTGGTACTTCGGAATGCTCGAGTTGATGTTAGCGAGCACAAGGAGCGCCTTTGCTAGAATGGTCCGGTTGATTCCTGGACGAGTCTCCACAAGCGGTCGAATCAGGATGACACCCTCGGTCGCAGCCTTGTGTGCCTCATCCCAATGCCCCAACTTTGCGAGCGTCTTGGCCAGCCGCGTATAAGATTCCGATTTGCCAGGTGCGTGTTTTGCCGGCAGCTTTCTCCTCTCCTCCAACGAATCTTGGGCACGCGCCAGCGATGCGGCATACTGTCCATCCCAGTATAGCGCAGAAGAGTATGCACGCAGAACTGTCCCGCGCACAAATGCAACGCCGAGGGGTGGGTAGTGAGCTGGGAAGGTCTCGAGGAGGTGATAGGCATCTTGCGCAGGCTTGAGAGATTCGGCATTTCGTCCCCCGAGTCGCAGGCACCGCGAAAGCAGCGAAAGTGCCATGGCCAGTCCCATCCTAAAGGCATCCGGACAATCAGAATGCCGAAGTGCGTCCCCGAAGAGGTCGACGGACTCCTGGGCGGCAGCAAGCGCCTCGTCACGTCTGCCCATCCCCATCAGACACCATCCCATCCAATCGAGCGATTCTGCGAGGAGTGGAAGTTGAACGCGCTGGTAATTCTCGACAAGGACGCGTCGAATAGCCACACTCTCCTTCAACGCCTCTAACGCAGGTTCCAACCGCCCAAACTCTATCAAGCCCGTACCGAGATCCATAAGGGCTCCACTCAAGTCTGTGCGCAGGGCTTCATTGTCCGCTGCGAGTGAGCGGATTAGCCCAATCGCCTCGCTCGCTAGATGAACCGATTCGTCGAGCATATCCAATCCAGCGAGATTCCACGCCATTGGTGCAAGAGATTGCGCAAGCAGCCATTGATTGGGATCGGATGCATCACGCACAAGTCTCTTTCGTGCGCAATCTACCGCTTCTCGACTTGCTTCCATCGCCTCCTCGTATTGCCACGCCTCGCCGAGAGAGAGGGATAGGCTGTTAAGTGAGTCGGTGAGAGCTACAGAGTAGACTGATGGACGTAATTCGACTAGACGTCGTCGAATCGCGACGGCTTCTTTGGCAGCCTCAATCGACTCATCATAGCGGTTGTGCTCGCGGAGGCACACTCCTAGAAAGTTGAGTGCCTTGGACAGCAGTGGTGCATACTGGTCTTCGCTCTGAGCGACAAGCTTGCGGGAGATGGAGACAGCTTCGGTGATGGCCCGGAGACTGTCTTGGAATCTTCCCGTTCCCAGAAGAGCATAAGCATGGTAGATAAGTGCCTTTGCTAGGTCGGGCCGGAAGGCGTCCTTGATTTTGACGAGTGAGATGGTAATGTCTATTCCCTCTGAGCTTTTTCTGAGCGCTTCTTCATGTTTCCTGCGGCATTCAGGTGCTTCGAATAGGCTAGAAGACCCATTGCGAGGTGAGGATTATAGACTTGTGGCCGTGATTGAGCGAGCTGTCGATAGATACTCGCCGCTTCTTTGGCAGATGAGAGGGCTTCGTCGCGTTCTCCGATATCATTGGCACTCGAGGAGAGGTGGGTGAGAGTGAGCGCGAGGTCAAACGCGACGGACTGGGGGTTGGCGGCAGCCATACTTCGGCACATCTCCACGCACGCAAGACAGATCTCATGTGCTTCGGTGAGTAGGCCGAGAGCGCGGAGGTTGGTCGACAAATCGCGCAGCTCGCCGATTGTCTGGAGAGAGACAGTATTTGACTTGGCAGTCTCCAGACGGCGAAGGAGGCGGATGGATTCCATAATGGCGTCTTGAGCCTCTGGAAGTGGCTCAGATATACTTGTATATTGCGTTGCCGGCGTGAAAGCGGGCGGTTGACGGGGGCCACCCTTGCGTTTGCGGAACGTAAACGAGGTTTTCTCTTGATTGGGTGTAACGCCGTTGAGCTTTCCGCGAAGTGTTTTGATTTGAAGCTGGAGGTATTGTTGTTCGATAGATTCCTGAGGAGCTTTCTCGAGAGCCTAGGCCAAGGATCAGGATCTTCCGACTGGCATGATATAAACAAACCGCCGTCGCTTCTTCCATTGCACGCGTTATCTCTGGACGATCCAGTGTAGCTGATCCCACGACCAGTTCTTCGGCGAGTGTGGGGTCTTCCTCTGCTGCAGGAATAATGTCCGTATGAATCCTCAATGAGATTTTGTTTAGACATTCTTGCATATTAACCATGGTGGCATCCATTCGAGTCGTGTTGAAACCAGTCAGGGCGCTCATATCGACCTACCGCGAGTCAGCTAGATTCTAATTGAGACGACTACTTACTAGGAAGTGAAGGTAAAAGGTGTTTATGTTTGATTCCAACCGAGTAAGCTCCTTCTTTGTCGAGCTTCCATCTTTCCACTCGCGTACTTTGCCGGTTACTTTGCCAAACCCCTCTCGGGGCTTGTAGCGCCGTTGACATTTGTCCAACGCGGTTTGTAGTTCTCTGTTTATTGTAAGAGTTAACACATCCGGCGCAGTCAGAAAACTTACATCTCTAATTGATCCATGGAATCTTTAATGTCCGGCGCCATGCTAAGCTCATGGCTATGATCTGAAGCAAGACGTTCGATACGTTGTAATGAGATGAGAATGTTATTGGCAATGATCTGGTTTTGACTTCGGTTCTCGCCGAGCTTGAGAAACATGCGGGGTTCAGCATCCGTGAAGGAGTTTTGTAACGAGAGGACTGTTGTACCTGATCAAAGGTGCCCTTGAGTTTGATTGCAAAGTCGATGAGGCCTGCAATGCCGGATACAGCGTCGAGAGCCATTGGCGTCGACGAGGAGGAGACTGAGGGAAAGAAGACGGGTCCAAGGCTCGTCTACTGATGGCGATGATCCGAGGACCAGCCCCAGGTTCTGGGCGTCTATTCGGCATCAACGGAGGTGGAGTCCAACAGTGGAGAATAAACAAAACAGTCCCGTGTACTGCCCAGTTGTAACCGAAAGACGGGGATTATAAACTAAGCGTGATATTTGAACACTGCTACGCCTCATAGTCGCAGGTGGCGCACTGCTCGACCTCGACCATGCCGCCCAAGCAAGGAGGTGAAGCGATATTGTCCTTGAAAATATCGTGTTTTGATCTCGATATAGCCACCCTCTTCCTACTAGTTCACTTTGTGGTCAAAGCATCCGTCAACCGTATTATTCGCAGTTTCTCAGTGACAGAAGATTTTGAACCAGGCGGACATCCCTTCCACTTTGCTCAGATGGACTTTGACACACGGACGGCCCTAGAGAACATTTGGAAACAACTCGACTTCGCGTATCGACCCAACTTTGACCCTCTCGCCGCCGTCTTTTCTCTCTACAAATGTGCCAAGCTTCCGGGAGCTAGTGGATGGGAGAACGTAAAAGCACCCTCTTTGGTGGTACATTGGACTGACGAACACGATAGTACGTCGCCATCTTCCAATGCAGTGGCGCAAAGCCCCTCAGGCAGGACCCAAGACAACCCTGGATACTATGTCATCTCTCAAAAGACGCATCCACAGGACATATCATGCTCAAACATCAATTCATGATAGCTCGAGATTATGATCTCGGTGCACTCCCGGCGTCTTACGATTGGCTAGATGGAGACTGGAGAAAGGTGACCCTTTCCGTGTACTCGTGCCAATTTCTGATTGTTTCAGGCTGTCAAGGATCAACTAGCGAGGTCTGCAAGTCGTTCAATCGTTCTATTAGCTACTTATCCGAACGACTAGGGTCAACAATTTCGAAGAAGATGCCTCCAAGCACCCATGGGCGTTGAAAAAAATGTATAGAACAGTGCACAACAAGGCCGGCAGCAGTTCGAAACAGATACTAGAGGGTATCTCGCTCATTGTTGAGTGGCAAGGCTGCGAACCGGTGTCGATAGAAGCGTACGTACGAGCTCTAAAGTGCAGGATATCTCATGAGGAGAATATAGTGTCGCGGCAAATCCACATAGCCTGGCACCGCTTCAAGCCACGTACGTGTTTCCCCATCAGATAGATATATCTCTAAGATTCCCAAGACCCTCCTTACAATTAGAATCCTCCGCGTACGTGCGTCTTCATTCGGCGAGAAAGTACCAACGGACTGTAGTGCACTACCTCCTTACTCTCTGTGAGAGCGAATCGAGGGCCATCCTCCCAGATTATACCTTGCAGTGCTTGCAATCTAGATCGTGTATTTGGTTTACGAGGCATCTTTCGTCTACAACTTTGGATTCGGCTGCGACTCGAGGATAGGTTTGAGCTCCATCACGGGTTTCGCCGGCTTGGACATGGCTAAGCCACGCTTAAACGCCGCGATATCCTCCACTACCACCGTTCCCTCCCTCATCACCCCGCTCACATCTTTGTTGACCTGAGTCGGATGTTCCGCGGCAATGGTCTTGATCGATCCAAGTAGTTCCTCTCTCTTCTGAGGTGTCAATATGGGTAATGAATTTAGATACGGCGTCCAGAACCCAATGACAGCGTCAATCGAGGGTTCAGCTTTAGACAGCGCATGGTATTGCGGTTCGTCTACGGGTACCTGAGCCTCCTTGAGCCGTTCGAGGAACACTTTCGAGGCGGCGACGCTGAAGTTTGACGATTTGCCGAGTTTGACTTGCGAATGCATATGAACCGAGAGCTTGGCTCGCGATTGGGATTCTGGGTGGACAAAGGTGGTGTAAAATTCGATAATGTCGGCGAGCGTCAGGTTCTCGATTCGTCTCGCGTTCTTCTCCCCTGTGAACAGAGAAGTGAGGCCAAAGTCTTGAGAGAATGAAGAAAGACGTACGGTTTGTAAAGTCGTAGGTTCCGTCAAGAATCCTAAATGCAAATCTGCTCGTCTCTTGGTCGAGATTGTCCAGCTTTTCCAGCAGTTTGTTGACCAACCCTTGTCGCTGATTCTCAAAAACCTTTTGGTCCATTTCACGCAACGTCGACGCATAGCTTTCCAAGAATGCATCGATGCGGTTCTCGACATACAGTGCTGGTTTCTCGCTCTGTACCTGGAGGACCATGCCGAATACAGAGACTTGAGGCCATGAATAACTGGACACGATGTATCCGAGTTGCTCCTTTGTACGAAGGGTGCTGAATGCTGGTTCATTGATGAGATGCGCCAGCAAAAGTAGCTGCGGGTGTACTTTCTCTGGGTCGCCTTGGATCTGGAGGTAGTATTCGACCGCGTTGTTGGTTTCTTTCGGATTGGTCAGTTGGCGATTGTGGATAAAGTTTTGTCCGATAGGCAAGATCATTGTCCGATTGAGCGCTTCGCCTGGAAGAAGAGGGCGTAAACCGAGAGTCTTTCTTGTTATCTCGGCTGCGGCCAGTGCATCCTGTAATAATTAACTCGTATGCCATGAACTTATTGGTTCATATCTCACCTTCTCTTCAAAGTTTCCGTTGACTACCAATGTCAATCTCGCTCGGGAGAGGAGCTGGGTAAGGTGATCCTGGACCTGTGCCGCAGTGATATCTTCACAAAGTTTCAGTGGAATACAGATATAAAATACAACTCACGAGGGAATTCCGCCAGTAGCTCTTCGTTTGTGTACGCTACGTTTCGAAGCGCGTACCAAACCCAGTCATTCGCCAGGTTGTATGGCTCTTTCTTTTGTGCATTCTCGTATGATTGTTTGAGCTGAAAAGTCAGTCAGTCGATTCTTTTCACCGGGACGTCAAGGCTAACTTCGGCATGGTAGACTTGGAAGCGATCTTCGGCCACCTTGTGGTTTTTGAAACGTTCCAGTACATACTGAAGGAAAGGAACCAACTTGTCAGTGTACCCGTTGAGCTGCAGTAGCAGTTCACCCTCTCCGCTAAAGGCGAGGGTGTAGTCGAGATCAGCCAATGAGGCGTCATAGGTGTACTTGCTCAGTGCATCCGGAACGAGGGATTCGATAAATCTATAGTGCATGAGTAGATTTCAATGTCGCAAGATGATCTCACTTGGTCATCAAAAACTGCTTCGCCGAGGACTCTGCTTCGGAACTGGTCGACGTCAGTAGAGTTTGTAAGGATGAAAGGAGCATACCTTCTGATGTAAACACCAATATATCCCTTTGGTAACCAGAATTGATCGTCCTTTTTGTGCCAGAGCTCGAAACCTTCGGATTTGAGAAGCAGAGTGGGCGCTTTTGCAGGCTGAAATCGTCAGAAAGCAGAACCTGGCAGTAAATTATACCCACTTCTGTTACTTGTGTCCGCACCACATCAAAGTTTTGCGGCACAAACTTGTTTGGTCCAGGTAAGAAGAGCTCGTCAATAGAATTAGGTGCGCGAGCCTAAGAAGTATTAGTGCATGTTTATTGCCCAACCCTTAATCTTACCTGCGCTAGCACCTCTTCTTCCAGCGACTGAATGAAATACTCTGTCCCATACCATTTCTCCTTTAGCCAAGGGCCATCCAAATCCACTCCTTGGAAGTCCTTGGACGAAAGGATAGCACTTCCTGCCTCTGGCGCGAGGAGCTGCTCTATCATGTTCCTCAGAAGTGTCTCGTCGTACTTCCAGAGCCTTGTTGGTCCGCTAAGGAGGCGTTCCTTTGGCCACGGCCTGGACAGGTACTCCGAGAGGCGACTAACGTATGACTGGGGTGAAGCTTTTTGAGCGAATCGAAATTGCATATCCTTGATCGCCTTGAACTCTTCAAAGTTCCATCTGGGGAGGGAGGTCGCACGAAGCAATGAAAGGTAGGAGTATATGGATGCCAGGACCTGTTTATAGTGCTCTATTTCGATGAGATTGTGATACTATATAGAATAAAGACGTACTCAATCCACTTTTTGTCAGCTTGACGTTAATTTTCATAAATGAGAACCCTCTGGCCGAGCTCTGAGGGCCACTCCAGAGTTGCGTGACCCAGCCTTTCTCCTTAAGATACGCAAAAAGCGACCCGTCGCCTTCGTGGCCAATGAAATGAGACAGAAAAGTTGCAGGTTTGGACTCGTAGAGAGTATCCTGACGGGGGAGCGGAAAGGATAGCTCCAAGGTATCGACGTCCATGACCGTCTTGACGAACATGATCTTCCCTTGTTGCTCTGGTCCCCACGGGACGGTCTCGACTGGAAGAGGGACGCCTCGGTTGGGCACAGTAGAGAAGCGCTCGAGCGTCATAGTGGCAAGCTCATCCAGGGACTCACGACCAAGCACTACGAGTCCCATGATGGATGCACAGTAGTGTCTTTCCCACCACTCGATAAGTCGTCGCCTCGTTTCCCTTCCCACTGCCCCTCCATCCAGCTCGTCCGACATGGATGATTCTCCGGTTTTGGCTTTAGCCGCTTGAGTGAGAGTTTCAAGGTTACCGGTACCAAACTTGCTCCAGCAGTGTCCGGGCACAGCTTGGCTTTTGAAAAGTTGCCATATTCGATGAAGGTCAGACTGTGCATTCTTCTTATGCTCCGAGTTGACTGCATTAAGCTCGCGGACGGTGCAGCTTGGGTCGAAGAGAGGCGAATGGAAGAAGGCGGAGAAGCGGTCGAGCGCTCCCGCGAGGTGGGAGGATCCAACGGAGAAGTAGTAGCATGTATTACTTGTCGACGTATACGCATTCGAAGAGCCGCCGTGGGCTTTGATATACTGCGAGTATTCATTCTCCTTTGGAAAAGCCTTGGTGCCGAGGAATAACAAGTGCTCGCAAAAGTGCGCTAACCCGGGAATGTCATCCTGGAGAGGGTAGTTGGGTCAGAAAAGAGTACTAATCAGGTGTTGTGGATTTACCGGATCACTTAGATGGCCGACTCCGACGTCCATCGCAGCGGCGGCTTTGTCTGTGGTTCCATCGTGTATCAGTAGGGCCTGAAGACCATTCTCTAGTCGAATCACGCGATATTCGCGGTCGTCTAATTCGGCCTTTTCGATTGGCGTTGAGAAAACGTGATGGGCGGGAGAATCGACGCGCGTCCAGGCGTTGGAAGACATTCTTGCGAGACTTGTACGACAAGAAGATAAGCGATGAACTATCCGAACGCGAGCGATGCCGACCAGCATACGCTGGTGACCGCGGTAGGAGAGCAAGAAAGAGGCGCTGGTCCACGTACTTTCTCACAAGACAGCTTATGGGTGGCTTTGACAGTTCTGTGAAATAGAATGGTCCGATTATTTGTAGGAAGATGCTCCTACTTGCTTCGCACTCACAGCAAATCTGCTCAATGCACTGAATCGAGAGCGAGGTGAGAGACGCTGCGTACCGTCACTAATTATTGCTTAGCCAGATATACACACAAGATTGAGGAATACCATGATAGTGGCAATACTGTTACCTATTTGTCCCACCCAGCTTCGGTCAAACGTAACTTGGACCCAATCACGTATTCTTAGTGCTGAATGATCACATTATCTGCACAATGGGCACTTTGTCTGCAAGAAACAGTCGAGCTACGGGCTGACGAGGATTAGGAACGCATGGTTTTGTTGATCGACCTTACGCACCCTTGAACAGCTCGTGGTCGGCCGTCGACTCCCAGGCGTCATCTCTGGACTTTTTGACGTTTCCGCGACGCCTCTCCTGGGGTGTTACCGGAGTTGGACGATCGCCGTTGCCTCTCGAATCTCGCCGGACGGTTCACCGTATATTTCGCATTGAGCAACGTGGGACCCTCGATCCATTCGTGCTTGTGGTGAACGCGTCCGTCCCTTGAGCAACTTTTGGAAGAGCTCGGCAGATATATCAGTCTATAAAAGTCGGTTCGAGTCTGATGAGGTCGTCCATCTCGCTGACGCGACGCTCGTTGGCTCGTTGATTTGGATCGTCTGCTGGGCGTCTCACCGCCTCGGTACTGCTCTACGCATTTGCCGACCTCTGAGCGGATGTTTTCTTGTCGAGGTCAAGGATCCACTGTTAAGTGTCTGGATAGTCTCATGGATCGCATGCTGTCCGTCAAACGCAACTTGGACCCGACCTCGACCCCCGAGTGTATCCAATCTTATACCAGCCTCTTAGGCTATGAGATGGAAAATTTATTCATTATATACATTGCATGATCGTATGGCAACCTTTGGTCATGCAAGAAACACGGCCGAATCTGGGCCATAGTTGCCAATGCAACCCTTATTCAAGGCTTACGAGTGCTCTCGCATGCGGGAGAAGGTCCATGCGAGGACCCAGGATGCGGGCAGCATCCTCCCTTAGCAAGTGGTCGTACAACCCTCTGGCGACTGTTCGTGGAGAGGAGAGCCATGGCGGCGCCTGCTGATGGCTGCAAAAACCTCGAAAGGATCTTTCTGAAAAAGGCCTCTTGTGGGAGGTCCGTGTCGACGTTGACAATCGCGGTTCGCATCGCTGGACTGATGGCAGTCACAGCATCGATTTCGACCAAGTGGTTCGCCTGGATGGCTGCGTCGAATTGGTTCCCAAGGAGAGTGTCCGTCTCCGGGTGGGCGAGGACGTCGTGACATACGCCGCGACGACGGTGGGCTGCAGGACTTGGAGCAGCTGGCTGGTCACGAGTCTCGAATCCATCTCAGCTTCTCGCTCGTGGCATTCCATATTAGTAAGCCTTTCCTTGCATTGTCGTCAAACTTATACGTCCAGCCAGAAATTCAAATTGAGAGGCCTGAATAAATCCCCTCTGCGCGAGATGCGTAAATCTTCTCGCCTCCGGGGAGTTTGCTCAGTTTGGGTGCATGTTAATAGCTGGTTATTTGTGGATTTTCACATGTAGTAATCTCTGCGTTAGATCCAGATCCGATGCAATGATGACAAGGCGCCACGAGCGTCAGAAAGCCAATTTCTACGCAAGTTCGTGGGACAAGGCAAGTTTGACATATATCACATTTATATCCATTTAATATGAGTACTAATGCTCGGTCCACCTTACGTCATTATCGACTCTAACTCACCCTTACTTCTCGGCTTGAAGGAGGGGGAAAACCTACCAAATAAATTTCCTTTTAAACAGGGTATAAAAATGAAAGAAGAACAAAAGTATCACTCTAGTGAAAATGAGCGCAAAACAAAAAAACGAATGCCGCTTGCCTGGCTTGAACAGGCGACCTGTAGATGAGGCTTTAACTTCAGTCTAACGCTCTCCCAACTGAGCTAAAGCGGCAATTTATATTCGCAATAGTTGGTGCATTAACTTGTTGTTTTGCTACCTCGCCGTGACCCTCAATCGTTCTTCACCCAGCGCATCCCTTATTCTACCAACTAGTCCCCATTCCTCCTACCACTCCTACCAACTCATCTCAATCTATGACCCTTGCGGATTTGGATATCCACCAGGCTATTCCACTGTACATATCTCTATCACGATCCTTTTCACTTCTACCACTCTAAATCTCATTCTGGTCCTCCGTTCGTCCGCATCCACTACCCTAAGTAGGAATATCAAACCAAAGCCTCTTCTTTCAACATAATGTATACATTCTCCATCAAAATAGTATGCACTAGCTTTCCTCTAACCGTCTGGCGTCCTTTCGTACATTTACCCAAGACACGCCATATTGAAAATGGCTAAAATTCAGTATAGTCGCTCGAAGCTGACTGTTGGTCGGCATAGTCAAAAGGTGCGAATACTCTAGTTCATGCCGGTTGTCCGGTGGTAGACAGAACTGAAATTTGCCAGAAGATTGCACCCAGCCATCCTGTGAGGGAAAGGGAACCCAGGTACAAGGATCCTCAGCGGGGTACCCTGCGATTTCTTCATCGATTCTGAATATGTGGGATCTCCCTCATCCAAGTTTGCATCTAAGTCCCAGCCAGAATACTATAACTAAGCAAAGCATACACTCACTCGTCTCTACATTCCATAGTCTAATCGTCATGTCTTTCGAGCTCGAGACGATTCGTGAGCCGTCCGGCGAGATTGAGATGGTGTTACGGAACGCGGTGAAATCTATGCAGAAAGAGTAATAATTGACATAGTGGCTCACATGCGCCACGTTGAGAAGCTGACGCGCCACCATAGACTGGTCCGCTCGACAGTAGTGTTGAAGGTTTACCCTTTGACTCTTAGCGCTCACTAAATAGACTTAGCCAATAGTAATAGCTCACGTCGTAACTCAATGTATTTAGGGACGCGGGACGATGCGGCCGGACCTTACTGGTCTTGCCTCTCACCTCACGCGTCCTAGGTTTGCCACACCATATACTGGTTTTGCCTCTCACCTCACGCATCCTAGAATCAACAGTTTATGAGCCTCTTGTTGCACTAAGGATCAAATTCACCAGAAATCTCGCCTCCGCGCACCCACTGCTACACAACGATGTCTACAAAAGACTTCAGTGCGATCCCAGTCCTCACAACGGGCAACTACCTCGCATGGTCACAAAAGATAGATCGATATTTCACACTCAACAACCTCGATGATCTCGTCTACGGGCTTGAACTCAGCCCAGACTCGGCACCTAAAGACCCTTCCCCCGGTACGGAAGGCGAGGGGAGCGAGCGTTCAACCTCCTCCAAACAATACGTTGCTGATAATGCTTACGAATGGAAACGCCGCGCAAAACAGGCCTCCGCAGCCATCACACTCACAATCGATGAGACCAACATGAGCCAGATCCGCAAACTCAAAGGGGATCCGGTCTCAATGTGGAATAAACTCGAGTCTATTCACAATGCAAAGACATCAGTGACCCGCTTCAGCGCGCTTGAGGCATTCTTCACCAAGACGAAGGCCGAAGGAGAGCCTTTGGCGTCGATCACAGCCGCCACCAATGCCCTCGAGGAACAATTTAGATCAGTCTGGACGACAAATTACGATGTAGACGCACTACTAAACGACCTTGCTATGATGTCGAGCCTCCGCATGATCCCGCCTGAATCGATTCACGTCCGAACTTCGCTACTCTGCCAGCCAAATCTCACCCGAGATGTAATAGATGCAGCTCTCGTCAACGAGGACAATCAGCAACGCAGGAACTCGCAGCCAGCCATCGCACTCCGGGCAGCCACTTCCCAGCCCACTGCTTATCGCAGTACACCTCCCCACTCCTCACGACCAAAGCCTACGGTCGCTGAACGCACGCCAGGTGCCATATGTGATCATTGTGGCAAACGGAACCATACAGCCTCTCAGTGCTGGTCGAAGGCTGAAGCGACTCGTCGCAAGCAAGAGGCCGCACGTGTTGCCATCACTACAGACGGTTCAACTACTGTACCAAATGCCCATGTCGCTCAGGCAAGTACCCCCTCCTTACCATCTACGGCTAGATCTGACCTGAACGCCGACACAGGGGCTACTCGGACAATGATGAGTGACGAAAGTTATTTTACCATGCTCCGCCCCTTGGTCAGGTCGATCAAACTGGCCAATGGTGAAAGGATCTTCTCCACTGGAGAAGGGGACGTTGTGTTTCAGCCGTGGATAGATAGTTACTTTAGTTCTGACCTCGCACTTTCCCTAATGTCCTCTTTGCTCCCGGCTTACAATCGAATCTCGTCTCAGTTCTCTCAATGGCACGCAAAGAAGGATATGATATCCGCATTAATTCGAGGCAAATGGAGTTCTACCTTGATGGTAAACTCCGAATGACAGCTCGTATTGATGACGAATGCGTTGCTTACCTCAATGGACGAGTTCTCACGTCGGAGCAGGCACATATCGCGAGTATACTCAAGCTGGACCGCGAGCTGTGGCATCGCCGCCTTGGTCACTATCACCACGACGGAGTTGACACATTAATCCGCCATAATCTGGTCAACGGACTCAAGCTGGACTCAACTGCAAAGCCAGACCCTATATGCGCCCCGTGTATTGCGGGCAAGCAAACTCGAGCACCCCATACAACGCCAGCAACTCACGCCACCACTCCATTAGACCGGGTCTTTATTGATTTAAAAGGCCCAGTCAATGTTGAGTCCATGCCACACCGTGCCAAGTACTGGATGGCTATGGTGGATGACGCATCTAATTTTGTCACGCTCTCACTCCTTCACTCGAAAGATGGAGCATTCAGAGCGTTCCAAGAGTTCCACAAGCTCGCTGAGAATCAGACGCACCAGCGCTTGGTACACTTGCGAGATGATAAAGGCGGCGAGTTCAGTGGCAAAGAGTTTGATCAGTACTGTATCTCCGCTGGTATTACAAGAGAACGCACCATAGTGGCAACACCGGAGCAGAATGGACGAGTCGAGCAAGCAAACCGATGGATAGCAGAAGGGACAATCACTAAACTTACAGAATCAAACCTTCCACCATCTTTTTGGGGTCTCGCTGCACTTGCCACTGTCCATGAGTTCAACCGTGCCCAAGTTCACAATGGGAAAACCCCGTATGAACATTGGCATGGTGATCCTCCGAGCGTTGATCACCTTCGAATATTTGGATGTCTTGCCTATGTCTTCATTCCAAAATCGCAGCGTGATGCCCTTGACTCGCACACTGACAAGTGTATCTTCGTGGGGTATCCATCTGACCGCCCTGGCTGGGCGTTCTGGAACCCGCAGACACGAAAGATTATACACAGCTACAGTGCTGTATTCGATGAGAGAGTCTTTCCAGGCACTTCGTTCGCAAAGGAATCGATTCCGAACCCCTCTGACTACATCCAGCTGCCAGATCTCGAGGAAATCAACGCCTTTCCATCATCCATTCCACCTCCAAACACTCAACCTCCTGTTTACGTTTCAGGGAGACCTGTACCTGCACCTATTCCTCACGAGCCTGCTCACGAGCCTGTCCCTCCACCCACACCAGAGCCAGCACAACCTAAACCCGCAGCTCCACAACGCCTGAGTCGCGAACTGCGAGCACTCACTGATCATACCAATTTCGAGAAGGTCCCTACGAATCTCCCAGCTCGACGACACACAATTGCGCGGCAGCCAGGCACCTTGACTGAATCTGACTCGGACCTTGACCTAAATGAGAGCTCCGACGAGGATAATGTCCAATTAGCTGCTGAAGAAGCGTTCTTACCCTCAAATTACATCCCTCATGTGTCAACTAAGGCTCGACGCTGGAGACCTAAGCCGAATTTCGAAGCGCCGGATCATATCCTCATTCCCATTGTTGATGACGTCGAAGCTGCCTTAAACGCATCTACAAGCCGCGAGCCAACAACACTAGGAGAAGCTCTGAAACGCCCTGACGGCGACAAGTACGTCCAAGCGGCTATAGAAGAGGTCAGAGCTCACCTGGAAAACGGCACGTGGAAGCTTGTGCGACTCCCACAAGGCAAAAAGGCTATCGGCTCACGTTAGGTATTCAAAATCAAACGTGATGCTGACAGGTCTATTAGCAAGTACAAGGGACGCATTGTGGCCAAGGATACGCACAACGAGAGGGAATCGACTACACAGAGACCTTCGCACCAACAGCTCCCTCCGCACCATCATAGCACTTGCAGCACTTGAAGACTGGGAGCTAGAGTCAGTAGACATATCAACCGCTTTTCTCAATGGTGAGATTGATGCGGAAGTCTACATGAGAAAGCCAGAAGGAGTCGAGTTCGAGGGCTATGAAGGCACGAGCTGGGTGCTTCAACTTCTCAAGGGCCTCTATGGAATCAAACAAGGCCCTCGCATCTGGTCTGTGAAACTACACACTGTCCTATCCGAAATTGGATTCAAACGCCTCGAAAGCGATCACAGTGTCTTCAACTACGAGCGTGACAACGTCAAGATTATTGTACCAGTCCACGTTGATGATCTCCTGCTCGCATCAAAATCACCAGACGCCATTCAAATCGTGAAGAATGAACTCAAGGCGCGCTTCAAAATCCACGACCAGGGACCTACCTCATTCTTACTTGGTGTCAAACTCGAGCGTGACAGCCAATCCCGCACTATCTCTCTTTCTCAGCCAGCATAAATCGAACAGATCCTTGAAACCTACGAAATGCAGGACTGTAATGGCACTGACACGCCTATGGCTGAAAAGCTACTCCTCTCGACCAAGGATTCACCACAAACTGAGCAGGAGAAGTTGGAAATGCAGAACGTACCCTATCGAGAGGCCCTTGGAAAGCTCATTTACATCGCAACTGCCACTCGACCAGACATCTCATACTCTGTGGGGGTGCTCTGTCGGTTCAGCGAGAATCCTGGACGAGCACACTGGCTAGCTCTCAAACGGGTACTGCGATATCTCCGCAAAACAACAAACTACAAGCTCACCTACGGCCTCGAACCCGACTCCGAACTGTTCACGACGCATAGTGATGCCGATCTGGGTGGAAACGCCGATAATACCCGCTCGACAGCCGGTTTTGTCATGTCAATTGGTGGTGGCGCTGTAATGTGGAGTAGCCGACTCCAGCGCCACACATCACTATCATCAACAGAGTCGGAGTATACAACAACCTCCGCCACCGGGTGCGAAATAATCTGGATGCGGTCATTCCTCGATGAAATTGGCTACCACATTGCGTCCTATCCATCCACCCTATTTGTTGACAACGCCTCTGCCATCCAAGTTGCCAAGAACCCAGAAAATCAGTCCACCATGAAGCATGTTCACCGTAGCTTCAACTGGATTCGCGAGAGAGTTGCCAATAATGAAATCCGGGTCGCTCATGTCCCTGGAGCCGTCAATGTTGCCGACGTCTTCACCAAACCACTAGGCCGCATCAAGTTCGAGCAGTTTGTCAAAAACCCTCGGTCTGATTCCTCATCCACATGCCCGTACTCAGTCCATGCGCTAAGTCACAGGGTCAGGGGGTCGTGTTGAAGGTTTACCCTTTGACTCTTAGCGCTCACTAAATAGACTTAGCCAATAGTAATAGCTCACGTCGTAACTCAATGTATTTAGGGACGCGGGACGATGCGGCCGGACCTTACTGGTCTTGCCTCTCACCTCATGCGTCCTAGAATCAACAAGTAGCGGACCATATGGTGTCGGATATGGCCGACGATCTCTCGCTACCATACGGAACTGAGGTAAATAGAATGTTAATTACGGCTAGGGTTAGGGTCGACGAGGATTTGACGTCGACACCTCGTCATCCGTCCGCTACTCCGCACCAGCCAATCGTCTCCCATCCCCTATGCCCTCTGCTCGCTGACTCTCATATCCATTTGGGATCCGTAGATATTTCCAATGACTCGATGGGGCTCTCGAAACAATGTATAAGGACCGATTTTCGCGTGTACATTTCGCTAGTTCTGAATCTGCTTTCGCTCCCTTCTAACACCCTCGCAAACTCTCGCTTAGTAATATATTCACTACGCGAGTTGCACAATTCTACTGGGGCTTTCCACCTGTCAGACGAACCGCCGCGCGATTCGTAACATATACATGGAAGAAACCCTGTGGACAGACGCAGAGTCCTGCTATGGTTGCATAAGAAAACATGCATGACATCTGGAGCAGGTTACTAATTGGTAACTTTCCGCACGTTCATCCAAGAGGAACCACATTCAAACCGGGCAAAATTAATTTTTGTCGCCCGCAGCGGACTTGCTGTTGGTATAGTCAACCGATGTGAATATTGTAGTCCATGACGATTATTGGATGGTACCCAGAAGAGATACCTTCCGGAAGATTGCACCCAGCCATCGTGCAGCAGCGAGCATTCCTCAAATCCAGGAACGAGGTTTTTGAGGGGTGTGATCGGTGATTTCACCCTGAGATATGAATGAGGCGTCTCTTCATCCGTACTTGAGTCTGTAAATACCAGTTTAGACAAATAACCGCAAGCCTGAGCTACACTCACCGTTCTTTACTTCCCAAATCCGAATTGTGTTATCTTCCGATCCGGAGGCGATTTGTGAACCATCCGGTGAAAATGCAACGCACCCGACCCAAGCCTTATGACCCCGGAGTGAGTGTCCAAATGGGCTACCAGTGTCACCATCCCATATTCGGACTGTGTGGTCCATCGAGCCAGAGGCAATTCGTTTGCTGTCCGGAGAGAATGTGATGGCAAGAACCACGTGGTGATGACCTTGAAGTGAAACTCCCAGTGGTTTATCATGGTCTATATCCCACAGCCGAATCACTTCATCCGAGCCACAGGCCATGCGCAAGCCGTCCGACGAGAGCGCGATGGTGCCCTGGAAGGCCTCGCGAACTCGATAGGGCTCTGCTGAGTGACTGACCGGAAGTCACATCCCATAATCGAATGGTATTGTCGAACGAACCAGAGATGATCCTTGAGCCATTTGCCACGAATGCGGGGCGCAAACTTCAGATTCATGGCCTCGGGCGGTGTCCCGAACGGCTCACCAGTGACTGCATTCCATAGTACTATTGTGGTATCTCCTGGGCGAGGCGATTTCACCCCATCTGGCGAGAATGCGAGTGTATTGACTGATTCTGTGTGCCCTCGGAGTGGGTCTCCAAACGAGTTCCCATTGTGCGCATCCCATAATCTAACCGTGGTGTCCTCCGAGCTGGAGACGATCCGCGAACCATCGGGCGAGAATATTACGGCTGTAACCTCGGATTCGTGGCCTCTAAATGGCTCTCCCAACGGTAGACCAGTGCTTGTCTCCCACAGTCGAACAGTGCGATCTCTCGAGGCACAGCGCCAGTGGTGGGCCTCACGCTCGGACACGGGTGCAATGAGGCACCGCCCGAAGCTCCATTAGCCAGCCGCGAACCTGTCTTCTGGAAACTATTGGCCCAATTTATTACCTGCCGCAGATTAGACCTGCATCACGCGAGAAAAGCTTCCTCTCTCCTTTGTTTCCAAGTATGATACAATACTATTGGAGATAAAATAGCCTCCGAAATGCCACGAATTACCGTCAGCGAAAAAGTTCCGATAGTATTCAGCATTGTGAGAGGGATGGCCACTCCTCCGATTGGATTATTGAGCAAGACCAAACCAAAGATACGAATCCTGTATGGCAGGTCACATCGTAGCTTCAATTCAGGAAATTTAATTATCAGAGAGCTCCTAGTTCGTGGTGTTTAATCGTCCTTCGTTAGGGATCTGATGCCAATCCTATCGATAGACATGATAACGTCTCAAATTAGTCAATCTGGTCAACTTGTTTGGTTTGGAAACAGCTCTGTATGGACTTGTCACCCTCTGAGGCTATGGGCAGCATAAGCCCCTTCCTGCACAAGGTTTAAAGTCCAGCTCCGACAGTTAGATTTATTATGTGAGTCATAACCTGGATTTGATTCTTGTACTGGCTTTGGTGTATCGAGTTTAGCATTCCATTCCATTCGAGCCTCTCATGAGGATACTACTTTAATTAATGAGGATTTTAGTTCTTGCGAACCGTTCTTGTGGTCCCGTTGTCGCGTATGCCGTCGCTTGAGTCTAAAGCTTGGAATATCACTTCAACTGCAGTTCGTACAGTCGCTAGAACGCTCCTGTACTAAGAACGAGCATTGTCAGGCTCTCCTTTATCTGATTTGAAATCAAATTCTTCAGTTGTTTTCAACACTTCACATGACAAAAGTGCCTATCAGAGCAAACCTATCGCCCAGTCCTATGATTCGGGGTATGTCCGCCCTATCTTCGCTCTATATTTCTCGGCTAGAACCTTCAGTTACTACGTGTTTGCCAAACTTTATGATGGTAAACAGCCATCACAGAAATCGTTCAGCAAGCTCATGCTCCATGCTCCGTGCTTGTTTCTTCCATGCAGTATAGGTTATAACAATCTGTTGGAAAATGTACTCGGCACGCTGAACACGCTGAAGGTGCATTCCAATATGACGAAACGACTTCCAGCAGGGTGTCGCGTCCAGCTCTTTCCAGGGCCACAATCCATCTTGATCTAGCCCATGACATTCGTGGAGATAACATGGTCCTGTGCAGCTGATACTTGGATCCGTCGGTCCCCAATGACTGTTGATTTGGTCTACAAATCTGGCATAGATCTGCCTCTTTTCTGCTTTTCATTGTGAATCCACAGCCCCAGCGTTCTGGAATATCCAAATCCGCGTTCAGCAGCGAGGTATGGCACCCGATGACCATTTCCGCCGCGTCGTAAAGAAGCGGTATAAGTTTGAAATGTATGCAGCATCTGAGAACTAGTAGAGGATGTGATTGTAGTATGCACTTTGTTTTGACCCCCGTCAAATAGTTCGTTCGACTGGTGATTGCCGCCTCCTGGAACCAGTCACGGACTGCTGAGATTTCGTATCGGTCTGCGATAGAGAGGACATCAAATATAGTGTCTGGATCAACTTTTGGGTTCGATATCGATGGGTCAAGGATGTCAAGCACCTGACGAAGCACCTGGGCGGTCGATTCGACCCTGATTTGTCGGCAACCAGAGAAAGGTAGCCTATATATTTGAGTGTACATAGGTTGCGAGTGATACATGATCAGTTGGTGGGGGAAGGAGAAAACGGTGCCTTCATTTGAGGCAAGCCCGACCAAGTAACCCTTGGGCTGATGATACAGCTGGCCTTCGTATGGGGGCGGCAGAAAGCTTGCAAGGGAGGACGTGAAGTACATTTTTACTGCCCTATCAGCGTATTTTGTGGGTGTTATATGCATGCGAGAATGCACTGATCAATTGCCAGACTCCTCTGGAGTCTGAACAAACTCATGTGCACCTCGCAAAGTCATTGGATGTCGGCTATAATGATCTGAATGCATAGAGTTTACGATATGACTGATTACTGCAGGAACGCTGTAGAGAGTGCAGAAGATCCTTTACAGCCTTCGCCAGTGCTGTCCTTATCTATTATTGCATTTAAGATCCATAACCCGTCGGAGAGGGGCTCTATAAACTGAACAGGTTGCAGGAGCCTGCCATTCAGACGCAGGCCGGAAATAGGGGGTATAATTACACGGCTCCAATATCATGCATCTCCATCACTAGTCGCCTCGGCCTTTGGCAGTGGCCAGTCGAAGAGCAACTTCTAATGCCCTTGTGTCGTTCTCCCTTTGTGCCATTCCCGATTAAAGGTCTCACTAGTTCCCTCCCACGGAATCGTCGGTGCATCACACGTGCACTTGACGATGCGCTGGATCATCTCCGCTCGAAATGTATCCCACGAAGGTTGATCGTCAATCTTGATGCACGCCTCGTGAAGATGTTCCGCTCGGAACCTTATGCAGTACGGGCAATTGCTTCCACTCCTCAAGGCCAACAATTTGCCCTGGGGAGGTGTAGCCGCAGGGAGATAGAGGAGTGACTTTGCCTTTGCCTTGAGCCATATGGCTCGTGAGCGCCGTAGTTGGAGAATGTACTGGAATAACACGCTAGGAAGCGTGCATCCTTGCTTGTTTCGCATCAGAACGTTTATATGACACCGGGCTAGCTCGCGCAGTGTCATGCGGAGCTCTTCAGTAAACTCAAATGCGTGCGCCAGTACAGCGACCGGGAGTGGATTAAGGATGATTAGGTTGATAGGCCGGTCGCCGTGCAGAATGGTCGGCGAAGTGAGGATAGCGCGAAAGCGGGAGATGAGTGCGGTGATATGGTACTTTTTCGACGCTTCAATGCACTCCCAGAGTGTTCCTATGGAGTGTTGGAGGTGAAGACATCTTTGGATCCAGGTAGGCCAAGAGCATGCGGAGAACGGCCGCTCTCTGACAGCTTGACGGCCTGCTTGACTGAGCTGAATGAGGGTGCTATTTCGTACATGTCTTTGAAAACTGGCGAGGCGTAGCAGAGGAGTTGTCGGTTCACCGTGGCGAACGCCTTCTGAGGATTCAATGATCGCGTCGTCGGATGATCCAGACATTCCATGACATTTTGGTGTCCTAAAAGACATATTTTTTGTGCCTGTGTGAGTTCCGCGTCAAAAGTCTGGAATGGAAGATAACCGACAGAGGTTGTGGGATCTCACTGACCTCACTTGGATCTCTTTTGTATCCTTGGATCAGATCCAGTGGCACAGATGTGGCACAATGGTCAGGCTGAACGGTACAGACTGCGCCAGACGCTCTCGCCATGCTCGCCTGCTGCAGCTCCTGAGAGGCTGCAGGGCCTACCACGCCTACTCTTACAGCCATAACTCTAGGTTGAGTATACGCAGGGCCCTGAATACTCCATTGGGGCTACTTTAAGTATTGACCACGTGCGGCGAGGTCGAAGTGCAAGTGGCTTACCTTGTGCCAAAGTGTGGGAAGACGCCTATATACCCTCATAACTACAAAATGTAGAGACTGACTGCAAGGCCTTGGTTCCAGAGATAAGTATAAGGGATACCAGACGTTGCGCGAAGGTGTCGGTGCGCTAATGGAATGCTCACAAAGCTGACGACTCACGGGCCGTGTTGTTGATTCCAAAACTGGAATTCTGATGGTTGGCATGTGGTGCTTACTGGAACAAGCGACAAACGCAAAATCGAGGAGCGTAAACATAGAACGGTCCGAGAAAATGAAGGACGATGTTGATCGCGCCTTTTACAATGTTACATACTCTAAAAATACAAGGGCGGAGACGTCTGTCAAGCCATGGGGAAAACGGAGGGATTCCCAGCGTCGCTAGGGGCCCCTCTTAACTCCGATCCTATCTCCAGGGAGATGTCGGTGACGACGGCGAGTGCAACCGTCGCCCGTCGTCAATTTAGAATTCGGCAGGCAACAGCAAGGCTCCATCAGCTACTAAAGGTCCGCCCGCTCTCTTGGACCCGTCCTCAACTCCTTTTTACACAGCAAACCTCTCGCCTTTCTTTTTCTTCGACTTTTACCTTTCTTTTATTCGCAGCCGTGCTGCTTGCACATTCGGTGAGCTCACCCAAACTTTGGCATCGTCGAGCAGTGGCTAACAACGACCTCGGCGTCGACGGAGGCCAGGTCATTCACTCCTTCCAGCACACTCTCTACGCTCTACTTTCAAGAAGAATATCCCATCAACCATGAAGCTTTCCCTCTCGCTCGCTACCGTCCTTACTCTCCTGCCGATGCTCGTCACCGCGTCCAGCTCGCCCTTTATCGAGCGTAGTATTCATGATACTGCCTATCTGGTTAGTTTTAATTTGGTTTCAATATCTTTGACACGTCTGACGAGCCGTTACCATCGCGAATTGATCATCATTAGCCGCGGGTAGCGCGCAGGTTTGGACGCAATCCCGACATATTTGGGCGCCAAAATAATGCAGCGGATCGTGCAGCTACCGCGCAACGCGCAGCGCAGCAAACCGCCGCCAAGGGCCCAGCAGGAGCAGCAGGCCGCCATTGACCGCCAGCGAGCTGCAATCGCATCGTCTGCTGCCGCTCAGCAATCAGCGGCTGCTGAACGAAACCGCCAAGCCGACATTGCCAATGGAAACAACCGAAACGGTGGAAACGGAGGAAACCAGCAGAACAACAATGGTCAGAACAACAATAACAATAACGGTGCTACACGAACAACCTCTGCGGCTGCAGCTGCAACCACCACGGCCAATAACGGAGGCAATAACAACGGGAACAACAATAACAACAACGGAGGGAACAACAACAACGGAGGAAACAACAACAACGGAGGAAACAACAACAACGGAGGAAACAACAACAACGGAGGAAACAATGGTGGAAACAATGGTGGAAACAATGGAGGAAACAACAACAATGCCATCAGTAAGCACTCTGCGCCCTCGGTCGCTCGTACTAACGATTGCAGCACTTGATCCCTCCCTCGTCGCATCCAACCTCGCAAAGACTGGACAAGAGACGCCAGCGGCCGGTCAAGTCGCATCTCTTACGTCTACGAACAACTTTCTCAACTTTTGCGCTGGAAAGACGATCACCAACGGCCAGCAGATCACCACGGGCTCATGCAACCCAATTCCAATCGGCGATGTTGCGCCCAAAGCAAACATGCCTTCGTGCAAGTTTGTGAACCCGATCAACTTTTCGACTATTCCAGCCAACAGGGACTTCACGATCCAGATGAAGTTGAACAACCTCCAAGCGGGCGTGTTCACGAATGCGCAAAAGACGTACTATATGGCTCCGCAACAGCTGAATGCTCAAGGTGATATCATCGGACATACCCAGTACGTGCTCCTTTATAGTGTCTAGCTCACAGATAACTCATGCATTTGTGTAGCTTTGTCGTTCAAAAGATGGGTGCGTTTGACGACCCGACCATCCTCGACGCCGGAACGTTCCAGTTCTTCAAGGGTATCAACACCGCTGCGGTCAATGGCATCGTGTCGACTACGGTCACCGGTGGTATTCCCCAGGCAACTACCGCCTTGCGAGCATCAACACGGATGCTAACCATGCTCGGCCATCGTCGCTGTTGCTCAACACGGTTTCGTGGACGACATGATTTACGTACGTCTCCCCCTTTCGTCCACCTCTCATGCTGACGACTACTTCACAGTTTACTGCCGAGTAAACGTTCACCTCACTGTTCGTTTCATTGCATTGTATTCTCGGCTAGCATCGTTATAAACCCCAATGTACAACACTGGCGACCGTTCCTAGTACCCCGACTTCCGCCCTTCTTTCCTTCCTTCGCTTCTTGCCTTCTTCATTCTTCTTTTCATCGTTTTCCTAGATCAGTATTGGGCTCGCTGGAAGTTGCTCGCTAGACGCTGCTCCTCCTTTCCATTTCGCACCCCGATACTTTCCTTTGAGAGCCGTCACCTTTTGCTGTATCGTCCTTTTTTGCAATGGAAGTGCTCATTACCGTTGTGAAGATACTGTTTCGCTTTAGCCTCAACAAGGAATGAGATCCGAGGGCGTAAAGCCAGAGCCTGGCGGGCGGACAAGCACTTGGTCCCTATCACTACATACAACAATACTATCGCTTGCTCAAGTGACCGAGCCTTCCATCATGGATATTAGCTTCACAGAGGAAACTCAAAGATATGGCCCCGGATACGGCGACTTTGTCCTCCAATCCAGCGATGGAAAGGACTTTCACTTTCCACGCGCCATTCTCGCCTTTACCTCTGGCTTCTTCAAGGACATGTTCGATCTTCCGAACTCTTCGACAGCAGAGGGAACTCCTGAGAAGCCACTCGTCCTCACTGAGTCTAGTCAACTCGTTCAAATGCTGTTGGATGTTGTCAATCCCAACGCGCCTTCTCCTCCACTTGTGCTCGCAAAGCCAGTTGATTTGTGCCGTTTTCTGATGGGTCTTATTGATCCAAATGAATCCCCATTCGTATACTTGCTAGAAGCGGCGCACAAATATCGAATCCCTTGTATCTTTCGTTGGTTTGAGAAAGAAGCTATTAGAGCCCAGGTGAACGAGGAAAATCGTGAAGAAACTCCCGCAATACTCGACAAATGTCCAGTCTTCGTTCTTGCTTGTGCAAGGCAGCATAATCTTCCTCAAATCGGACGGTTGGCAATTAGAGAGCTGGTGAAACGACCATCACTCCTTCTTGATGAGGATGTAGACTTACCTCCCAAGCTATACCGGTGTATATTGCGAAGCAACTGCCAACGGCTGGAGCTCTATACCTCCTTTATTCGTCAATGTACTGATATTGAGTCAGTGGGATCTACGGCTGGGCAAATTCGGAAATGTGAGTTATGTCCGAATAATAAGGCTAAATGGCTCTTGAAAATGACACTTGACATCAAAGAGCTAACATGCTGGTCTCGTTTCATCGAGCGTTGGAATGATATAGGCGCATGTTCTAGTTGGGGTATGGACTGGCGGGCTTATCACAAGAGAGGACTATACCGCTTGGAGAACGCAGCTAAACACCACGAAGCCCATACACCGGACTGGTTATTGGAACCAAAGGGTGCGATATTTAATCTACAACCTACGATTGTATGACACATAGAATCATCAATAAAATTGTTCTATAAAAATATTGAGCGTACAATGTTAAACGATGAAGCTAGTCGACATCCATACTATCGTCCTCCCCTGAACCTTTCGCATCCGCCTGAGTGGTCGGAGCGCTGGCAGCGCCCCAGAAGTTCCTGAGGCTACTCCATAGGCCAGTAGTCTTGACTTGCATTTTTGAAGCGGGTGGCGCATCGACCTCCATCGACGAAGAGGTGGCAACGCTCCCTTGGCGAGGCTCAGTCTTTGTCGACGGCGCTGCAGAGTCTGATGCAAGAGATGGTGAAGCCACTGGAGCCTCATCTATCGCCTTTGGCTTGACCTCTTCAGCAGGTGCGGCGGGTTTGGCCTTCTTTGACTGTTTTGATCGCGGCTTGCGAGGCTTGGTGATTGAGTGAGTCCCTTCTGCATCTTGACTAGCCTTCTCGTCGTATAGAGGCTTAGCCTTGTGCTTTCCGTTTCTGCTTCCTCAGTTCGGCCAAGCGCTCCTCAGCACCTTCTGCAATCCCTCGCACGTCCATGAGGTATGCAATCTCCGTCTCTGGCAAGTATTCGTCAGGCGACTCGCCGCCATCGGGCTTGTAGACGCGCAAGTCGTTGGGTATTCTGTGACCACGCGGCAGATGCTTGCGTTTTGGGTGACTATCAGCGGGATTTTGATCAGTCGCTTGACTATCGGCTTCTCCGCTGCGGTCTGGCAGTTGTGCATGGTCCTCGACAGTCTCTTCAGCGCTAGAATTCTCCTCCTCGTCCCTTTGAGCATCAGGCTCAAAATCCGAACCTTCACTTTCAGAACGCGTAGTGGAAGTCACGCTGAGATTCTCCTCGAAGTTCCGCCGTTCTCTTTTTCGATTTGGAAGGCTTTTTTGTGCCGTGTCCGCTTCCGCGTGCTCTAGGACCGATCCAAGGTCTACCACTTCCAGGCTGTGATCCAAGTCTTGCTCTTGTGCAGCCACCTTTCGCTTCTTGATGCTCCGCTCAGCCTCCTCGGGCAGATAATCTTCGTCATCCCCGTGAGCGACCCTCGAGCTATGCGCTTTCGCTTGACCTTGACCCGTTTGCGACTCGTCGTCGAGGGTGTATGTGCACGCTCATCGGCTCTCGTCATCACCGTCGTGATCAACGGAGCCCTCGATCTCGCCTGCCTTTGAAGCAACATGGGACAAGGCTGGAGATGATGCCTTGAAGTAGACGACAGTGTAGGTTGACTCCTCAGGTTGTGCTTTGTCCTCTTTGGTGCCACAGTGGGTGTGATAGGACTGGATGCACTCCGTTTCGACACGTTTACCCTTGGACGTAGGAAGAGCAGAAGAAACAACTGGTGACGGCTGTGTGGATCGAGTACGTCGCGCTCGGGGCATATCCAGCGTTAGAGGGTCCAGTTCTAGTGCTTTGAGTTCACGACTGCCCATGGGAGCATGCCGCTTTCCCTTGGCAATCTTGCGCCGAGTACGAGCATTGGCTGGTTGCTCTTCATCCGATGTCAAGGCACTACTCTCGTCATCTGAGCGCAAGGTGGATTCGCCGATTCTGCTGAGACGTAAGTATTTCTTCTCGAACAGAGTCATCACCCACCGAGGTCCTGGTTCCACAGGATCCGCATCTATGGTCGCCTGTGTGGAATGGGTGCTTCTTCATCCTCGGGAAGTGGGTAGAGTTGACTCGTCCCAATCAACGTGCTCGGGTATGCAACAGAAGATCGCGGAGTCAAGTCATCGGCATCTTGAGTGAACGTCAACTCTGACATTGTAGGCGCGAGCTCAATTGTCCTGGCAGGCGTTGAACCTCGAACAGTCTGAGCTGCTTCCAGCTCCTCGTCCCCATCGATAGTCGAAGGCAAGTCGCTATCTTGCCGCAAAAGACTTGACCCAGCAAATCCAACTCCTCTTGTGGCGTTTCCAGAGGAATGGAGGCGGTTTGGTGCTCGGAAGCGTCACGATGTCCGCCTAATTGGGAATTGCTAGACTCTCGTGTGTCTATTTGTGGAGGAATAAGCATATACGCGGGTGGTAAATCCGGTGATTGAGATTTAGGCGAGATGGTCTCTTCCTCCTTTGTGCTACTAGCATCCTGTTCGCTAACGTTGGACGTTGGCGCTTCCGCCCAGAGACTTGGGTCAACAGCATGTCCGGAGATGCCCGAAACGCCCTCCGGAGTTCCAAAAAGTGTCGGTTCTGGGACACGATGAGGGTCTGGAAAGTCGACGACGTCGCGATTGAGGTCTTGCACGACTTCAGCCGGCAACGTACGGTCTGCGTCACCCAACTCGTTCGGAGGCGAATCAACCGGATGGATAACGGCAGCGTCCTGTGCCTGCTCGGCGACCGCTGCAATACTGGTGGCGATTGACGAGTTGTCTGAGACCAGTGATGGGTCAGCGACTGTGTCGTGAAACCAGAAGGAGAGCGGTGGTGTAGTCGAAGATATCAGATCGTCTATTCCAGTCTAGACACGCCGTTAGGAACCAAAGGACACAGGAACTGAATTCTCACCGATTGCGTGCCAATAGCTTGCTCTTCATCCGGCTCTTGCAGGCGGGTGTCTCTACATCTTCGTCGTCACCCGCGCTAACAGGGTCGTAGGAGCCAGCTATCGCATAGGTCGTGGGATCTACTGGCGCGTACTCGGCGAAAGATTCCAGGTAACTCGCTGTGATTCCTCGTGTTCATTTGACCTCCTTCCTGGGCGAAGTTGGTCGACGGGGCGAAGAATGGGGATATGGAATTGACTTGGGAGCTATAAATCTCAGCAGCGCCCGCTTGAAATGGCATACAATGCCTGGCGTAGGTTGATGTGTGACCTCGTGCTCGACGTATTCGGCTATAGAATACTTAGTCACAAGCTATCTCGAGTGCCCTGTCGTACCCATAAGCGGCATGTCGGTCATGAAAAAGTTGGCATGGTCTGCATCTGCCGTGAAGAATTCGTCGAGTTGATGAGAGCCTTCTCTCGTATCTTCACCATCTTGCTGGTCGGTAGCGTCCTGCGTCCAGGGTGAAGAGCCGCTCAAACAAGACATCTGCATTCTCTTCGACATCGTACCCTTCACCTGCTTGCAACTCTTCTGCAAGACGTCATCAAAGTTCAGCACACACGGCTGACCATCGTCGTCAACGTCCTGCACATTATCCTCAGGAGCACCGTTCCATCCGTCAAGAAGTACAGAGTCCGTTTCCTCTTCTTCTTCATCCCCTCCAATCTCGTCTTCCTGGTCCTCGTATTCCTCTACTTGCTCCAGAGTCGAGGCCGGCTTTGGACTGGCCACTTGAGGTATTGGCGCTGGAACATTGTCCTCTTCCTCATCATCAGAAATGACAAACGGACTGTCTTCATCCCCAGCGCCACTGACAACAACCATTGGCGCAGGCGTTTTGACCGGCGTCGGCTCTCGCTCCTCGTCCAACTCATCTTCCTCCTCTTCCCCTTCTTCCTCTTCCTCTTGTACCTCTTCACTCGACCGAGGAACGCTCTGCACACTCGCGCCGCGCAAACTACCCTCGCCAACACTCGTACTCCGTCGCTGGCCAAACGAATACTCGTAAAACAGGCCGAATGCGAAAAGTCGCCCTCAGATCCTGCTGTTCGGTCCCTATTGCGGAGCCGTGCGCGCGGGTCGAGTGCGTCTCGAATCTTGCTCGTCAGTCCGCCGATAAAGTCGTCAAATTCTGGCTGTGTAAATTGCTCGTAAGGATTGATAATGGGCGCGTCAGAGCGCGTCGTGATTCGTTCTCGAGAGTAGGACATTGTCAACAGGTGCGAGTTAGCGCGTCAACAGCCAAAACTTTGTAGGACTATGAATTGGGCTGGAGAGACCAACAGATCCAGTCTCCTTTGATCCGTTTTGACGATTTATATCGCGCTGGTTTGTCCAGATTAGAGATTTAGAGGGTCGGCTGGTCGACAGCCTGTCGAGGTCGGTTCCAAGTGCTTAGCCACCCCTCGCCTTAGAAGATTGCAAGAGCCGATGTGCATAATAGAGTACGTCTAAGACAACATTACATGGGAGACCCATTCAGTGCTTGCATCTCTCCTCGTGAATCAGGCGGATTACTGAACCCGAGCACTACATAGAAAACCCAGCACAGAGAGCATCTTCTCGCTCTCAGAGACGAGACCACAATCATTCTGTTTAAGATGTGAGCACAGCGCTCGCACGTGGAGAGAAACACGTACCGGTACAGGTAGTAGAAGAAGGAAGGAGGTAGAATCCAAGCGATAAAGCTCTCCTTTTGTGCTGCGGTAGTGTTCGGAAGATTTCTGTTGCGTCATAAATGTGTTGTCCCGACATTACTCTAAAGAAGGCGGCATCGGCGTCAGCAGGATAGCACCCGAGAATACAGAGTCAAGCCACATACTTTCGAACATTATAAGCAATCAGTGGGAGGTTTAATGCGAGTGCCATGAATTGGCCGGACAGGAGGAAAAGCACGCAAAGGAAACCATGGGCGATGTATTCTGGCAGGACAAACTGGAGACGGCGACAATCAGCGTGGCTGTACGACGGAGTGAATACAGGTGAATACATACGCGATTTAGCTGTGAACAGAGATCAATGGGATTGATATAGTCGCATTCGAGGTCTGAGAACATGATGATCTAGCAGTTCAGAACGGCGTCAGTACAGACTTAATAGGAAATAACAAGGAGAACACATACGAAGAAGACCATTGTGAATAGCAAAACTGCGGCCATAAGCACCGAGAATAGGAACAACCATCCTGTGGGTCCAACGTGGCCATTCAAGACGAAGAAACAATGAGCAGCGAGTGAAATAACCAGTTTGAGCGCAATTTGAACGTTATTGGGCGTGAAAAGGCATGCAGCGTCAGCCGGGGAGTGCCAACATGCGCTCGTCAGTGGGTTTACAGACCTGCTCCGTTCATTGTCGATACGTTTCCTGGGCTGGTATCGTATGAGATTGCAATTAGAAAGCAATAGCTGGCCTGAGTTTATACACTGCGTAGGCTACGCTCGTCGTAGTCGCGGTTCAAGCTTGATGACGCCGCCATCCATCCGCAATAAGCCAGTGCACAGCTCAAACCGCCCTCAAAATAGTATAAAATAGCATAAATGGTCATAAAGTGTATATTGGGATGATCTGTATGGTCTACCGACCCTACTCGCGCAGAAAAAGAGGCTGCAGAGAGCAACGGGCAACTAAGATGGCCAATTCGTTATGGACACGGTCTGACACTCGAAACACTCGCAAATAAAAGTCGAAATTGACGGCGAGTATGAGCAACTGGGGAAATGTAGAACCGTGACGCCGCACTAAGGAAAACTCTTTGTTTGGCCACGCTTGCCGCCTTTAGGGACAGCGACAAGTCCACCACAAGTCATGCAAATACATCATCCCAGGCTTGCCACTCGCTCGTTCCACTTTGCGCCCTTATCTTCTCCCCGCTCAACCCAAAGAACGAGGCTTCGTACCACTGCTGCATATCTCGGGCAGGAAACGGTCCATACACCGTATCTGCGGCGCCATTCGATGCGTCCGTCTGCGCCCAGCAGTATTCATACTGCGGTTGGGGTGGTACCCAATCTTGCGGTACTGTCCCCGACCGTCGCACAGACCGCAGGATACCCTCGTAGGTATTCGAATACACATCTGGGTCGTCCACTATGAGCGCAGATGCGAGCGCAGTGAGTCGATCAATGTCAGAAGAGGTTGGTTTCGGATCCTTGGTGCCGCCCATGGGCACGTCGTCGCCGGTTTGCTTCTTCTTGAGCTTTGCATCCTTCTTCTTCTTCCTTCTGACGAGCTAGCGCCTCCGAGGACGGTCTCCTCTGGTAAAGGTAATTGAGGAGTTGCTTCTCTAGTCCGGTTTGCCACCGGTGTTGCCATCAGTACCGTCACCCTCCAGTAGTTTCTTTCCTCCTTTATTCGTTCTTTTCTCTCTTCTCGGCTCGTCGTTTTGCTCGCCTGGCCTTCTTCATGTCCCTCTCCTGGATGTCTTCCAGCCACCGATCGTGTACGGCGTGAGCATCATAGCTGCGCACGTACATTCCATCCTCGGCAAACTTTCCCTCCTCCATCTCCTCCTTCATGTTAAACTTGCTAATCTCGAAGCCCATGCCTGCCCTTTTGCGTCGCTCGGCATCGTCCTCGTCCTCTGGTTCGCTCTCTGAAACGGACGCTTCATCGTCCTCGTCCCCATCCATCCTCTCCTCATCCTCCTCATCCTCTGCTCCAAACTCTTGTCCTTCAATCTCGCCGAGTTCGAGTATTTCGTTTCCTTTTGGTCTCCTGCTTCTTCTCCTTTTCATCTTCATCCCCATATTGAACATGTCATCGTCATCCACGTCCTCCTGACCCTTTCGTCGACTGAGCACGACACCCTCGCCATCGTCGGTACTATCCGACTCGTATCCTTCAACTTTAACAGCTCCTTTTCCCTTTTGACGAGCAGTTTTACCCGCCATGTCGAGGGATGCGTCTACTTCATCTGCAAATTGGGCCGAATTAAAGGCTTCGCCCTCGTTGGATGCATCATTCCCTTGAACCGTTCGCGAAGATGATAATTTTCCTCGATCATCGTTCTCAGGTTCGGCAAAGCGTGCGCGCTTTGGAGCAGACTTGGGGAGACCATCCGTATCGGATGGAGCGGGTCGTTTCGGTGGCATAGGGGTGTTTGAAGACTTTT